CTACCCTTCAATGTTTAAGCGCGACTATACCTCTGTCGCATTGGCTTCTTATGGACAAGTTCACGTCAGCGTTGCAAGTGAGAAACGCCAAAGGATTTATATTCGTTTTTCCACAGTTTCTTCCCAATTTTTTGAAATGCTTATTGAGTTGAAAAGGACTGTAGAAGTCAGTCTATTATTTTCGTGAGAGTCTTCTCTTCTCCGGTTTTTTTTTTTTTTTTTTTTTGTTTTTTTTGTTTTTTCCCAATACTAATCACCTTTCAAGGAATTTGCAATCCACGAAAATATCCAATGGGGTGAAAACCGGCAACAAGACGCAAAAGAATTTCTTGATTTTCTATTGGACTTGCTGCACGAGGATCTGAATATACATTCTAATCGGCACATGCTTCGACCGTTGAGAGACTCTGAAGAAGAGAGGAGAGAAAGACTGTCGATTGCGGTGGCATCAAAGTCTGAGTGGAGTCGATATGCGCATCGCAACTGCTCGTACTTGTCAAGCCTATTTGCCGGGCAACACGCAAGCCGGCTCAGGTGCAAGACATGCAACCGGACATCAACGACATATGAAGCATTTTGGTCAATTAGCGTGGAAATTCCACGCTCGGGAACGAGCAATCTACAAGATTGCCTCCGCAGCTACTTTCAAGAGGAAAACCTTACCGGCGACGCAGCATGGAAATGTCCTCACTGCAAATGCGCACGAGAGGCCACGAAACGAATTGTGATCACCCGCGTGCCTCAGCTTCTAGTCGTTCATTTCAAGCGTTTCGCCACCTCAATGAATGGTTCTACCCACAAGGTCCACACGCCCATAGACTTTCCACTGCACGGGCTCAATCTCGAACCGTTTGCTATTCCTCCGGCAACGCCCGAGGAGTGTCAGAAAATGGTGTCGTTTGGTTTCGACCAACATCCAGAAGCAGACTATGCGACAAATCCGCCTTTTCTCTACGATGCGTATGCTGTCCTCAAGCACATTGGCTCGTCTGCCAATTCTGGCCACTACATAGCCGCGGCCAAGGACACTGGCCGAGGCTGCTGGCGAGTGTACAATGATACGGAGTACAAGGACATCGATCCGAAAAAGGTAAAGGAGTCGGACCGGCTGCAGAATAAAGAAGCATATATTGTGTTTTATATGCGATCTAGCGCTAGGTAGTTTGTGCGGTCATTTCTTTTCCCCCCTTTTCTCTCAGTTTGGCCAATGCATTTTGCATGACTTGCATTGTCTGTCCAGTGATCTTCACAATGTCTGGTCGTCACGTCATGTCTGGTTCAGCAGGTTCATGTCCGTTCGGCAGTCTGCATTAATGATAATTATGTGTATCTACTTATGCCCTGCATTACTGTTACTGTTACTGTCACTGTGTTCTTTGTCACCGTCGTACTATTTCCTGTTGGCGTGATTCGAATTCATTGATCATTGTTTCATTGACTCCTTGGTTTTGTCGCATTGGCGCTATACGAAGCGTTGGCCTTTCTTTGTTCTCTTCTCGTCTATAGATTTGACAGTCTTGTTTCAGACTTGACTCGCTACGTACGTTCCAACTCACGAGTTTGCATGGGCATGTATAAAGATATTTTTCTTCCTAGTTTTCTGAGCCGCCATGTTATGCTGTAGATGGTTCTTGATGTATGGTATAATGTATTCATTTTTCTGCTTTTTTTCTTTCGGTCTCTTTCAGTCTTTGTCCTCTGTAGGCTTGTCCTCCACTGCATACGAAAACATCATTTGTCGGTCTAGTCTAGTCTGTCGGTGTTGATGTCTACATTCCACTGATTCGGTTCGAATTCCGTTTCCATCAGTAAGAGTACAGTGGCAGTGATTTGCCTGCTGTTATACAAGTACATCTATTAGGAACAAGAAGTAATTATTTCTTTAGACTAATTTTGTCACTTGGTGTTGTGACTAATGTCTATACTACTTTAATTTTTCTTTGTCCGAGTTCTGGATATGGTATATCATTTTAGTTTTCTTTGTCCAAGTCCAGTATAAACCATATCACTCTGCTTTCTTTGTCTGGGTCTATCATGTAACATGTTATTTTAATTCCTTTCCTATATAATGTGACCGTGTCTTTCACTGCATACAGACACTGAACACCAAACACCAAACACTGAACACTGAACACCAGACTATTAACAATTCAACACCATCAAGGATACCTGGATAGATTAGATGCTAGCCTGCTAGGAATCCTGTGTGATTGTATCAAGTAAAAAATAGAATAATATGATTATATGACCCATTTCTAAAACAGATGTAATATACTAATATGTAAAACAGAGTCAGTGAGTCACACATGAGTCATGGCTCATGACATTGATAGTAATAGCTGACAGACTAACAGTGCTGAGTAAACTGTAAAATATAAAGAAATGGAAATCCATGGACCATGGTAGTTGGTAGTTTGTAGTCAGTGTTTCCTGTATGATGGATCGTGATATCAAAGGTAATTTTCGTTGCACGGACTTTGTTCGCGTCATTATTTTTTTTTTTTAACTTTTATTTTTTTTTTATTTTTCCATTGTTAGCATTCCTTTTCTTTTCTTTTCTTTTTGTTTTTCTTTCTTTCTTTCTTTTTTGGAATTAAAAAGTAAATCTAAAGTGTTTCTTTTATTAAGAAAAGAAGAAGAAAAAAAAAAAAAAAAAAAAAAAAAAAAAAAAGGAAGAAAAGGGAGAAAAGGGAGAGAAGGACAAAAGTAATACTAAATGTAACAGGCTAATAGCAACAAGAAACAAACAAAATAACCTGAAAAGGTTTCAACTTCCCTGGTTTCTAATACTACAGAAAGGCAAATCTGCAAGCCACAAAACAAAACAAAACAGAGGCTTACGGTATACAGTATACTGTATTACGGTTTACAGTTTACCGTTTACCTTATAGGGCAGGCCGCAGGCCGCAGGCAGCTGGCAGCAGGCTGGCAGCAAAACAAAAACAAAAACAGAAACAGAAAACAGTAAAGGCATGCCGCATATGGGAAATGGGCAATGGGGACAATGGGAAAGGGAAATGATGGTAAAGCCAGCAAGAAATCGCACGCTGCACGCCGCATGCCACACGCCGCACAGATGAGAAAAGGAATGGTAAAGATAGATCATAGAAATGGCAAGAAAAGTACAACGCCGTACTCTCGTACTCTCCACGAGTATTCCTGTTTCGCGTGATGTATACACTATCTGGATTCTGGATCCTGGATTCTGCTTTGCATCTTCGATCTGCCGAACCGAAATAAAAAAAAAAAAAAAAAAGTAAAAAAAGGGCCAAGATCTATGATCCACTATTGACTGTCTACGTCCATGGTTTGCGGCATATGGTCCACGTTCACAGATTTAAAGTCCGGACTGAGTTGCTGACAAACGGACCATGGTAAAACTGAGATCTGTGAGATGTATGACAGTATGATTCAATGACATGATTCAATGACACAAGACACAAGTCAAAGTTAAATTAAAGGTAAAGTTAAAGGTTAAAGGTCAAAGGTAAAGGTAAAGGTAAAGGCAAAGGTAAAGGGCAAGGTAGAAGGTCAAAGCATACAGAATTACAGATAGACTACTACAGGATAAACTACCAAGTTACCAATGTTATTCTATAAAAGAGGGAAACGTCACGGAAAACACTGGCCAAAGGGTGTGAATGTTGAAGAATGTCTGGCGCGGATATAACTTCCCCATCCCGTCGCCATCGCCATCCCGTCCTGTCGGTGTCACCATCTGTTTCCCTGTCACTGGTGCTGGTGCTGGTGCTAATGCCAATGCCAGTGCCAGTAGGGGCGTGGCTATGACAGTCATGATTTAATGCATCATGGATACTGGACATGGGACACGGGACTTGATGGGACGTGGGTAGCACTGCATCACTGTATCAGTGACACGTACACGGGAAATGGAACGAGGAAATCAGAAATAGAAAATTAAAGGATCATGGATAAGCCAATGGATCATGGATCGATCATGGATCACGGATCATGGATAATGGATCATGAATGCCATAATACAATAACCTAAGATCAACAGTAGATGAACCAGTCCATGAAAGCAAACTAAACAATAACCATGGATATGAAATGAAATGGTAAACCATGGAAATGAAACAAAACGATAAACCACGGTAAAGAATCGAAATGACATGGCAAGCTAAATTAATTAATCAAAGACATTAGCCCAGCTGCCCAAAAGCTAGATTAAATTAAAACCACCAACTCTGTACTACGTACGTACTGTACGGGTAGAAAGATCGGTGTAAAGCTTAATTGAGAACATTACCACCTTGCATAACATACCTACCCGTATAGGTATAATGTAATCTGTGAGTCTAGGTCTGTGAGTCTAAGCTGTGAGTCTGTGGCGCAGACACGTACTCGCAGACTCGCAGACTTGCAGACTTGTAGACTCGCTGACTCGAAGTGAAGGTTACGTATTACTTGACAGTTTTTATTACGTACTGGTACTACAGGACGCGAAACTTTAAGGCGTGTACAGAGTACAGGACAATACCTAGGTGAGGTACCTTACATATCACAACAGATAACGTACAACAACAAATAATATAAATGACAAGAGACAATGCATGCAATGATGGACAATACATATAAAAGTATAACGAAATAAAAAGTGTCATGAAAATGTTATGATAAGGACGGAGACACTAACGCTTTCATTACGACCAATACTAACACTAACACTAACACTAACAGCGAACTGTAGACAGTAGACAGTGGGCAGTGGACAGCAAACATACAACAGTGGACAGGATGTCAAGCTCAAAGCTTAATGGAACCACAGACGATGGTCACGATACTAATAGATACAGCACTTTAGCAACTGGGCGTACCGTACGAGGTGCAGGGTCATAGAGGCTGGCAGTCGGGCGGGTTACGGAACAACATCCGACGTCCAACGATCAACTGGCTTGGATTTGGGGTCAAATAGCTTGAGAGTTAATCGGAGGCTGGGAAATAGAGTTGCGGGACGGACAGAGGGAAGGAAATGAAAAGATGTAAACAGGAAAAGGTTAATAAAAAGGAGAGGGTTTAATTAAAAGGAAAAGGTATAATTAATAGAAAAAAGGTTAAATGACTGATTAATTTCCCCATTCTGTAAGTCTATGAAGCGGTGAGCGAGGCGGGAGGCGCGAGGCGTGAGACGTGGGGTAGTGGGAACATGGGATTGCGGGATAGTAGATGGTGGATGTGGCCGTATCCACCCATCGGTCCAATCATATATTTATCCGTACGGAACGTATTGGTATGTACATGGCGACCAGGACGTATATGGTAGGGTTAGAGAAATACCAGGGTAAGGTGAAGGAACAGCGCTAGGCTGATCCATTTACAAGGATATGCCGGATGGATGGCATTCCTGAAAATAATATCTGTACCAGTAGGTAGATGTGTTTCAGGCCCTTGGCCAAGGGATGGCAGAGACGGAAAACGTGGGGTTAAGCCTTTACCCGACGCTTGTATTTGCGAGGATCTAAATGTATAGAAAACGGTGATATCATTAGCCGTGTCGAGAAAATATAAGCGACATGTCAGAGATCGTTAGGGGCAAAAAAGTCAAATGGAAAAGAAGGCAAACATGAGAAAGGTCGTGGGGGAAATCCAATGGCATTAGACGGCGGATAAAGAATCCGTAAATACCATGATATTGATGACGAAGACAAAGAAAGCCATATAGGACTACCCTTCGTTAAGAAGGGTCTTCGTTAAGAAGGGAGGCAAAGGTGGCTAAGCAAAGAAGACTCATCACACATACCTTTTCGAGACATTCTGACTCTATCTCTCGTGCCTAGAGGAAGAAAGTCACGCGGAAGGGTTAGCACATGTGCGGCTCAGCAGTACACCAGTAAACCTTAAATGCATGAATGCAGCACGGAGGGCGGGAGATAAGGCAGGTGGGAAAAGAGACATGAGACGAGCGGACATATGTCCGGGGTGATGCGGGCTAAGCCCGGACTGGCTTAGTGGGGAAAGTGCGGCTACTCCCACAACTGTGGAGAGGAAGAATTGCGGGGTGTGGGGTCGGCGCTAAGCGAGCGATCCGGTGGACCGATGCCATGCTGCTGGAAGCCGGCGGCATGCCCCCCCATCGTCCGGGAGTTGAGTCCGAACAAATTGACCCGGAGAGGTGTACGCAGAGGGAGGAGGGATCTTATAGGAAAAAGCTTACCTTTACCGCCTTCCCAGAATCCACTAGATGTCTTGCCCGTTAACACTTTATGGCAAGCCACGCAGTCCTCTGGTCGATAATTTTGTTCACGAGAACCTGGAAAACGGTCATTCGTTAGTAACGGCGTCCACTGCCAAGAAGCACAGGGAAAAAGTCAATCGGCGAATCGTACAAAAGCCACTGTTTAGTAAAATTCAGTCAGCTGGGTATCCCAAAATTGCATTTAGTGTTCAATCAAAGAATTCTGTGGGTATATTTGCCATAGGGTAAAAGCAGCATGGACTCACCATATCATCCGGTTGGCGTGTTCGTTGGGGTGGTCGCTCGCTTCATCGTGACATCTGCAAATGCACCCCCCACGTTAGCAGTCAATCTTCCCACCATCTGTGTGTGCAAATCCGGGATTTGGTAGTATCTGACCTGTCACATGCAAACACTTTCGCACAACAGCCGAATCTGCCACTATCGTCAGCCCTGTAAACTAGCGCAAACCTCCCCCGGTAATAATTCCGCAAGAGGTGACGAAAGAGGCTGGCATCTCCCATGTGTGGGAAGCCCCCGAATATGGTACGCACCGGAACCATCGGTAGCTCTTTCCATAGTGTTTGCACCGTCCGCGCCGGGGCAACTCTTGTCCCGCGATGATTCCGAGGTTCTCTTTGATCTAAGTTTCGACCCTTGTCAGTTGCTTTCCCAGGTTTGTCAATTACGGGGGCGATCGCAGCTTACCTTTTTCCGGGGTGGAGCCTGACTGGCGCGAACTGTCAAGTGAACACCTTTTGTTTAGCCTTTCTGACTCTTCTCTATGGGGAAATTTCTCTTTGGCGTGGGCGCAATAGACTTTGAGGACCCCGAAAAGAGAAAATCTGAAGACGAGCGGATGATTAAATGACGTCCGAGAGTACTCACCAGCAGCAGCGCTTATCCTTAGCAGCCTAATCTCCGGCATTTTGAATGCTAACCCATCATCTCCAATTTAGCTTATGATCAGTAGCAGAAGCAGCTGCATGAGGCACAAACTTACACATTTTGCGGTGACATTCCCTGCAGATCGCCATAGCTGAGTCGCCTCGCACGGCAACAACTCCGGCAGTGTACGCGCTCGAGCACTCCGCACACGTTGGGACAAAAGTGCTGAACACAAAAGACGTTAAGCAAATAACCTAATCTGAGACTACAAAACAGGCTACCTACCTTGGAAGAAGATCAGCAACGATGCAACCGTCGCAGTCGAGGTAACCTGCTCGAACAGAGTTTGCATGCATCAATTCTTTACGAAATCCTGTAGTAATTGTAAACGAGTTGCCCCTTTTTCATTCCGAAAGGGGCGGATGGAAAAAGAAAAACAAACCTATGCTAAATGCTTTGGCGCATTTCTTGCAATATTCGGTGCGCAGGCCAGATGCGTCCCGTTTGGAGTTGTCTCGAAGATTGGTAATATCTGTTAGATCTTTGCATCGGTCGCATTTTACAGTAAGACTCAAGATGGTCAACTCGAGTAATTCAACACCGTAGAGTTCAAGGTACGGGAATGAGAGCAGAATTCCAGATTCTGCATTGCTCGCAGGTGCAGATGAAGACTCGGTCTGAGGCTCGACCTTCTCCTCTGATCCCTCCTCTGCTTCTTCATCCGCAGAATCGCTGCTGGCGAAGTCGCTGTCTGAATACTCGTCTGATTCATCTCTGGTGTCCCACTCTGGTGGCCGTGGAATGACCTTGACATGGCTCTTGTCCGTCTCCTGTTCAACATTCGACGGAGGTGCATCGGACACGGTCTGAGGCTCTGCAATTGTTAGTGCAGACATGTCAATACTGACTTCTGCCGCCTTTTCCTCATGTAAAGGCGTTGTTGCCATTGTATGCATATTTTGCGACAGATAGTTAATATGTCCAAGCAAATTGACATCTGGGTTTTCAGCTGCTCTCTTTTCAAACGCCTTGACAGTATTTTCAGCAGCATCTGGGTTGACGCCTAACAATTCCACCGTGCAAGGCTCCACATTGTAACGTGCAGGCACGATGAGCCGCACAGACTTGATAGACTGCAGAGGCACAGGCAGATCGCCCCGCTTGCGCGGCTCGATTGGAATGCTATAGCTTAATCCATCTGGAGATTTGGAAAACATGGGAAGCCTGCCCAGCCGAGCTTCCAACTGACGAGTCTCCATTTCGCGCTTCTGCCGAGCTTGCGCCTCCTGTGCCGGGCTCACTGCTGCGGGACGCGCCTTGACCGTTGCAGGTTTCTGAGCTGACAGAGGGGCAGCAGCTGGCGCTTGCTGCGCTGGAACTGCTTGAGGTGCTGGGGCCGGAGCCTTTGCAGGAGATGGATTCTGCTCGCTGCCAGAGCGAACATTAGGAATTAGTTTGATAGTCGCAGCTTTTTCGCCAGTCAAAAGATCTTCCAGGCGTCTGTCTAGGGCATTCATCAGTCCCAAGAGCGTCAGCCTTGGCGTTTTCGCGGCTAATTCATCAAAGCCTTTCTCGACATTGATTTGATAGCCTCTGCCCATCTCTTTGTTCATCACTCTGAGAGAAGGCATGCTGCCAGCAGCGGGATAACCGGACGGGACATGCAAGATGCATTCCAACGCCTCAATGTCGAATGGAAAATCCGGATCCGATGGGGCCATGTTAATGTGAAACGCTGTTGCGCCATTGGTAGATGACTCCTCTGGCGAGTACCGTCGACGTAATTGCTGAATTTCAAACTGCCTTGGATCATGCTTTTGCGCAGTAGAAACAGGCTTCTGGACAACTCGTGAAGCATCCACTGGCCCCGGTAGGTATCGACGGCCTTGGGAGCGGGATTTCGGTTCTTTGACTTGATCGGCGCCAGACGGTTGTCCCGCGCGTGTTGGTTCGAGATGATTGTTGTTGTCGTTGCCGCCGCGGGATGATTGAGCATGGCGTTCTTGCATCTGACCACGATCCGCATGTGGCTGTCCGTTTCCTGATGCCACAAGCCTTGAGCGGTCATGGACAAAGGGGCACGTACTACCTGCACGACACCCTACATGATCACCCCCAAAATAACAAAATTAATTACAATTCAACAAGGGGAAAAAAAAAAATAATGCATAAGCATTGATTCCGAGCTTTGATCGCCAATGGCCTGCATGCAGGAGAGGGCAAGCATTTTTGCCAATCGTGCCCCCCACCCCATCCAAGGCTGCATAAAATCTCAGGCAGCCAGACACATCCGGCAGGACAGATGCAGGGAAAAGGCAGGGAAAAACAAGAGTCAAAAAATGCGCAGAACTGCAGCGCGTGGGTTCACAGAGTGGTCGAGAGGGAGTGAGGTCGAGGTCATGGGTAAAGGCGCAGTGGAAGAATTACCATTTTTGGAACCAAAATACCGACAGAGCGGTCTCTGCTTGTCTCTTTTCGCGCGCGGAGGATTACTCGGAGGGTTGCTCGATGCCAACGCAGAGGTCGGCGGACCTTGTCAGGTGAGCCAGCTGACCAGACGAACAGTTGCAGGTACTCGCCAACGCATCAATCAATATTTCCATGACTTACCTCGCGGGGTGTCGCCTCCACCACTTCCACCTGCGCCATCCGTGGAGCTGGGAACATCTGAAGCACCACTGGGATGCATTGGAAACGAAGGTGGGAGTGTTTCCGGAGGGACAGGGGTGGTGATGGCGGGTAGTGGTGGTGAGAAATAAAAGAAAAGAAAAAAGATACAAATGATTTGAAGAGCAACAACAGTGATACAGTTTATCTTGTCTCCAAGAAGACGTTCAGGTGTCCTTGGTTCGTCGTTGAAGTCGTACAACACTTGCGCGCTCAGCTTATTACTCGGTAAAAAGTCTTTGTGGTCAGCAGATTTGCGCAACCACAAGGCTTTTTAATTCTGATCCTTCCCGAGAACCACAAATATGAAGATCAATTGTTGCCAGAACGAAACATTGGCCTCGCTTTTTAACGTCAACACCAGTCAAGTCGACATGTTGACAATGCATGTCAGGGTCACATTCTAATTCCTATCCTGCTTACGTGCAGCGGTGAAAAGTAGTCATCCTTATTGTTGCATTACCCAATATGGGAAATATTCCACAGCATTGCATCGAGTCAGCATCACCATCACCACATGGGGCACTGTTGTTACTACGTCTGGTAATACCCCAACTTATCGTGCCATGTGTGGAGGTGAGTCAGTACCCCACGATAGGAAAACGAGGTGGAACAATAATTGTGCACGGCATTATTGCCGCATCTGTGCACAAGTATGCTCAAGTACACCATGCGGCCGCTGGCTCCCCTCGCGAGCGACACATGCTCTTCATACACTATCTTATCCAGCGTAATGGAAGCAACACAGAGGTGACAAATGATTTTTCCATGTTGAGAGATTTAAAATGTCATTCCCCAATTGGAAGAACGTAAAATCTTACCACTTCTCTTTCTCTTCCTCCAACCAACATGTGTTCTGTAGTAGCCTTCCCTACCTACTTCGTACTAATCCTCAGGTATGACGTACCAGAGAGGCAAAACATTACAGCTCGGCTAGGGCCCTGACGACAATAAAAAACTTTCGAAGCGAGTCCTGATTCAACATCCCAAAGAGGAAGGAACTTCTTGAAGAGGGAAAGACTTGGATCCATCTGATCGGAAGGATTCGGGAAAAATCAAATCTCTTGTTGCAAGTGTCCCAACCATAACTGTAGTGTCAGCGACATCGATATTAACGACACCGCGCTGTGTGGTTGATTTACCACAACATCGTACAAGAGTCACTTAGCCACCAGTTAAACTGTTCTAGGGCTACAACGTGGGTCAGTCGCTTGGTTCTCATCCGTTCATGTGGGTACGGATGAGATCCCTCCCAATTTCCGACCCCGAAGAAGGGATGATGGTGCCTCACGGTACCCCAATGACCTCATGAAAAGGAGAAATGGGCAAAACATAGTGAGAGAAATCATTATTGCTCCACGGCTGTACAAGTGGAGACAATAGAAACGGCTGGGATAAGATGAGATGATGACAACGCGGAAGAAAAGTACTACGTAGTAAATTACAGTAACTCCGTATCCCTACCCGTGCAAATTGTCGTAGTACGGTAGATAGGCAAACGCTATCAACTGATCTTGGGGGTCGTGCAGACCCAAAGAGGTTCGTCCAATCGATCGGGTAGCAGACGGTCACGGTCCAGGTCACTGGGAATGAGCAGTACGTTTAGGAGTGCTCAGTACCGAGTACCGAGTATGATGATCCGCTCAGAGTGTGTCATAAGGTATGTATTGCAGTTATGCGTGCAGTGCAGACTTACGGTACAGTGGATTGCCCTCTCATACCTAAGGTACTTACAACCCGAACAGATGGAGTGTCTCAAATTGCATGTGGAAAACCCCCCATGTACGCCATCATCCTCCCCCCTCCCTCCGAGGCTCCTTCACATACACACACGGAACAACAACACGGAACTGCTGTCAATGTCGCTTCCCTTTCTTCCCCCCTCCCTGCCCACCCTGGCCAGCCCACCCTACGAAAGCGCGTCGGACTGTCCAAAACTGCCAGGGATCCCGCGTCGAAGGCGCACCCTCCTTCTTCAAGTGTGCATGCCCAGACGGATGATGCTATAGTAAATGCTTAATCTATGGTGGCGGCCTGCGCTGTTGTTACTTGCAAGTGTCGGAATCCCAAAAGAGGCGGTCAGAGCATTGTTGTGAAGATTATATCCCAAAGAGACCCTTGCTCCCCTCCAACTCGATAGAGACAAAATACCACTTCCTAGTCAAATCTACACTATTAGCGACTCAATATCATCAGTCATTGTCACGAGGCATCAAAGTTCCAATTGGCGGGAATTGGCATGTGATATCAATAATCTTTTATTTGGATTTTTTTGAGGATTTAATCATTTTAAATCTTCTTTGCTAGAGTTCCGTCATCGTAGCTTGTATCGTGCCACAAAATCCGTCCATAGACCATAACCCATATCCACCCAAAGAACAAATCCCGAGAAACAAGACTGAACCCTGATGATGAAATGCCAATGGCCCCATAAACCTATCCGTGACCATAAACCTATCCGTGATGAGGAAACCGTGCCGTCCCACTTCATGATATATAAAAAAACCGCTGCAGTGAATAAAAGATAAAATAGCATTTGTGATGCCATATGAGTACAACAATGCATGATAGCGCAGTGAACCATGGGTCCCTTCCCATGCCAGGCTAAAACAAACAAAACCCAATAAAAAAATGCAGTGGTAAGCGCGAGCTTTGGTATCAATTGAAAATAGAAAGAGAATCGTCACACCCAGGCTATGCCCCATTGTGAGAACCGCGCCCATTTTTTTAGACGCCTCGAAGAAGCAGAGCGGATAAAGAAACTGGTGCAACAATTGGCTTGGACAACGCCATTTCGCTATGATGTAAAAGGCAGGCTGCGAGAGTAAAAAGATAAATAATCCTGCTGTGCAGGATTGCCCTTTAAAAGGGTCTTGGCCCATTTTTTGGTTTGATAAAAAATAATGGTATGGGCGTGGTTTGGTGAAAATTAAAAAGAGAAGTCGCACAACAGCTCGATCTAAAGAGCAACGATGATTTACCATCCCTTCTGATGATATTCTCCAAGTCCGTGGTCAAAGTATTGGTTCCATGAGCCAGTCTTTGAGGCGTCCTTGGAGCTGCCAGACCGTTGACCGGGATATTCCTGGAGATTGGCAACATCATGAGCAGTGTGTCGTCGCTTGAGAACGGCATTTGCAGTGGTGCTCTTCTGCTGACGCTCCCACAAGAGATGCCGTCGAAGGGACTCGGTGAGCTCAGTGGCCAACATGTTGCGGCGCGTGGTGCGAGGAGAGAGAGCCGGTGGTTGAGTGTTGGAGGTGTTCATGCCGATGGGCTTTGATCGAGGAATGCCGACGCCCCGCATTGTGAGCGCCGACTCGTCTTCAGGAGAGCCAGCGACCGAAGGGCCGTTAGGAGAGCTAGTGCGTGATCGATGCAAAGCAGGGGTGGATCGCGAGGCAATGTTTTGCATGGCGGCAGCCCGCTGAGGTTGGTGAAGAAGGTTGGTTAACAAGGACCGCCTTGAGGTCAGGTGTGGACGCGAATCCACTCGCTGGAACATCTGCTTGTCATCCATGCTGGAACGGGCGCTCTCGGTAACAGAGTCTTCCCAATCAGAAGAGTCGTCATCGTCCTCGATGGCGCTCTCGGAGACATCCTCTTCGTCGTCACTCTCAAAGACGTCCTCATCTTCGGCAGCACGCTCGAGAATGGTGCGAGTAGCAACTTCTTCCTTGAATGAAGTCTGCTTCTTCTTCGAGCCAGGCTTTCGCAGACCGTCGGAGAGCGAGCTACGGTGGGGAGGTTGCGACATGTGCTCCTCGAGTGAGCTCTCCTCCTCTCCAGACGATGCACCAAGCATAAACATGCCACCCTTCTTCTTCTGCTCAACCTTGAAAGGGGTCGGTGGTCGGGCAGGAACAATAGACTGGGGCTGCAGCTGGGGTTGAGAGCGAACTGAGGAAGAAATTTGACCGGGCGAGAAACCACGGACAATGCTGTGGGTGCTAATGCTCTGAGAGCCGGTGTTGTCGTCATCTTCCGAGTCGATATCTGCAGCCTTTTGCTTCTGCTTCTCCTGGCTCACAGTGGAGTGCTGAGGGGCGGTAGCGGCACGGGCGACTGAGGGGCGGGGGGAGGACGGGCGTTGAATTACAGCAGAACTGGTTGCCCGTAGTGGAGCAGGACGAACGGAAAAGGGCTCGAGGGGTTCGAGTTCCTTCTTCTCCTTAATGTTCATGACCATCTTTTCAAGGTCAAGCGAGGTGATGTGCCTCTCACGCCCTCTGCTTCGATCAGAGTCCCGAGATACCGGCTTTGGTCGTTGAATGTCGAGGGGAGCGGACTTGTTCTTGTTGGACTGCATGCAATCGTCCGAGGCGGCGGAGTCGACACTGCCTGAAAGTTCAGGAACATCTTCTGATTCGTGAGCGACGGCCAGTCGGTGCGATACTGCCATGGGCGAAGTTGATGGCTGGGCGACGCTTTCGGGCTCGCAGCAGAAGGTTTCTCGATTCCACAATCTCCAGCTAAGATTCTCTAGCCGTCGGCCTTCTTCCATGGAATCGGCACACTTTGAGAAGACTGCACACAAGCACACTTTCGTTAGTAAATCAGAGCCAAATACGAACACGGGCGTATCGAAGCAGCTCACCAGTCCACATGCTGAATAGATTCTCTGCATTCCGCGTGTCCACCTTGTGGATCTTCGCGGCATCCACTGTCAACACCGGGGCGGCAAGGCGTGGTGCCATCTCGACGGATGCGGCTCGATCCAAGTCGAGCTGATGCGCGTCTGGAGGCACGGTGACGGTTGCTGAAGTCGAATCCGTGGCGGATAGAATGGGTTCTTGGTCGATACCCAACAAGCCAACGAGGGGAAACGGAGATGAAGTAAGGTGAAGGGGAGGACTAGCGTCTAGGAACGTGTAGTGGTTGGAATTACAGCTCGGGTAAGAAGGGTAATGGGGAGGCGAGAGCGGTGACTAGAAAAGCGTGTAGTCGTGGAAGCGAGGCAAGTTGTCGATTAATGGCGAGGGATGAAAGAGAGTGTGTGCTGGTCCAAAGCCTCTCTTGTTTCTTTTGGAAAAGGACGTTGCTTTTGGTTGACGCGGAGGAAGGATAAGGCCCCTGGGGTATCGTGTGGAAAGAATGGGGAATGAAGATGGGGGACGGGGTTCCTTTTGTGCGTCTTTGTCAAGATCTAAACGAAAGGAGAGGGAGCTACGTCGGAAGTGTGGGCGAGAGCTGGTTTTGTCTAAGATGTCGCAAAAGCAGACAGCCAGACACACACACACGAAAGGACCACAGGAACCGATGCGGTGGGACCGAGGGGACAGGAAGGACCATGGGGCCAGCGGACCCATGTATCATCATCATTATTTTACGGCGCATTGGGCAACTGTCCGATTGGGGGGTGGGTGTGTGGGAGGATGTGGGCGGTGCGTGTGGGTGCCCGGCTTTTTTCTCATTGACACACGCTTCACTTACCGCCAGAAGAGACGAGGTTACTCCGGGACCAGAGCTAGATACATGGCGATACATTTGTGTGTTCCGTCACGAGTAAGGCCGAACTAGAGGCGGAGGGAATTCGGCGATGGGGGGGGGAGGTTGAAGGGGCGCGAGCAAAAAGGGGGCCGGATGGGTGGTTTGACTGAAAAAGGAATGGTGGGTGGCTGCATTCGCTGCATGGGTGGCCAGAGTGGGCGAGTGCCGGGGGTGTTTTTGGTAGGAAAACAGATTTGTGGGTCTCCTTTCCCTCTACTCGCCCGGCATACATCAGATGGGACCGTATCGATTCTGTCCTTAACACCTCTCGCTCGCTTCACTGACTATAGAGCTGTACCTAGTAAATAATCATCTTCTTTCTGCCTGGATGGGATTCGTTGCTAGGAATGGGACCGAAGCTAAGGATCATGGATCCTCCGAGCAGTCCCAAAATCTATGATGCCAGACCTAATCTTCCTTAGAGACCATTTGCTCTCGGCCCCTATCACCGCTCCACTCTCCGACCACGTTTTTCCTCACTAGGACGCTCCCTTGTGCCCGATAGGATGGAAAGGAGGGAGATGAGAACATGACCCGATGTGTGTCCAAACCCTGGGCCCGCTCTTCTTCGTCTTAATACTGTGGAGTCTGTCGATCCTCAAATGTTATCATTTCTCTACAACGGTGGTTTGACGGACCGGGTAGGAATCAGGAAACTGAAAACGGGCGGGTTGATTAGATTGGGAAGGAGTGAGGGTTGTCGGTGTAGAAGACGATCTTCTTTTCCGCTGGCTGACTTGCAAAAGACCCTTCACGTTCGCCATCAAACAGCATCAGCAGCAAACACAAGGATCTCGCCCTGTCTTGCAAAGTCGAGAAAGGCAGAAAACCCTGCGCCAGCTCACTGTAGTCATCGGATGAGGCGCAGCAGTGAGAGTGAGGTACCTAAAAAATTTCCTAAACAAGTATCGAGACCTGATTGTCGCGCGGGGGCAGCACGGAAGATAGGTAAAGGTACCCACTCTTCGAAGCCAAATTGTCGCGTGGAGAAGAGATGACCCGCCCTGGCCCCGCCCTTGGGATTTCATTGTTCTCTTTGGGTACTGCACCAGAAGTACTCAAGCCCAACCTGTCTGGCGCAAAATACCTCTCTTCGAGTACTGCGCCTCCTTGTTTCAACGGGCCCTAGGGACTCTTCATTTCCACCAACCGCAATCAGCACAGTATGATATCAGTTCACAAAGAAATGAGCATCATAATGATTGGAAGACAATGTGGAAATAGACTATCGCTGCAAAGTGAAAATAATCCAAATTTGAATAATCACAAGGCCCGCAGCGTTTGCAGGATCCGGCCAGGCACGGGTCTTTTGCCGCTGCTGTAATCGAGCCGGCTTTCTCACGGCATGTGAACCTGCCTTTGATGGCCAGGCCAGACTGGAATAATGACACGCGGAGCGAACCAAAGGTTCAATAAAGAACGGGCTCGGCGTGACTTTTCTTTTCTTGCGCCGTCATAGGGCACAAGGTGTGGGTCGGAAAAATTCCTCCCTCGGCAGTAGAAGTGTGCCGTAGTCACGTTGGTGCAGTAAATGAAATTTTCCGCACGCGCGCACGAATTTGGTCTGGCCACAGCTTATCTCGCGCGAGTCTTTCGTGTCCAGACTTTGCAAATGCGCACTACAGCCGTTTAAGACACCAGCGCAACAGCATTTGATGGATTCGAAAAGGAAAATTCCGAGAGACATGAAACGTAATTTTCTAAATGAACTGTGACGAGTACGAGTATTCGTACAAAGGAGGACAGAAGAAGCAAATACTCCGATATAGCTCTCGTCACATTATTGCGTTCATGAAACGATTCCCTAAATTGGAACCGGCAGATGATCTTTGATTATTCTTGGATTCGGTGGGTGCCTTCAGCTGCATTTGAGGCGCCTATCGCCGCAGGGTTACTTACAGCAACAGAAAACTCCCCACAGCGTCAATATACACGTCTCACATCAATGTCTGCAATTTTGCAGCTAATGCATCACATGGGATAGTCTCAATTGAATTGCACACGTAGAGATTCGAAATGAACAAAACTGTTGTGTAATCCTCTTTTAATGGGAATGTAAATATGAGCGCGCCCCATGAATCAACTTTGTTGGGGTGTACGACCTTTCGAGTTCGAGCTTGTATGGTCATGTATCAAAAGTACGAGCTTCATGTATCGATCTGTGTGCTCCTCAAGCTGTTTCTTGTATTTGTGGTAAGCGTGAGTCTGACTCTCCAAACACAGTGCCTCAAACCATATCATTGGAAGCAGGTTCTCACAGCAGAGCTTGGAAACACGTATAATGAACCTTGATCACGTTCATTGCTTTTCATCTGACCCCTTAAATACCATGGGACGATCATCGCCTTGTTGAAAACACATTGCTTTTCATGTCTAGACCATGAGAATGGCAACTGCTGGGCACGTGGACGTGGGAGGCCAAAAGGTGTCTCATGTGTTGTACAAAGCCGGGGGTATGGAACCTACACAATAATTGCTTTCGGTTAAGCTTCGCGAGGCAAGCACCCTAGCACTCTGTAACCTGACAATACCATGCTTACCATGAACAGCTGGAGTCCTTTAAAGAACAGTCATTGTTCCATCTATCATGAGACCTGCGCAGGAACGAGTTGTTTGATTACCCGTCGAACAAGCGCGCGCACGGTTGCGGCGATGGAAATATCCTTGTCGTAGGGGCGGGATCTTGAAGGCTGGATCAGCCCGCTTTTGCTTTTCCCCCATACATACTGCCGCATTTGCTTTTTTGCCTGTGATGAACAAGAATGTGCCACCTGAGCGTCGCGTGAAAGGGCCCCATGCAGGGATCTCCGCAACTCAGCATGCAAAGGATGGGGAAACTTGGGGAAGTGGCGTTCCTGCGTCCAATCCCGGCTGCGTAGTCGACTTACCAGTTGACACCCACGATGCGGGTGGCCGACTTCCCCGATCAGATTCTGGCACCCCTTGTGCAACGCATCTCTCAAAAACCAAAACATAAAAATAGCAAATCTCCTGGACTCGAGGTGACTCAAAAAATATCTACTAGATTGAGAGGACAATGAGAAGAGCAATTCGGCGCTTTGTGTGCTTTCGGTTCCCGGGTTCTCTTGAGAATTTTCGGCCAAAGCTGTGCCTTCGTCTCAATTGCCGAACTGTGGGGATCGTGAACCCACTGATGGGCGGATTGACGGGTCCCCACTGGGGCGAGACTTCCCCAGATCATCTACTCCTTACCGGTCCTGTGAATATGGGGCCGATGTCGACATGTCCATCACTTCCCAAAAATTGAGCCCACCGACCAATGACGCAAATAGTCTGGACCGTGAAAGCGGTTTCAATTTGTTTTTTTTTCCCTTTGCTTTGTCGCGTGTCTTTTCTGGTCATCTGAACATTCCCCGGACACATTCAGGGGTCTCCACCCACGTTCCAGAACCTACCCCAACTTCTGAGCACCTATGGGAACTTTGAGCTTTCGCCGATCCCATGATATCATGAGCAAGTTTCTCACAATCCAGCAGGACTTTGAGGCCCTTGATCGTCATTCCAGAATGGCTTCAGACTTGTTCTTTTTACCAGGAATTTCTTTGCTTGGACTCCTAGGGGCACCGAAAAAACCAATGCTGACTCATCATCTCAGGCACCTACTTTATCAGGTTAGTATTGATGTGAGCCCAAGGTCGCGACTTAGGGAGTCTGGCCGAGGACGGCTGGCTCTTGTACGGGAAGGGATAAGGGCCCCTTGGTCCGGGAGTGGCACAACGTCCCCGGCAATTACCAGGCTTGGCTTTCGGCCCATTTTCGGTCAGGCTGAAACATTTGAAATTAGCCAGAGTGCGGAAATCTCGTAGGTGAAGGAATAAAGGAGGTTGAGGCGATGCACCGTCGTGCATTTCTGATCTATCTCGCTCCCTGTACTGCACTGGCGTCCGCCCGCGCTTCTACGGCATTCTGCAAACACCAAAAAATAATATCACGTGAGATCTTCCCACCATAGGGATAAGAGATGGTTGACAATACTCAGCTCGCACAGACTGGTTCGATACGCAAAATCTGCCCCACTATGGCAAAGCCAGCTCAAGGAGGGAAGCCTTCGGCATCTACTATCCCCTACTTTTTTTTCTTATTATGATACATATTTTCGCGACTGACGCATCATCTTGAGCGAAAAGGCATCATCGCATTGCGTCTGATTCGAGGTGACCGCCTTGTCATCTGATCGCCGGCAGGGCTGCAGACTCCATCTCAACAATGCAGCGCCGATCATGGCACGTTCCTTTGTATCGACATGAGCGAGAATAATATAATTTCAATTTCTGCGCTGCAAAGTGGCGTCATAACATTGGACCCCCCGGCATGGGAAAAAGGGGTCATCATTATCAATTACTCATTCGTTTGGGAAGCTCTCGCTGCCTGGCTCATTGGTTATCGACGGATGTCTCGGAGCTTCAGTTGCAATCCGAAACGCCTGACAGAGCATGCGCCTAGTCTAAGTCTATAGCATGCGCTGGCACGATTAGAATTTTTCACGCCTCCCAAGGCAAGATGTTTCATTTTACTGAACACTATTTCCCGGTTTCGAGAGAAGAGACTGAACTCAACCACACCATCTACGAGGCACGGACCATGGTATCCGCTCAAGACAAAATAACGACTGCATAAAACAGCTCATTCTACGGCATCAATCAGGTGAGTCTCAATCATGAAAAGGGGAAGACGATTCGATACATATCGATGGTGAGATACAAGACTATATCCGGTATGAGTACGAAGGTAGACAAGGCTGTAGAGACCATGAAAGGTAATCTGATGCTGCGGCGCTTCCGAATCTCTCCTGCTCGGAGTCTGGCGGTTTCCGGATCGTCATATTCTCATTTCAGGGGCCTCCCAGTACGGCAGGACTTGAGCATTCGGTATTGTGCCTCAAAAACTCAGCGACCTACATCAGTGGCTGCTGTAGACGGGCCGATCGCAACACACTTTGGGGGATATGAGACAATGCAAAACGAAATGGGGAGCCATCTTCGAAGGCCATTCCGAAGTTGTGTAATACAGACAGAGATGATTTTTCTCAGCCGTGCTGCATCCCAGGTATGACGCAGATTTTCAGAGGAACAAGGTTCAGCTATCAGCTTTCACTGTCGCTGAAGAGGGTGCCATAAAAATGATCAGTCCTGATGGGCACATGGACGTGATGTGGGGGCTCTCACCCCTATTGATCAACCAAGTCCTACGATGTCGCAATGCAAGGTAGCAAGCAGAAGAACACTTTATTTCGTAATTGGGTAGGGGTTTCCTTGCGCACTGTAGGAAGCCGTGTGTTTTTCCGTTCGAGAAATATTGCGAGCTGAGTGGAGATACGGGACACCCCATCCCCAGTACATTCGTGTACGGGGGAGGGTCTCCTTAGGTAGCTTTCTTGCCTGTCAGCATCGGGTGGGGGGCCTGTTGACTTGGACATTTACCCGCTCAGCCCACGTCCAATCTTCCCGCGCACAAAACGGTTGGACTGGAAAAGGAGGCTCATAGGGACCCATTTCTCTCTTCATGACATCAACATACATATTCGAAGCGTGCTTTTATTGAATTAATCGGTACACCATGACTATCGGTCTACATGACTGGGGGTATTTTGATAGACATCCTTCACAGAACATCAACAGCGATTCTGCGTCGAATAACGTGATCGGATAAACTGTGAATTTGAGCTTATTGAATAGATTGTAGAGAACGATAGGGAAACGGTCAAAGAACTTGAAATCTCATCGGTTTAGTCCACAAATCTTTCCATCCTCTGGGTCTGAATTTCACAATAGGCTTATCGTTTGTCGATATGTTTTGACGTGGCCTTGTCAGTATTACGATTAGGCAACAGCATATTCCTCATCCTTTCCTTCTCCAATTTGGCTGGCCAGTCAACACATGAGGACTTGGCTGATGGTAACGAATGTTTTGGTGGTATGGAAAAATATTTTTGGTTTTTTTATTCGTTTTCCTCTGGCTTCATCATTTTGGGGGATTTTAATTCTATTTTCGGCTGTTTTCTTTTAACATGGATAACATTATATTGTACTTGACACTCGTAAGTCTGATCATATTTTCACAGCTCATGCGTCCAAGCCATCCCTTTCGAATTCTTCTTTGTCCGACTCTCTACATGATGCAAACTCAGAGCTCTGCCTATTCTTTCAACAATCTCGAAATGTTGAGTCTTTTTGGTACAGAATGCTGAGTTGGGACCCGCGAGCCGCGGGAACTTCGGCCAGAAGATCGGCTCGGTCGGACCCTGGCCCGGGCCGCCTGATAAGCGAAAAGGGTATAATCACCTTCCTTTCTTGATAGCGCCTTAGGATTCCTCTGCTTCAAACCTCAGATCGGAGAGATGTGCTATGGGCCTACAACGAAGTCGTTTGAGCTTCAACGATCCACATATTGTGTATGGCTGCACCTGTGCAAGTGCGAAAACAACTGCGATTGAGATTCGCTAATTTGAAATGCCACGCTACAAGACGCCAAGGGCTGACAAGGAGAAGCTAGTTCTCCACGTCTTAGATATACGCTCTCAATATTACCAATGACCAAAACTTTCATTCGTTTGACAGATTTTGGCTTTCTGATTTATCTTTGATTTTTGTTTCTCTTCATCCTTGGTTTGCACTGTCTTCCGCCTCGTTATGCCCGCCCCATCATATGAGGATCGCCAGGAATGGCGGCGACAGCAATTAGAAGCAAATGATCAATTTGTGGTGGAAATTCCCAAGGTCGAACTTCATGTTCACATAGAAGGAACCATGACGCCGGAGCTGCGATGGCAGCTAAGTCTTCGAAACGGCATTCCCCTCGCAGTTGGACCGCAAAAGACTGTACTGGATTCATTGGAGAAGGTACGGCAGATCTACAAGCAGATCAGGGGTCGTATTGGTGCCGCATCTGCAGATCAAAAGCTGCATTTTACATTCTTTGAAGCATATTATGGAGGATTTGATCTCTTGCAAACCGAGCAGGATTATTATGAGCTCGCGATGAACTATTTTGAGCGTGCTGCTCAGATGAACGTTCGCTATTGTGAGCCATTCTTTGATATTCAGGGCCATAGCCGCCGAGGGATCCCAGTTACTGTAGTGATGAATGGGTTCAAAAAGGCGCAGATAGAGGCTGAGGAGAGATTAAATGTGAGCGCTCATACCGGGCTCCCATCTGACAAAGCCCAACACTGATTGAATCAAGGTGAAATCCCAATGGATCATGTGCATGCTGCGAGACATGTCTCCGGAATCAGCAATGGAAAATTACATTGCAGCCCTTCCATTCAGAGACATGATTGTGGGCATTGGACTGGATTCGGATGAAAAGGATCATCCACCGTCGCTGTTCAAGGAGCTATTCTTACGTGCCCGTGCGGATGGATTCAAATTGACCAGCCATTGCGATTTTCATCAGAAAGACACACATGATCATATCCGGCAAGTTGTCGAGGAAGTTGGCGGCAAAGGAGCAGATCGTATCGATCACGGCATGAATGCTACAGACCGCAGCGAGCTTATGGGTCTCATCAAAGAACGGGACATTGGCATGACTGTTTGCCCATGTGCTTATATTCGTCATCAACCAGTCGTGGAAGTATTTCCTCGCATTCGTAAACTTTTTGATGCCGGAATCAAAGTCACAATTGCCAGCGATGACCCGGCTTACATGGAGGATAACTGGGTCTTGCATAATCTTCTGATGGCTCGAGATAAATGCAGTTTCACAGACAAGGAGATTGTGCAACTGCAAAGAAACGCCGTCTCAATCTGCTGGGCCCCGGAAAACTCCAAACAAACACTCTTGCATGAACTTGACGCTTTTGCAAAATCATATTCCGTATAGACAAATTTTCTGCGTCCTTTTCCGTATAAAGTCTGACTTCTGATGGGTACGGCTGTCAAAACATTGCCGGAACCTCCCGAGCATCGTGATATCGCGGGTACCTGACACTTCAGCCTATCTCTCATGCCAACCCTGCGCTAGTAACCCGTCAAATTATGTTGACTTGTCCCCAACTTAGTTGACAGCGCCGGCCAAGGCGAGTTAAGCTATCCGACCCGCAAACTAACTGTGATATGGCATTCTTCAGTATATTTACTCCAACACCATTGGCCGATAAGCCTAATCCTTATCGCAGCGGTGCAATACGGCAGTTAAGGGTCGTATCGTGTTGTCGGATTTGGTGATAGGAAGATCTGGGAGGAAAATGGTATATGCTTGGACGAAAGGTTCTGGAGTAAACTTCTTGAACGTGAGATCCCTTTTGTCATTTCGAGGTTGTGTGTGTTGTGTGCAAATTATTCGAAATGGCGAACAAAGACCCTGCTCAGGTTGACGTGGGGGAGGAAAGACCAGAGGTGAATGAAGCAACGCAGGCGCTGGCCAAGAGAGTACTTCGGAAAATCGACCTGAGGATCCTGACTTTTATGTTTGTGACTTACAACTTCAATTTCATGGACAAGATCATTTTGTCATCTGCTGCGGTGTTTGGGCTCAGCAAAGATACTCACTTGCATGGAACGCAATATTCCTGGATCAGCTCAATCTTTTACTTTGGATACCTCGTTTTCGAATATCCAACAACTCTGCTTATTCAAAAGCTACCAATTGGAAAGTTCTTGTTTGCCGTGCTGGTCATCTGGGGCGCAATTGTGGCTTGCACAGCTGCTTGCTCGAACTTTGGCGGATTGGCAGCATGTCGATTTTTCCTAGGCGTTGCGGTAGGGTCTCTAGTCAACTTTTCTCTGGTTATTAGACCTGTCCTTTGTATATTCATTGACAATGGGTTATAGGAAGCAACAATCTCGCCTGCATTTGTGTATATCACCAGCATGTGGTATACGCGTGATGAGATCCCCACACGCACCGGTGTATGGTTTGCTGGAAACAGCTGCGGCGGCTTTATTGCGTCTCTGCTTGCTTATGCCATTGGACAAATCACGCACCCCCTTGCTCCATGGCAATGGATGTTTATCGTATGTCAAATCATCGCAACAACTTGAAGTGATTAACTCATGGACTCTGTCAAGATTTTCGGCGTTGCGACGAGTATTTGGGGCATCTTTGTGCTCTTTCTCCTCCCGGATACGATCAACGACGCCAAATTCCTGACAGAAGAGGAAAAGCAATACGCAGAAGACCGAGTTGTTGTCAGCGGCACAGGCCGGACAAACCAGAGCAATAGTGCGTGGAAAAAGGAACAGGTCCTGGAGTGTCTTCTCGACCCAAAGACTTGGTTCTTTGCCGCTATTTCTGTTCTTACTCAAGTGAGTATTACCCTCGATCTACCAGATTATAGGACTATATCAGGAAAAAGGACAGCCCTGATAATTTTTTTTTGCAGATCCCCAATGGCGGCACCGGCAGCTTTGGCAATCTCGCCCTCAAAGGCTTTGGATTTACCAGTCTTCAAACCACTCTCATGACTCTCCCTGCGTCCGTTATTTCCATGACGACAATTCTCGCGACGGGCTGGCTTGCGGGCCGATTCCGCAACGCCACAACCTTGCTAATCGTCGCCGTCGTCATCCCACCCGTCGTGGGTAGCGCTCTTATCTTCTCACTTACAAACAAGGGCGTTCGTCTATTTGCCTACTACTGCGTATGTCTCCTGTCCATTTCCCACGTCGCTTCTTAAACCCCCCATCCAGCGGCGTAAGTTCTTTCTGACAAGTTGTATACAGCTTCAAACGGGACCAGCGGCCATTCCACTAGCTCTCGGACTAGTATCTGCAAATTACAAAGGCGTAACCAAGAAAATGACCGTGACTGCCATTCTCTTTGTCACATATTGTGCAGGTAACATTGCCGGACCTCAAACATTTATCTCCAGCGAAGCCTCGAGGTGGGTGTTCCTTCTTTCTATCTTCTGATACTCTCCTCCAATTATTTCCCCAGTGTTGTCCTGTCTCCCCCCCAAAACCTATTTTCCTCAGTTTCATTTCCCCGTCTTCTTTTTCTACTTTCAAGCCTCGCACATTTCTTCGTGGAGAAGTGATACTAACATTTCTTCTCAACGTCCAGAGGCTACCCCACCGCCTTCAAAGCCATTCTCATCTGCTACGGTCTCGTCATCCTCATCGCCCTCGCCTTCCGGGCTTACTTGACCTTCGTCAACCTCCGTCGCGACAAGTCTGAGGGACTCAGCACGGCAGCAGCAGCGCCACCAGATGGATCTGGATCTGGCAAGCACCTGGGCCAAGATGACTACGAGGACGTGACGGATTTTAACACTCTCGGGTTCAGGTATCGTATGTAATTAATCTTTTTTTTTTTTCCATCTTATTTTATATCATTGTCTTCTCATCTCATTTTATGTTACCATTTCCTCCTTATCTTATTTCATATTATACTTTTCCCTTCCACGTCTTCCACGTCTTCCATATAAATTTCTCTTTTCCCCTTTTGTAGCTACCAGCCATTTCGATCATTTCGTCCCCATTTGTTTCGTCCTCCCCCTCCCCCTAAACGCCTTCTGGATGTCTGGACGGAAACTCGTCTGGTGTGGTATAAAACGAGACACTGTCTCTGTTCTCTGCCTTCTGTCCTACGTCTTCTGTCCTACGTCGGCACTAGATTTCTTGTCCCTTTTCAATACCATATATATATGCCATTCTGTTCATGTCATGTATCTTTTATTTTTGTGTCTGTTTTATACCATTCTGGATCTGCGTCTGTGTCTGTCTGTGGACTGTAGACTATCCAAGGTTATAGCGATATACACTGTGGACTGCTCAACACCATATTGCTATCATCTATAGCTATACCTATACACACACCTGTACACCAAAGGTGAGTTGAGTGAATCCTCTCCTTCCCCACCTCGAGGAGGGCTACCTTTCTTAATAAATGCGTTGTATCATTGTATGATGTGTTTTTCCCCGCTTGAAGTCCTGCATCTTGCGTCCTGTGTCCTGTGTCCTGCGTCCTGCCTCATGCTTCATGCTGAGACAGAAAGTAAATGAGAAAAATGAGAAAATTGAAAGAATCCCGGAGGGGCAGACAAAAAAGGGGGTGAAAAGGTGGAAAGGTGGAAGGTGGAGAGACATGTAATAAGACATACATCAAAACATAAAACATCCGTCTTATTACACAGTAAACACTACAACAAATTAAACGATACACAGAGACTCCTACGGTGATTACACAAAAGATAGGAGACAGGGTTCTAGACAGTGACGAGAACGGACGCAAGACGCAAGATATTTCCCCTTTCTATTTTTTTGGTATAATACAATACACTACTTGCAATTATTTGTGAGCCAAAAAAAAAATCGCCATGTATGCATCATCTTCATCATTGTGTGTGTTCGTTCTCTTCAAGGTGTGAGTGCGAGTGCATGATATGAGTTATATGCGTGGAAATAGGGAAGAGGAAACTGGGAATGACATTTTCGCTGAGCTAATGGAGATTCCGTTTTATCTCAATATAAGGAGAATTTTCTATTTTAGAACTCGTTCTCGTCGCTCCCGGCGATGATGACATTGTTGATCTGTTTTGTTTCGCAAGTTGTCATATCGTCAGCAATTAGACCTTACGACGGGAAGAGAAAAAGAAGTTTGGGGGAGGATGGGGGAGAGGATGAGTATTAGAGCGAAAAGGTGTTGTATGAAGAAAGCATGACAAAGAAGCAAGGGCGACTGAGGTCTATGTCTTCATGTTGTCACAGAGTGTAGTGCACACCACACCATCTAACGGAGAGGACATGCGACATGAAAGGGAAAAAGAGAGGTCAGGTGTGAGGGACAAGAGAACAGATAAAACGTACCTTGAGGACCATGCGACACAGCTGGGTCGCAAGCAGCAGCTGCTGACGCTTCCCAATCAGCGGGTCGATGACGAAATTCTCGCGCATATCTAAATCGTTTACTTCGTTAGCCGTCTATGCTCTAAAACTTGTGTCATGATCGCAAAGGTTTCTCGGCGACGCCGATACACGAACGCAGACGCAACCACAAACAAGGCGAAGGCAACGATGAAAAAGTGTTTTCTCTTGCGCCCAAAGATCAAATGGACAAATTCGCTCAAAAGAGGGAAAATAAAATCAAAGCGCAGAATTGGCTTGCGCCACGTGCGGCTTTCGCAATACAGTGGCTTGAACAACCGAAGAAAAAGAAAATCGAGAAATTGGTATCTCAATGTCACAGAATGAAAAGCGAACATGGATTTTTCGCGTGACATATTCGTGTGGACGAGATGAGGAGAATAACAAAAAAAAGACTCACCATTGCTGCCGCTCTGCATGCAGTCAACTCCCAAGCGCGAGTTCTTCTCCTTAACCTGTCTTGACTTGATGGCCGCCAAAGTCTCAATGGGGCTCAGGCCAGAGTTCTCGGCGAGGGCCATAGGGACACAGTCAAGCGCGTCCGCGAACGCACGCATAGCGTACTGCTCAAGGCCAGGGCTCTATTCACTTGTCAGTATCGTTGTATTACATGTCGATAACAAGGTGGTATATTGTAGAGCATTCGTACCTTGACAGCAGCCTCCTCAACGGCCAGCGAGCAGGCGATTTCGGCGGCACCACCACCATAGACAACACGGTTGTCCCGGACAAGGTTCCGGACGACGCAAAGAGCATCGTGGAGCGATCGCTTGGCCTCATCAATGATCTAAAAGCGAAACTAATTAGTGTGATGACCCTAACAAATAAATACAGCAACCAGCGATGGAATCGATCGCTGAGCGTTTACACGTTGGGGTTGAGCGGATTTGCGTAACAGTCACGTTCCTACCAACGTGGTAGTAGATGAAAGTGGGTCAAAAGACATACCATCTTGTTGCTTCCTCGGAGGAAGACTGTAACGGCTCTCGTGTTTGCGCAATCTTCGATGACGAGCATCTTTTCTCTCGTAGTACCAAAGCTCATTTCTCGCACGATGCCAGCCTTACCAAGCTTCTCAGGGCTCAAGTCCTCAAATCTCGGTACTATCCTGCCATTGGTAGCAATAGCAATAAGCTCAATCTCAGGACCTCCAACCCATCTCACAGCCGGGAGGTTGTTCTGAAGAAGAAGATGGTTGGCTTCGTCGTCGAAGCCCCATTGGCAGATGACCAGGTTGGCTCCGGTGTTCTTGATGTTGTCAATCATCTCGGCAAACTTCTCCTTCTCGTAGGCCTGCAGACGTTTGAATTCCTCCACGCTGGTGATGTCCAGCTTGTGCTTGGTCTTGGGCTTCGGCGGCTCGAACGCGCAAGTAAGAATGGCAAGTTTTGCGTCATGGACCTCATCAGGCATCTGAGGATGGGAAAAGTCCTTGTCGACAATGACACCCTTGACGAGGACGGAGTCCTCCAAAGCACCGCCAACCTTGCCATCAACCTTGATCAACTCAAAATCGACGTCCTTGCGTTCGAGATCGGCGACAGAGAGAACCGCATCGACGGCAATGTTTGCGAATTGATCGTGGGCCTTGGAGACGCTGTGAAGATAGTGTCAGCTTCGACTCTAGAAAGGGTTCAAGTGGGAAAAATGCCATGCTCACATCTTGCTTCCCAAACTCGTCCTGGCCACCTTGAAGAGGTTTTCCGTGTGGTCTCTTGTGAATTCCATCGTATCGCTAACCTTCTCAAGCTCCGCAACAGCAATCTCGCAAGCCTCGTCATAACCGTCTGCTATCCGAATGGGGTGGATTCCCTTGTCGATCAAGTCGGCGGCCTGCTCCAACAGAGCTCCAGCGAGGACGACGACACCTGTCGTTCCATCACCGATTTCGTCATCTTGAGATTTTGAAAGTTCGACAAGGAGCTTCGCGACGTGGTTTGTGATTTCCATCTGCAAATATGCAGTTAGAATTGTTAATCTTGAATGTGTTTTGACAAGGGATACTTGCTTGTGACAAAATTGTAGCGCCGTCGTTCGTCACCGTAATGTCTCCGTCAGGGGAGATAAGAATCTTGTCCAAACCCCGGGGACCCTACACCGAGTTGTGTAAGCAATCTGTATATGCCGGACGGAGTCTAAAAATTGCATCTCACGAGAGAGGTCTTGACGAGGTCCGCAACCGTTCTCGCCGCAAGGATATGTGACTTGACAGCGTCATTGCCGTGCTGTCTCTTCTTCGTTCCTTGACTAGAAAGAGAGTTCGCTGTCAGCATCTTGATCGTCTTATAACCAAACAGATATATATTCCTCCCGTAACAAGTTCCGCGTTCCATCGATCAAAGGTTTCCAAGACATACTCTCTAACAACGATGAATGGCCGGCCGGTCTCATCCCGCATGACCGCCGCTGCAAAATTTGTACGTTAGAAACCATCTTTGACGCATTCATATTATGGAAACAGTACCCTGTGACATGTCCAATTCTATAGAAATATCGATAATCAGTCCAATGTTCTTTGAAATGTGCACGTAGGTAACCCAGCGGTGGGCAATTCGTCCTGTACTCACGCATAGCCATGGTGGATCAGATTTCGCTTCTGAGGAAGCGTCTCTGCGTCCGGTCACGTCTGAAAAATGGTATCGATCAAGAGTGAAGCAAAATCAACTCCTGAACCTCAGATGAGTGAAAAGGCAAGGTTGTCCGATGCTCGTGATGTACCGCCTATAGCCTTCAAGTTGAGGCTCAAGGTTAGAAATAATTTGGGGTACGTGATCTAGCCGAGCTTGAGCCCCAATTAGGAAATAGTGCTGCTAAAGGATCGCGACAAGTCGCGACTTTAACTTTAGGCGGCTTGACGATTAACCACAAACGAAAGATTCACTTGGAGCTCTATCAACATTAATGTCAACATTAATGTACAGCCACGAATGACCTGCCGAACCGCGCCATTTCTCTCTTCTCCTTCAGATCTCTCCAATCAATCATTCCTTTCATAACGGCACCCACATCTCTGCGACCAATCATCTGCTCAAGATGCGTTAGTAATCCTTCGCTGATCTCATTGTTTAGCTCCAGCTTGTTTCGCATGGGTTCGTTGACTGATTTCTCTCAATATCCACAGCTCCGATTGATTTCGAGGAAGAAAACGCAGAAATCTCTGAAGCCGAAGACGTGATTCCTTACAAAGCGCAGGCAGAGGAGAATGGAGACGAAGCCAACGGCACCGACGACGAAAGCGAGCAGGGTTCAGAGATCGAGTATGCAGAGTAAGGGATGCTGATTGTCTTGTGCCCTTGTCTGATTATCGCCATAGATACGTTGTCGAGGAAATTCTAGATCATAAAATCCGTGGGGTACGTCTGCTTTCACCTCCTATGAGCGGATTCCAACCAGCATCTGACCTTGCTACAGGGCGGCATTGAGTTTCTGGTGAAGTGGCAGGGCTATGAAAACGAAGAGGACCAGACTTGGGAACCCGAGGCCAATCTGTAAGACTACTGTGCTGCAAAACGCAATTCTACAGTGGTAGCAATTGCTGATTCATAAACAGTGACGGCGCCAAAGAGGTTTTGAACCAATACTTTGCTAAAATCGGTGGGCGACCTGGCAAAAAGACCCCAGTGAAACGGGGACGACTTTCTACCTCTGCCACGCCCTCTGCGTCGGGTTCAAGAAAACGCTCGCGAGTGGAGCAGGAGACCGAAACCGAGTCTCCCGCCGTGAGAAGCAGCCGGCGAACTGAGGAGGCGCGAAATGCAGAGGCACAAAACGAAGAGGAGGAGTGGCGACCGCCTAATGAAAAATGGGAAGACGACATTATGACGATAGATACCATGGAGCAGGATGAGACCGGTCTCTATGTCTATTTAAATTGGAACAACGGTCGCATGACGAAGCACCCCGTGCAGACCGTCTACGCTCGCTGCCCGATGAAGGTAAGCTGCCATTCCATGCGATGACAAGGCGCTGTCATGGTTTGGGGTCTTTGCGCTAACTGATTTGCAGATGCTTCACTACTATGAGCAGCATATGTAAGTCTAGGCTTTGTGTACAATTATGAGATGGAAACTGACAAGCAGTCTAGTTCCTTTACCGACGCGAGCAAGAGAAATGGTGCAAGTAGATAGTCGGAATTCATCCAAGCTTGCCTCTTTTCTGCTTGGCTCCTCTTCCTGTTCCTTTTGCCTCCTGCATGGGGCCATTTAATAGCGGGAGTTTTTTGCTGGGTATTGATTTGCTAGCGGTTGTATCATTTCAAATTTGGCCATTTTTCTAGCGTCAGTCTCGATCAGTACCAATGTTGGTTATTGATGAAGTGTGATCAGTGGAGCCGTCAATGGGCCTTTTTATGAGAAGCTTCAGACCAACTTTTCCTACATCTTGCAGCTATGTGCTCGATTTGCTGATAGCAGCAAGGAAACAAAAGCGTATTTTTGTCACCGTTGTGATCTATCCACACCGACGAAATAATTAAACGTTTCATAATAATTAAATACAGACTTCATAATCAGTACGCCGAAGAGAATCTGATGATAGGTGGTTGTGTTTCATCGTATCATGAACGCAAATAATTGCACATAGTAGAGCCATTTGATCATCCGCGCAGTATACGCAATATCAAAGCAATTAACTGTCAATTCAGCAAATGAAGTCAATCTTCAACTACTCACAACATTTCAAAGATGCTAAAAGAGAAGGTAAGGAAGAATAGGAACCAAAAAAAGAAAAACATACAACAGCGGGGATTCGCTGGTCGTCACCGACCCAACTACTAGTCCGCCGATCTGAGGCTTATGTATGGCAGAGCGGACGGGATGCCCAGTTCTCCTCAGTCTATGGTCGTATGTACTAGATAGCTGTTTATGGGGTTATATATACGCTAAGTTTGGTCACTATAATAATGCATGTAATGGTATAAGATACTTTGCTCATAGAAAAACCCATCTAGAAGACATGATACTTGACACAAAATGGTCATACTATCCATAGTAAAGCAGAAACAGTTTTTGTAGAGTGCGCGGTATCAGCCCAATAATAGTGGCTAACCAGGGTTGTTAAGGCAAAAACAAGGCTAAACCCAATTGATCCCCCGACCTCCTTCTGTCACCGCCTTAGCCGACACGAGACTCCCAATGTAACTGGGCAGTTCAGTCGTCAGCTCAAAATGGTGTGGCTGGTGCTGTGACGACTTGTAAACACGCCAGACCCTCCCAACGGACAACGCACCTCATTCGCTCTCTGAGCAACCATGTCATGGCACCAGGATCTCCATCTTGATCCGCTCATCTCGCCCAGCCATCTACAATTCTATAGCATACAGTACTCTAGCGTAATGATAAAGTCCTGCTTCTCATATATTAACGTTGCGCTCCCATTGTCTGTTTCGTGATATGATTATTATCTTGTGTCCACTCTTACCACGTTCCTCCGCTGCTTCGAACATTACCAATTGCTGATTCTTCTTGGGCCGGCTCGTACCACTGTCATCATTGAGCTATTGTGCATATCACTGCGGTCGCTTTTTGAGGCTTATTCGTCTTATTATCGCTTTATCGCACTATTTGCGGAGGGGATTTTCGAGAGCTTTTCACGTCGTTTCGCAGTCACCACAACCCAAATTCTTTTCGTTGGAAACTAGAATTGTGACTATTTGTTACTCTCTCTGAACCTTGAATTCATCCTTGTTTCTTGCTCGAAATACGTCCGCTGTCCCGGAAAGTTCTGCGGCTTTTGAGATTGCGTTGACGCTCTCATTCGACTTGGTTCTCTCCCGGTCTCTCAGGGTTACCAGCCACCTCGTTGCAAAATCTCAGTCACCAAATCAACAATCAAACAATCTGCAATTCTGAGTGCAAATCTCCGACCAATTTCCACAGCCACGAGATCGGAATCCCAGGAGATCTACCTTCTTACCAAAGAGAACGGCCAACTTGATATCTTGCTTTTCAACCCCTTGCGCCTCCGCTTCAAGTGAGCGCAAGCCGAGAAATCACAACTTCAAAGGCCACTACGAGAGCTATTCAAGCTCGCGATCTTCAGCAATATGCAGCGAAACATTGTCATCGCGATAATCATTATCATCCTATTCATCTTCCTCGCCTTGGCAGGATACTTTATCTTCCGGGCCAAAAACATGATTGCCGGCGGTGGCGGCCGCGACCCGGACGAGGAGATGGTGGCTGCATAAACAGCAATTATCTAGTCTTTGCTGGGCCAAATCATCATATCGCCTCTCCTATCCTCACCTTTAGGCTGAACATATCCACATCTACGGAACGGCGGATTCGCAAGGTTCTCATCTGCCGTCACCGGCATGAAGACAGCTGCGCTATACCTGCTGACCCATCACGGCTTCTCTATCCTCAAACCCTCAAACGTTATTGGATGATTGTGGCTAGCAACACGCTATGCTGAAACATCCTTTTCCGCCGAAACAGCTCCCTCTTTCTCTGCACATTGGACTCGATCGAATATACGCTCCACGGAACACTCGCAGATCTTCGCACATAGCAGTTTTCATCGCCTTTTCTTTTACACCTCGCTCATACATGAAATTTCGAGAATTTCGACACTACGCCACTGATATACCGGCATCAACACGAGCGCTTGTTTATTACACTTCTCCCTTACAAAAGCATTCAAAGTCCCTGCCTTTCACGGCTTGTACAAACGATACGCATTTCCATTGTTGTTATTACTCACGCTTCACGTTTTCATGTACAGCATCACGAGCTCTATGCATTATCTTTCTTCCTCGTTTCTGATCAATATACCCCAAGACCACTCTTGTTTCTTTTCTGTCTTGTTCTGTCGTGTTATTTCTATGCCTTTTATCACAGCATCGCCATGCCGACAGCCGTTTTCAAGATGCTCGCTCAATTAGCTCATCATCATGTATCACAGACTATCAAATATTCAATTGCTTGTCTTTTGCCCAAGCATTTTACCACATTCATACAATCATACTGTTCATTTTCTAAACAACCATCTCTGTGGATTGTGCTCCCCTAGCTCTATGAAATGGAACGAATGATTTTTGTTTCCAACAGATGCCCACGTGCAGAATATAGAATCATGTATATGTCCATTGCAGACTACGCAGACGCACCCACGCTGCTCAGTGTTATACATCTTTCGCTCCTAGAATGTATGTGCGATAGCTACGCTCAGCATTGCTAGAGCCGAGAAAGAAGAAGAATACCCCAGGGCCTTGAACCCTGAACCCTGAACCCTGGATCCTAGTGATTTTTGAAATGTAGAAATGTAGTCCACATATGTGGCACGGATGTCGCGAACCCCCATAGGGGCGCTGGCCGGTTTTGTCGCGCGTCAACAGGGCGGCGGGAGGAGGAGTAGCAGCAGCAGCATTGCCTCTCACAAGTCAATAGCAACTCACAGCGTACTGGACGTTGGCAGGATTGAGAAATCAAATGGGTTCATGTTTAGGGAAAGTTGGTTGGCTCTCGACGTCTCTTCCAGCCCGCTCAGCCGCTCAGCAGCCGCTCAGCAGCCGCGCAGTGTGCCTTGTGCCAGCTGTTGCTGCCTGGTCCGCCTGGGTATACGATGAATTTGCAAGGGTCTTGGGGGAGGGGGAGGGGAGGGGAAGAAGGATCCCCCCTGTATTTTCACCGGCATTCACCAGCAATGAGGCGCGTATGGTTTCAAGATGTAAAGCGCTTACGATTCAATATAGAAATGGACGAGAACAGAGAGTATATATATTCACTCCAAAGCTTCATCAGATGCAGTTGAATAGAAAAACCAAATATTTTCATGCTCTCGTTCCATCACTTTTAATCTCCAGCATCATTTGAAAGCTGCACATAGAAAGTCCTCATTCTCCACCATATATCGAAACAATGTCGTCCAGTTCAGACAGAAGATCCTCTGCAAAGATGAGTCTTAGACAGGAAGCGGCTTTGATCAAGAAGCAGCAAGAAGATGCTTTAGCCAGACTTCCACTGAACAGCCTTTATATTGTCCTCTGGATCCGATCACATCCTCCTCATGAAAACGACTTTCACTGGGGCTATTACTTCCATTCGACTCCACAGAGCGGAATCAAATATCATATCAAGCAACTCGGCAGTGGCTGGATAACCGACCATGGCCGCACTGGTGGGGTCTTCAAGTCGAATTTCCTGTGCGTCCTCATTCAAATCGCAACCGTTGCAGAGGGGGCCGGCGGCCAGCTTGATCAAATTATGAGATCTCATGACGGGAACGTCAACAGCATACCTGGAGTAACTTGCCGTGTATGGATACTGAAGATCCTGGAAAAGCTCATGCAATCCGTAATCGTTCGGTGCAGCAACGCTGATGCATTGTTGCAGGAGTGCATGGCGATTGGCAATCAGCATGGTCCGGAGGCTGCCGAAAATCACCAGCCACGACCGGTCGTGAAATCCAATCTCTGCTTTTGAGAGCAAGGTAGCCACGGTGCTTGATTCGACTCCCGAGGTTGTATGTTCGGATCCTCGTTCTTGACTTCTTTTTCTCCATGGGGGGTTTTGTTGAGGTCGGATTTTGTTTTGGGCACCGAGCTGTAGTCGGCACTGCTTGCCTCTGGCTCGTATGGCATGATTGCGCGGAGCGAAGAAGTTGCACTTTCCTAGATATCTTGAAATGGAGAATGTTTTCTTAGCAATATAAACTCTTTGGCGAAAGAGAAGAACTGCCGCAAACGATGAGGATCAGAATGAAATGTGCTTGAAGTTGGCCAAGTGTGAAATTGACGAAAAAATATGGTAGAAAAGACTCAGATCCCGCTGAGACTGATCTACTCTTCAGAAAGCTATATAAGAGTCAACGGTCAATCGGTTCAGCGCAATGTCACATGCCAATTCCTTGTTGTATTGATCTCCTCCCATCCATGAAGCCAACTGATACCACCAGCTGTTCCGGCCAAATCTCATTGCAGTTGTAAAGTCCCAGTACTCGGGGTACCAACCACCAGACTCCCAGTCGAGAAAACCGCTCAAATGGCCATCATCTCCGGCTAGGATATTATGCGCCTTGAGATCACCATGCGTAAAAGTAATTCGATGGGGTAACTTGCGGATTTCGTTTGCATGCTCCAGTGTTTTCTCATATTCCTCAGTCGACTTGAATCCGTTTCTAGAAGCGGGACTTAAAAGAAAATCGTGAAACTCTTCTTCATTTGCAAACGGGCCCATGATGTGGTTAGGCACCCGAGAACTTCGTAAAGCGGTGCCAATGACCGAGCTTATACGTGAAGGATCAGGTGGGCACCACAAACGCATAGCTTCAACGCATTGCTTCAGTTCAAAAAGCCATGGTTCTTCGGAGTCCACATCCAAAGAGCTATACGAGTTCTCAAGCGAAATACCAGGCAACCTGGTCATCAAAATTGAAACGAAACGATTGTATGGATCGTTTGGGTGTTCTCCACAGGCCAACACTTTGGGAACAGGCATCCCAGCCGCTCGAGCCATTTGCATGGCAGCGCACTCCTCGATGCTTGTGCGGTCTGTCCACTTCATGACCAGACCAAAGGGTAATTGCACAATATGCGGATCAAAATACACGTCGAACCAGGAACAGTACCATTCTGAGAAACGATAGAGCAGTTTGTGGAATAGGCCCCAGAGCCTTCGTCTAGTTCTCCCGGGGATAGATGGTACTGGGGGAGTTGATTTGCGTATTGTTGACTGCATCGGGCAGGGCCAGGTGAAGTCTGGTCGCAAGAGAGAGGGGGTCCATAATCTGTGCATTTGATGAGTGCGCTTCTAGTCTAGTCTAGTAAAAGCAGAAGTCTAGGGCATATAGATCTAGAATGAGACTTGTGTTATTGTCATCGAGAGAGAGGAAGAATAATATGGAGTTTACTGAAAGACAAGGCTACGGTCGACGCGTCTCTTTTATATAGCGAGTTGCATTCGCCCTCACGTGACACATGCGGCATGGGTGGGTTGTGTAACATATAATATAAATATAGACAAGTTGGGCTGCATGACTTAATGCTCAAATATACTATATCCTTATTCCCAATCCCGATTCCCAGTTCCAGTTCCAGTTCCAGTTCCGAAATTCAGCACTTTATAACGCCGAGTCCCGATGTGTGCCCAAAAAAGAGAATTTTAAAAATTTGCCAAGCCGAACGGGGAAATGCCATCATCATATATCCCTGCATGTATGCCTAGGTCCCAGGTCCCAGGCCCGTGTCCATCCCATGTTAAGGTTATCATTTTGTCTTATTCGGTTTTGAAGCGTAATAGTAATAGCGGTCATATGCACGGCAGGAACTATAACCGTATGTCGTTAGCCAATAGAAAAGAAAAAGAATAATAACAATAAAAAGGAACTACTCACGTTCATGACAATCAGCATCGGAATATCAAAAACATCCCGCTTGACGGTCCAGCAATACGTGCATTCGACTTTCCCATCTCTGCTTCCGAGCTGATTCATGTCCGCTTCGGTCGAAATGTCCGACTTGAACCCGGGTGCATGCTTAAGGGATCCTCGTTTTCTCTGATGATGCTGATGATGCTGTATTCGTTTGCCGTCTTCTCCAGGCGCTTCACTTCCTGCCGTTTCACCACTACCACCACCGCCACCTCCGGCACTACCATCGAACCCGTCCTTGCCCGCCGCACCGCCACCGCCACCACCAGTCATGTCCTCTCTCGTCTTATATTTTAGCAATTTACATCTCGTCATGACGCTTCCTCTTGAATCGCCAAAGGCAATTCTCGCAAAATCCTCGTAAAACTGAATCACGCTATCGTCATCCAGTAACTCTGCGAGAAAGACGGGTTGGCCTGGGGATTTAGGTCTGCCGTCTGGCTGCACTTGCCCTTGCGCTTGCGCTTGCCCTGAAGTTGACCCTTCTTGGCGCTGCGCTGCAGTTGCTGCGCCGCCGCCGCCGCCGCCGCCGCCACTACGCGACACGGCAAGCGGGCTATTCGCGTCCCCGGACCCAGTATTGACGTTCAAGTTTGGTTCTTGGCCGAGCAAGACGTCCTTTTTCCAGCCGGTCAAGATGCTGAATTCCTTGCCGACGGCAGCGACTTCGCCTGTTCGCCGACAGACGATGGTGGGGGTGCCGCAGGCGTTGATAAAGTCTTCGTACTGGAAGAGAGTGCGCTGGAAACACTTTTCCATGAAAATGAAGTCTTCTCGGTTGAGGGTCTTGGAGCAGGAGATGAATGAGGGTCGGATGGACGCGAGAGCTTTGGCGATGCGTAGTGTCTTTTGCGGAGGAAATCGTTTCTGGAGAAAGGCGGTGAGACCGTGGAAGCCGTTGGTGTAGGAATATGGTTGTTTGACAGAGTCGTAGATGGCGGAGGGATCGCGGCGGCGTTTTCCGAGTACGTGTTGCATTTGGTATCCCGGGACTTTGGTATTGTGATGATGTTGATGTGGATGTGGATGTGATAATTGCTGAACTGGATGTGGTTTTAATGGTTGTGGCTGCTGCTGCTGCTGCTGCTGTTGTTGTTCTTGCTGTTGTTGTTGCTGATGCTGCTGCTCTCCTTGCTGGACAGCGCGGTTGTAGACAGAGACCTGGGAAGGAGGAGGTGGTGGTGGAGGTGGTAGCGGCGCTGGTGGTTGACCTCCAGTGTTGGCAAAGTACGCAGGACTCATCGACGGCCGCTCGTAGCCTGTATATGCTGCTTGAGGACTTTCTGCTGGACTCGCACTGGCCAAGCTACTGGGTCCTGCGCCAATGGCATATGCAAGAGGGCCTGTAGGTCGATGTGACGTTTCTAGATTTCCGTGACCATTTCCATATGGGCCACCCCCGCTTCCTTGCCTCGACACATTCCCTCCTACTCCGTTCCACTCGCCCGTTGACGGATCCTGTCCGAAGATGAATGGCGTCGCGGTGCTAGGGCTACCCCCATAGCCCGAAGAAGGCGTTGCAAAGTCCGGCCCGCTGACTGGATTTGCTCCCATAGGACCATTGCCTGTATTATCAGCAGGTGGTGTCTCCGCCGCGCCCGAAGACATGTGTCCTAGCATGCCAAACTCCAAAGCACCATAATGGTTTCCAAAATTGAGACTGGCCAGATCGAAGTTGAACAAGGCCGGATCGCTGGGATCAAACAATGGACCACCGCCACCGAACGCGGTTCCATTCTGTGGCTGATTGCCAATTGACGTTGGAGGCATCGCGCCGGGCATATTCTGCATCGGCGTGGGCTGCTGGCTGTTAGGGTTGGGAAATCCAGAACCAAGTGGAGATTGCTGGTTGGGATAGGACGTCGGTCGCTGAATCAGGTTGTCCTGCATCGGTGGCTGCATAGTTCCTTGAGGTGGAGCAGCATTTTGGGAGTAGATTGAATAGGCCGGGCTTGCTGCCGCTGCCTGAGGTTGAGGATAGAACCCGCCTGGCGGACCCATTTGAGTAGAAACATCCGGTCCCGACGGGTTAGTAGGTGTGAGCGATCCTCTATTGGCCATGGCTGCGCTCATCTGGTTATACTGACTCGCCAGTCCAGGCATCAGCGCCTCTGGAGGAGCATCATGGAGATATTTTGCCTTTTTCCGCACTCCATCATGGCATGCGTCTTGTAGGCCTCGTTTGATACACCTTTGGCAAGGCCGTTCATCACCTGGTGGATCATTAGCTTTGCCTCATTCACATTAGCGATTAATATTGACGAATGCTATCATTTCAATGAATCGACAATATTTTCATCAGATACTCAGTATATTAAGACGTACCGCAAGTCAGATGAGCTCTCTGGCAGGCAAAACATGCTCTTCGTGCCTTTTTCCGTCGCGGTCGTAGAGGATCTTTGGCATTTGACGATGGATTCGGTCGCTGGCCGGTGCCGCTACCTGCCACGCTCCCGGTGTCGCCGCTATCACTACGATTCGCCTTATGTTCCGCCATGTCGGTTGCTTCGTGCTGATCGCCGCTGATGTCGGGCGAGGGCGAGGCGGAGCCGTCTTCGAAGTTCGAAGCCATGTTATCTATATCTTGTGATAGCGCCATTGGCTCCCTCTAAGCATTCACACAGAATCCACCCACACCCCACACAATGTGTGTGGCCGGCACGAGTATATTGGTATTGTCCCCTACCCACCCTTTCGGCCGGCCGTCTTTCTTGTCTCTCGGTACGCAACGTGGTGCTGCCGGTGCTGGCACTCGCTGCCGAGGAATCCCACGTTTTTTCCCTTCTTTGCCCTCTACCTCTTTCCTTCCCTGTTGCTGCCGGCTGCAAGATTCTTTGGGACCGGACCACGCAACCCACCAAACCCCGAGGAAAGAAGACCCAACGGAATGGTTCGGGCAGTCCTTTGTTGATCGACAGCCGCAGACGCCACTTTCCTCCCCAAGAATAATTCAACAAGCTCCCCCAGTTGCCCTGCGGTGTCGGTGGCCGAAGAGCCGGTCGGGGGGTGTTTTTAATGCGCAGGGTGCCCGCAAGCAAATCACGCGGCAGGAGTGGCACGTCAAGGGTGATGCGGTGCAACCAGGTGGGTTACACGGTTCCTCTGTGCTGGGAACTCGCTCTTCTCTTTTCAAATGCTCAAATAATCAAAACTGCGGTCTGAGGGGGGAAGGCGGATCGATCAATTCGACGCCACCCACGCTTGAACAATGTCTGCTGGTGTAGTGCGCCGTCCTACGTTGTTCTGCCCTTTCTTTTCTTTGGTTCGCAAATACAATGTACTGTATTGTACACCCTGAATATGTGTGCCGTCTCGCGCGCGCACACACACAGACACACACAGACACACACTCAACCAAGCAAGTCCTTTGCCTCTCCGCGCAAATTGTGTCCGGACAGTGGGGGCGCGATGCAGGGAGGCTGCCGTTGTGTAAATAGCTCTTATTTTGATCAAAATTTTCAACCAACGAATCGATCGCGTTTGGTTCCTGAGGAGATTGCTGCAGGTATCGGTGGGCGGGGTTCACTCCTTTTGTTGCTAGAATGGGGAGTTACCAAGACGTGTCGAGATCACGTACGACGTTCGCGAACGCTCATGGCGCTGTCACGGAGGTTGAGTGCATTGCGACGTGTATGATTTTATAGAGCTGAAATGTTTGAATTGTGACTAGGCAATTGATCATAAATTTGCAAGCAATGCGATGTTCTCTGGCTGTTGCGCTTCTCAAGTGGCGGGCTGGTCGTGTGAAGCTGTCGTGCCCAGGCTGCGGTAATTCTTCGGCGGATTCCTACCGCTAGATCGCGTGGTATGGGGCTCGATGGCTATGCGATTTAGGATGTCGTATCAATCGTCAATGGCAGAAGCCTCCAAAATAAAAGCAGAAAATGATGCCGACGAGGATGAACGCACTTCTTCTGCTGTCGCTCTCCACCTCTGAGCCCCTCCAGCTGCAAAATCTCCCAATTTGCCTGACCCAGGCAGCGCAAGCTCTCTTTTGGGTTTAGCGCCGCTTGCAGCTCCAGAGTGAGTGGGGGTGAGCCTCCCAACAAGGTAGCTGCTACTTCGATCTTGTCTTCAATCATGTATGAACATTCATGCAATCATCGACCCTGGTCAGGTACTGTATACGCAGTAAACTCTGAATTCCTCCAATTGACAACATCAGGTACCTGAACTACCGCCCAGGGCAGCACGGTGATCGAGTCACAAAGCCTCCAAAAATAATAATCCCTACTCATCAATAATAATATCATCATCATCATCATCATCACTGTTATCATTGTCATCATCATTCATGTACGTCTAAATTTAGCCACCTGCGGCCTCTTCACCCCCCTCGGCCTTGCCGTTGTCCGGTCACGATGCCATTGTATATGCTTGTATTAGATAAGATACATCTACATGAAACGCCCTTTGACGCCTCATTATGCACGGAGAGTTTCTCTTGCCTTGTAAGTTTGTCTGTTAACCAGTAGCTTGTATAATGCATCTCTGTCATTATTCATCTCTGAAGCATCAGCTGGCTCATAGTCCAGGAAGAGGAGACGAGACAAGAGCCTAAGAGGGGGAGATGAGATCTCAGGAGGGCAAAGTAACATGACCAAACAGAATTCAAAAGTGTAGGAGTAGTGCAGCCCACATAACAATACGCACATGAACAGTGTTCATTGGTGGGAAGCAATTGGCGGTGGGCAAAATCTGCCAGACTGCAGGGGTCAGGAATGTAGTGACTAGGGAGGCGTCTTCGCATGGGGGGTATCAGTAATCTACATACCTACCTACCTTACCTACCTTTGATATCCCAGTACAGATGCATGTCTCAGCGACTCAGTAATATGCTACATATGCAACATACCGCCAGTTCAGCGACGCTTTCATGTCAAAGAGTCATATCAGACGAATGAAGAAGTAGGGCAAAAAAACAAAAGCAAAAACACACTTGAGACATTGCAACACCATCAGGCACGAGGCACAAGACACAAGACACATGGTTCAGCGCACATGTTTCTCGCGTGGATCAGAGACATGACGACCACGATGGCCCGCCGCATTGTCTACATCATCGACATCATCGACATTACCATGACGAAGGCGTCGGTTGTACTTCAACAGTAAATATATCAAATACGTCAAAAGCAATAAGCTATGTAAGTATCAGGATGAGTCTCGTATTCCATTGTATCAGTCCTAGTTGGAATTGAGTATGCACATGGTGTTGTCTGTATACCACAGGTTTGGGGGCTATCCAATCTGTCGGGGCCGCCTCGGCCACACTCCCAATACCTATCATGCGTCAGCGATGGAATACACTCCATCGCCGCAATAACCATACCTCATTACCTCAAATACTGCTCGCCTCTTAGTACAAGTGGTCGTAGTCTCACAATTGCCCAACGCCCTCAAGGTGTTCAGGTGTTCAAAAGCAGTGTACTCTGCTCACATGTGAACCCTCAATCGCCTGTCCAGAGAAAATGCCCCACCCGAGTAATATCCCTGAAACTTTCTCTCCGGGGGATACTTGAACCGGTAGGTGGTTGTGGCAGAGCACTAGAACCGTTTGTCCGTATCTGCTCATTCCTGCCCCAAGATGTAGCCGAGGAAAAGAAAGGTGTCGGTTAGGCAACACGACGAGAGGCCCTGGTCGAGCTCAAGATCGAAAAAGATATAGGAGAGAACGTCGACGACCGATCAGACTGGCTCCGAGTAGAAGCATCCGTAGTTGAGAATGACGACGACCATGCCCATGTCACAGCTAACTGGGTATGTCATTGACACTGGCTTTCATCAGGCGGAGAGGAAAAGTAAAAGAAGAAGAAGCCTCATTCAGCATCGTTGGGGGGAAAGGTGGCTTGCAGGCCTGAAACATAGTATTCAATGCCAGACGTTTAATGCGACATTGAAGTGCAGGCGATACCAATGATGACAGCGACGACGATGATGATGGTGGTTTAGGCACAAACCCTTAGCCAGAATTCATCACCATCATCCATTTAATCGGACCGTATCTATAAGGGAGCGACGATATGGCAGAGCGCAGTACGGCGGTGTGGTGAGGCGAGATCTACAATGTCTCTCGATCGCATGCCGCTGCAATTGCAGTAGTAGTCATCTATGCGTTGCGGCCCGCAGCAAATCGACTCTTGCCTCGAATGCGCTTACCATATCGAAAGAAGAGATACCTAAGTGTAGGTGACACAGCATTAGCGCATACAATCCTTGCCGTTGGGACGGTTGAAACACCCACGGGAATGGCGCCATGGCCACGGAGAGGAAAGCAAGTAGAGAGGTCGCCCACTGATAGCCAAGTCGTTCGTACACTGCATGGAATTGAACCCTGTGGTTAGCCACTCATTTTTCAACGCTAGAGGCACGTGCCGACAAAATGTGACGGGGGGACAAGGTCGATCCTGGGGACTCACTTTGCACGCCAAACAGCGGGAAGGCGGCCGCAAAGCTGCTTCGCGCAAAGCTATTGGCTGCCAAGGCACTGGCGGCGTACAGCGGATCTGGCGGGAACGTCAGCACCGGTTCGAGAGCCGTAATAATGGTATAAGACCCCGTCAAAAATCAAATGTCTCCAAGCATGGAGGTTGCGGGTTGCCGAGACTTACAAGCATCTACTAGAAATGTAAACACCCCTGAAAAGCATAAGACCATCCTAAAAGATTTCAAAATTGTCCAAGCGTCAGCCGTTCTGTGTACCTAGTCATTTGCGTAAAGGACTCCTTGAGCACTAAATAAGGGAAAATGATCGCAAGCTTTGCACATACCCCATTCCAAAGATGCCAGAGCCGATGATTGGCAAGATCCAATGAACGTGTGAGAACGATGTCCATCCAAACCAAAAGAGTCCGATAGGCACCAATATGGCGCCGACTATAGCAGGAGGAAGGCGAAACTCTGGCTCGGAGCCCCCGGGCTCCCCACCTTGTTCTTCACGCTCGCGGACAAGACGCTGGTAGTTTCGACGGAAGAGAGGATCACACGAGATTCCCGCGACCATGCCCACAAAGAGGCCCAAGAACGTGAGTCCAACCTGCCACAGCTTAAAGCCGTGGTTATTGACAAAGACTAGTGGGAATGCTCCAAAGAAGAGGTACAAGATTCCTAACAAAATGGCAGAGAGGAGACAGAGATTGAGACACATGGGTTCAAAAAAAAGAAGTTCAAATGGTCTCAGGACAGACCACGTAAGCGTCCTTGTGATTGACTTCTTGGTCCGCTCCATTGGGGCGATCCATTGCTCATTGCCCGTCTCTTTTCGCAATCGACGAGCCTTCTCTCGTAGCAGTACCGGATGGTATGTCTCCGGCACCATCAAGATGATGAGGCCGAGCATGACACCAGACCAGATGAGCGTGACCCAGAATGACCAACGCCTAAAACCCCTATCAGTTCTTTTCTTCTCATGAAAATAGGTACGGTCCAAATATGAGGTGGTGCGGTGTAACGTTACCATGTAGTGAACTGGTTTATGAAGCCGCCAATTAGCGGGCCACCTACGGGACCTAAGAATGGACTCGCAGTGAAAATCATCATAGGCGCACCCAGTTTGTCCCTGGTGAACATGTCTCCTACTGTACCTCCCACCACAGAGAGGAATGCACTGCCGGCGAATCCATTGAAGAATCTCGCAATAATCATCGTTTGGATGTTTTTGGCTACCGCACAGGGAATCAACCAAATGAAAAACAATGTAAAAGACACCCAATAGATTGGTCGTCGGCCATAAAACTGATGTTTGGAAATGGTCAGTATCAAATCATCATTTAATATCAAACAAACAGACTTGTTTTTTTAACAATCACAGGAATGGAAGCATACTTCTGACAGGGGGCCAAGCCACATTGGGCCTAAGCCGAGGCCGACAACAAACATTGAGAGACCCAGCGTGGCGACTTCGCGAGAAACGTGGAACTCCTTGGTTATTTGGTCATATGTGGTGCTATAAATGGAAGAGACGCATGTCCTGCTTGAAAGGTCAGCCGCCGTTGTTGAAACAGCGTACCAGTTCCTCGAGGGTTTACTGACACGCAGAAAGAAGCAAGAGAGCAGATTATCGTGATGATCCATTTTCGGCCGGTTTGGAAGGATCGCGGGTTCAAAGGATCCTGATCGCCGTCCCACTGGACTTCGAATTCTTTTTCTGCAGCTTCCGGAGATTCTGGTTCTGCATTTGGATCCTCAACATCTGCTGGCGTACTGCAGCCATAGTAATCACTCCCGTACGATCTGGCGTGCGTAAGGGATTGCCGACTCCGTCGTGGACCTAGCTCTGAGCCACCATCTTCTCCAACCGGTTCATGGACGTCGTCCGCCTTTTCTGCATGATCACTCGATGCTCGAGACCTCTCGGACCAGTCCGCAGACATATCCTTTTCTCTTTCATACATTGTGTCATGCGCGGATCGACGAGGGCCAGGGGTTTCCTTGACAATGGGAGCGTAAGGCATGGTTGGTGGGTTGAGGTGACAGGACTGTATTTGAACCAGCTAATCAAAGGCTGTATAGACGATCGTTATCTAATTATGGGGATTGCTCCGCCGGGTCAAAGCTCGCAAAGGCGGGGTTTTCTGATTCAATCGAGCAATGTTGCCGTCACAGAATAAATTCCGTATCCTCGGCTGGTATCCTTCTTGGTCACGTTCAATGCCAGGCCCGACACCCCTGTTCCATGCGGACTCAGAGTGTACCAATGCAAAACGAATGGACAAGAGGGATGAAGGGGTCTATATAAAAATCTTGCCGGCGGATCGGGTTGGTCGGATATTAAAATCAATTGAATTGACAAGATGGGCGAGGGGTGCGGATATATAACATCTTCTCCGAAGCTAAGACCACAGTTCTCCACAAGGGCCGTTTTCTCGAGACGATCTTCGTTACCAAGCAAAAATTGTCATTTTAAGATCGTTGGGCGAATGATGAGAAATAAACCAATAAGATAGAGTCAGATCGGATCAATGTGATCCAACAGGGGGCGTAAAAGCAAGAGCTTGCCGGAGGGCGAGAGAAAGCCTTCATCTCCACGGGGGCCGCGAAACATTCGTTTCTTCCCGCCATTTCTGGTAGATGGTGTTCCGCCGACTAAAAATTTAGAGAAGCGCGTCACGCCAATGTTATCACCGAATCTAGTGTCAGTCAGGGATGAGGTTAGCAACAAGGTGGGTTTGGGGCGCCCGTCTCTCTCTCCGGGGGACCAGCAGTTTAGCGGGAACTGAACTCATCACCGGGGTGTTTACAAATCGTCTTCTGCAGCCATCGTCCAATGATGATGGATTCAACCGCCTCCGGGTAACCCACCCGGCAAGTGGGCTTTGCCTCGGGTGAGAGACCTCGCTCAACCGCTTCACCTGCTTAATTTCCTTTTTTTTCCTTTGGCTTTGTTTAGTTTACGTGTTTGATCCATTTCAATTTCTTAACGAAGCAATTGAATAAAGTGAAAGACTCCGCTAATGTTATTCTCAATAGTCAAACAGTTGTAGATGGTTCTTAATCCCACGAATAGATGTTTGTGTTTAGCCGCTAACCTTAGTATCATTAGTTACAGCTGAGAAGTCCCGGGGGATCAACACTTCCACTGCAGTTATGACTCCCCCTATGTTTTTAATCGCCTCTTGAAACAAATACCTCACTGCTTTCGGACTTAATTCTTTAAATCCTTCAAAATCATACTTTATTCAATAACACATGGTCCGCATTATCAGACAATGGATTAGCAATCATTGAAGGACGGTTGTTGCTGACAAAAAGGATGTACCAACTACGGATTGTGGGTAGATGGAGTTAATGCGGAATAATGGCGGGATTGCGGATGTTGCGGATATTCCCACTAAGCGGTCTAAAGCCACCTATGCTACAACCCCACGCATACGGAGTATCTGGTAATCAAAAAGTACAATCTTGCTGTGAATTAATGTTGGTTCACTCGTTTCATTGTTTTCCTGCCTCACAACTTCCAAGGAAAAAAAGAGACTTTGTGTGGAAATTTTGTATAAATTTTTCTATTAAAGAGCAGAATGAGCCGCTGTCAACGAATAATGCTAGAAAAAGACTAGGAGACACGAGACGATCTTTTGCCTCACTGCTTTTTGATGACAATGTCACAGAATTGAAAAGAAAAAGTGATGAATGGGACAAGGCTGATTGGGACTTTGCTTCAAAAAACAGACAAACGAAAGAAAAAATATCATATGCTAATGCAATGCGCTACCAAAAGCGAGACAATCTAGAAAAGGATGCAATGATGCTACAACTGCTAAGAGTGGCCACAGTGGATATACTGCTTACTGATTGCCCGTCTTCTCAATTTTCAGACCGTCTGCAGCAAGATTCGAAGCAGCTGCGCCACCGACCGTCGCATCAACTGCGGCATCATCCAGATCCAATGCGTTTATAATCTCGTCTTCGGGTGGAGGCCTGACAATTTCCACAGTCGCATTTGAATCCTTTGTGAAGACGCGAAGACCGACTACGGAGACTGCATTCCACGGGTCCTTCTTGAAGTCGTCATCTTCATCGTCTTCTGCCTTGTCGTCACCGTTTTTCTCAGACGGGTTCTCCTCCGGTTTAGAGGCATCCGACGCTGTAGCTGGGGCTTCAGACTCGGACTCATCTGAGGATTCGGATGAATTATCATCACTCTCAGATTCAGAGTCAGAATCAGCGTTGGCTGGGCTTTTAGCGTCGCCATCTTTCTTCTCCTCGGCAACAGTAGTCGAGTGTGCAGAAGAGCTGGACGGCTTTTCCATTTCATGAGCCTGCTGTTCGGCGACGTCTGGCGGTGTGAGAATGGCATCTCCTGAAGTGTGGGATGACGTGCTTGCTTGCTCTGCGCCTTTGCCACTCGCCCGAAGACCATCATTTGTGGCCTTCTTTGCCGCCTTCGCCAATTTCCGCTGCGCCTTCTCCTGCTTTTTGGCCTCCTTCGCCTTGGCTTTGGCCTCCTTTTTCTTCGCCTTGGCCTTTTCCTTCCTCTTCAGTTCCTTTCCCTCAGCCTTAGCCTTGCGCTTTTGTTCCAGCTTCCGCTTCTTTTCCAGCTTCTTTTTCAGCTTTTCCCTTTTTTCCCGCTCCTCTTTCTCTTTCTCCGTCTCCTTTGTTTGCCCTTTGGCATGTGCAAGATCGTACGAGAGACCAATTTGAAGCAATTTATCTCTCTTGTCTTTACAAGTGGTTTTGAGAACATGTTCCGCAGTCGAAGCATTTGAGTAGCGAGTCGCGATGATTTTAAGCAACACTAAATAAGAGCCAGCTTCGAGTTCGAGCTCAGTGCTTACTGATCGAGTCATGTTGTAATTCCCATGACTTCGGACTATGTAGTCCTCTTCTCCTTCTTTGTGAAGCCGAAACTGTAAGGTAAATCGATATTGGCCTTCGAGGCCCCTCCAGTATCGACTATCCAGCTAAATTCGGTCAGCAACATCTTGAATGTTATTAACTTAGATTCGAAACATATTGCGAACCTGCGTCAAGACAATCACCGCTTGACTGTCTTTTTCCAATGTCACTCGGAATTTCGTGTCATGGTAACCAACGGTCCATGGGATTTCTAAACTGGTCCATTGTCGCGCGACATTCCATCCCGGGCCGAATAGACGAGTTCTGTCCAGTTGTTGGTATTTGCGAAGAAGGTCTTCATACGATATCCAAAACACCTAATTCCGTCAGCGTGGGACATCTGGCTTCCTAGAAACGAAGGATATTACCCCATCATTGCCAAACGAATGTCCGAGTTCAGTCATCATTTCAGGGGTCCTGCAAAATATGTTAGGCTCACTCTGGTCTTAAACGCATTTTCCTTGCTTACCATTCCGCTGACCCGTCGCTCCACGCGCCGTTCCATTCTGTTTCTCCCCAAGGGTTTCTGAAGGAAATTAGCATTCGAGTCAGAATATCGTGCCATTGGCAACCAACCTCAGCAACAGAAGGCGGTGCCCTTTGACCTCCCGTGCCTGCATGATAGAATAAGCGTGCGTTGCTACGATGCCACGCTTGAATGCCCATTCTCCAAAGTAGCCGGTGGCACAGCCAAAGAGAAAAGTCTTGTTGACATTCATTAATTCCTCTTTCCAAAACTTGTTTTTGTCCAATATGTCCGAAGTGAAAAGCTCCGTGGTCACTCCTCCAGTCAAATCTTCAATTGCTTCCCTGTTTGAATGTAAGAGATGGAACACTAACTCCCGTCCATACATTCGCGGGACACCATGGGATGGGCGCTTACCCAACAAACCCTCCTTCAATGGCGCCAAAATCCCCGTGTGCCTTCGCATATGCCTTCTCAAGCAGCGGAAGCCATGTTTCATTCTGCTCGCTGCACTGTGCAAAATACAACGCAGCAGAGCCCGACTGATAGGTTTTCTTCCACTCTTCCTCGGTATCCGCGCGATTGATTTCGCTCCAGTTGTATCGCTCTTGCTCTGACATTGCATCATAATCGACTTTTGTAAGATAGAGCTTGTCATCAATGATTTCCGAGATCCATTCGCCGTCTAAGAACTCATGAGCAAACGCCGTGATCAATTGTCAAAGACAATGACAAAGGAATTACCTCGGTGAAACACAAACCCGTAAACACCGACCTGCTCGTCTCTCGCGACGCAAATATTCGACAGCAACTCTTCCTTATTAGACAAGGTGCACAATGCTGCCAGAAACCAACAATCGCCATTCCCCCCTTGTCTCACATCGCTCGCCGTGGGGCCGTTAATATAAAACTGGGGGTTCTCAAAAATGTCCTGAGAAAGTCAGAACATGTTTATGGAACGAGGAAGGAAAATCTTGTCAAACCAACCTCAACTCTTTTCACGGATTTCGGGCTGAGATTTAAGCAATCCTTGACTAATCCATCCAAGCAATAACGGCGGCCACGTTTGAAATCGAATTCGATATCAAAATGCGGGTCTCTATATTTCTGATTGACGCGACGGCACTCTCTTGCAATTTTCTCCACCTTGGCCTTACAGATGGCCTTGGCTTCTTCGAAGGACGTTGTCGCGCTTTCCGCAAGGACTGCGCCTCTGGGAACATTTTCTGCAACCCGTCTCGCATGAAATTTGCTCGGTAATACCGTCACGACCTCACCAGGATACTTAGTGTTGAACCCTTCCCAGAAATCATCAATTGCGGTCTGCGGTGATTTCGTCGGGGCCTTGGTAGGGACGTCAGTCGCTGCACTGGTTGCGCTCATCTTGATATGAGAAGTATGTGACACAATTGTACAAATAAGATTTCAATCAGTTGATATTAGCGAAAGTGCAGTCACTGGGCACCTTAATAGCCAGTGCCCAAAAGTGGCAAAATCCGGCCAAAAAAATTGAGGCCATCGTGTGGTTTATATAGGTTTCAGCGATTGGAGAGCGCGCGTTAGTAGAAAGCTTGGAATCTAGAACTGGGACGAGCATGGCCCTCGAGCAGGGAATGCTGACAGCTGCTGGTACCTAGCGGCTGAAGCGGCTGAGGAGTGGCTGCAGTTATTGGACGATGCAGCATCAACAAAGCAGAAAAGAGGTGGGGTCCAAATGAATTTTAGGGGTCCCAAGCCGACACATGTACATGCAGATCCAGCTCCATGTAACCCCTCCCCAAAGCTGGGGAAATCTCTATATCTCGTTAGCTGTCAAGTGCTTAGTGACCATCCAAATAACCAAAGTGCATGTTCAAGCATTTCTCATGTCCGTTCTGGCTCAGATGAAATTGCACGGTAAATCATGCCCGAAGGCGCTTTCCATGTGCATGCGTTATGGCATAAAAGGAAATTGCATTATTGATTGGTACAACGGGGCCAGTGCTGACACGCTGGTGCTGTCTTAAGTCGAGCGAATCGCGCCCCCCACGATTCCAAGTTCAGCGCTAACACGGGCCGTATACAGAGAGATAGGCGGGACCAGAACACTATTATACCGTAGTCCACTTCAATCCATATCCCTTCTCTCTCTGTAAAAGGAACGAGTTCAAACGGTCATAGATAAAACCAGACACTTGACGAATCATGATATACTGATACAAACGATCAAGGAGTTGTCGTTGTCGTCAATAAAGTTAGTGGAGGATTCCAGGATTCCTGAATGGACCAGGTTGCTTCCCGCTCCACCAACCACGTGCGTCGTCTCGCTTGTAGTTTCAACCTAAAAGGGAAATATATCAACAATGGGAAGCTCTAACCGACCAGGTCTCAATAATTTCCACCAAAGGGGGGAAAAGGACTCATAGCCAAATAGAAACATTGGGGAATCCTATGATACCACTACTTTCAATCAATACCAGAAAGGTGTCACAAAATGCACACTAGTTTGCAAACATCCATTGAAATGCACAGTAAATTGATAAAAAAACGTGTACTGTAATGTATGCCCCCAGTTGAACCGATACTGGAAAGCTTTCAGAGAACCCATCAAATACGCACTCTTCATATCGGTTGTTCGTAGCCCAAATGAAATTAGTGACCCTAAAATACAAGAATGAAATCATGGTAGTCATGCATGAATGCAAAGAAGGACTGCACAAAGGGAAATTTTGTTTGCCTCTCGCTGCAGAGTGTCACAAAGGAAAGATGCAAAGGGTGGAACTTATGCGGCATCACTGCCCGCAGTGTTTCTTCATGTGCTCAGCCCGTTCTTCCTCTGAATCTCGTCCAATGATAGACAGTCCAGCCACTAGCGGAAGCCGTTACGCGGGGCGTGTCCACTGTACGTCGTTGAGCCCTCGCGGAAATATGGGTGCTCACACGCTTGCTTGGCGGAAATTCTCATGGCAGGGTCATAGACGAGCATAAGGTCGAGAAGATTGAGTCCGTCCTCATCGAGACCGGAGACGAGGGGGCGGTTATAATCTCTACTCCACTTTGGAAAAGACTGCTTGAAGTCAGGGAACGAAGTGACGCCGGGCCAAATGTTCTCATCCGGGGTGCCAAGTCCTCTACTCAAAGTTAGCCACGCCTCAAAGAAGCCCTTTACCTGCAGTGCCAACGTACCTAAAAATCTTGAAAATCTCGTCAATCTCGGAGTCACCAGGGAAGAGAGGCTTGCGGGTGCACATCTCTGCGAAAATGCAGCCAACCGACCACATGTCGACACCAGTGGAGTATTGGCGACCACCAAGGAGAATTTCCGGAGCTCGATACCACAGGGTCACGACCTTTACTCGTTAGCTCATTCAGCTCTTTGCATCTCAGGGAAATGCACTGACCTCGTGTGTGTAGGTTCGCAAAGGAACACCAAAGGCCCGAGCAAGACCGAAATCCGCCAATTTCAAGTTACCGTCGCGGTCGATCAGGAGGTTCTGTGGCTTGAGGTCACGGTGTAGAATGCGGTGGCTGTGGCAGTAACGAACACCCTGGACCAATTGGCTCATAAATTTCTTGACCATCGCATCGCCAAGGCCGAGTCGCCCAAGTTCAACGCCGGAGCCATTGGGCAAGGGCTTTCCACGACCACCTTGCTCAACCGGAAGAGCTTCCATGTATTTCTTCAAATCGAGGTCGAGAAACTCGAAAACCAGGTAAAGCTTGTGGCCGTCCGCATGAACAATATTCAACAAGCTGACAATGTTGGGGTCTTGCATCTCCTTAAGCAGCGAGATCTCGCGAATGGCAGTGCTAGGCACACCCTCATCCTCGGCCTCCAGACGAATCTTCTTTAGGGCGACAATACGATTCGGATGCGTCAGATCACGAGCTTTGTAAACAACACCGTAGGTTCCTGCGAGTCAGAGTTCTCGGTTAGTCGACGGGGAATCGGAACTGGGTATGGAAGACAGAGAATCGAAGCTGGGATGCGGACTATGGGCATTAAATGGAAAGGCCTTCTAGATCAAATACATACCTTCGCCAATCTTCTCAATCTTTTGGTAGTTTTCCATCTTGAACGAGCTCGCCAAACTCTTGGCCGGTGCTCAGTAAACCGTACAGATGAGAAAAGAACCAGCAGTCAATCTCTGGGACGCCGCGTCCTGTAAACAGTTCCAAGACAGGTTATCAAAGAAGTCCTTGAACAGGAGAACTCTCTGAGAGCAATGTCTGTGGTGGGGCAAGGGTCTCGAACGAGTGTATTGCCGTGTGAAAGAGCAGGGACCCTCTTTGATCGACGGAGTTGGTCTGTCGTTCAGGGCCAGGTTCGTGCATTTGTCGGTAAACACACCCCAGCGACACGCCGCCAAACTAAACACGCTAAAATGGAGCTTCCCGAGGGTTAATTTTCTACGGTTGGCGTCGCGCTTCTTAACGAACTAATTGCTCTCTAACGCCTTAGTATGAATCCTGTCACGCATGTTTGAACAAATAATTCCAAATTCCAAAAGAAGTCCAAATTTGTCAAGATAGAAAGAGAGCAGAAAGAGAGAATGCAACATTATAATGCTCATGAGCGGCCTCCAGAGAAGCTCCGGGCCATCTATAAAAAGTATCAAAAACTGACTCAAGCTCAAATCGATGCTGATCCGAACGTTATTGATTTTGTCCGAGGGCTCACACCAGAGCAGAAGAGCCAGTTAAAAATCATAAAATCTATCCCGGAAGAGGCTCTGCGAAAGATATGCTCTTCACTCAATGAGGCCTCGGACCGTGAAAAATCCGAAATCATCGAGGCTTCAAACAATGCCAGTGTGTACGAATTGGAAGGCCTTCCTGGTACGCTTGCTTCGAATGTTTGAAAGGGCACTTTTCTGACGCATTTGAATAGGACTTCTCATATTACCATCTCTGATACCCTTAGATACGCAATCTTGTCTTCTCTCGCGTCTTCTGCATCGAGATCTTTCTGATCCCCGTCATAAGACAAACCTTCATTTGCACTATCACGTGCCATATCCCACCAAGGCGGAAGGCCCAGAAGATGGCAGAGCAACAGCCCATCAGTCTTTCTTCTCTTATCCCCCAAACTCTCCGCTTACTTTAGCACCAAAAGATGCTTCGATTCATAAGCCTCTTACCGTATCTCAATTTCTTCAGCGAAAGCTTCGATGGGTCACTCTCGGAGGCCAATATGATTGGACTCGGAAAGAGTACCCATCAGATGCACCGCCAGATTTCCCGAAGGACGTGGCACGCCTCCTGGAGTCCATTTTTCCAGAAATGAAGGCAGAAGCAGCCATTGTCAACCTCTATACTCCTGGCGACACACTTAGTCTTCATCGTGACGTGAGTGAACAGAGTGAGAGAGGACTGGTCAGTCTAAGTATAGGATGTGATGGCATTTTCGTCATCGGGGTTGAAGAGGATAATCCAACCTCTGACAATGGGACAAGCGCACGATACTGTATTGTGAGGTTGCGCTCGGGAGACGTCGTGTATATGTCACGGCAAGCAAGGTTTGCCTGGCACGGTGTCCCCAAAATTTTGGAGAAGACATGTCCTGAGTCCCTGAAAGATTGGCCAGGACAGGCATTCGATGCTGGTGGCAAAGAAGAGGGACAGCAAGGCGGTGAATATGACGAATGGAGAGGGTGGATGGCATCAAAACGTATCAATCTCAATGTCCGGCAAATGTACGGCTGATCAGATGTCTGAAATTTCAATCATCCGTTCAGTCATGACATGTGAATATGTTGCCAAACTTTACGCAGTGAGGTTTGTCGTACCTTGCTTTAAGGGGCTGACAATACCGTGAGCTGTGCGACATACCGATAACCCTAATCTGAATGAACAGGTGTCGGTTAATCCTGCCAGCCGGTAATGGACTGGCAGAATCGTCATCGCGATGTGTTCGTCGATCAAATCTCATATTTCCAACTGACTATAGCAGAAAGTGGGAGCGCGGATTCATTTCTTTTGCATCCGACCAAGACAGACGGTACAGATACAGCTGTGTGGAAAGTCTATAGTTACTCCTGCAGATTATTGTCGCGGAATGATCTGGATCAATTGGTATATCATTCACAACCAAAGTTCAAATGCCAGAATCCGCAGACTAAACTAGATGGATCAAATCAACGATACTCTTTTGGGATGTTGATGAATCAAAATTCTCCTTCTTTTCATCTAAGGCGGGGTCGTCTTGCAGAACAATTCGCATGTGAGCTTGGCAGAGAAGGTGATGTATCTCATCATCTAGCGGGATTCACCCTCCCCATGTCTCAGTTACGATCGCTTCGGATGCACAAAACTTGCATTGCAGCGGAAGACCTGTTCCTCGGTGCAGATGACAATTCATCGATCTTCTCATGGGAAAGACGCTAAACACGTCTTCGGAGATACATTGGCTATTGTGTTATTTATTCTAATATTAGGCGCCGAAACCGATGATACGGCTAGTCACCGCCACGGGAACAGAGATGGTCAAAAATAATGTGCACCAAATCTCCTCGCAAGCCCTGAAAACGCGCAATTGGTTTTGCTCCTGTCTATGATCGGGCGGCTACTTGGATACGTATGCAGAAGAAAGGGGGAATGTAGTGACCAAAAGAGTAAACGGAGGGGATTAAAGCTGATAAACTATTGGTGACCATGGCTCCTGTTCCCCTTTCAGCTCCCGGGGCCACCGTACGGAAGCTCCTTTTCCACAAGGGGAAAAGTGCCCCCTTCTGGCTCTTCGTCTTATTTTCTCCCCCCGGATCCCTCAAAACAGAAAGGTAAGGCGAACATGGTGGCTGGGCTTTGCTCAGATAGCCGTAATTATAATAATAATAATAATCATCCAAAAGTTTAGTGAAGTATGATCAAGTTAGACGCCTCACGACGCTACTAATACTGTAATTCTGCTAGAGGTTGTTGGAGTTCTCCTTTTCCTACGAGTATTACTTTTTTGCTGCTTTAAATCGGGCCAAACCCAAAAGGTAAATGCCGTGTTGCTCCCCCATATTTGCATCGATGTCATCTGTCGCCAGCTTCACCGACTACAAACTCACCCACATCCCGACCTGCAGCTGTCCCCTTGGCTCGGTATATTCCAAATCGACGCTCGAAGCTCAACACGTTATAAATCGATACGCCTCTTCATTCATTTTGTAACTCTATTTGACGAAACTTGTTTGTGTTCTCACCATCCAGATCGTGCGCATGAACTGAGAGGTGAGAGCTTGTCATGACCGAGCCTACGATAACAACCCCCGGCTCTACCCGGGACGGCGACACTCCGTCTATAGCATCGGCGCCCAAGGACAAGAGATGCCCTTTTTGTCAGCAAGCATTCACGTCGTCATCGCTGGGACGGCATCTCGATCTTTATATCAAGGAGAAGAATCCCAAGGCTCCAGATGGCGTTCACGACGTCGATGAGATTCGCAAACTTCGAGAGCGCATCACGCGCAGACAGCCCCGAAATTCTGCCAAGCGCGATGCTTCCACCCCTTCAGCAACAAGACCACTTGCGTCAGAAGAGGCACAGTCACCTTCATCGGGCCGACCGTTTCTGCGTTTGAAACTCAATGAGCTTGACTGGCATGCCACTGGTGTGATGAGAGACTTGCCCCCAACCAAGGAGGATGATTCGCGATGGCGCCACGTACAGCAAAAGTCGGATCTGGAGATGCGCAGAAAGGTGATGGAGGAAAAGGACAATGCACGAGCCGCAGAACTAGCTTTACGTGAAGTACTCGCAAGCGTCAAGGCCGCGAGGTAAGCTTCCCTTCATGAGAACCTAGCCCTGGATCTCTCAACTCAATTGTAACTGACTGTGTCCCTCAATTTCAACAGCGCAAGGACAGCTCCGCCTCCGTCTCCGTTCGATTATGATCCGCTCACCCTGACTTTCCCGGCGCTCTGTCTAAAATGCCTTTTTGCCCCCTCCACATTGTTTTCAACTCAGCCATTCGCCACTGGTGGGTCTTGGTCAATAGATCCACCGGGCCAGCCACAACTTGAATCCCTTCGAATATATTTTCATGATCAGTTTCATCAATGGAGGTTACGGCGCGGCTCACGCGACAGCGCAAGAGACGGCCATGGCGCCCCGAACGGCCACCAGGGCAACAATACAAATGGACAAGACAGCAACCAGGGGCCCAAACAGCAGGGGCAGGAAGAAGAAGACAAGATTATAAGACATTTAATGGAGGCATATAGCCACTGGAAAGCCATGGCGGACAAGCAAAAAGAAGACTCTTGGCGGCTCGAGGTGCTCCGAGCATATGCGCGAGAACTGGAACGACGAAAGGAATCCGAACTCAAGGTTGACGCGCTTCAGCAACAAGTCGAGCATCTCCGCTCACAAGTCGACCGCTTGACCTCCCGCCATGAACCGCGCGAGTTCCTCACCTGCCCACCTGCAACCTTTGCCCTCACCAAGACTGTCGCAAAAGAGCTCGATGCGGTTTCCGGCCCCGAGCTGTGCGACTGCGATTATGACCGCCTCTTTGCAAAATGGAAAGCAATCGTGCAACAAAATCGACAGTCAAGCAACGGGTTATTGAGCCAGCAGCCATTACCTGGCACCAGCGCAACACCAGGAGCAGCAACAGCAACAGCACCATCACAATCACAAGAACGCAACGTGTCATCCTCCTCATCCTTTACTCCTCTTCCCGTCAATGGCACAGGTCCCTCACAACCAGGACGATCATCCTCCTTGTCCTTTGACTATTCCACATCACCGCTACCACCACCTCCGCCTTCTGCCACTGCTTCAGCCAACAACAACAACAACAACCTATCAACGAATTCCAAACCGAATCAAAATGCCGACGCAGATCAAAATCATCATCATATCGCAGACGGTATCGACAGCAGCGGCGGCGGTGCTAACCGTTCTTCTGCGCCTCCCCCTTCACAACTCCACAATGCCCATTCCAACTCATCATCATCAACAACAGCAAATACATCAAACCAAACGACAAATACGAGACCCCCGCCACTCGATCGCACAAATCTAGATCCAAGTCTCGCCGACGACGGCCAGAACCAACACAGCCTAGGCGCCATGGAGGGTATTGAATCCTCTAGCTCCCAGGACGCGCTCAATTCAGACGGCTTCATGGGCGGTCGTGTCCTCATGGGCTTGAGTGCGAGCGACTTTAGTCATATGGGAGGCAGCCGCTGCGGATCAATGGAGTCTTGAGTTTGAGTTTGAGTTTGAGTTTTTCATTGGGCATTGGGCATTGGACATTGGGCATATGGGTAGAGAAGGGCCTATCAATTCTTATTTCATATTCATGTCTTTTTATTTTATTCCATATTTAGGTCTTTTTTTTTATTTTATCTTTTCAAGGCGTATCACTTCTTTCCTTTCATATTTTCAAGGTGTACCACTTTATCCTATCTGTTATTTATCACGGCGTATCACTTTTTATCCAGCCAATTCTCAAGGCGTATTTATTTAATTTTTTTTATATATTTACTCATCCTTTCTTTCTTTATTTATTTTATTTTATTTATCAAGGTATCTATTCATTCACATTTATTGGGATTGGGAATGGGAATGGGAATCGTCTTTAGGGTGTTAAATTATTTTATTTTATATTACGTTCCCATTATTGTCCACATAGGTACCTATTTATTACTTCTCTCCCTCTCCCTCTCTCTCTCTCTCTCTCTCTCTCTCTCTCTCTCTCTCTTCTTTCCCCTTTCAGAACTCAAGAATTTCCTATCCACCGGCCTTTTTTTTTTTTTTTCAACATGTATTATTTAATCCACACGTATCATTTCTACGTCCGCGCTTACAGCTGGACAATGGACAATGGACCATGTAAAAATGGACCAATGGAACAATCGGACCTGTTATTGAAAATGTTATTGAAAATTGGATGGAGCAGAAATTTGGGGAATGTACTAGACTACTAGTGTATTTTGTTTCAATTTTCGGACAATTGGTAGTTTAATACGCCTAGGCCAAAAGGGGGGCTTTTCTTTCGTTTCTTGAGTACTCCGTATCAGAATGGAATAAAAGATTATATAATTTGGAGTGTCTTGTCCTTTTCCTTTGAGAGCAGCGGTGGTAGTAGGAGTACTAGAGCAGTAGTAGGAGTAGGAGTAGTATAGCAAAATGTTTTAAAATGTATGATATATCATGTGTATATTGTGTGCTATATGAGCCGTATGTGCACTGTAAGAGGGTATCAACTATATACTGACAACAAAAAGGACAAGACTTTAAGATGATGGATGTAATACTCCCAAGATGATAGGATGACCATGTAGTACTCCAAGACGACAAGATGACAAGATGAAAATATCATATTCGATAAAATGTCATAATTAAGACGACAATCCCTGCGTCGCATATGCCCTCCGACGCTCCTTCTCGAGCATGCTCAGCAGGGAAATCAGCACGAGCGCCTCCCACGTTTGTCCAGCGGCAAGATCTGTGCGGAACACGAGCTGGCCTCGATCACGCAAATGGAGATTGAAAAGTTTCCTGCTCACAAACTGCGCGACGACTTCTGACGGATCATGCGCGGGGACAAGCTTGAATGAATCAAAGGGGATTCTTCTGTTCGAGGTTGTTGATGACGAAGAGTGGGCAGTTTTGCGGCGGTGACTGTCTGTACTGCTGGTCGTAGTTGTGTTGCCGCCGAATACATCTTCTTCCCCTCCACCACCACCTACCACTCCTCCGTCGTCGTCGTCACAAGGAACCTGCATGTGGTCGTGATGTGTCCGTTTCCAGACGAATTCGATTTCACGACTAGATCCAGTCTGGCCAAGTGTTCCGTCAATCATATCAGTCGGGATGCGGAAGACGAGCTCGCCGCGAGAATAGCCCGGGAGGCCGGCGATTCCCCAAAAGTAGTTTTTGGAAAGGCTCGGAGGGCGCGCGTACTGCCAACTGACGCTGCCTTGGGTGTCAAGTTCGTCGTAGTTGGTTGAGCCCATGATGCGGGCTGTGTGTGGTTAGTTATTTTCCCTTTTTTTGATTGGGGTGGGGGGAGAAGGAGGATTGGAGTTAAAGACGGGTGATTATATCAACGTACAGTCGCCATGGAGCATACCGATTTTGATATCGGTGGAATCGTATGGAAATTGAGCTACCGCAAGGACGCGGCGTCGGTTGCTGCCCCCACGATGCAGCGTTACTGATGGCTGCCCTAGTGTCCAGGAGGATACGTCCGAGTAGTAGACGGGCTTGTTGGGGGTGGACTGGCCGACTATCAACGGAGAATGCGGCGAGGATGTCGTGATGAGCGAGCTTCTCCCAGTAAGGCCAGTATGATAGATAGACAGCGTCTTGTACCTATCTGGTCGATATGATGGTGGATCAGGGTACGCCGGCGGCGCATCTTTGAAGTGTTGCAGCTCCATCTCAGCAATATCAACGATATCAGCCCGGATCATTTTGATGATACTGCACAGCCAAATGACTGTCTAAAGCTTGTGGCGGTTTGTGTCTTCTTGGGAAAGGGTAGGTGATCGGAGGGATCATTCCTTGACACTTTTTCTTATTCAATTTATAATGAAAAATTCAGGACTTGATGTTGGATCTGAACTTACGAATCTGATGACAGAAACTGGGGGATGATGCATGTATTATATGCTTTATCCATTTGGAAAGAAGTCCAAGACAACATTTCGGACATCATGGGTATCGGAGAACATCACCTCCGAAGAAGCTCAAATGTTTCGCATTTGTCCAAACAGATGCTGTTATCACATTGCCAAGTCCCGAGGATCCTGGTGTGTAGTGGATACAGCCGATGCGCCATGATGCCATCCCCTGTCGCCTTTCCTTATGCGATGGCAGATGAGGCTTGGCATTGGTAGTTTGATAAGACAAAGTCTCCAGGTGCGTCATTCAGAGTATCCCATGTGGAGTATCCACTAAATTTCACATCCGCTGCATTATTAATCTAGGTTGATGAGTACATGGATGCCATAAGGAGGCCTGAAGGATGGAGTCCAGTAATGCTGTGCCGTACACTATTGACGCCGTCTATCTCGGTTGTTTGTGATGTTGAGCGCGCAAAGGCAGACGACGGAACACTCGGGCCGGCGACAAAACATCGTTAATGAGATATGCTGTCATGTTGCTAGTTTCCGCCCCAAGCATTAGCTCAAATATTCTTAGACGCATAGGGCATGCGCTTCTGGAAGGTAGATATGTTTCCATCGGAACATATCGGAGAGTTCACATCTCCCACTGCGCCCGCAGAAGAAGTCTTTGAACAAGAAAAAGTCAATCATTACCAAAACGGACTTGAGGAAAAGGGAACATGAGGCGGTGGTGAGAGGCTTGGGGCCTGCAAGGTGCCCCCCACGTCTTACTCCACCGGCTCGGTGAAACTTCATTGCGAGAGGGAAGAAAGCCATTGTAGCTGACAAGAGTTTCAACGAATAGAATGAAGACAAACAGCGACACGGCACAATACTCGGAGAAACACAGTAACACGAAAGCGTAGCAGGGTAGCAGAAGTTATGTCATGTTTCATCCCTAATATTTCCCAAGAGATAGGAGGTACTGTCAACCTGTCCTAGGAGGCCTTGTCTAGTTTGCCAGGTTGAGAGATGACGCTGGAGATTCGATTAGACAAGCAATTTCTCATTTGATTAGCTGATAATAGAGCAGTTTGTAATTGATATAGTATAAAGATGACCTTTAATTTGAAAGACTTCTTATATGAAGATGCAAAGAGGACGTCTAACAGAAAGATTGAGAGTTGTCTGGTAATGGGTAGATACTACGGCGGACTAAAGAGAGCTCTTGTGCTAGTCGAGTATAGCTAGGCTTAACTGAGTTATAGTTGACACCATAGCGAATGCTAGTTAAAGCATGGTTGAGAGCTATAACTCTGGCAATGAAGGAGCGCGCGGAGAAACGCGTGGGGAAACCGAGATCCGACCTCCGATCGATTACCACCGATGAAACCATAACACCAATGTCCAAATACTTTCCACTCCGGCACCGGCCATGATCCGATCAAGATAGTATGCCGTCATGGCTATCTCCCTCCTCTTTGGCGCGAGTACTATGCTTGCGGTCGTCTCTACCACGAGTCAGCCGCCAATGGCTTCGACCCAGGCAATACTCGACACTCATTGAACCGTCTTCGCGTGTGGAGCAGGTTGAAATCGAATGTCGCTCAAGCGGACATATCACTTTAGAGTAAATACATTCCCCCACGTCTCAACACTTGTTTTGCACGTATTAGGTACTAACCTTGCTTTCTTTCAGTATCTTCCATCCAGAAACGAAACCAAACGCGAGCAACTCGAAACCTCGCTCTCCTATCATCTATCTCCCATCTGGATTTGACCATGTATATAAGGATCCACGTTCAGACGCGCATTCTCCAAGTCAAATAGACGGCATTTCCTCCTTCTCAAGTCCAACGACGTCCTCAATAAACTCCGCCAAAGATGATGCCATTATCTCCGCGTTATCATCCGGCAGCGGGCTTCCTGTCATCCGACTAAACTATAGAACTCTCCACTATCCTCTCCCCATCCACGACGTACTCACTGGCTATGACTGGGTGGTCGACAACCTCTGCGAGTCACGCACGCCAATTGGAGTCTGTGGGCAACTTTTAGGCGGAAGTCTCGCAGCAATGCTCGCCGTAACAGAATGTCAAATGGGACGGACCAGAATTTCTGCTGCGGCCGTGGGGAACCCAATCGTGGACTGGCCGGGGCTCCTGTATGCTGCGTCATTATCTTCTTCATATACGGCAGCAGCACAAGACAACAATTCCGCTGAATCTCCAACTTCAAGTCCGGACCTGCGCCCCGACTTGTCCGCGGAATCACAAGCTTCGTCTGCTCACCATTTACGTCGTCCCGTAAGGTCACGTATCGCATCTACATCTTGGCACAAATACAACCAAACCAGCCAACCCACCGCGTCAGAAGTTTTAAATCTTCGACGATTCTACTTTGCGCATCAAGATGCGTATTTCGACCCCTTTGTCAGCCCGGCACTCTTCTTTCGTACGCCGGGGATTGATCTGCTTGATCCTGAGCACCAGGCTGAAATCGAAGCCGACGCTGAAGCTGAAGCCGATTCTCACTTAACCAATCCTACGAGTCCCTCATCAGACACTTCCTCTCCAGATACCCGTATCTCATCCTCTTCATCCTCATCCTCGCCCTCCCACCCTCCTAACCCCGACACCAACTCCCACATCCAGGGCTACCACGGCGTCATATCCAACCTGACCAAACGGCGCAAATCTCCACGCAAGTACCCTCCGCCCGGCCTCTCTCTACAACTGCCCCAGTTACGCATCAGTCTTGGCGCACAGAACGTGCTGCGCGACCAGGGGATTGAATTCGCACAGCTCGTTCGACGGGCACTTGTCACGCAGGAGCGTATGAGCAGGGACATTGGCGCCGTTCATTTCCGCGAGGTCGAGCATGAGAACGAGTATCACCATGAGCGAGGAAGTCATGGGTATGATGATACTACGTTGGAGACAAGCGATGCGCAGCAACTAGGAGAGCAGGTCAAAGAGGCCAGAGAAGCTCTGCTCAAGAGCCGCGCAGAGGAGATTGTAAAAGTACAGGAACTTACTGGGTCTGGAGTCTGGGGATACGGATGGGATAGCAGCGATGTTGGACGGCATGCAGGTGTAAATGGGTCACGTCGAGATGGGGAAGGTGTTGGGGGAGAAGAGGACATTAGAAGAGTCGGGACGTGGTTTGGACAGGTCCTTTCGTGAAATAGCCAGTTGCGGTCTTCAATTGTAAAGAGAAGAACGAGGCTTTTTTTTTTTAATAAAATGACTAAGTCTATGGTATTGCCTTGTTCGTAGGCAATGCGGAGCAGACGCAACAGATGTCAGATCTGAGAGGATGGGGGGAAAGAGATGTGCAAATATGCAAACGCCCCGTCCTAGATGAGCCATATTCTATAAATGCAAAAGCCCACTCCTACCGTTTCCCCAAATGCTTCAAAGGTATGAGCAGAATATTGAAGGGTGTAGAGAAAGAATAATTGAAAGGAAATTATAAATCATCATGATTTCGTGAGTCTCTTAGGGGAGAAAAGGGCGATATTTAATTCTTATACGCCGGTTTAATGCTCTTGACGCCGCGGCCGGCAAAGCCCCAGCGGATCTGGTTGGCGATTTGAATCTCCACGCCGAGTTCTTCGGCCCAGAACCACACCAAGGCAGGGTTCTTCTGGAAGCCTCTGCCAACAAAAATGACATCGAGACCATCGTCGAGTAGCTCGTTTGCCCGAGCACCAGACTCAATAGATCCGACCGCAGAGACGGCGAGTTTGTCGCCAACAGCCTTCTTGATGGTCTTTGAAAAGCCCGCCTGGTAAGCAGGACCAGAAGTGACTTGTTGCTCCGCGTGCAAACCTCCAGAGCTAACATCTAGCAGGTCGACGCCATGATCAGCAAGCAGTCCTGCGAGCTTGACGGTGTCTTCGACACGCCAGCTCTCATAGGATTCGTGTTCGAGCCAATCCGTGGCGCTGACACGCAGGAGAAGAGGCATTTCCTTGGGAATGGTTGCGCGGAGGGCATCGACAATTTCGAGCGTCAACCGGGTGCGGTTCTCAAAGGAGCCACCGTATTCGTCGGTCCGCTTGTTGGATACAGGCGAGAGGAACGAGTGGAGGAGATAGCCGTGTGCATTGTGGATTTCAATGGCGTCAACGCCAGCAGCAATGGCACGCTTAGCGGCTGCGACAAAGGCGGATTTGACCTCTTCAATGTCCGCCTTGGTCATTTCCTTGGGCTGCGCATGGTGCTCGTTGAACGGGATTGCGCTGGGGGCTTTGACATTGTCAGGCCAGCCCTGAAGCTCCGTGGTGGCCACGGCACCGCTGCTGAGCCAGGGCGCGACAGCGCTGCCTTTACGGCCAGAGTGACCAAGCTGGATGCCGACCTTCTGGCCCTGGCTGTGGATAAACGTCACGACGCGCTTGAGGGGCTCAATTTGGGAATCTTTCCAGAGACCCAAACATTGCGGGGTAATTCGGCCTTCGGGCAAGACCCCAGTGGCTTCAATGATAGTGAGACCAACACCGCGTTTGGCAATGCCGCCGAGGTGAGCCAAGTGCCAGTCGGTCATGTGGCCGTCTTCACCAGAGTACTGGCATAGCGGGGAGAGCTGAAATGTTGTGTTAGTAATGTGGTTTTCGATTTTTTTGGTCATATTGGAGATATGGGCGGACGTACCCAAATGCGGTTCGGAATGGTCAAGCCTCGCAAGGTCAACGGCTGAAAAAGCTTAGGCGGGTGAGTGCCATTGGATTGAGGGTCTGCGGCCGTGCCCGCCGGCGGGTCCTGGAGAGGAGTGAAGTAGGGGATCTGACATATCTCTGGTAAGTAATTGAAAATGGAATGAGCGATGCTGATGATGGATATTTGAAAAACATACTCCAGGTGCGGCACGATTGGCCAGGATGTTTTCCCCCAGAGGCTCCTGGACGTTGGCGTGGTGAGAGGAAGGCATGGTGTGCGTGCGTAAGAGGCGTATAGAGGTGTTGATTGAACGTAGTCAAGGTGGGAACAAGCCGAACTGGATGGGACAAGGATGAAGAGAAGGAAATGGATTTATATTACCCATGGGCCGAGTAAACATGATGACAGCTTTTGGCATCAAACGTGGGGATGAGCGTTTACTATTGCTTTGTAATGTGAGGATTGAAGTGTGAAAATATCAGAATATTAGTGATACTCCTACAACAAGCTCGTGTCATCCAGGGGTACGCGATAGCGTTTCATGTTTTTGATTGGCTCGGATAATTTTCGGAAGCATACGATAACGGAGAGATATCGCGTCAGAGGGCGCTAGTCTTAATATGTCGACAACCTTAATTTTTCTTACGAAAGGCATCGAAAATCATATCAACATTAATCAGCATCCTACTGAAGTGGTGAGCAGAAAAGTTGTGGAGATAGCAAGATATTATGGAGACAGCAGGGCAACTTCGACTGCTCACCATTTACGACACGAATAGTCTGACGTTGCGCAGTGCTTCTACGAACGATTCTTTCCCCATATATTATTACGTATGTCATTTCCACCCTTTCGGCAGTTGAGCCGGGTAAGCTCCTGATCTCGCAAACACTAACCCTTATAGGTTATGCGACCGCTCGGCTCCACTTCCTCGCGTAATGATGTCGATGCGCGTGGACTTGCCCTCCACGTAACCTCCCCGCAGTCACAACTCATCCCTCACAACTCACCTGCTCTCGTTTCTTTTTTTTCTATTTCACCTCGTATTCTTTTCTTCTTTTTGCCCTTTCTTTTTCGATCCTTGGGGCATTGACCCGTTGGTTGCCTTCGGTTGGAAGCCAGGCCATTTGGCGGCCAGAGCATCCAATAAGTTTTACTCTTATCATGTGACGAGATGACCTTCGCAACACTTGCTCCGTTTGTATTGACGTACATAGCTGATCCCGATAGTCCCCGTGTGAATATGCTCTGTATCTGTAACCTTAGTGAATATCTATCCTTTTTGCACTGCCAGATTATATGTACGCTCTCAAATTGAATGTTTAGCGATTCAAGCCAGAGTGTTTGCTAAATATGTGCAGGACTAGCGTTATTTTTGCCTTTTCTGCCGCATCTTCTTCTAATCCTCCTTCGTCGTTTCACTCTTCTCAAGTTCATTTACCATCTTATTCCCTTGGTGAACCTCACTGCGTCTTGATCGGTCAGAAGTGTCATTCCTTTCTTATCTGCTTATGATAGATTTACTGTATGATATCTTTGTTTGACCGCATCATGGCCAGAATGCTTCCATTTTCCTTGAAATTGTTCGCCTTGTTGGCCGGGGCTGCTTCGATTGTCATTGTTCGCCATCTCCCAGGTTACTCTATGCGCAATTCTCATATCTGGACGGCCTTGGTTACCTTTCTTTTCGAAATCTTTGTTTGGGCATTCTACAATGTCCTTGTTTACCCTCACTTCTTCAGCCCCCTCCGTCACCTCCCTCAGCCAACGGTATGCAACCCCTGAACTTTGATCCTAAAACAACCATAATGATCCACACGATTGCTCACATTCAACAGGGAGGTTCTCTGTTCACTGGTCAACTGGGTCGTATTCTGCGGGAACCGTCTGGTCAACCTGCCAGAGATTGGAACCGCACGATCCCACACGATGGTCTGGTCCGCTATCTTGGACTCTTCAACATTGAACGAATCATTGTCTTTAGCACCAAAGGCCTGAGCGAAGTTCTCACCCAGCGGCCCTACGACTTTGTCAAGCCGGCCCAGGCGCGAAACGTACTCAAACCCTTGACGGGCGTTGGCATCTTGTTAGCAGAAGGTGATGAACACAGGGTAAAACACTCCTCCTTTTGAAAATCTCCCCCAAATAAACGACACTAAATAACTCTAGTTCCAACGCAAAAATCTCATGCCGGCTTTTAGCTATCGTCACATCAAAGACCTCTACCCCACTTTCTGGTCCAAATCGCGGCACGTCGTGCAGGCCATTGGCAATGAAATCGCCAACCGCTCTTCTCAAGACGGGTCGACCGACTCTGCAGTGACCATTGAGTTTGCTGACTGGGCAAGTCGGGTCTCGCTCGACATTATCGGGATTGCCGGCATGGGCCAAGACTTCAACGCCATCGACAACCCCAACGGCGAGCTCAACAGAGTATACCGACGCATCCTTACTCCTAGCAAGCAAGGCCTGATCCTCTCCATTATCGGCCAATTTCTTCCGCAATGGCTTCTCCGCGCTATACCGGTCAAGCGCAACGAAGACCTCCGCGAAGCCATCAAAGTGATCCGCAAGACCTCGCTGGCCCTGATCCAGCAGAAAAAGGAGAAACTCGCACGCAAAGAGCAATCAGGCGTGGACATCATCTCAGTCGCGCTCCACAGCGGAGCATTCAGCGACGAAAACCTGCTCGACCAAACCATGACCTTCCTCGCGGCAGGACACGAAACCACCTCGGCGGCACTCACGTGGGGCGTGTACGCCATGTGCAAGTATCCCGCCATGCAGACCCGTCTGCGCAAGGAAATCCGCCAGCGTCTTCCCCCTCTCGACGACGAAACCTGGGCAGACAACATGCAGGCCGAAATGATTGAGGCCTTGCCCTACCTTCGAGCCGTCTGCAATGAGGTCTTGCGCGTCTATTCCCCGATCCCCATGACCCTGCGTGCAGCTGCCGTCGACACGACTATTCTCGGCCAGCCCATTCCAAAGGGAACCAAGGTTATCGTCTCCCCGCTCGCGATCAACACGTGCAAGTCCCTGTGGGGCGAAGATGCCGATGATTTCAACCCGGACCGCTGGATGGGAGTCGGCAAGGCCAACTCCGGTGGCGCGGAGAGCAACTATGCGTTCATGACTTTTCTGCATGGTCCTCGTTCGTGTATCGGCCAGTCGTTTTCCAAAGCCGAGTTTGCCTGCCTGCTCGCTGCAGTGGTCGGTCGGTTTGAGCTCCAGCTTGCCGATCCGGATAAGCCGATTCATGCCAAGGGCGGCGTTACCATGAAGCCGGCTGGAGGTTTACAGGTCAAGATGCGGCCCTTGCAGGGGTGGTAGGCTGTAGCATAGCACTTTCGCAGCTGGGATTGTACTATTGTACTTCCCTTGATGCTTCGGTCATCTCTGCCACTGTGCTCATCATTTGCTTCTATTTAATACTCACTCTTCAGCGCCTCCACGATATGGTCACCTGTCACCTGTCACCTTTCCTTTCTTTTCTTTCTTTTCTTTTCTTTTTTAATTATTTTTTAATCTTATTTATTTATTTTTTTTCTCGTGCCTATGCATTCTGTTCCTCAATAGCTTTCATACTTTTCATGCCAAGTACTTTATCTTCTTCCAGGAACATACGCACATTCTACATTCAATTTGTAAATTCTAGGTAGCTGAATAGACAAGTCTACTGATAATTCAACGCCTTACACGCTTTTTTTTCTTCCCCCTCCCTCCAGCCCCTCTCTGATGCAGCTCGAGCACCAGGGGTATACTGCCGAACCAGGAACTTACATATTTACCTCAAAAGCAACCTTGACTTTGGAGAACTAGACTTCAAAAAGACTGCATACATCAAAGCCTGCTTCTAGACATCATCATGATCATCAAACGGAAAATGCTCTTGCACGGCGCGTCGCTCCATTTCAGTATTAGAGTACTCCAGCAAACCGGCCTTGACCGTTTGAACAATAGCCCTCGATCTATCATATTGCTCATCATCAGGGACCCAGCCGAGGGAATCAATGCCAATATATTCCCTCATCTCGGAAAGCTCTTCCAGTCTTTCCTGTTCCTCATCATGTTGGTTGGTGCATTCTCTTATATCTTCCTCTGAATACTTCACTGGGCAGTCATCCACAGACTCCGATGTGGACGGTGCATGTTCAAGTCTCATCGGCCAATTCTGACAAGCTTGAACTATTGCGTATTTGAGAGACAGTGAGTCACCTTCCCACGGCTTCCGGGCACGGTCATAGAGCTGGGCTCGAAGCATGGAATTCTCTTCCCTGAGCGCGTCAAAATGATCTGGCATGTGCTTCAAAGTTAATGCAGCATAGTAGAAATGGACGAGGCGTCTTCGCATAGTCTCCTTTACCGCCTCTTGTTCATCTTGACCAAGGTCGTCAAAGTCTTCGGGCAAGTTGACTTCTGGCTTCGCCAATGTTTCCGACAATGGATCGCCCCAGTTTTGGAAATGATTTGGGATGCCAGCGCACAAACAGAGCGGCAAAGCCACTGCATACTGCCAGTCAATGATTCCCACTATCTCACATGAGGAATTTACCAAAATATTACTTGGCGAAAGATCCGGATGGCGCAGAACCGGTCGAGAAAAACGATGGCCTGAGGGGATTTGTAGATAAGGCGCCAACTGCATATATTCGGAGAGTAATTGGGCGTGGACAGTTGGATATTGCTTCTTAAAGTCGTGCATTTCACGCAGGTATCGCTCAACATGGAGACGGGGTCTCCCAAACCGTTGGCAAAATGCTATCTCCCGTTTTGCAGGTGCTTCAAAGCAGCCCAGGAACGTCTTCCCTAAGACTTTTATCAGAAAATAGTTGCCCCAAAGAGAGAGTGAAATAAATACATGGGCCCCGGTCCACGTCCAATGAAGCTCGTTCCTGATTCCACCATTGCGATTGCGTGGTTGGACCGATGACCATTTCAGCCTTCAAAGTGGATTGTGGTTCAGGCAACGAAACGCAGATATCCGACGGCTCAAGATCTCTGCGATAGTAGATACTCCCACTCGCAGGAAACGAGATGCTCATGAATTGTTTCTCCAGACGAACAATTTGTCTCATTATCTTTGTTCGTGTCTTGTTATCCATGGTAAACCACTGGTTACTGAGGGGAGTACCATCAACTTTCTCGTAAAGGAGATATTCTGTGCCGACGGTATTGGTATTGACCGGCGAATAACCAATGACTTTAGGTACCGGGATACCACACGAGTGCAAGAAGCCTAGTGTGGCTGCTTCACTGGCAATAACATGGTGTTTTGGAACGGTGTGATGGTAGGGAAGCCTAGCAAGGACTTCGTAACCGTCATTGAACGTGGCCTGGAGCACACGGTTGAAGCCCCCTTCTGCAAGCTTCTGGATTGAAGCAAGCTCGGAAATATGCCGGTCAGTAGCCCGGCATATAACAGCTGCAAGAGCATTGACATCAAATTGTATGCGCCGTTCGGCACGACGAAATTCCTCGTTGAATCTTATGTAAAAACAATAATTAATGGCCAGTCACCGAGGCAATGAAATTGTGTGACACTTACAGGAATCGCCCCGACGTGTACTCAAATAAATTGGTGCCAGTGTACCATGAACTCGTATATCTAGTATTCATATGGCCTAATCGGCCTGTTATTCTTGAAAGGAAACCCATACCATAAATTTAGCCTCCAGAATCGAAAATATTCAGAGAAAAAGGTATCTATTGGTCGTTGCTGTCCAAAATCCAGCATCCCGGTCTTAAATAGAAAATTGAGGAAACCCATATCCATACAGCATGAACGTGGCCGACACTCTGGCAATTCAGCAGAAGACTGGAAATCAGCGCTCCGATTGGCTGGCCCCGCTCACCGCCCTGGTTCTCCGCTGAGTGTCATATCTAATGCCACCTATGGCAGTGAGAATGCTACCGGAATAAGGTATCGTCAGGACGTGCTATGTAAGGAAAGTTATATGCAGCCAAGCGTGACCCGGTAACCCATGGTTATGCTCTGCCCTAACCTCGGAAGGACGAATTTCTGAATTTATTACAGAAGTTTCTGTTACGCCTCGTCCGCTCCATTCATTCCTGCTTAGTCATCGCTCTGCTTGAAAGTCTGGCGGAGAGCTTCTAGATAGCTTGATATTATTTTTCATCAATAGTTTACATCCACGGTCTTACAGTATATATACATTATAGATTATTTTGCACATGTTGTAATCAAATGGTCACTCTATTCCCGGGCTAGATACCTTTATTTTGTATGTTATTTCATTAATACTGTAGTTTACCAAAGATAATGTCGTCAAAAGGAACTCAACGACGCCAAAAGCAGCAAACCCTGCGTCAAACCCCAACCAAAACCTCTTTGCCCAATGCTCATTCCCACCAAAATCATCCATAAAGCCTCTCCAGTATCATCACCCCTCTCTCATCAGAAAAGTGCAAAAGGCAAAAGTAACACGGTAACACACAAAAAGCAAAAAAAAAAAAAAAAAGAAAAAAAAGAAAAAAAGAAAGAAACTAAATGCAGTGCCACGGAGTGGAGAGTGTAAAAGTCATTAGTCTTAAGTCATAAGTCGCAGACATGTAGCAAACCGTCTAGTCTTTGGACTTTCATTATGATAGGAACGGGACGAGGAGAGGAAAAGCAAGAAAGGAAGAAAGGAAGAAAGGAAGAAACAAAGAAACAAAGATTAAAAGCCAAAGAGAACGAGAACGAGAACCAAAAATTCAACCAGAGTCGAAGCAATAGATAGTCCCTCTGCGTCATTCGAGACTTCACGAGCAATAATTAGACGGAACCTAAGACGATGCAGGACCTGGAGGTGCATTAGAAGGAGAATTATCTGCTGCAACTGCAGCGCCTGTTCTCGCCTGACCTCTGCTCCTGTGGCCGCCAATATTAGCAGCTGCGTTATTATTAGCAGTAGTACTAGCACCACCGCCATTATTTGGAGCACCAGTACCGCTGGGACCCTGTGGAGAAGACTGCTGAGCAGACCCAGACCCAGTAGTCGTAGTCGTAGTCGCACTTCCAAGATTCTCCCTTCTTACCACCCTGATCCATACTTCGCCTGCCGTTTGGCCGCGGATATATTCGCCCGGGATGGCAAATGTTCCTCTTGGAGCGCTGGTGCCTGGTTGGTTTTGCTGGCCTTGTCCACTGGCTGAGTTGCCAGGTATGTAAGGGGGATTGGTGCCGCTTGCGACGGAGGTGCGATGTGTTGCGGAGACTCCGGTATGACTGCCAAATGCTGCAGAGTGCTGGACTACTCCTCCGACATACATGGGTCCCGGCTGATGGGTGGCATTGCTGCTCGCCTCCCCGCCGCTGTTGCGAACAAGCTGGATGTTTGTGTGCATAACGACGCTAGCAATTGTATCTCTGGGATTGCCGGCTCTAAAAGACTGGCCGGGAACACTTGAGCCGACTGCAGGTCGCGAAGCGCGTGTGGTGTGTCTAGTGGAACCTCTCTGTTGGCTGGTTCCAGGCTGGCCTTGCTGTCGTCTCTGGTTTGAGCGCTGTTGACCAGTGGTATTTGGTGGATTAGCAGCAGCAGTCTCTGACTGTCGGTGGGACTGATTCGCAGCATTCAGGACTCGGTGAGATGGAGGGTGTGAAGCAGCAAAGGTCCCGCTAGCTGCCCTACCACTCGGGTCCATTGGCGCATGCTCTGGGATTTGATGAGCCTCCGTGCCAGTCAAATTATTGGCAGAATAGGGGTGATGACTATGGTTGGGAGGTTGGATATTCTGCGACGGGAGTGAATATGGTGCCTGATTCGAGTTTGCCCTGGTCTGGCTGGTATCAAGACCGGGAGTGCCGCCATGTGAGTCAGATCCTCGGATCTGCTGCTGATGGAATGTATTGTCACCGTGCACATTTGAGGTGCTCGCACCCTGTGCCATTTGAGGCCACGATTCGACACCCTGAGCTTGCTGATAAACCCGTGTTCCTACATTTCTTGAGGATGGGTTCGGGCCATTGCGGTTGATGTTCGGGGTACCCTGGAGCGTTGCAGCATTTGTAGGAAGCTGACCGCTGGTATTGATGGAGCGGGTCGGATATGGCGAGTATCTGGGAACTCTATCGACTTGGTGACTCGATCTAAGAACGCCATGGAGAACGGCTGGCCGAGGTTGAGGAGCAAGTAAGGGAGCTTGCATGGGAAATATAGGGACCGGTCCAGTGGCATCTAGATCCATTTTGTGTTCCTCTTCAAACGCCCGGTCATGACCGCGAGAATCGGCTTGAGAGTGCCCTGGTGCGGCATTAGGGATGCCCTGCATTTTATGGTCTGAAATTCCACGCTCACCTTGGACTGAGCCCTTCTCGGCGGAATGCTGAGCTATAGTCGAAGTAGGAGGCGGCTGCGTGTCTCGATGTGTACTCCCGGCTTTTTCATCATAGTCGCTCTCCTGGGACGAGGAAGAAGCGCTGGTAGATCGACGAAGCGTTTCAGCTTCAGAATCATCTTGCTCCATTATCTCGTTCCTTTCCCGCTCTCTGTTGACACGCTGGCGGTAACGCTCCATATCACCAGGGAATGGATGTGGCCATCCATTCCCTCGCGGCGGCTCTGGCTCCGGATTAGTATACCACTCCGGCCTTGGGGTCATGGCTATTATGACATCCGGGCCAAGCCGCCGTACGATGTATAGGGTTTCAATACCGTCTCTTTCATTTTTGTCAATGAAAAAGCACGTACCCCCGTACCGATCCGCCAAAACTTCTAGGGGATCTCCGCGGGGAACAGTGTAATATCGAACGCCATCAATGGGCGGACCAAAAACAATCCCCCTTGTTGGAAGATTCGGCTGGACGTTCTCAGTCCGATTTCGGTCCCTCCTCTCATCTTCGTGAGATGCCCCAAATAGAGAATGCGAGCTGTGAGCACGAATGACATGAGAGTCATTGTCGCCAGTACTCTTCTCCTGAGTGACGAGGTCAACGGCTTGAAGAAGTACAGAGAACGGGCGGTCAATATCCACATTGTTGCTTCGGGGTTCGGACTGATTTCCGACTATATCACCCTCATTCGTTTTGTCATCCTCACACTTGTGGGCCAGCTCGCGGTTGGTGTGCTCTCTTGAGATTTCTGCATTTGAAGGCCCGGCATCACCAACGCTGCTTGCCTGACTACCGCTACCGAGATTCTCTGCAACTTTGCCTCTTGGAATTTGTAGTGCTGTCTGCGCTTGCACAGTCTGCGAAGTAGTTGGAGGAGTCTGCGTAGCCCATCCGGAGTCGTCCCGGTTGATAAGGTGGACACCGTCGTCGCTCATGGAAAGCCAGCACTGAACGCACATGTTCTTGCCGCATTGCATGCATGCTCTCATTGGGCCTTTATTGCGCAATTCGCAAGAATCGCACTTTGCCGTCCTCGCGGTGATGGTTCTGAAAAGGGTATGCGCGGGCATTTTCCTTTGTCTAGCAAGATAACCTCTTTCAAGCCAAATGGATTTCAGGGGCCGCTGACCACGAGAGTCCAGAAATGAGCTGGACGTGTCTATAGCAGAATAGTGGAAACGAAACAGTGAACTGAAAAAACACAAGCACTTCTTTTGGAAGCAGGGTCGATGTTTGACTTTCAATGGTCAACGATGATAATCTCGTAGTATAGCGCCGAAATCTCTGGAAATATTAATCTCCTGTTCCCTTTGGCTTTTTCGATTGCAGAGGGGTAAGCAAACTCACTTATGACTTGACAATTTCCGATCACAAAAACCGAAAGAATCAACGCTGTTGCTTCCTTTTGCCACTTGTCTGAGGCTGCTGCTGCTGCTGATTAATTTGGCGTCTTATCCAAAGGCTGGGAGGGGAGGAGTTGGCGAGGTGCCAAAGCCCCAGAAAAATGATCTTGGAGTAAAGAGTAGAGGGTAGCATAAAGAGTCTGGAGGAAGGATATGTTCAGGGAAGTCGTGTGCGAATTCTAAGCGGGTGAGAGAAAGGCACGGGAAAAAAGACGTGGATCTCAAGCTGGATTTATACGCGGTGTCGAGGGCATTCAAGGAAGCGGGAATGGGGAATTTTGTGTAGTTCCAACCGTGAAGTCAATGCAGTGAAACTGGCTTAAGCTGTGTGCCTTCATATGTGACCATTGCCGTTGACTTCTGGTGAAGCATGTTGTGATGGTGCTTTGCAATGTTGCAAGAAGCGGACCAAACACTGTAGGGCCTGCCAGATGTGTGACTAATTGAAGGGCAAAAGGCCCCAAGTCACGCCGGTTGGCTTGCCACTGAGCCCAAGAAAAGAATTGCTTTCCGGCAGACATTTTCCCAGTCCTTCACAAACCCGAGACTGGTGACCGGCTTGCGGGTCGATAAAGCAGCCAACGCAGAGCGCCAACTGGTGAATGATCGCCAATAACCAGCGTTCATATTACAGCCAGAAACGCTGTGACAGTGATAAAAAGACAGACTCCACCAAGATGAATAGTTGGAAAATGGGCGATGCACTGAGTCTGCAAACTTGGTGCCTCTCCTGCCCAAGCCATGCTTCCTTTCTGGAGCCATGAAGCATACATGCCATTCATTTGTGAGGCCAACGGAGCGATCGTTAAGAGCGCCCCTTGACTGGAAACCTCCATATTTTCTATGCTTCATGGTCAAAGTGGCGAAATATAAGCGACTGGAGTAGTGAAAATCGGCCGGCAATGTTGAGTGAGAATTATGTAGGTGAATGATGTAGCACAAACTTGCATCATTCCCAGTTACGCGAAGCTATGACAAAAGGTGCGAAAAGAGAATGGTAATCAGCTCCTTCAAGCAGGGGAGAGAATGCCGGGTAAGCGTTCCATAATTGCGAGAGAGGAAGCAATGCATTGAATGAGGGGTGCAGGCGTGGTTAAATGATCAGATAAACGATGGTGCCGTACCAAGGTTGCCGGCACACAGCATTGTCTGTGCCAAATAATGGTAGGATTCAAGAAACGGACAAGATTCCAGTTCGGTAGGGTCTCGTCGTATCAAAGTCTTGCGGCGAGTTAACAGTGCTTCTGAGCGCCATGGAAGCCAAACAACTGCTAAGATAATGGAGGCTGGAATGACTTAAAGCAATGTGAGATGCTGTGGAGGTGTTTCTCGATCGACCAAAGGAGTCATGTTCAAAGTTGTCGCGGTCATAAGACATTACTCTGGTTTGACGTGTTAGGGCTGAAGGAGCCGTTGTTCGACGGGAAGATTTGACGTAACCTGGACGAGGAGGTGGCCTTGGAAGCAAGAAATTATAAGTGTATCAATGTCCATCGAAAAGTCGCATGAGGTTTGTACTCTCAGTGTCATTTTATGCTCAAGGAAGCAGTGCTTTGTGGCTGTGAACAATATCAATAGCTGGAGTTGTCCAGTACACGTACTCCAGTCGATAGAAGGACTTCCAGCACTCCAGTATGCTGATTTCGTAGAACACAAGAAGTGGCTCATTTCGGTGTGGAAAAGCCAGGAAAGGCAGAAAATTGGGGGCAGGCAAGCCTTTTAACTTTTGCGAACACATTCATATTGAACACGCTAAAACATTAACGTGCAGTGACGACTCAGGTTCCAAGCAGAAAGGAACATTAAACGAAAATTGCGTGAATGGGAGAACAATAGCACTATGATCAAAGGACTACGCCATGTGCTCTGCGTCACTGTTCGGTTGCTCGATAGTGGAATAGGACCAGTGCTTGGCAATGGCCATGAGATCTCTCGATGGCGTAGCCAAGCCGTCAACGAGAGGAAGCCTCCAACGAAGATCACCTAATAGGTGTTAGCTCAAAGGTTTCAAGGTCAGACTTCATAAAAAGTTGAAAATCAGTGGTATTTTCGGTGCTCCGTGCCAGTGTCAGAGCAGCCGCAAAAGCCAAATAACACGAGCTTCAAAATGGTTCGATCGGAGATTCGATCCGCCGAAGTCAAAGGCTATAAAACTTGCAATGCAATCGTCAGCAGAAAAGTAGTTAACAGATCCGCCTGGAAACGCCAGAGTAGCGCTGAACGCTCCTGACACACCAGCAAAAATTAAACCAAACTTTTAACTCCTTCCGCGGTTGAAACGAACTGCAAAATTTCATCACTAAGCACCAAACAAAGAAGTCGCCTTTCGTTTGTTGAGTATTTCCATTATTCTATGGATCGGATAGTGCTGGCGTAGGACCAAAAATATATACAAGTACAAATGTCGAGCAACGATGATGCTGACGATGATGCTGCAGTGAACTTGTAAGCAAGCAACCACGCCCATTCCATATCCTTTAAAAGTGTGATAACAAGAAGCAGAAGATAAAGCGAAACTACGCCCGCCATGGAAACTGGAAATGGTTATCGAAAAATGAGCGCCGCGAATATGGGCCCGCCGATGCAGCCAACTTGTCTTAATTAGCTGAAATGAGGCTCATCCAATGGATGATGCGTATCGAACAAATTGGTAGAAGAAAGCGTCTCTTTTTTAATACAAGCGTCATGATCCGAAGCTGCAATTACAGACAACCTGCGGAGGAACGGGAAAGTAGAGTTGAGAGTGGATATAACGGTCGAAATGTTCGAATCACCGAGTCGGAGGAATGATGAGAGTTTCAAAGGGTTGAGAGGCATGAGACCAGTCCGAGGGAGAAATAGTTACATGCGATGGAGATGGAGGAGCACACAAGACCATGCTTAAGCAAGCGCAGGGGTCTGGGCGCCCTCCGCTGGCGCTGGCGGCGGGGGTGCAGGAACCTGTTGAAAATGAGGGTATATATGTTAGCCCAGTCATCCCTAGAGCAATCACACGTAGGTATAGAAGAGAATCTTATGTAAAAGTGGATTGACATGTCTAAAGGGGGTACTCACATCCAGTCTCGTGTTCTCAGCCATGAGTCTCTGGAAACCAATACCAACACCCTCAATGACAGCAAGCAAGCAGGCACAGCCAATGGCCGAGTTTCTAGCAGCCTTCATTCCGCCACGAATGGCGAGAGCGCCACCAGTAAAGAATCCTGCAATGACTATACGGCAACAAGATTAGCATGAATGTTTCAAGTATGGCATCCTCAATCAGCTCCGCCAGGTTAAACCCTGTCGAGTATTGGGCTGTTTGTATTACTTGTCATAATGGTGCTGACATACTTGCGTTGTATGGATCTTCCTTCTTGCGGAGGCCCTTGACGGCACAGTCAAAAGTTGAGAAGAGACCACCCCAAACACCAAAATTGCCACCAAGGACAGGCGCACGAGCCTTGATAGCAGTGAGAGCGCCAATTCTTCGCTCTCCGTAAGGGCTGTTCCGGAAGCCCTTGACACCATGCCACACAGCACCACCAATTGCCTATAAAATAACTAATGCGTTAGCTATCTATTTCCAAGATTGTACCCGAAGGTTCCGTATCCGTCCCATATTCCGCTCCAATCTCAAAGAGCGGAGAAATCGAATGTATCAAATCGGAGATGAATATTGGGTCGTTACGGAGAAAGGGGGAAGGTATGAGGTGTTGCTGTGGATAATATCGGCGAAAAGAAAGAGGGAAAGCGTACTCCCATGCAAAAGGCGCCTCCAAAGTCGTTCAAAGCCACCCACGGGCAAGGGTCACGAGTGTGATCCATTTTATGATTCGGTTCGGTTTAGCCGGTCGACGTCTTAGAAGATATAAGGCGGCGTTTCAGAGTGATGAGGCTCAACGGTGGCTGATGGCCTCGACGACGGGAGAGATCAACTCGCTTGAAAAGCCGGTAATAATTCCAATGGCGGTGGTATCGAGGTATGCAAAGGCGCGTCTTGTATCAGTAAGGAATAAACAAATATCCCCCAAGTCCAGAGACTCCTGCTTCGACGGGTCTATGAGGTTGTTCAACTGATGTCTTTGGATTGTCCAGGAGAGCGCCAAGTCCGAAATGATGCTGATGCTGGGAAACTTTTCCTGTTCCGCGTGATTGGCCGCTTGACGAGAATTATTGATACGCCTCGGTCCGATGGTGCACAATTGTGTATAGTTCTATGCATTCATAATCTGAGAGCACAATTGGATTTATGCAAGTATATGTTACGTAATCTTCTTATGCACATGCATCAAAGTACCTTCGTATTCCGTACCGTACGACAAGACAAGCATTCTGTTAACCTACACAGCTAGTCGGCATAGCTCTCTGGCCCTGGTTTTGGTTAAGCGCATAACTGTGCAACGTCTAGCCTGCTTCTTTTTAACTGCTGTCGTCATAACGCCAAACAACGCAAGGTAAGACGACGCCCTGAGGACTTTAGTTGAATGACCCATACCCTTTTCTACTGCAATGATACCTGTGACGCGTGCGGTCGATCCATTGATTGTTGCCCGATTCGACAGTACTCGGGGGCTGAATGAGGAGATCGATCACGCCCAAATCCCCCTCATTGAACCTTCGTCCAGGGCGTGGCCCCCTTCCATTGAGTCTATTATGTATAGCTGTAGACTGATGACCCCATTATCCCTGCAACAGCTGCCTCATGCGCATTTGGACCAAGCCTGCTCATTGACGACATCTACTCCAGTCTGTCTTCTTGCTTCTTTGTGAATACTTCTCCATTATAATTGCCCTCTTTTCCACCTCGTCTGGCGCCGGCCGATTGATTTGTCGTCGCTTTCTCTCCTCCTCTGTTGTTAGCTACTTAGCAAGTTTTCACAATCTGGTAATCAATTGACTCAGCCGGTGCTCTATCTTTCAAAGCATTCCTGTAAGCTTTGTCCTTGGGGAGCCTTATGCAAGTCTGGCAATGCGTGGATGGGGGCGCTTCAGCTTCCGTAACCCTTTCGCCTTTGTCAATGGCTTCGGCGCTGTAGTATATATTAAAGACACCTCCGCTGACAAGCTTGTTAAAGTAATTAGTCGCATAAGCTCTTGAATCATCATGGCCGACAAGGAAATCAAGGAAGGCGACCAGGGTATGTATCCACATTTGTGGCTGTAGTTGTCTGACGCGTTGGATGCAATGCAAACGTCATGTCCCCTTATTCTCGAACAACTTGGCTGAGAGCGTGTGCTTGATCGCAGTTTCATGGCAGTGGTCTGGTGGCCGGCCTGGAGGTACTGCGGAAGAAGTCAAGGAGCAGGGCGAGATTGCCATTCAATCGAACAAAGGCAACACCATCAAGAAGAATGCAAGCCCGGACAATCCGGCCGTGCACGTCTCCCGGCCGGGAAACGACGTTGTGAAGCGGCAGAGTGAGCTTGATGTAGAAAAAGAAGGGCCGAAGCACAAAGACGAGGGTGGGGAAGGAAAGGCGGACAAGGAGGAAAAGAAAGAGCAAAAGAAAGCGGATGCGGAGGAGGAGGAGAAAAAGGAAGCTAAAGAAGAAGAGAAGAAAGAGAAGGAACAAGAAGAAGCAACTGCTGGCGAAAAGCGCGAGAGAGCCGAAGGAGATACTGGCGACGCGGAGAAAGATACGAAGCGTCAAAAGCAGCCCGAGGAGACCAAACAAAATGGGGTCAACGGCGAGAAGAAACAAGAAGCACCTGCGAAGAAAGGCCCTGGACGCCCGAGAAAGGATGCAGCGAGCTCCACTGCAGAGAAGAAGACAGAAACGAAATCCGTGCCCACTGGCGATAACATTGGCAGTCGGACCCGCTCAAAGGCTAATGCTTGAAGATGAATGCATTGAAATCACTTCAGTCCTCCTCAAAAAGCCTTGGTCGCTTATATCTGCGTGTTTATTATTAATTATATTTCTTTTTCTTTGAAATCTAGGATATACGGCGCTGTAAATGGCAACGATTAAGCGTCTCGAGTAATGGCAATATTTCTTTTTTTTCCCCTCCTTCTGATTCTGTATCGTCAGGTGTATAATTCCCGGAGAGGAAGCAGCTAATTTGTCACCGCGATCAAAGAATTCTGCTGAACTGCGGGGTAAAGGTGCAAAAAAACAATATACTCGATAAATCGGGGTGGATGGTAAAAATAAACGGTAATCTGGAAAATGAAATATATAATTATAAAAAAAAGAGAATTACTCGGAATTTTATTATTTTCTTTGCTTGAAGCCTATATTCAACGCGTGTCAACTGGGCTCCTGCCAATGTACCTTCACAGCAACGACATGTCCTGCTTCCACACCATGCAGTACGATACTTTGATGTTTTGTTTTCTTTTCAGTACTGAAGTATCACACGTGTGTTGACTTTGTTGATCCCTGAAATTTAGCTCTGCACTTGTTGCTTTTGCCGTTACAACTCCCGCGCTGCTCTCGAGCACGGCCGCCACCAACATGGATTTGTTTGGCCCCAGGGGGCGTCTCAAGCTTCCCAGCCAGCCCGTGCGGGCCCATGGCAAGGACCAAGAGCCAGCACGAGAAAAGCCGCCGTGGTGCTACACGACACGTCGATGCTGCAGGTTTAAAGTCTAGACCATCGCATGGTTGCGAGGATATTAGGAAGCGGTAAAAAGCCACCGACAGTCAAAGCGGTTGCGTCTTTGTCCAATGGCAGGAATGGCTCTCCTCGTCTGCAGACATGCAGTACACTAAAGGCGACATGCATCCACTTCTTAAGAGCGGGCACCTTAAGCATCGGGGGGCCTCGTGCGGGCCTAGGAATAGGACCGAAAGAGGAACACGGAATAAATGAGATGAACTGAAGTATCTGAACAGAGTAGTACGTCCGAATAAGAAAAAGAAAAACACCAGATATTTCCCCGACCACAGTATAATACTGCTACTGCATCCTTCACCGACATTATTGCGCCCTTTTCCCCGCTTCCTTTCAATCTCTTTGCAGGCATTCCAAAATCCTATGCTCCACTATTACACGTCGGAAGAGCATTGTACAGTATAGATCGTTCCATCTGGTAGATATTGATAACTCTGTCAAAGCGGAGAAATTTTGCAATATTCATGCTGTACATTTGGCGCAAGGTCATTGGAGCGATTGACGATGCAAGCCGTTACGCTTAGAAACGCACATCGAGGTTACAACTGCCTGTTCCTGCTTGCGTGTCTAACTGCAACACCGATTCTATTCGTCAGAAGCCTTTTTGCTATGTCTCGACTCGATTACTATTGCTTTTGACCTGCGTTGTAACCCGCTGTACAGAGTGATTTAGAGTGAATCTTCCTCTTGGAGGTGCGGAACATTGCGGTAAGCTACAGCAATGGGTTACTTGACTGTAGTAGTACCTTTGTAGTAATACCATGGGGGAAGGGAGAGCAGGGCCTTTCACCACCTTCAACAGTCAAGGGTGTATGCCTCCATGGACCAACCCCCCGAAACTCAAGTGCATATTGTCCGACATAAATGAATAATTTATCAATCAACTACGAGTATAATGCCTGGTACAAAGCCATGTGTGTAAATTTCCCGCGGGAGGGCCCAACCGTTCACTCATCCTCGTCTCTCGACCGCCAGACTCCACTACGCTTAGGACCTGTAGGACAAGGAATAATATTGTCCGATACTTTAATTCCAAGCGCTTCTGAAGTGACTCTCTGGCATCTACAGTACTGTAAGTTACAGTAATCAAAGCCCACAAACTCCAACAATCTCAGGAACCATGACATGATAACTTATGTAATCGACCTAGACGCTGACGACAGCAGATACGTGAGATGACGGAACAATGGCGTTTGATATGGAGTCATATTCAACATTACTCCGGTATACAGTGACCCTTTGCCATGGGAGAAATCTCTTGCGCAATTTTTGTTACGCTTTTGTCGAGATGAAGCAATGATACGGCGCTGGAGCTAATCCCCCTCGAGCAATCTCCCAGCTGCACGAGCCGGCTACCAATGAAGCTTACCGGTTCGCCAAACAGGGTTTATCGACTGCAACCAATCGCTCTGCTTCAAAGGTGCATACATGGCCAATGGTGTGAAATGGATCGACAGTCTCTAAATTGGACAAGTAGCAGTTCCAGTCAACCCGTGCCATAATTTTATGCAAGGATCTGTTCTGTACTGTACGTGGTAGTATGGTCAGACCTCTACGGAGTAGATTGCGACGTCGTCGGGTTGCATGAGTTGATCAAAGGAAAGGTGCAGATCAATTATTCGAGACCCCCTCTACACAACAGCAAGGTCGCTTTACACCTCGAAAATATAGCAAGCGAACACAATGGGGCAGTACTCCAATGAAGAATATGGATTTTTGAGTGTCTCTCCCTTTTCTCACACATTTTCCTGGCCTTCATATGAGAAGCGCACGGACGTATGTCCAGTCATGCAACACTGACTCGCGGCGACCGGCCACCAGATACTCTATCAACAATGATAAAGACCCGGTCTGACTGTCGGCGGACGCTACGGCACTAGTACCTTGGGGATAATCCGAACCATGGCCGACTTCCTAAGAAGGTTGCAGGAGATAGCGGGAGGGTGGAGAGAGGTGGGCTCTGATAGGGCTGCTACTGATAGGGAGACAGTTAATGTTATGCGAGACGCTCTCTCATCGGTCGGGGATTCCATCATCTAATCCTCCTGGGATGCTGTAACTTGGAGTCTTTTTGCTTGGTGGAGACTTTTTTAGCGTCGACTTTTGTTATCAGTGAACCAGGATGTTTTTTGAGACTGATCACAGTCTGAGGTGGAAAGCCTCCGAGCATCAGCGATAGATAAAAAATTTCCTCCGATCTTCTATCAATGATGTCGCTCTCCTGAACAATCACTGACCAGCAGAGCTTGCTCATGGAGTAATCCACGGTGGAAAAATTGTCTACAGTTCATCAGTGCAAATCTGCGCGGGTCCGATCATCCTTTGAGGCTGGATATCATCGTTTCCCTCCGAAACCAACCGACCAAGTGGGGTCCAACCGAGCGTGGAGCCGTTAGCACTGATCGCCCACACTCCCCCATTGATTGGAAGGGTTCATGGCATATTGATAAGAGTATCTTTCCAGCTGAAGATCAATGCTAGAAAAAACAACAATGGGAGATCATTGAGTAACATAGCTCTTTTCCTGGGAGCAAACGAGACAATGTTCCAGGTTATGCGTTGATGGGGTGATGGTGGTACGGTTTCTGCACCTCGCAAATGTCACTTGCCCTTTCACTTACGTTCGACAAGCACCGAGGAGGTGGGGGGTCCGTGTGTGGAATTGCTGCGGGCCATGCAAAGCTCAAGCGTTTTGATGACAGGATGGACGAAACACAGAAATAGGGAAGCGAAGCTGCGAGGGGAGATAGAGAGGAAGTGACGACGGAAGAGGAACTGGAGACCTTGACATACTTGCGCACCAATAGAGCTATGAACAGTCTTCAAAGTACCGAGCGGTTGTCTATACTCGAGTCTACTCTTCTTTGCGTAATGGTGGGCACGTATTAGGTAAGTAAATGGCGTTCGAGGGTGCATTCCCATCCCGTTTTGGATGGCCACAGACGGATGGCCGCGTGACGCGGTGGACACAGAAGTTACGCCTTGACTTCAACTCCGACTAAGATGACTGGCAAAAACAAAACGAGCCAAGATGCTTAATTAATCGATGCTTCAGGTCTCTGCAACAGCGCAAGGAGGTTGACAACGTTTGTGACAGCGGGTATGATCCAGTCTGAGATTCATCATGCCAATGGGGTTGATTCGTCTCACTAATCCACCCAGCGACGGGCATTGGCACGCACCATTGTTGTCACAACAAAAAAGCATAATTTGTCTACAATTGTCCCCTGAAACAGAAATTCGTATGATGACTAGGGGGTCGGTATGAAAAGCTGGATGTGGCGTTTGTTGTCATGTCTGGGGAGCCATCTTTTGTTCATTGAGTGCAGGCGTCACGACGGGCACCCCATGCATTTGTCCACGCTGGCCAAAAGGAACAACAAGCGAAACCAAACAAGAGGACCCTGATGCCAGATGGTACCCCTGGAGGGAAGAGGGAGAGGGACCTTGGACCACATGCCACCCACCTGACGAAGGTGATTTGCGTCGAGTCACAGTCGGACAACTCGGATCGAAGCCGATGGAAGACATGGGTCTAGAGGGCCTAAGCTGCTTGGTCGCTTGGACTATGGCCACTCTGGCCGCTCGCCACCCGGCATTTTTACAGTCTGCCAGGCTATTGGCGCCCCCGGAGGCGGGCGAGAATCCCCCATGAACCCACATCTGCCATGATGAGCCAGACAGCTCTGCCATGGATACCGGCTTAAGCGGTCGACTCCTCGGTCAATGAATTTGTGGAGAATAATGGACCAGCCCAAGAGGTCCACAGAAGGCCCCAGAGGAGACCAGTTGGTCCCTGAGCAAGCCAAGTTCTCCGGAGTGACTCGTCCGGTTCTCTATCTCCATCTTGTCGAATCGATGAGCAAGATAGGTCCACATGTGGACTCGTAAGAGCTGGTCCCTGATCCGGTCTGATCCCCAATTTCAGCAATCCGTCATTCGTAAACATTTGCATGCGCCCCTCCTATTTTGAGAGGAGAGGAAGAATTCCCCTTAGCTCGGCAAACCCCGAGCCAATGGCAGTAGGAATTGCGTGCGTGAGTGGTGTGTGGTGCTGCAATGTGCCGTAAGGTCGTGTACAATGACTCCTGGGCTCGATGCCTGTTTTTGTTGTTTCTCTTTTTGCCAGCGGTGTGACCTCTCACTCTCTCCTAACAGCAAAGAGAAGTTGGGCGTTTGAGCTGCATGGCAGCAGAAAGAAGGGGGGAGCGTTAGGGGGGGGGGGGGACCTAGAACCGGGGTATCTGTCGCTGCCTCTTAGCTGCATGATGGTACCTACGTCAAAGTAATGGCGCTAAAACCAAACAAGCAGTGGCCAGGCTGCACCTGGACGGCATCTTTGAATCCGGGCAAAGCAGAACTTGCACGTACTTCCATACTGGACTCGCAGTGGCAGGTACGGTACGGTACGTATCGGAGTACTGTACCGGAGTCATCATCCACCCCCCCAATCCACATCAGCCTGTTTCCCACCACTCCGTTGCCTCCCCTACTACTCTTGGCCTGCTTCCCTCCCTCCCTAACCTCTTTCAATCCCTCTATCATCAACCACCCACCCTCTTAGTGATTCCCTATTCCTATTCCTATCTCTCAGTCTCTCAATCTCCCTCCTCCCTGCGTTTCCGTTAGCCTAATTAGCCTTTCAGTCCGTCGCTGCTCTTCTCTCTCTTTCTTCCTCTAGCTTTGCCTTTCTGCCCCTCCACTACCGGTCATTCCCCCATTTCCCTAATTCCTTACGACATTCGACTGTCTGGCCGCTCTCGTGCTCGCCGAGCGCCATTGACTCAAGTCACACCGCCCCAGCTCTGTTCCCCCCGTCTCCTACTTCCTCTTCTACCTCCTTCATCCCACCTTCTTCTCTTTCTCTCTACTCTTCATCCTTTCATCTCTTCCAATCCTCACCTCTTCTTCATCTCGAATCTTCTGTCCTTGTCCTGAACTCTCTCACACAACGTTGCTATCTATAACCGCTACCTCATATTCTCTACCTCGCTCTCCTCATTACTACTACTATACAATTCCTCCCTTGCGTCTCCGTTCTCAGTTACCTACGGCAACCGATTACATCAACTCTTATCTGTCGTCTGTAACCTCCGACCCGAGCGAGAATCAGGACACCTCCTTCCTTCTCTCTTCCTCTCCTCCTCCTGCTACGCAATTCCTTCCCGGTCGAACAATCTCAAGACCTAGCCCTTTTGCTAGTTCAATTACCTGAAAGAGCTCATCTGTTGCGAATTCATCACTTGCTATCCTTTGAGCATCGTCGAACGATAGTGACAGTCCGCAGCGAGCTTCTCTCAGTGTTAGTGCTTTCTTGAAGCCTTTCTTTGGGATTCTCGACTTCTGAGTCACCTCCTGATCGGATAATCTCAAGGTCGCTACTTCCTGTAGCACCTTTATACCCGTCGGGTTGTGAAATTGGCCGGTTTGAGTCCGTCTCATCCGACCACCTCTCTCTCGACTCCTCAACTGCCTCATTTTCCTTGATACGACTTTACGACTAATCTATATTCGATCGATCTATCATCTATCTACCGTATAATTTTCCTATATCGTTTTTGACATCTACGTCGTCGCTGCCCTTGTCGCAAGTCGCACCTCAGGCAGGCCTCGAGTTACACTCTTTTCGAATATACAAGACTAGTCATTTCCTTTGTTTTTTTTTTCTCTTCAACAACCCGTCCAAATGGATTCTTAAACCAATCTTTTAAGTTTCCTTAAGCGACAGCAGGCTTCTGCCTCGCTCAGCGACACCTTCGTCCCAGATGTGCATACACACTTTTTCTTCGAACTTTACATGAACTTTGATCTACGACTTGGGAGTTTTGTTCTTCATTCTATTCAGCGGTGGCCGGTGCAGCTCATCTAGCATCTGAAAATCTTTTCTCTTTTTTTCCCCCTTCGTTTCTATCGTCATCATCATTGTCGACCCTCCGCTTGTTTCGGACGACATTTGGTACATATTTTCTTTTTGACGAGCATCTATTCCACTTCTTCACTTCGTGTTCATTTCTAAAGAGCGTCTATACTGCCTTGTTTGCATCCTCGCTCGACCAAAAAAAGAAACTTACCTGGAGGTCTCTTTTTTCTTCTGTTTAACCTGCCTTGTTCTTCTCCTGTACTACCATTGTTCACCATTTCACCTATATACCTCGTTCTTGGACCGATTCAAGGGCGTAACTCCTAACCCGACCTGTCTCGTCAACTTCTCCTTTTATACACAACTCAACACCACTGCAGCATTCTTCCCAAGACGTCAAAGCGGAACTGTCACATCACCACCATGGACTGCATGCGAGATCATTTTAGCGAGGGAGTCGTCCTCGACGGACGATTTGAAACCGTCTCCCCTCTCAACCATGGCTCTTTCGGTCTGGTATTTTTGGCCAAGGACCGTTTGTCCGGGGATCTTGTTGCCGTCAAGTGCACACCCAAGCCATCTGCCATGGGCTATGCAGATGCAGATGTTAATGTCGATGAGCGTTCCGAAGAGCTCTCCTGCCACCAAGTGCTGGGCGTGCACCCAAACATTGTCAACATGCTTCACACCTTTGAGACGGATGCGCACCGGTACCTGGTCCTGGAGTATTGCTCCATGGGCGACCTCTACGAAGCCATCCGACTTGATCGTGGCCCCCTCGAGACCGAGCACGTTCGGAGCTTCATGCTTGAGCTTGTTGATGCGGTCGAGTACATGCACAGCAAAGGATTCTACCACCGCGATATCAAACCGGAAAATATTTTCCTGGCCCAGTCTGGCTCCATGAAGCTGGGTGACTTTGGTCTCGCCACGCGTGACACCTGGTCTACGGAAGCCGCGGTTGGTAGCGATCGGTACATGGCCCCTGAGCAGTACGACTCTGCTGGTAATGGCTACGCTCCAGCCAAGGCCGATATCTGGGCTGTTGGTATCTGCTTGCTCAATGTTCTCTTTGGCCGCAACCCCTTTGCGACGCCCACCGAGTCTGACATTCTCTTTTCCGACTATGTTCGTGACCGGCAATCGCTTTTCGACATTTTCCCAAACATGTCTCTGGATACGTTTGAGATTCTCACTCACGCCTTGACCGTCGACCCTGAGAAGCGATCTTTGCAAGGTGTTCGTGAGGGCTTGCAGCGCGCCATCAGCTTCACTACCGATGACGAGAGCCTTGATGACTTCTGCACCGAGACTCGCGATGTCGTCCCGGCTAGTGCCAACCGCGAGCCTCTGCGTACGCCGTCGATCCAGAGCCCACAGCTCGACCAGGGTGGCTCGTTCCCCTGGGCCAAGGCTTTGCAAATGAGCCCGGCTCAGCCCGTGCGTCGCCTGTCGGCTATTTTGGACACGGAGGACTCCACCGAGGAAATGTTCCCTGGCTACGCCAACAACGCAGGCTGGTACTCAGCCGCCCAGGAGAACGCTTCCTTGGCCTCTGCGCTCGACTCTGGCCTTGGAGCTTCGATCAAGTCAATGACTCTTCGTGCACCTCCGGTACGTGACCCTCCCAGAGCAGATCCACCTCAGGTTTCGGGTTCGGTGCCTATCACCGTCAGCCGTCCCATTCCTGCCATGGCCTCTGTGTTTGGTAAGAAGGATGAAATGGTGTCAAAGAGTTGGAGCGATTTGTGGGACGAGGAAATCGAAGAGCAAGCGGAGTTGGAGCACCAGAACTTTGTCGACGAGCGCCGCCTTCAGAATGAGAGGAGTTGGAGTCAAGACAGCAAGGACGACGAGCGAACTATCCGATCGGGTGGCTTGCGTGAAATTAAGGATGCGTCACAGCTCAACTCGCGCACCTCGAGCCCCAAGGCTCTACGCACCAGCGGCCTGTCGAATATTGGCTACGATGGCATCAGCGAGAATGATGGTTTCTTCTTTGAAGACCATCCCTCGCCCAAGGCGCCGCGTAACTCTCCACCTCGTTCGAAACGTGAAATTATGGACAAGTGGACGGCCCTCGGTGCCCGTCGTCGGGCTCACACCAATGGCAAAACTGGCTCGCCTGACTCATCGCTGAAGCGGCCACTGCAGCAGCACAACCACAACACTGGCAGTTTCAATCACAGCTTCAACAATGAGAATTGGCGTCGTGGAATTGGTTTTGGCGCGACTGGGTTTCAGGGTGAAAGTCTGGATCGGAAGAATTGGAGTTTGACAAAGGATTGGCGTCGTGAGCAGCCGCAGCAGGCTCACCACCACAACAACAACAATCACAATCATCACTACGCTCATTTCCATAATCCTCATTCTTATCAGCACCATTATCCGAACTCTTCTTTGGCGGCGCATCGTGCGGGACGCCAAGCACCTCTGCATGACGTTGCGGGCGACGTTGAGTGGGTTGGAGGTTGGCATGACCTTCAATTGTAGTCTGAGCCGCAGGTTCCTGTTGTCTGTGCCTCGACCTTTTTTTTGGGACGCTAGTCGTTTGGAGTCGAGAATAGACATGGGACCGGGCTGAGGCTCGCCATCTGTGATTAGATCTAGAAGGAAATAGATATAATCCAGGGTACCCACTCAAGCAATACGGGAGCACACATCTATATGATTTGAAAAGAAAAGAAAATCAAAATTTTCATTTCGTCTATAAGGTTCTTTTTTCTCAACACTGAAAAAGCGAAATCCCTCTTTTAAATTCATATGGATGTGAGTAGAAGAGTTTTAATTTTTCTTTGGATTAATGTCGTGGGGCATATTCCATATCCATGTCTTAGTATTTATTTTCAAAACCCTATATAGTTCTTTCCCGATAATCTCACTATCTATCGCAACCAGCTAGCTAGCGATGAAAGATAGAATGGGTATATGTATGTAGGTAGCGAAATCTCCAATATTTAAAGAAGTAAAATCACACGAAGAGACTGGTTCTGAGGTATTTTGTGACTTTTGACTTTTGCATATGTACACGCTGTAATGGATTCAATTGTAGTCATGGTTGTGGCATAGTGGCAATTCGTGAGCTTGTCGAATCGGTATTCATTGTGGTGAGAAGGATTCGATGCGCTGTTGAAGAGGTATGGTATTGATCGTTGATTGTACGCATGACATGTATGGTGTAAGCAGTCTTTTGACGTATCTCTGCGCCTCCTGGAGCATTGCAGAGATTTTGCTCTGGGATTTGACTGTGACCAGCCTTGTCTGGTCTTGCATCATATCTCCGCACACTACAACCAGTACGGTCCAATCAAACAGATTATTATTTCATCTCTATCAGTCCTTCCATTTCCAACTTTCCGAACGTCTCCATTTCACTACCTGGCAACCTTTACATGAGACTGTACTATGCCCATGCCATATGGAATTGATGATGGAATAAAGCCTGAGAGACGATTCTGTGCGAATGCCGAAATCATACCATTTCTCGGACGTACGGAATTGACCGAACTATACAATTCTTGCCATATTCTAACCGGCCCTACATTTAACAACCCCTTCTTTTACTATGATACATATAATTGCTCATCCTACGCGAAGTTCAAATGCGATATCGATGGCCATGGCTTTGGGTACGGGTCTGCGAAGCTTTGTTGGTGGGGCCATGAGTCCGCCAGCAGCAGCAACCGCAGCGGCGCCGTTACTTCAGGTTCGTCCTCAGGCTCACCGAGCTCTACAATCAATCCAGAGCCAGTGGCATCAGTCCTGTCAGGGCCAGAGTGAAGTTGTGCACAGTGCTACTCGGACCTTTTCCTCCTTCTCGAAGAGTCGAGCGCTGGCTGCTCGTCCCTTTAGCTCTTCCCCGTCGTCATCCACCTGGATGGGGAGCCCCACTATAACCACATCCGCCTTCGCCGCGAGTACCAGCACCCACAACCTCCGAAGGGTCCGACAACCCCACCAATCTAATAACTACTCCACTACTACTTCTGCACCGAATATTTCCACGCCGACAACTTCTCTTTCCCTGCAACAACACCGCCTTTTGTCATCTCTACATTTTGCACGCTCGTGGCAAGGACAAGTAGAGAAATTTAATGTGAGTTTTGCAGTGCACCACCTCCAGCGAATGAGCGAAAATAAAAGGGAAAGAAGAAGAAGGAAAATAGAGGGGAAGAAAATTCACTTGGAAGTTGTACTTCAACGTCAAAAAAAGGGCCCCACATACCGCCTTTGAAGGATTCTTGAAACGCCAAAATCTTGAATACCCGGCTAATAAGGCACTCTGTAGACCTCATTTAGTCCTTTACGACGAAGAAGTTTTTCGACCTCGCAAAACAACAAAATGTCTTTCCAGCTGTTCTGTTTGGAGAATCCTCTGTTGGGTGAGTAGCAGTTGAGTTTCTTACGAATTTTCAAAGTCTAGCCTTTGTATTTTTCCATTTCGGAAGGGGGAGCATATATTGGCTGGCCCAAATTTTGGGACAATGCTGGACACTGGCGCTGGGATGGGTTTTCGGCTTGGTATCACATCGGGACTGGGCGATACCGGGGTCAGCCTTGGAGCTTGCGTGCTATACTGTGTGGCATGGGCTATCGAGAATTTCCGGCCAGTTGATGGACTTTTCTATGGCCTGGAGTGGCTTCGAATCTGATCCTGCACACGGTGGCACAGAGTCTGGGTGACACGTCTGACGACGTCCACTCTGCGTATATGAACCCGAGGAGTTTCTGTGGGACGTTGCTGTTTCATCGTGCCGGATACTTGAGCCTCGCTCAGGTACACTCGCCGTCCGAGACAATGCTGAGACCATTCCTCTGCGACGTTTTGTGTTGACGCAATATTGTCAATGATGTGGACGGCACCAGCCTTCAATTGAGTTGCCCCCAAAACCCTGAACGGATCGAGTCCAGGCCAGCGCCAGCGCTCTCGAAGCAGATGCGACTGCTCTCCAAGTCATCCTCATGTTTTGTTGAAACCTCTGGAGTCTTGGCCTATACTGTTTCGTTTTCGGCTTTTGCGCTTCTAACATCAGCCTTGTTTCGCGCTTTGCTATTTCTATATTAATATCAAAGGCGAATGCTAACATTGTCACAGATATCCAGGGCAAGGGGTATGTGCAACAATGCTAGACCTTTTCGATCTCTTTATTACGGTGACAGCCTGACTAAAGACTTTCAGTGACGAGAAGCTCCTGGAAAAGTATGGCCTCAAGGCCAACGACGCCATTCTCGCCGAGGAGAAGCACCTTGGCCTTTACGAGGAGCTGCTCACGAACCACGATGCTAAGCTGATTGCCGGTGGTGCTGCCCAGAACACTGCTCGTGGTGCCCAGGTACGTCAACTTTGGAATATCCCAATTTCTTCTCCACATTCTAAATGGGGTTATAAATAGTACTTGCTCCCTCCCAACTCGGTTGTCTACGCCGGCTCTGTTGGCAAGGACAAGTACGCCCAGATTCTCCACGACGCTGTCAAGCAGGTCGGCCTCCGCGTCGAGTACCACGTTGATGAAACTCACCCCACTGGCCGCTGCGGTGTCATCATCACCGGCCATGACCGAAGCATGTGCACCGACCTTGCTGCCGCCAACTGCTACAAGATTGAGCACCTCAAGTCTCCCGAGATCTGGTCGCTGGTCGAGCAGGCTCAGGTGTACTATGTTGGTGGCTACCACTTGACTGTCAACGTTCCTGCCATCCTCGCTCTCGCCGAGGAGGCTGCCCAGAAGAACAAGGCAAGTGCTGGATCACTTTATATACGTCATTGTTGACAACGACTGACTGTGCATAGACCTTTGTCCTCTCCATCTCTGCTCCCTTCATTCCCCAATTCTTCAAGGAGCAGCTTGACGAGACTGCTCCCTATTGGGACTATGTGATTGGTAACGAGACCGAGGCTCTTGCCTACGCCGAGTCTCACAGCTGGGGTGTAAGTTATTCTGCTTATATATTGGGAGTTTATTGAATCTCTTGAACTAATCATGTCATGCAGACCACCGACCTCACCGAGATTGCCAAGAAGCTCGCCCTCCTGCCCAAGCGCAACACTGACAAGCCCCGCACTGTCATCATTACCCAGGGCACCGACCCCACTATTGTCGCCATTGGCTCTGCCTCGGGCGAGCCCACTGTCAAGACCTACCCTGTCCACCCCATCAACCCCGAGGAGATTTGCGACACCAACGGCGCCGGGTAAGAGGACCTGTGATGCTCTTCTATGTCTATGCCGTGATGCTAACAGTTTCCAGTGACGCCTTCGCTGGTGGTCTGCTCGCCGGTATCGTTGAGGGCAAGACTCTCGAGCAGTCCATTGACATGGGTCAGTGGCTCGCCAGCCAGAGCATCCGCGAGCTCGGTCCTTCGTACGTCCCCTTGTTTATCTCCGTTATCTCTTCCCACCCCACACTATCAACTTTTCTTTCCTCACCTACATTTACCTTTTAGATGTACGTACTAACCATATCTCAATAGTTTCCCCTTCCCCAAGAAGACCTACGCTCCTCTGCAGTAAATCCATTTTATGACGCCGCACCCGGTCGTCCCAAACCATGGTCCTCCAAATTCTCAAGACACGATCGGGCATAAATAGATTCTCGTCACCTGATCCTCTTTACCATTTTTCCCCCAAAAGAATTTCAACATACATACCCCATTTCATCCACCGGCCCCAACGCGTGAGACTCTATTTACTATCATCTTATCCCATCTTATTTCATCCGTTGCTTCCTTTTGTCGTCTCATATATCATCTTCCTCCTCTTCCTCGAGTGAGCATACGAGTTGGGGCCGTGGCAGACATGTACCCCACTTTTTAAATTTTTTTCAACAATACCAATCAATCCTGAACTATCCATGGGTAAACTAGAATAGTACTCTTGACGATTACATATAAATACAATACGTATTATCCATTTATACGCTTGACGTTGAAAGTCTGTTTTTTTTTCCCTTTCTTTTTTTGTTTTGACATTTACCATTTACCATTTACCATGTATCATTTAACATGTACCATTTACCATTAAAATGCTATACTATGCTATGCTACGCTATGTCATGATAGTATGCTAAGCTGTGGTGTGTGGCGTGTGCCGTGGTGTTATGTAGCCTGGCCCGGCCTGGCCTGGCTCTCTATGCTCTCCTCTCTATGCTCTCCTCTCTCCTCTCTCCTCTCTCCTCTCTCCGCTGTCCTCTCTTCGCTATCCCGTGAAATTCAAGGATAAGACTACCTATATACAAAGAGTATACGAAAGGAATAAAGTATAGTAAGTACTTCAACACGCTGCTACGGGGGCGCTTTCCCCACCCCGCCTGCCCTCCGCCCCAAAAAAGAAAAGGTACAGGGCACAGTAGACTGTAAAAATCAGTAACTCTATAAAAAAAAAAACCGGTAAAGCCCAGAAAAAAAAAATATCAAGTCATGGAAGGCGAAGAAGGATTGTCCCGGGATCCCGTGGGCGTCGAAGGGCATGATTGGCTTGAGTGAACGTGCAGTGTTTGCGACAGAGACGGTGTAGATGCAGATAGATGGTTGTCGTCGTCGTCGTCGGCGGCGGCGGCGGCGGCATGTTCGTGTTCGTGTAGATGTAGATGTAGCCCAGACGGATCAACGTCGGGCTCTACTTCTTCAGCGGGCTCATTAATAAAAGACTCGGATGGTTCGTAAGTCTCAGGCTCAGGCTCAAGATCAGGGCCAGGACCAGGATGCCGAAGGGCGACTTGCTCGGTATCGCCAACGCTAGGAGAGCCAGACGATGATGATGCAGAAATGGGCGTAGGCGGAGAGAATTTGAGAATGGGACTTTGTGGAGAAGTAGCGGCTTGGACAGCTGCTCTACTACTACCACCGCTACCACTGCCAGTAAATGTATCTGGACGAGTACTACTGCTAGTACCGTGGGCGGAAGAATGGATAATACGACGAGGACGGCGACGACGAGCAGATGGAGGATGAGGAGAAGCAGGAGGACTTTGTGGAGATGAAGACAAGTCTGGATGACTTGGCGACGGGCTTCGAGATGGACTTGGACTGGCATGGTGAAGTCGATGGCGATCGTGATGGCGAGTGTGATGATGGTGGTAGGCATGATGACTGCGATCGTAATCATAATCTGTACCATCTGCATCGACAGAGCCGTCGTCGTTGTCGCCATCACTAGGTGTCGGACTCGTTGGACTGGTGAGACTATTTGGAGAATGAAGACTATTTGGAGAAGTGGGACTAAGGAGTCCGTCTCCATTTGCATCGGAGGTCTGGTACCGATGAGGCGAGGACAATGGTGAATGCTGAAGATGGCGTCGTTGTCGAACATGTTCGTTTCCGGGAGTGTGACTTGCCACGGCTGCCCCGGTTCCTGTTCCTGTGACTGTGCCAGATTCTGTCGACGAACCAGTTGCAGTAGTTGCACCTCGTCCTCCTCGTCCTCCCCCTCCAAAGAAGAAGCTTCCGCCGATTCCGCCCAGACTGGAATAGCTCTTTTTACTCTGATGTTTATGCGGCTGCGGTTGGGGCGACAGCTGCTGCTGCTGCTGCTGCGGCTTCTGATATCCATAGTACTGATTCCGATAATGCCGCGAGGATCCAGATGAGTCTGGGCTCAGTGGACTCAATGGACTTCCTGGGCTTGCTGGCGGCGTTTCTGTTTCTGCCTCGGTTTCAAACGCAGAGCCCTTGAGTCCCTGTGACCGTGCCAGCATGCCTTGGATCAGAGGTAACTCGAGATAGTTGGAGCTCGCAGAGGCAGCGCCGCGCGAGAAGAGGACCAGGCCGAGACACACAAGTACAAGAATGGACTGGACGATCGACATGCGCTTCTGAAAGACGACTTCGTCTGCGAGGATGCGGAGGCGGGCACTGACGGCGACGATTTCGCGCTGCGACTGTTCGCGTTGGCTCTCGAGCTCAATGACAGTCGAGTGCCAGATTTGCTCGTACTGTTGGCGGAACCCGCGAAGCTCGGCGAGGACGGTGGTGTTGAGGTTTTCAAGAAATGAAGTGGTTTTGGTGAGTTGCCGTTTTTCGACTTTGCTGAATGCGTCGCGGAGGATCCGGGATTGATCTTCAATGTATTGCAGCGAGAGCGTTGCATTGGTTTCAAGTAGCTGGAGGCGCTTGTGCACGGTCTTGAAGAAACTTTCTTGTGTGGTTGGCATGGATGGAGGTGGAGCCTGTTGAGTTTGAGTTTGTGGGGCTCCTTGTGACCCTTGATTAGGGGGTGTCTGCGAACGATGTGGTTGCTGCTGCTGCTGCTGCTGCTGCTGCTGCTTTTGTTGGTCGGGCAGATGGACCTGGGATGATGGAGAGCCTGCGTCTGATTTAGGATGGCCCTGAGCAGATGGACCTGTAGGTGGTGACGCTGTCTCTCTACCCTTGTCTCGAGACAAAGATGATGATGATGATGATGACGGAGTAGTCGATGACGGAGGAGGAACCACGGAATGATCGTCGAATGCGCGTTCAGAACCTGTAGTTGATTCTCTCCGTGTTGATGATTGTGCTCTACGCTTTGATTCTGACGCCTTTGGAGACTGGAACGGCTGGCACACCAGCCCAGAGGGGCTCCAAGGAAGGAGCACAGCTTGTAATTCTGAAAAAGACCTTCGATCAAACGGCGTAATGAAGTCTACCAGCTGGTCCAGCTGTTGTGTCGTTTGTGTGCTGTCCTGGGCATAACCGTCCCTTGTTGACCCCCTCTCGCCATTTCCGCTTTCCCTCGCCGGAGGAACAGTATGTTCAGCGGCCTCCGACAGCTTCTGCTCCTCCGCACTTGGCTTTTGAGACTCGGAAGCCTTGGCTTCCTTTCTGCCAGTGGCTTTCTCCAGCGCCACCGCCTCTGGCACAATCGTCTCCCCTGCATCCACCGCTCCTTGTGCCAGGTACTCATCTAGATACTCATCATCGTCCTCTCTCGCCGCTTCTTCTTGCTGGTATCTAAACTCCTCCATCATTGTCGTACCATGCACTCTGAGCAGACTGATCGGACAGTAAAACTCGTGACCAAAATGCGACAGCACCTCAATGCGGAGATAGCGCGTCCAGATGAGCGGGTTTTCAATCAAGAACGCTTGAAGCTCACGGGTATTGCGAGCTTCAAAGGTTCCCAGAGTTTTCCATCTGTCCAGCTTCACGGGATATCGATCCGACACACTAACCCTAAATGTGCGGAACATGGAGCTGAAAAATTCAAAATTCGCAAGGACAATTGTATCGATGAGAATCTCGTCGCAAAGCTCGACAATGAAGAATTTGTTGCTCACAGAGCATTCGTTGAGCATATAGCTGTCCTTGTTCTCCACCAGAATCGAGGAAGATCCTTTGGTCTTGGGATTTGTTTTGAGAATGGTGGCAGCGCAATCAAAAGAAGCATAGTTGAAGCGTTCCTTGGACGTTGTTCCTGCTTCACGAGCGCGGGATCGCACGCCGCTATGGTCGGCCTTTTGCGCCGCAGCTGTTCGTCGCCCGTTCCGATTGTTAGATTCTGAATCAATCGCTTTGCCTTGCCACGTTGGCGTTTCTGTCCTTTGCGGCCCACTTTCTCCAAAACCCCCAAAGTAATCAAGCTCAATCTCTGCGTCTTCGCCCAGAGAATCAAGAGCATTATTAATATTAGACGGTCGCCGACGCGCCGTATTCCCGTATTCCGCTGCATGTCTCCCCTTGCCAACGTTTTCTTCGGATTGACCCGCCTGGGCCAGATTACGCTTCTTCCAGTCTTCAAATGATAGGAAATTCGCATTGTCGAGCGGAGAGTCGTCAGTGTCTACATCTCCGCCGTCGTGCGGAGTGGCCGAGCTGCTGCTGGTTCTGTCATCGGGGGAAATACTCGAGGAACTGCTCACTGCTGTTTCTGTAGATGTTGCAGGGTTGCCGCCGGGAATTGATGATTCTGTCGGGTGTAGAGATGCTTGGGCTGCCGGTTCTTCTATTGCTCCCCCATTTGTTGTGTGGCTCGGTCCATTGTCTGCTGCAGGTGATGCCGCGACGGAACCGCAGGCGCTCATCCCAGAATCTTGACTGGCCACTGTACTTGTCACAGTGAGACTGGAATCGCCTGATGGTGCTGCTGCATGACCCGCGGGAGTGGGCGCGGCGTCTCTTCCATCCTCATTTGCCGTTGGTGTCGAGGACACCTCTGCCGCTTGCCAGCTCGTCTTGAAGCATTGTTGAGGAAGTGTATGCGTGATGTAATTGACTGTACGCGAAGGGCATGTCGAAACCGTCCAAGGGGTTGGCTGATGCCCAGCGACGGTGCCAGATAAGCTACTGCTGCTGCCCCGGTTGGCGGTCACGGCTCCATCGGCCAGGGAGAGTAAGAGGGCCAAAAGCCAGAGGGAGCCGTAGGCTGTAAGCTCATGGCGACTGAGATTCAGCATCGTATACGCGTACGCATCTTCAGCGTTGCCCTCTGTGCAGCTTGAATGATGCAGATTGGCTGAAGTTTGAAGTTGAAGGTCGTCGGCTCGATAGGGAAGAGTTGCACCGCCATCCAGATTTCTTTTATCGATAGGGGTCTAGTGGCTGTACTATAACTACACCGCTCAAACACCACACTATTCTAGTAAAAGACTTGTTTCAATTTCATTGTCCCTGTATACTTTCCCTTTCTTGTCTTAAGGGAAACAATCATGGAGAACAGTTACAGTGTTCTATGCTATCACTCTTGCAAAGCCTTAGAGATTTGACGCGTAGTATGACGACACCGTAGCATTTGTAGATGCATGTGATGCGACATCTCACACTTGACTTTCGCCCTTCCCAAAACAAGATACTATGCGATTGTGAGCACTTTCATGGAGAGCATTGATGAATTGAACGTCAAGCTATTCATTATTTCAATGTGCCATGTGCTATTATACCCTCATCCCTTCTCGAGTCTATAGAATGCCAAAAGAGCCACCATTTTCGTAAAGCGCGTAGATGTATCATCGTCATCAACCATGATAGCCCATAAATACCCTGACCATGCAGACCACTGTCATCGACACCCTCAAAGCAGAGCTGCCAACGTCAACACTCGTGACACCAAACCTGGCCTTTTCCAGGCTCCCCGTCAGAGGCATTGTATATACCCGTGCAAGAAGAAACGCCATGTGAATGTATGCAACCCTTTTCCCTGTCCCTGGTATGTATGCAAGTAAACATATTTCTTTGGAAAATGCATAAGAAAGGGCGAAAAAGGGTGCCAACGCCAGTAAAGTACCTGGATAGATGCATGAATATGCCGCCGAAAGTAGACAATCAAAACACCAAACTCCGCCTTTTGTTTGTTATGGCAACCGTAAAGCATGAAAAAAAAAAAAATAGCAGCAAGATTCCACTGAAAAGCCTTCTCCTCCTTTGTTTGAAACATTAGATGGCCCCAATGTGCCCTTCTCCTATATCACATCCCTTGCGATTACATGATAGAACACTCCCGCTCAGGTCTTTCTTTAGGCAGTCGAGTTCGACTACGTAGCCGCTTTTCCTTTTTGCGCTGCTTTCCCTTTTCTTTGTCCTTGTCCTTGTCCTTCTCCAGCGCTTGACTGATATCTGACCGGAAAGAGGAACCAACCGAACCTGGCGGGCCGCCATTGCCATCCTCAACGGTAGCTTCACCATTCGGTTCGGCAGTAGCAAGTTTGTCCCTGCTGAGACGAGCTGACAGCCTTGATATGGTGCCTGCAAATGTGCGTTCGCCTGATTGGCTCGGAGGTCGACTTTTGGATGGCGACTTCAAGGTCTTCGACCCTGACCTCGAGGGCACGGATGCATCACCAGGGGTTTCCTCGCTCGGAGTTATAGCGCCACTAGGGACTTGCAGGCTACTTTGATCAAATTGGATACTTCTTCTTCGGTCACTCGACCAGCTTGTTCGACCCCGAGGATCAGCATCATAATTGGTGAGCTCGAAACTTGGATTACGGGACTGATAATCTTCGGTCACGCCCTCACGGACGTCGCTTAGAGTCAGGCTGCCCGTACCCCAGTCTCGATTTTGGGACTGATTGTGGCGGTCCGTCGAATGGTGATTATAAGAGTCGTAGTAATCATGTGAGTGGCCATGTTCACTGTAAGAGGGGGGCCGATCATGCTCGTGGTCATAGGGAGGCGTATCATCCGTTTCCTCCTCAATCGGCTGAACCTGGTAAAAGAGCAAATACGGTGTCTCCTCCCGCAAAGCTTTCTTGATGTCAATAAATTTGACGCGTTCTCTTGCGAGATCATCAAATCGCATCCATCGCTCCTCGGGACACTCCAATGAAAGAGAATCTTTTGAGAGCTCTTCAGCATTGGGAGCCTCGCCGCGTACCAGCGAGACATAATGTCCAGAATCGAGAGAAGAGCCTCGGTGGCAGACAACAGATTGAAGACAAAGCTTGAAATTTCCAAACAATGGAGCATCTTCGTCCATGCGATCGTCTTGAATAAAGTGGGGCAGGCCTATTTCGAGCGGAATATCGACATAGGTATTTAGTCGTGTAGGTCTGCCGTTCGGTTGCATAAAGTATCTCTTTAGGCAGAGACCTAATAAAGGCCGCTTAGAGGCCAAATGCGCAGCCACTTGAGCATCATTGGTTGGGCTGTTGTCAGTGTACCAGGCTGCAGCAAAGTCAGACTTTCTTGAAACAAGATGAAAAGGTTAGGTATAATAAACTTACGAATTAAGCTGAAAAACTGCCAGGCAGGCATCATGACCTCTTTTCGAATGGACGACTTCCGCCGTGGGCCAGCTCTCTCAGAAGAATTTGCTTCTTCAACTACGCGATCACGGATGATGCTGGGGGCTCGATGCCGTGAGATTGCCGGTCGTAATGGCGACGCGTTGGTGGGAGTTTGCGACAGTGGAGAAGATGGGCTCGAAGGGCGGGAACCCAGCTCAACGGCCTCTACTTTCTCATGGTGATATCCGAGAGCCTTGGAAGAATCTGCCGATCTGACGGACGTCTGTGTCTGCCTCCTTTCGAGATGCCGTCTCACGTCGATTCGGTTATTGAAATACGTCTCCAGGCAGTCTTCCAGCGTTATGACTTTGTTCTCCTCAAGATCTGTCGGAATTGCGACTTCGAGCAGGCGTTCGTTTACAAACTTGTGATCGTCGGCCGCTTCTTCCTTGCCTGTATGGAAAATATCCATCTTGAGGGTTAAGAGCGGTAGCATCAGGGTTCCGGTGATGAAGGTGAAGGCCTCCGAGGCGTCTTGCTGTCGCAACTTGGCGGCTTCGTCCCAGCCGCATGCCGCGATCGCTTCTTGTAAATGCTGAGTCTGCAAAAAAAAATTGTCTGTGAGTATATATGTCCTCGAGCTTCCGCGTACTGACACGCTTACAATATCTGTAGTAATAAGTTTGCCTGAGCGGAGCATATTGACCCACAGCCGCAGTAAAATCGACAGCCTTTTCCGGGGTTCATCCTCGAATGTGTTGCATAATATTGGTTCGAACCCTTCCAGCCGGGCAAACATGGCAAAAAGAAGGGCGTCCAGATAGCACGTTACGCTATCCCTGTTGACCGCGCCCAGTAGCTTGACATTACGGTCATAGTCTCGTATTATTCCGCCCGCGGATTCTTCGAGGAGGACGAGGAACTCAAAGGCCTTGTCCGCATCACCATTGGCATATATAGATCGTAGAGCGTAGGCCGCTTGTGGTTCTCCGAGCGTGGTAACACCGACCGACTGTAGTCGTTGCACAAGAGCCTTGACCTGTGGGCGCATTAACGACCGCCATCCTTACGAGCCTCTTCAGGAATGAATTATACCTTCTTCTCATCTTCCTTGTCGAGCTTCTTCCGATCCGTTATTGTGAATAGACCGTACAAGTCGCCATGGGCAACTTTTGGCTATATGAGAGAAAAACGCCAACGTTAGCTTTGAGGCGTGGATAAACAAAGAGGTGCAAGAGGTTTCTTGGTTCCCGGAATCAAAAACAGTTGCAGGACACTTTGTTGATAAGCTCGCAAGGTAAGTTATGGAGTGTTTGTGTCCAAAGCATTCGTTGAAGTGCGTCGTACCTTTTTCAGCAGGCTGCCACTTGTGCGCTTGTCACGCCGGCTAAGAAACCGATTAATCCCGCTCATCCTCACTCGATGCGAGGAGAAAGGAGGATGGGCGAGAGATGACCAAAGCCCCGCAGATTGAAACTTTGGTATTAAATATTATAATCAGCTCGTTTGGAACTGTCGTGGAGAGAAGAGAGCCCCTCGTTGAGGGGTTAAGGTTGGAGGGCTGTTTGCGGGGGTTTCAGTTTGGGCGAGCGAGTCGCGAGAGGGTCCAAGTGCCTAACGGCCGACGGGTGACGACAGGTGACGAAGCATGGTCTCTAGTGCTGAGATATGAACTAGGGAAGATCCGAAAGTCGGTATAAAAAAACGCAGCGGTATTAGAAGAATAAAAGAGATCTAAGCCTCAAACCCCTGAGCGGCGAAGATCTGGAAAGTTGACGTGCCTACCTTAGTTACTTTGGCGGGGGGGAAACTTGGCTGGATGTTGCTCTGGGACGAAGTTCTGGCCAGTACCCTCGCGGAGATCGCCGTCGGAGGTTCCTGACGAGTGTCACTTCCGAGATTACACTTGCCCCGTTGTAGTCTAGCTCCATGTCTTCGCTTACTATTCCCCTTTTGGACTTTTGCTCTCTTGCGTCTGCATCTCCATCAACTTCCAATATCACGACGAACAATCAGCAGCTCCCTCTCCGATTTGACTTTGGCAACCTATCCTCTGATCCCTCTTAGCCACGTCAAGGGGGCATCAGACATTGCCATTGATAGCTCAACATGGCTATTCGGGAATTCGCCAGCAGACTCGCAATCGCCGGGTTCAGAGATGCCCGACCAAGGCTCTCCTCCGCAGTCTGCCTGACCGGCCACCGCAACGTGTCGAGCAGCTCATCATCCTCCGCTCCCTCTTCCGCCGCTGCAGCTGAGCTGGCTGATCTCGAGCAATCTTCATCATTATCAGCTCCTCTTCCCTCTGAAGATGTCGTGAAATCCTTCGACCCGGTCAAGCAGACCAGAGAACGAAAAGAACAACTCCCAGCTAGCAGGTTCGTCACCTGTCCCATTCCTTCGCGTTTCTTTACAGAGATTGCCATTGTTCTTTTTTTTTCTAACCTGTTCGACATCAAGATATAATTTCCGCCCACCAAAGTATTACCGCGGTCCCTTCCACCCGCACCAGCCGCCGAGCCCATCTGCGCCCGAATCGCGGGAATTCGTCCCCGGCCCATTCTCCGACCCGCGTCTCGCACAGACATACACGAGCACCATTGAACCCGATCTTATGACGCTCACATACCAACACCTGCCTCCAGGATTCCGCCCGCCGCCCAAGGCGCCGAGATTACGGACGTGGGACGGCACTTCTCCGTACCACAAGAACCGGCCTGCGCGAGGACCCCGAGGAGGTGCTGTCCTGCGACTGCTCAAGCAGCACCGCACATTCCGCAACGTCCCCGAGCTGACGGGGATTACGGTGCACACCATGGTTCCCAAGGCGCAGGAGGACAGCGGACACTTGCACGTTGCCGGCATGATTCTGCAGGCCATTACGAATGTGCGCGCGACCGCACACAAGGCTCGACACTCGGTCAACACCTGGGATCTGCGCGAGGGTCGCTGGGTTTCCCTCACATGCGACCTCAAGGGCGAGGAGATGCACCACTTCCTCGGCAAGTGTATCGACCTGGTCTTGCCCAAGATCAAGGACTGGAGGGGCGTCCGCGGAAGCACTGGCGACAGCAGCGGCAACATCACTTTTGGCTTGACCTCGGAGGCCATTGCCATGTTCCCGGAGATTGAAATCAACTATGACATGTACCCGCCTCAAATGATTCCCGGTCTGCACATCACCATCAAGACCTCGGCCACCAACGACCGTGACGCCCGATTGTTGCTCAGCGCCATGGGTATTCCGTTCTACGGCAAACTTGTCGATTAAATTGTTTACGCCAACCCCCTCCCACTTGATTTAGCTTTGTTCAGCGCACTGCACCTCTGCTACACTCAATTCACGTACCGGTACTTTGTATCTATATCACCCAATCTCTCATCCATCCATCCATCCATCTTCTCCAACCCTACCATATTTCTCTTCCACCATCCAACTACCTTACCTACTGTACTGTACTATACACCCCTCCTAACCTACCCTTGAATCTCTCATCTACCATCCTTCATCACCACATCATCCTAAACCTCCCCCTTTTATATATATATATATATATATATACAATACAACCCCTGCTGCTCTTGATATATAAGTCACCGAGCCGAACCATACTTTTTCCCACATGAAGGGCCTCTGATCCTTTCTTTTGTTGTCTGCTTGTAGCTTTAGATTTATCTGTTTATTTTATTCTATTTTGTTTTATTTTATCTGTTCATCTTATTTTATTCTATCTTATCCATTTATTTATTTATTTTATTTTTTCCCTCCCTTGATCTATCTCATTTCTCATATGGTTGCTTGGCTGAACTCCCTCCCCTGTCCTATCTCCTTTCTCCAATGGTTGCTTGGTTGCTTACTTCTGTTGCTCTACGGGTTGATTTGCAATAATCTGCGCATAGAATCAAGCGCATGCAGCAATTTTCTCCATCTGCGTCCAACTGCGTAATCCGTAAGAAAAGACTCAGGTTCCAATAGTAGTCATAAAAGAATTTTCTACGGTCTTTTACCAATCACTTTTCACAATCAAACGATGCAGTTGCTTGACGATGGCAATATGGCAATATGGCAATAATCTTTTTTTCAGCATTGGATTCCATCATTACGCCTCCCCGCTTTACTTCATTAGATTCTAAACCCGTACTCCCTTCCCTCCCTACCTCGCCCCCGGGCCGCACATTACCCTACCGTGTCCATTGACGGGAAAAGTTCCAACGAAAAAAAACTATGTACAAAAGTTTTCCTGTCCGCCTCATAAAATGAATGAATGAATGATGAAAAAGGAAAAAACGGGCTATGATCCTGCTACGGTCGTAAGATGCAATGCAACATAGATGTGAATAGACGTGATTAGAAAATATGGGGAAAATTGGAAAATCAGAAAAATAAAAGGTAGTATTGGAAAAACAGAAAAGGGGAAAAGGAAGAAAGGGGGGGAAAAAAGGCGTAATCGCGTAATTCCGTATACATCTCAGCATTGCTAAGCCATGGCGTTCAAAAAGGGACTGACGAGCAATTCCTCTGCACTGGGACGCTTTTCAAAATCAAGCTCAAAGGTACGACTCAAAAACTCCTTGCCTTCATCACTTGCTTCTTCGGGGAGGGTGGGGCTTGCAGTGCCACCGCCGATTTTGAAAATGGCTTGCAACTGAGAACAATCGGGAAAAGGGTGGGTGCCCGTGAACATTTCGACAATGAGGCAGCCTAAGCTCCAAATGTCGGCTTTACGGGTATACGAGGTCTGCTTGACGACTTCGGGCGCCATCCAGAAGACGGAACCCTGTAGAGAGGGCCGGTGAGCGTGGCCCTGGCCGTTCTGGCTCAAGAGACTGGACGCTTCGACCTTCTTACTAATGCCGAAATCAGAAATTTTGATGCCGCCCTTGTTATCGACGAGGACGTTGGCGCCTTTGATGTCGCGGTGGATAATGTCGCGGCCGTGGAGGTAGGCCAGGCCGTTGAGAATCTGCCGGACAAAGTTTCGAATCAAGGGTTCGTGCAGAGCGCCGTACTGATTGAGCATGGCTGCGACTGAGCCGCCGGGTACGTATTCGAGGAAAATGTTGAGATGTTGTTCGTCCGAGCTGGAGCCGAGATATTGTACGATATTTGGGTGTTGCAGTTCCCTCAGTAGGCCGATTTCGTGTTTCAAAGCGCTGAGCATCGACTTCTTCTTGTTGTCGACTTGGTTTCCGGCATTGGATGGGAGCTCGACTTGCTTGACAGCCATGAGCTCGCCGGTGATGCAGTGCAAAGCGAGATACACACTGCCAAATGAACCTTGTCCGATGAGCGCGCCTTTCATCCACTTGACGTTTTCCCAGGCATCCCCTTCGAGGAACCGCGTAAGCTCTTCATCAGGTTCTTCGCCGTCTTCGGCAATGGCCTGGCTGAGATGCTCGTTGAATGAGCCGGTGCCGCCGGCATCGGTGACGGGTGTGCTGCTGCCAGTTTCGTCAAAGTAACTCTGGAGTCCGGGGTGGCCCTCGGGATCTGTCACGGAAATGCTCGAGGCATCGGGGGCGCTGTCAAAGGATACATAGGACTTGCGGTTGGGTTCGATAGGTGACTCCTCTTGCAGAGGTTCAAGAGATGATGACGCGATGGAATCTCGGTAGGCGGTTTGCGGGAGGGCAATGCGAGAGACGGACAGCGGCCGCGGAGGCCGCTGGCCTTGGTTCGCCCCTGTCAACCAGGTATCGGCGATACTGGGCAAAGGAGGGGCGTCTTTGAGGCTTGAAACAAAGCTGAGGTTGCTGGCTACACTAAGCCGGTTGGTGGCTCGGCTCAGTCGGGCAGATCGTCGCATCGACATGCGAACCGTCCGGTCAATTTCTTCCTTGGGATGGTCGGGGAAATATGCAACTAGATCATTGCTGATGAGCTCGCTCGGTGGACGCTGTCCAAAGAACTGCCTAATCATTCGTCCCCGTGGCGTGACCTCTGGCAGTTGCCTTGGCTTTTCCAGCTCATGTGCAGCTGACTTGACGTTTCGGCTTCGTTCTGCCGCAGCCAAGGCTGGCGGTAGCGGGTAGGATGCGGGAGAAAGAGGGTATTTCACAGCCTCCCAAGACTCGCCAGTAAGCTTCTGCACCTTTTGTTGGCTACGGGTACTATTGTTCGCAATTGCAATAGCGTAATTGCGTTCTGCTTCCTCAAGGGCAAGCTGCGCAGCAACCTGTAATTCCTCATCTTCTGGCTCTCCTGCATGAATCTTTCGTAAAATAAGGCGGTTTCGCTCATACCGCGAAAGGTCGCTGCAGATGCGAATCAGCTCTGACTCGGGTATTCGTCGACAGTCCGAAGGATCGGGTGTCACGCCGCCAAGGACATAGAAGCAATAATTCCTTGTTTGATGCTCTGGCAGACCGAATTTTTTGAGTGTAGCACGCATGATGTCGTCTGTGGTCTTGCAGTTTTGGACTTTGACCACCTTTGTAAGACCTCCTGAGTAGATGACGCGTATAACGTGCTTATCAGGTGGCAGCCCTCCAAGGGTAAGTCCCTCAACTCCAGAGCCCTGCCGGCCGTGTGCGACACGCGCAGTTTGTGGAGCATCACCTGGCGTAGCGGGCCGCCTGCCTGACGTCGTGCTCGCACTGGAAGGATAACTGAAGTAGCCTGCAGCTTGTTCCCGCCTGGCACTCTCCATTGGACTCATTCCACCATATCGCTGGGCTCGCAGACCTCTGCCGCTTTCCAGGTCAGCAAGAGGTGAGCTTGGCCGCGAGGGAGAGCGGCTGATGCTGGATGGGATGGCTGGAGAAACGCTGTAGTCATATCCACGTGTATAACCTCGACCAGCGCTTGAGTGAGTGCGTTCCTTGGTGGCATAGAGCGGACGGGGAGAGCTGGAGGGAGTAAATGCCGGGTTTTCTAGTGTCGCAAGAGAGTCCTGCAGTATGTTAGGTGAATCCTGCGCGGACGCAATGATTAGCGTTGCAAACTCACTCTATTCCGCTTCTTTTGGCTTGGAATGTTTTTCCGCAGAGCTTTGATCGCAACGTTGATGCGGACTCGATCGCCAATCTTCTTGATCCCCAAGTCCTTGAGTACAGACTGATCGCATTCTAAAAGAGTCTCCCCGTTTATGTGATTTCCTTTTTGAATAAAGCAAGTTAGCCAACCCGTGCTCCAGATGTCTGAGCCGAAGCAAACAGTGAGTCTTTAGGGAAAGATGAGGAACATACCTCTAAATAATTGCTCGTATTGAGGGCAGTTGATGCTTCGCAGCCACTCTCCGACACGCCTCTCGTCCCAATTGCTAGCCGTACAAATCAGCGAATAGCTCTACATGGCTTTCCAACAAGCTTGATTCTGCGAAGTTTCAAATTGCCTTTCTGTGGGCAACGTACCGTACGTAGTCTGGACCATCGTATACACTGTCTGAAAATTCCGATTCCGTCGGACTAGAGAAAACTTCATGATTCGTAGCGCCCATAGCAGGTGTCCGGTAACTCGAGACGCCAGCGGAATGCGATGCAGGTAAAATGGACTGTGACGCTGGCAGGCTGCCCAACCCAGCGGCATGCGGTGATCGTGAGGCCAACATGATGCCCAACTAACTGGCGTATTGCTTCCCCTAGGAACGCTTTGCTAAATTATGTTCTGTACGAACCTCTTCCCAGACTGAACGCAGCGTGAAAAAGAAACTGCCTGCAAGTTTCAATACGACCCTTTGTGTGCTAAGTCATCAATATCTCGGAAGAATTAAGCTTTAAGGCAATGGAATTATCGGCATTAGGCGTCTTTTGACGACGGTTGGAGCAAGAAACGGAATCGTATCTCCGCTATAGATCGCTCGCTGAAGGTTCGTGGCCTTCGCCCCGCTTCAACGGAAATAGATGGAACAAAACAAGGCAATAGGCGGATTTCGAGACGTGCACGAGCCAGCCGTGCAGATGGATGATCGGTCAGGTTCAGATTCAGCGACGAAGGTAGAGCAACGATGCGAGGTGTCGGAGAACGGCACAGAAGGTGAAACGAAACGGAGGAGCCGGGCTGATGTTGTCTGTTTTGGTGGGGAAAGCACCAAGTTGAAGAGAAATCAAGTCGCAGATCCAGCGTCAGAGCTTGGCATGGCTCAAATCATCTTCCAGTACTCTAGCAAGTGACTGTACGGTGATTAATGATCGTCGTGTTGATCTTAGTGAGGAGAGAGAGAAGAGGGTATAACACTCTAAACGCTCCCCGTGGGGTGTGATCCAGCGTTCCTTCGAATATGCACGGAGAGTTACGCTGGAACGTTGTCCAATGTCCTTGGAGCACACTGCAGACGTTTGAAATCAGGATCGAAAGCTGCAGAGGGAAGAGGGTTGCAGGAAATAATGGTCTTGAAGAGGGTGGGATCTACGGTCCGAAAAGATTCATGTTACAACGTTCCCTTCACTACTACTAAGGTACAGACAATAAGTTACATAGAAGGTGTGTACACAGGGAATCCCATTCTAGCAGCCCAAGGGCGTCAAGCGAAAGGGACCGGGGGTTTCCCCTTCAGCGGGCAGCCATGTGGAGACCAATAATGGCACGATATTACGGTAAGATACAAGCCTGAAACTTGCTCTCGCTCGGCCCCATTTCAGGCCCCGTCTCTGGTAAGAAATTCCTCCCTTTTCTTGCCTCTTTCTGATGCCCTATTCTGTACTTATCGTAGTACTTCATGGCCTCTCGCGCTAACATTTCTCACAAGCGCGCCGGTCTTTCGGGGAATCTGAATCTTTGCTCCTTAGCATCGCCAACGGCCGGTCAAAAAGTGGTCATCGACTGGTGGGCGGCCATCGGTCTTTTTTTATCCACATGCTCCGATTCAAGACAAGGGGTTGAACCACTGAAACTATCTGCGACCGTAATCATCATTCATATATCAGAAGCACTGAGGCATATTCACTAGGGAAAGGAATCGACCCGAAAAATAAAGTAAATCACATGGAAGCAGCAATTATACCTACATTCCGGCAGCTCCGATGCTTCCCCCTGTTCATCATTATCATCTTCTTCTTCATCAATTCAGTATATTGGTCAATCTGAAGCAAACTTGGCACTGCGAGTGTCAAGGTTCTTGACGGGTGGAAAGACGGAGCGGCCAGGTGCAGTGCAGCAGTACTGTTCAGTACACTGCCTAGTTCAGCAGAGTACCGTGCAGGCCCACCAAAGGGAGAGTTCCCAGATGACTGCTGTCAGTCTGAGTCTGAATCAAAGCCCGTGTCGTTTGAAGACTAAACCAATCCCATGTCAAGTTTCCGTTGCCTGAGACGCCCCGGTCCGACCTACCGTCGCACGAGGGCGTAATCGACCGTCTAATCGGATCACGTAAAACGCAAGGTCATTCTTAGCATCCCTCAAAAAGGAAACAAGTCGCGGAGCTCGGGCATGTACACGTTACGTATGTGCAAAGAGCAGCCTGGTCCCAAAGGTCAGCCCGCGGACAGAGAGATGAGCACATATTCCAAGGATCAGGGACGGAATGCAAGATAAAATCTCCGTGACAAAAATTTATATCTGTAATAAAATTTGTCAAGTTGCGATGAGAAATGCATCTATTTTTCTTGTCTTGTCTTGGCTCGGGAGTATTTGTTTCATCTTCTTGACTTTCTTACTCGGCTGACGTCTGTGGGTGAGACAATGGTACGGTTGCGTAGATGATCTTCTTGCGTAGAAAGATGATGCAGTCGACCGCAACGCCCAGAAGTGCAAATCAGTACGGAAGGCTGAAAGGTCCATTGACGTCACCACCAGAGAGTACATCGCATGTAGCTCGGGACCTCCGACGTGGGATGGTGCTCCAAAGCTCGAGAGCTTTCACGCAGTTCTTTATACGTCAAGCCGGCTGGCTTGATATATTCTGGGGACGTGCTTTTTGGTATAGGCGATGATCTGAGAAATTTCCAAGACTCCGCGACATGGCCCTCGACCCCTCCAGCGGCTATGTTGCTGCGAGCAACTTGCAAGATCTCGGCGAAGTTTCCCTGCCTATATTCAACGTTGAAAGGGTTCCATTTCAGTTTGCTATTTCCTCCGATTTTGTCGCCGCTCAAGTAGCCAATAATGTTTTGGTGCTTGCCCTTTCAACGGGGCGGATCTTGAGAATTGATCTCGATCATGCTGAAGACGTGGATGGTGCGCCTAAGAAGCTTTCATGCAGCATTTAATTGAACCGAAATGAGCGATTGAGCTAATCAAATTGAAAATGGCAGATATCGACCTTCCAAAGCGCTCGTCGGAGATTGGCATAATCAGGCGCATGTTCCTGGACCCTACAGCGTCTCACTTGATAATTTCAACAACACTTGGAGAGAACTTTTACCTGCATACACAGTCAAGACAGCCCAAGGCACTTTCCCGACTCAAAGGGACTCTTGAGAGCGTTGCATGGAATCCCTCCGAGCCGACTGCCTCGACGCGAGAAATTCTGGTCGGTACGACAGACGGAAACATATATGAGGTCTACATTGAGCCGTCTACCGAATTTTACCGCAGAGAAGAGAAATACCTGAAGGCTGTTTATAAGACTACGGAAGGCCCCGTCACGGGACTTTGGGTTCAATCTGTCGATGGCAAACCAGATCTTCGGAGAGTGCTTGTAGCCACGCCTGAAAGCATATCTCACTTTATTGGACGCATCGGAAGACATGGACACGAAGGGGGCGGCTCTGTTTTTACGAGACTATTTGAAACCGAGACGCCCACACGACATGATATTTCCAGGGTCGGCGATGCGCCGCTGGCGAAGCTAGTCATTTCCCCTGAGCCGGTTGATGATGGTGGGGCTGATGTTTTCAACTCGGATCGTGTTTTTGCTTGGCTTTCGTCTCAGGGTGTGTTTTACGGCAAGCTTTCCGATGGCTCCTCTGCACCAGGTAGTAGAAGCAATGTCTTCCAGGATTCAAAGCTTTTACCACGCTCGCAGTTGCCTGCATCGGAATCGAATGGTGGACGGCGCAAGGCGTCGGCGGAGCCGATTGCTTCAATTGCGCTGACACAATGGCACATTCTGAATCTTATCGAAGGAAGAGTTGTGGCGGTCAACAGGCTGGACGAGTCAACTGTGTATGATCAAGTTATGCTCGAGGCTGGACAAAGTATTATTGGAGTTGAAGCCGACCTCAAGAAGAATACATTTTGGGTTTTTACAAACCGGGAAATCTTCGAGGTTGTTGTCACTGACGAGGATCGAGACGTGTGGAAAGTCATGCTGAAGGATCAGCAATTTGATGCAGCGCTGCACTATGCGAGAACCACTGCGCAGAAAGACGCCGTAGCAACGGCGTCTGGAGACTATCTCGTAAGTCGAGGAAAATTCATGGAGGCTGCTGGAATATATGGCAAAAGCAACAAGCCTTTTGAAGAGGTTGCATTGATATTTATCGATCATGGCGAGCAAGATTCGTTGCGAAAATATCTCTTGACCAAGCTCTCGGGCTTTAAGAAATCCTCGATAATGCAGCGGGTCATGGTTGCTAGCTGGCTTGTCGAGGTTTTCATGTCCAAACTAAATGCGCTTGATGACACAATCACAACAAAGGCCGAGCTGTCAGAGAACACCAATACAGCCGAAACCAAGACACAGCTTTCGCAGCTGCGAACGGAATTCCAAGAGTTTGTCACCAAGTACAAATCTGATCTTGACCGCAAGACGGCCTACGACATTATCAGTAGCCATGGCCGCGAAGAGGAGCTTCTCTTCTATGCCTCTACGGTCAACGACTACAACTACGTTCTTGCCTACTGGGTGCAACGGGAAAAGTGGGCAGAAGCTTTGACGGTGTTGAAGAAACAGACAGATCCCGACATCTTTTACAAGTACAGCAGCGTCCTGATGAAAAACGCATCTGTGGAATTCATTGATATCCTCATGCGACAAAACAACCTCGATCCGCGAAAACTCATTCCCGCCCTTCTCAACTACAATAAGGATGTCAAAGTTTCCATCAATCAGGTATCATTCGACATCATCCTCCTCCTCCTCCCTCTCCTTCTCAATCGCTAACAGAATCCTTCCTTCCAGAACCAAGCAATACGTTACCTTCTCTTTGTCATCAATCAGCACCGGTCGACCGACTCCGCCGTTCACAACACGCTCATCTCCATCTACGCTTCTCACCCATCTCGCGACGAGTCCGCCCTTCTATCATACCTCGAATCCCAATCCCAGCAGCACGAGCGGCGGTACGACGCCGATTTCGCTCTCAGACTATGCATCGAGCACAAGCGCGTCCAAAGCTGCGTCCACATCTACAGCTCCATGGGGCAGTACTTACAAGCCGTCGAGCTGGCACTCAACCACGGCGAAATCGACCTTGCCAGCGTCGTCGCCGACCAACCAGACACTAACCCAGCATTGCGGAAAAAGCTCTGGCTAGCCGTCGCGAAGAAAGTCATTTCCCAAAGCGACGGAATCAAAACGGCAATCGAGTTCCTCAAGCGATGCGAGCTACTCCGCATCGAAGACCTCATTCCTTTCTTCCCGGACTTTGTCGTCATCGACGACTTTAAAGAGGAAATATGTACCGCCCTCGAAGACTACTCGCGCCATATCGATATCCTGCGCAAGGAAATGGACGAGAGCGCCAGCACAGCGTCCAATATCAAGGCCGATATCCGCGCCCTCGATCGCCGCTATGCCATTGTCGAGCCCGGCGAGAAATGTTATATCTGCCAATACCCCTTGCTCACGCGCCAGTTTTTTGTCTTTCCGTGCCAACATGCCTTTCACAGCGACTGTCTCGCCAAGCGCGTCGTCGACTTGTCGGGTGTCAGTAAAGGCCGTCGTGTACGTGAGCTGCAGGCAGAAGTCTCCCGCGGAGTCGCCGGGCCGAAACGTGAGCGCGCAATGAAGGAGCTTGAGAATCATATTGCTTCTGCTTGGTACGTATTTCTTTTTACTTATTACATTTATTCCCTATTACGTTGATTATATTGATTCTCTTTTACGTTGATTACATTTATTCCTCTTTACATTGATTACATTCATTGCGTTTATTACATTCATCGCATTCATTCCCTTCATTCCGTTTCTCACCTCTGTTACATCAATTCCCTTTGTCAAATCATCTGTACTCCATCCATTTTGCTTTTGTCATTGTACCGTATCTACGCATTACCGTCCTTGTATATCAACCGACTCAACGATCCTCATCCCATGCAAAATATACATCTCCTCACTAACACGAAAATTTTCACACAAATTAGTATCCTCTGCAGCGAATACGCCATCAAACTCATCGACGAACCGTTTATTACTCCCGCCGATGACCGGAATGAGTGGGCTCTTTAGTCACTTTTTCCTTCTTCCTTTTGATATCTTATTTGTACACTACTTTCCTTTTCCTTTGATATCTTGTACACTACTTTTTCTTTTGTCATATTACTCCAGCAGCACAAAGCAGCGGGCGTTGACCTTTTCCTCCATCTTTCCTTTCGCATCTTCTATATTCCACTTCTATTTTCCATTTCCTCCCGACATCCCCCTATCGGTATACCGTCATATCATATCATATATCGTCTCGTCTCATCTCATACCGTACTATACCGTACTGTACAGTATCATACCCTCCAGCTACACTTAAAGTTCTTAATCAGACTCATACTCATACTCATCATCAACATGCATCATCGTCTTCATTAAATCCGCGGGTACCTTTCGCCTGGGCCTGGCCTGGACCAAAGTACTCTAATGCATTCCCTGTTCTACGACCACGCATCATAAAAAATCTTCTCTATCCGAAGTAAAATAGTAAATGGGCAATCAATTGAAATTTAAATTTTAAAAGACATGGTAGCTTGAATGACTGCGGGAGTACATATAAAGGCAATAAAGCACAATGTGGCAAGAAACGACGATGACGGTAACGACAAAGGGTAGGAAGAGATGTTGAAGATGAAGATGAAGATGAAGATGAGATGGCAAATGATAAGCGAAAAAAGACAAATGATGATGAGGCAACAAAGTTTCTGACAAGCCAGTTTCATTGCGGCTGGATAGTGCAAATAACGAGCAGTTTTGAACCCTGCGTTCATCACAACCCACGTGTGCACATCTAAGACATGCAGGACGCGACAGGAGACACAAATTGGGGCGGAATCCAGACGTTTCTTCAACATTCAGGAACCACGGTGGTCCTGCGTCGGGCACTACATCAACGCCCGCAACTGATTGCTTTCGGGACTGCAAGTGATACAATTTCGAAGTGGAGTGTCATTAGGAGATATGTTTCCTTCCTCAACCCGTAAGCTTCCGTGGTGGGCCGCAAATTATTCTTTGTCCTTCTGCGTTTAGCGAATTTTTGAGGCTCTCATCTTTACCCCTTCCCAACTCTATGGATCAAGTACAAATCTGAATCCCCTCGGCTTCCTTTCATTTCGTTGAGAATTTGGTCTTGCCGAATATATTCTTGATCATATCAAGTTTGACTCCCACGAAGTTTTTCCGTGATGGCCAAGGACGATCTGGACCAGATTTAGTAGACTTTTGCAACCGTTGGTCTGTACGTTGGGAGCAAACTTGGGTGCCTGAAAGATGAGCGGAACATTGATCCACCGTAAAAAGACAATGCATCTTGGAATGTTGGACGGTTCCACGATCCGTAGAGGCAAACCGCAATTATCAGATCCGGCGCACATAGCAATTAAGACGTCAAGCATTTGGCCTACTACGCCTGAAATCAACCCGCTCCATGTCCACTGCGAGGGCCATGCGGGGGCGTGAATCCCATATTAGGCGTCGGAATGCCATGCTCAAAGGGGCCGGGAACAGTCCACTGGCCAGAGCCAAAAGAGAGAGGGCTGGTAAGCGCATTACTGGCTCGTCCGCCAAAGTTATCCAAAGCGCTCATCCCAGAAAATGCGCCATTGCCGATTCCCACACCGTCCCTGCCAACTCCGAGTCCTGTGGCAACCCCATTAGGATGGGCGACCGACGATCCAGGACGCGGCGCAGGGGTTTGGGATCGGTCCATTTGCCAAATACTAGTCGGACTAGACATTATGCCGTTACTCGAAGGTCGCGGGAGAGGCTGTGACTGCCACGGCGGAAATTGATATCCTGCTCCTTGCACGGGGAATTGGCGTTGGGGTGACGGGGCGGTGGAGGGGTGCGCAGTCAATGGCGTGGTGGGCCAGTAACTCGACACGGATGCTCTAGGAGTACCAAGCCCAGGAGGAGGATGCGGCGGCTGCGACGATTGCGGTGAGTAAGCCTGAACCATTTGAACAAGCTCACGAGCCGTCAGCGGACCAGCCTTTCCGAATGGAGTGGTGGATTCGTCCGGGTGTTGGTGATATTCTGGAAAGGCATGAGCTGGCGGGGTTGGGGGGCCAGCGGTTTGGTGGAAAGCGTCGTGGCTTTTGGAGTAGAGGTTTTGTGAGCTCGGATTATGGGAGGATACGTTCGTAGGCGAGTCAGTAGGGTCAGGTCCGACGAGTGAATCAACCATCCGGTTCATGTCAGTACTCATGGATATGGAGGCAGCTGATTCAGAAGGATCGACTTCTTCATTCGCCGCGAGACCGGCGCTCTCTTCCTCATCCGTGGTAAGCTTGTGCCCGTCCGGTTGCTCAATTTCCGGGAAATCGAGAGGAATGACAGGGGGCGTTGCTTGCTTTTCTCGGGGACTGGCAAGAGCCTCTGAAGGAATACCCTCTTCCTGATAAATGAATCTTCCGCCTTCTACAAGCGCGAGCGGAATTGAATCTTCAAGTTGGAGCTCCAAGCCATCAATCAGTAGATCTCGAACCCGTGCAAGCATTTCTAAATTGGGGTGGTAACGTTCAACGCCAGTGTCGTGCATGGTCGGCTTCTTATTTTGCGCATTGTAATACCTCTTCCTAACTCGTTCGGAGAAGAAAGGAGTAAAGCCGACGGTATCTTCATCTTCCTCCAACAGGTACTCAACATTAGGGAGTTCGGAGACCGGAAAGGTGCCGGCAAGTAAGGTAAGACTCGTGGCGTATATTTTCCACATCTCTTTTATTTGGATCCCCAAGGGGGAATCAGGACTCTGTGCAACCAGGATCGGTGCGTTGATTCGAAGCCAAGAGCTGTAATGTCTCAAGCCAGGAAGGATGCGCCGTGTCACAGCTGTCACCCTGTCGGAACCACTGATATGACCACGATTGTCGTCATTGTCATTGCTGATAAATCTTTCCAGCTCTGGCTCAAGCACTCGAAGCAAGGTAAAAAATGTCTTCACGTTGAGTCGTAAAAAGAAGAGCAGAGCCTGTAGACTCTCATTGGACTTGGTGTCATCTGGAAAACATGTCAGCAAACTGTGGATCAGCACAGTAGTATTGATGAGGGAAACAAAAAAGAATAAGCCCTACCTCGAATGCGTACACCAGCAAAATATTCTGCTGCAATATTGATGAGCGAAAACCTTTGAAGTGCGCCCTCTAGCGATCGCTCCTTCAAGTCAACCGCCAATTGGCTAAGGACTTCGTTTTCGAGCTCATCATGCTCGGAAAAGTCGACGCCATTGTAACATTTTGCATGGAGACGAACAAACCATGTCAAGAGCGTCTGCCGTGCAGAATTGGCATTGTGTGCTGGTGTATTTACAACGAGTTCACCCTTGCTCCACGCGGTCAGAATCTTCTTAAATTCAATCTCGAGATTTGCTTTGGCGGTCGGAAAAGGCTCCTCAACTGTCAATGCTCGATAAAGGTGGTAGACGACGCGGAGATGATTTCCATCAGTGAGCGCAATGACGGCCAGTTGATTGTGCGGTGCTCCAGAGGCCGGATAGATTGCACCTGCCAAGTCGTAGTAGCCAATAGCTGGACCCCAGTTGCGATCTTTGGAAACCAGCTCGGTCTCTCTGTACCTTGATAGATCGCCGAGACGCACAAGAGTCTGATGACAGGACAAAAGCACCAAATGTCTCACTCGGTCCGTTGCGTGAGATCCATCACCCGCGTGACCTAGAGTTATATTAGTGTCTCTGATATAGGATTATTCCCGAACGACGTATGCAGCAGACCTTCAAGGTTAAACTTGCGCGCCACATGCACAAGCTCGGGGATACCTCCGAAACGGGTGGCAAGCTGCTGAATATATCCTCTGTAAAAGCGCTGGCTCTCCTTGATAAAGTCGAGATAGCGTTTTGCCGTCTTACGCTTTTCCACAGGCTTCTTCTTCCCTTCATCGGTTCGGAACTAGTGGCCGAACTCACGAGTCAGTACGAAAAAAATGTTCCCTCGAGATCTATATTTTCCTGGGATCATATGAACCACTTACGCGGCTGAGGAATTTGCGAAAACGATTGTTTATTTTACCGTGTACATCCCAGAGCCTGCCTTCAATTTGCTTATTCGTTGCAAATTCAAAATCGAGAAAGATAACGCTCTGACATGCGGTACGGTATCTGTTCAAGCCAGTAAGTGGGGTGTTGCTTGGATGCTGAAATGATTCAGTACATACTGCGGAGTCAACTGATCAATATCTGCGAAGTCGGGGTCTTTCTCGGCCAGCTTCGCCAGGAGTTCCTTCTCAGTGCGCTGGGCAAACCTGTTCCCCTCCATCAGTTTGATGCTTTTTTTTTCTTGCTTGTCGATGATGACATGGCCGTCATCACTCACCTCCATGCTTGGTCCACAGGAGAGGCCATTACTGGTACCAGATGGGCCGGTTGCCTTTTTCCAAGGTGACCCCACGGTCAACCTCGCGGTCAGAAAGGGGAATCACAACCTAAACGACGGACGAAACCGTTGCAATCCATGGGCGATGTCGGAGTCCGTAGCCCTGACAAACGACGGTCGGGGCTTATTCCGAGACGACCAGGAGACCTGCGCCGTTTCGAACGATTGAAGATTCAATCTATTCGAGCGACGAGCAAAAAGGTGAGTCGGTGTGGGGTGAAGGGAAAAGGCCAAATTCCAGAGGTGAGGTGCATAGAGGAAGTTGGGAGAGGGACGAAGAGTGACGACCCGCGGAATCTTGAACTTTTTAGGGAAAGCGTCAGTGACTGGTGTCTTTTCAGGGTCCATGATATCAAATGAATTTCAATTCAACCAACCATGCAATGACAACCATGAAATTAATCCACTTCTGATTCATTGCAGTTGAACAAGAAATGGTTTCTTGACGACACTCGGCTCACAAATCAAAACAGTTTTCTCCCCTACAGCGTGACTTTGACATTTTCTCTGTTACTATCATATCGCTTTTTACCCTTACATCATAGCTCACACTGCTACACAATCAATCACTTAAACATCTTGTGAGGACAAGACGAAGATCTCGAAAGGGCCAGCAAATTCAAGAGTATCAGGATTGGACTATTGATTGGTACAAAAGTAAATACAAATCTCGACGGCATCTTCAAGATGGCCAAGCGCTCACGTGAAGACTCTTGGTCATCTTCATCAGACATTGAATCCGCCGTCACAACACCAAGTGCAATTGGATCTGGTGCTTCAGAAGGTGGACCAGCCAAATATACGCTACTTGATAACGGGAACGATTCTCGGGAGGAAAAGGTAGTGATGCGATGCTCTCTGCCGCCGCATCGTGAGGCGCTACCATTCGTGTCATATGAAGAATTTGAGATTCATTATGCCAAATTCCACGCCAATCGGTGTGTCGAATGCAGAAAGAATTTTCCTTCGGAACATTTTCTAGGTCTTCATATTTCTGAGAACCATGATCCTTTAAATGAAGCAAGAAAAGCAAGAGGCGAAAAGACGGTAAGTCCAACCTACCACGTGACTTTTGGCATTATGGAACGCACTCTGACCAGTCTTTCATATAGTATGGCTGCTTTGTTGTGGATTGTGATAGAAAATGTTCAAGTCTCCAGAAGCGTCGACTTCATCTAATTGATAAGCACATGTTTCCAAAAGTATGGTGGAGCCAACACTCCCGTCTGAAACGCTTGCCGGCTAACTCCTCGATTTGCAGAATTATGACTTTCGGGTCATAGATACTGGCATTGACAAACGTAGCTCACTATTACGCTCTGATCGTAGCAACAACCATCGACCACGTGGCTCTGCCGCTGATCGTGCTGCAAGGCAGACTCAGAGCAATGGCAGCATTTCACAAAAGCCGGCTGTAGAGCAAAGCGGCTCAACGCTTCAGTCAGATCCCTCCATGGAAATTGATAGTCAGAGTCGCGAAACTTTATCAGATCTGAACGCTTCACTTTCGCCAGAGGCTTCTTATCCACCGCGGAACGAAGAGAGCACTGAGGCTTCGTTAAAGTCCAAAACGTCACCTTTTAAAAATCCCGTGCCAACAAAACAACCTGTCGACAACGAAATGACGGACTTGACAAAGTCTATGTCAGCACTTAAATTCATTCCGCCGAGCGTAAGGTTCGGAAGAGGACGAGGTCGGTCCGGATTTAGCAGGTCTTAATCTGCGGCATGTTATCTTTCGGCTTGATCTTTGGCGTTTTATCGATGACGGACTTTGACGATACCAGTAGATGCGGGATCATCCACTCTCCTTCTTGTGGCTGGCCATTACCTTGAATGCATGTTTTCATGTCTATGGGGCCTAATGACCTATAGCGTTTATAATTTCTCTGACACGGAACTTGGTTATGTATATACACTTCCCATCAAATTTGGGACACTGTGACCCTTTGATACCGCATAAATCACAGAAATATGAAAATCATGTACAGCTAATTCTCACGCGGTTATAAGAGGAAAAAAAGATATACCCTCGAATCTAATATAATTTGGAAACTACCCAAATACTGAATGATCAATAGTTCCAATCGAGCTTCAACACTTGGCCCTCTATACTTTGCACACAAGCATCTCATGCAGCTTCAAGAAAGACCAAGCGTGGCAACATGACAAATCCAAGCCCGGCGCTCTGCCCTGCTACATACACTGCGTATAACTGTCGTGCTGGAAAGAAAAGTATCCCACCCCCTCATTTGGTGCTTCTTTGAGCGTTTCGACCGTCTGTTCTTCGATGAGTCGAGGGTACTAAAAGTAATAACAAGCCAGGTAAGGAACAACATGGTACATAGGCAAAGCAGCAAAGCAAACCCAAATAGTATGTTTAGAAGGAAGACATCATTGGAGCAAGTCCGGTGGTTGATAGTTGCTACGAAACAACAACATTCGAAATTTCAAGGGTAGAAACGGTAGAAGCGTATTGAGCCTTCATCTTCCAAAAAGGAGCGCCCAATACTGCTTTTTTCTGAGACTTTGGCTGCTTCAGAGTCGAGTGCTCCTCTTTTGCCCTGCCTTGGGCCCCCTTCGGCAAGTCTTTCTGGAGCTTCTTCACCACTTCAACAAGAAAGTTTGCCAAGCAAACGTTATAACGAATTGCTTGGCTTACTTTGTACATCTCTCCATTTTGAACAAGCCCCTCTATCTTCTTCTCAAGCTTTTCTCTTTCCTGAGTTCTCTCTTCTTTCTGCTTAGAGAGCTCGGACTTCAAAGCAGCATTCTGTATTTGCAGAGGAGCAGATTTTGACTCTAATACACTTTGGTTTTGTTGATACGTTTGCTGTGTTTGTTGCTTTTTTTCGAATGCAAGTCTTAGTTCCTCCAACCCATTGTCTTTTGAGTCACCGGTTCAGCTCTCCAAAGCCATGGTGCATCGGATCAACTAACGAAGCAGCACAACGGTCTTCTCGATGAATAGGAAACACAAACTGAGAAAGATTCTCACAGAGAGGGCCGAGAATGCGAAGCCACTCAGTAACGATTTCTCCCAACAATCTCTCACTCAGCCTGAGATAGTCATAAGCTCATAACCCATCCAGCCAACCGCATCAGATGCCGGCATTCCCAAATACCTTGATATGATATTACGTCCCCACACGCCGACAGCCACAGCTTCATCGTTTCAAATCGTTGCTTACCTGAAAGTCAGGAATGTCAAGGGTATTGTTTCGATTCTTCAACTGGTGGTGTACTGCCAGCCAGACTGAAATGGGTCCATAACTGCAGAGTAATCCTCCTGGTCCCAAACATGGACGATGCAGGATTTTCGAAATTCTTCGCAACTCTTCAAGGCTCTTATCCGGTTCAATCTCCCCGTCTTTCCTCTTCCCTCGCCTCGTGCAAGCCAAATTTGATGGGTAAACGGATCCAAAATGTTCGTTGTTCTCTGTTCTATAGTTCTTCTCAGATATTGCATGAGACACTGCCTGCGGGCTTGAGCTTTAAACTGCTAATCAACCAGTCCTTCAGCCTCCCATTTCCACCGGAGCCATGCCCACATGTCCAGCACTTCCTGTTCCATGCACTTCAGACCATTGGCAACCTTTTTTAGCGACCTAGGATCAGTTCCCATGTTGCTGGTGCTTCATACCATCCATCGGGATGCCAATGATCCAGATTATGCTTTGAGATTAAAGATTAATCACTGAGGCATAGCTTGCTTTGCTCGCTTCTTAGCTTCTTCGAAGAATCGCAACTCTTGCGGTTGTTTCGTGTTGTGTCAGCGTCATCAGTATCTGGACCTGTTTTTATGGTTTCCCTTGTCAATTAGGGTTATAGATATATATATATCAGCGCTTTAGAACGTCTTCCGAAACTAGTGCAATGCCCTCGGGCAACTTTAATATACGCTATTGGAGCTGGAATTACCGCGGCTGCTGGCATGGCACCAGACTTGCCCTTCAATTGTTCCTCGTTGAGGGATTTAGAGATTGTACTCATTCCAATTACAATCCTTTAGCCTGCGCAATGGAAGCGCTTTCTTTCGTTCCGTCACCGTATGCCCGAGTCTGAAAGAATTATTCCAGGGCCTGCTTTCGCATTTCAACACCCGGACTTGGCTTTTACGAGTCCGAGCAATGCCATATTGGCCATGAAATCCATAAAAGCAAATGCAGGTGCGCCGCTGTCAATCAAAGCATAAGCAGTGACTACCTTAATGCTAGATTCCAGCTGGGTCCTTAAGCAATGCTATATTGAATTTGTTGATAGGATTTTGTGTAACGGCGTCCCGTATTGAAGGAAAAAGCCCAGCACTTTCACGATCCAATTTCGAAATGCTCTATTTCTCAGTCTCGAGGATTCATTTTCAGTGAACCAACAACTCAGTATCTCGCAGGGACCAAACCCGACCACGGCCTATAGGCCTGATCGTACCGCTCCGCAGTAGCCGCGCGGGATGCGCGCTTTGTTATTATACACGGTATCGTTTTAAAGTCAGCGCAGCCACCACCAAGGGGACCGCCAGATCAACTCTGCCGCATTCATAGAATCCAAGCCACGTCGTGGAAGACTATCGGCCGTAAGGTCATCATATCGATTCCAGAATTCTTCTTCAACGATGTTCCCTATCGTGGGGTGCAAAGCTAGAGCTCCAGCAGCCTTGGAAAAATGGTTGAATTGCAGCATCGACAGCTGTATCTGGGTCCTTGTTTAGGTCGACTGGTTTCCTCTTCTTGATATATTGTCGATGCCTGTTGTTCCTAATCGGAAAATCGGACTTGCTAAGACGAGCACAGAATTCTTTACGGCATAACGCGTCCAACATGATATATTCGTTGAAGTCTGTGTAAAGTGAGAAAAAACCGAGAGAGATCAAAATGAGGTTCGAGTAGTAACTGAGGCATTTCTGAGCGTGTCTCGTTAGGCAATATAGCTTGTTATTAGATTATATTCCAACGCCGTCAGACGATGGTTGATCATCCTGTGTTAATTGTAACAGTTCCTGGGGCAGAGCCTTTCGCTGAGCGTCCATTAATACGGCGACGTCTTGATACAGTCTGCCTGGCATGTCAAATACCAGCCGTTTCTCTTCCACGTAGCCACCTGGAACTGCTTTCGCCCTAAGGAAAGCAATGTTTTCATTCCCCGGTCGATCAGTGAAGATAGCATATGGCACCTTTATGATAGATGGGTTTGTTTTGGGCCGCACGGGAGGTGCGATGGCCGCTTGAGGTATGTGTGTCTGCCCGGTTCTCTGTGTTCGGTTTTGACGGTGCGTGATTTTCGGGACTTCGCAACGCCAGGCGTATTGGCAATTGCCTTGGTCTTGCGGCGAGTCTTGGGTCCTTCACCGAACACCCAGGCAGGTTTCTTATCGGGATTTTGCTGCCACGCTTGGTAGATCTCCCTCTAATCAAAGATTAGCTAGCCATCCAGCAGCGAAGATCTCTGCTGCAAAGAGCGTTCACGAAAAACCGCTTGCCGGTATCCTGTTAAGCCTGAAAAGAGAATCGGACTTCTCTCTCAGTGTGCTCCATTTCGGCCTCATCGTCGCTATCATTCTCTGGTGTGTTGTAGGCGATGACTTGGGACTCCTGTTTGAATGTAAGCATTGTTCTTGTTGAGTTCTGTTATAGTAAGAATGATTAAAAGCACCCGAAATGTGGGGCTGGAATAACCTGTTCGAGGTGTCAAACCTGGGTGCCGAAGCTGGACGCAAATATAAAGGAAGGAGGACATGATTCAAGAACGTACTGCGAAGCAATACAAGAAAGCAGAATGGGGAAATGGCGCTTCAGCTGGACTACTGCTTGAGAAATATAATGCGAACAGAGCCCGGAAAGGGGGAAGAGGCGGCGTTTATATAGACAAAAATTTGGCCTTGGTGAATTAGGTTGATAGGTTTATCAACCTACAGTGATGGCTGGAGTAGAGCACGGCCGCCTAGTCATCGAGCCATAGTGAATCTCATGCAAGTAAAACCTTTCTGTGAAGGATCATCGTGACAGCTTCGACTAAAGAGCTATGACTTCACAAGAGCCGTGGTTTTGGACATGCAGTGTTGAAACTGATGTGCGTTTGCAGGAAAACACCATGGCAAAGACTGAGGAGTAATATTTAATATGGCTCAGAGACGTGTATTTGAAAAGTGTCCGAAAAAAAAAAGCTACAAGATAAAAGATAAACAACAATATTAAGACAAAGTATTGAATCCGAAAAGAGCAACCCGTAACGCATTCGGTCATTGCAGACGGTAGATAATCCGAGATGACTTTCGTATAGCGGAAATATAGAGTCTTTGGTAGGCTCCGTCGAATGTTCGCCTCACTATCGAGGAATTGGATATCTCCGAAGAGGAACCTCGACTCCAATACGGCGGCATGGAGGAAAATTCCTGACAGATCAAGACATTTTCCCGGTGCTTCATTGATGTGATCATTAATCCCAGATATTCGGCCTTTGTGCGTGCGGTTTGTGACCATGGTCCACGTCATGTTTACCTTTATGGCAGCCTTCTGAGTATATCCCTTCCCCGTCGCAGCACGACCAAGTATATCCTTCTGGATATGCCTCTTTGCAGAAGTCCGAATCTATATCGCCGTGAATATTTTCATCGTGATCTGCAAAAAAATCATCGTAGTCGGGCTCCAGCTCGCCTATCGTTTGTATTTAGCCACCATATGTCTGATAAAGGAAGCTATTGAACCGTAAAAGGGAATAAAACTTACCATCATGGAAGATACAATCTCCACGACGGTTATCGGCTACGTCGAACTCCTCTTTGCAGTTTGTACAAAATGCGTACCGAAGACGCTGTCGTTTGTTAGAGGATCCATTGGCCGAGGTATCTTTGCTGTTCAAGTCTTCATGATCCGTGGCTTTCCGTTTTGAACCTCTATTTTTTGTGGTGCGAGGGGTGGAGCTGTCGCTGTCGCTGTCGGAACCCTCAGTGCCCGAGCTGCCAATATCAGATTCGGAAACTAGGAGTTGCTGCTCGACAAAAGTTCTAGCTTGTGGAACCGCCTTACAGAGATCCTGTAGGACAATTTGAAGTCGCTCGAGCTCAGCGAGATTGATGGCTTCATGCAGCTTTTCAGGAGCCATGATAAATGAAATGTATGAAAATTCTTTAAAAATTTGAGGGCTGTAGTACAATCAGCGCATTGGATGCGAATAGACTGAGATCTCGCTGTTTATTTACTAGGACCCTGTGATGTCAGGGGGTCGCGTCTCGGTTGACGCGCTGTCGTTCCGCGTTTGTTTACAGCTGACATGACATTGCGACAACTTGCCCTTAAATTCACGTTTTATCGAGATCTGAATACAGCCAAGGGTCCTCGCGAAGCTCTTTTGCAGTCTTCCTCTCTTCTGGCAACCATCGCAACATTTTCCTCACAAAGTTGAGAAAAAGCTCTTTTTCTTTTCCTGTCAAACACGTGACGCAGTCGTCGAGTCTGACGTCCTTGGGAATGATTTGGGTGTGGGTGAAATGGCCTAGGGTAAAACACCTGAGCTCTACATCTATACCAGGATGTTGATGGAGATTTGAAACATACCTTTTGAGTCGAAGAAAGGTCCGCCATAGTATTCACGAGCTGTATCGTACCAAGTACCGTCTGGGCCGGGAAATGATCGGTCCCAGGGCACGTCGCACCACTGTTTCTCCTGCTCAATGAGCTTCTGTGGCGGCGGTCCAAACAGTGCAATCATCTCGGCAAGATGAGCCTGAGCAGTATACACGCCTTTTTGCGACTCGAGGTGACGGAAGAGCTGCCTATTTTCTAGTAACTCAAAAAGCTGCAAGCGCATATCTCAGTTGTCATTCCTATATGTACCAGAATCACGCAAAATACTGACCAAGACGCCCAGATTCCAGATGTCAGCGCTATATGACCAAGGGGCCCCAAGTAAGACCTCGGGAGCGTGGTAGAGAGGCGGCTGTATCGGATGACGAAGGGGCCTTTTCCCATCTACATGGTGTGCCAGACCAAAATCAGCAATTCGTGGCAGCACCCAGTATGATCGTAGGTCACCAAAATTATTGTGCGAGAGGTATATGGTTCGGTCGCCAATTGTTTTACGAGGCATGGGATGCTCATCCTGAGCCTTCACATACTCCTCAACCACATTTACATCTTCGAACGACATCAAGATGTTGTCTGTTTTGAGATCTAAAAGACAGTCAGTGTTGAGTGATTAAAGCGTCTGAGAGTTCTTGGAGAGCGGAACCAGTATGGACGATCTGACAATGGGAATGGAGATATTCCAACCCTTGCAATATGAACTCCGCGTATACTTTCAACAGCGAAGGTGGAATGCAACCACCCGGGAGACGGTATTTAAATTGACTCAAAGGTTCCCGCATAGCATCGAAAACCAGGCATAGGTGCTCGGTTCCGGTAGGGCTGGTAGCCATGAAATGATCAAAAGCGGCCCTGACAAATAGAGAACCGGCAAAATAAGTGTCTTTTGTAAGATATTTGTTCATGTTGAGTTCGTGCAAAGCAACGTCCTCAAAGTCAGGATCAGCGGTGGTAAGCTTCAGCGTCACGTATGGGAAAGGCATTCTTCAATAATATTAGACGTAAATCTTGACCTGAACATGAGTGATCCTTACTCTTCTGGACCATCCAACTCCTGCGCCAACCATACGGTAGAAGTTCTGCCCCACCCAATTTTTGTTAGGATTTTATATCGAGAATTGAGGACTTGCCCCGGAGTTGCAGGATAGTATAACTCAGGTCGATACCCGGGCACACGCTCCTCTTCGACTAATTCATCGGCAGGTAGAATCCTTGGTGGCTGAGAAGAGCCCATCATTCGGCTTGATATGAAATATGACAAACGCGGGCGAAGTGGCAGAGCACATCGACGAAGTAATTGGCGCACAATCATATTGTCGATTGATCTTTAAACACATCTTGAGGAAGCAGACTGATGTGTTGAAAAGCCGTTTTGGTGGGTCTAGGTCCAAACGCCATATCGGGCTGGTTGAGAATCATGTCTTCGCTACGTTTCTAAGTTGCTGCTATTGCATCGTCTATATGAACAAATTCTAGTCGACCAAGGGCTCCTTTATTTCCACATTCGGCTAAATCTGACCCGCTCAAATGAAATCCTTATTTCGTGAGCCCTCTCCATCCTGATAATCACATCGATTATCGTGTTTTGAGAACGGTATGATGAGGAGTACACAAGTAGGTTCCCGCGCGGCTAGTCCAGTCATCCTATAAGGTTGCCAAGTAACTAGCCGCGTCTTAGTGTTTTACGCCCTAGCTGCTTATTGTAGTGACGTTGGCTCCGCTAGAACAAGCTTGACGCTTATTTCCGGGTAGTTGCATTGCTGGGGTCAAACCTAAACGGAGCACCCACGCAAGACGTTGTTACGGGATAAAGCAATTGTATTTGTTTTCAACCCTTTTCTGCTGCATTTCCATGCTTGATAAAGCTTGGTCTACAAAAACTTCTGCAGTTTATGCTTTATTCAAATGGTGTCAATAAAGTGCATTTTGTCTGCCATTAATCTGGCTGTTGAATAATTAAAGGTTACAATGCAGAAAATCATAAAACAATTCAAAAGAGTTGTAAATTTCAAAAAATTACTGCATCTGGTTAGAATATGGCATAAAATCACGTCTTTGGTAAGGAATTCTATAAACGGCAAGATTGTTGGAGAGCAACAGATGAAAAATCAATGACGACCCTACATATCACGAGATATCACACCACAGCCCGCCGAATGGGGTATTCCAAAAACCAGTTGCAAAAGCTTAGCTTTTTTTGGATGGTTATAAAAGAATTGCATCTTGATTCTTGAAACAGGGTAATGGAAAGGGAAGGGGGCGGATTCAGAATTCACCAACTCTCTTTCGAAAAACTTAGTAAACAAAATAACAATAAGAGGAAATACCAAATTCCATAAAATTAAAAGCCACAAAGGATACCGCTAACAAATGATGCAAATGCCAGAACATACAAGTAGTATAAAGATGAAACCAGTCTATCGCCTTCAAATGCAATACACGATGACATCATGCAAATGGCACACTCGAAGTACTAATCGCACTGCGCTTCAACGGTGGTGGCGGTGGAGGCTTCTTAGCCCTTGAAGGTGGAGGTGGCGGCGGCGCTTTCTTATTTGCATATCCTGCATTAAGCGTGGAAGAGCTCGTCTTGCGAGATGGCCCACTACTATACGACGTTGCCGGGGACGAAGATTGATCGCCCCACGAACGTTCAGGACTAGAAGTACTATGAAGAGTATTGTCGTCGGTCGGATCACCAAACACATCATGTCCAAGATTGTGGCGTGATGCACTAGGGAACTGCGAATGACTCGAGACATAAGTCGGTGGGTCAGTGGGTATCCGCGAGAATCCCGGGGCCGGATGTCCTGTATATTCACGATAAAGTTGGGTAGGGCCTTCAAAGCTATTTGACGCATGGCGCTCTGTTGTGGAGGCGCGATGAACAGTCGGTCGACGCACAGGCATGTCAATTCCGCTCATGTCGCGGCGGGGCGAGCGTTCTAGGGCAAGGCTAGAAGAGGCGACTCTGGTAGAGCGAATCGAGCGCCGGGGCTCAAGCATGGGAGCAGGTTCAGGCTCTTCTTCGACTGCACTGAAGCGATCGCCGTAGCTGTGTGCTGTTACGGAGCGGGATCTGTTGCGGCGGTTCTCGTGAGTTTGCGATGATCTAGTCTTGTTAGAAAAAGGGTTCTACCGGTTTTTGACGGCTGATGATACTTACGTTGCAGGCCAGTCTCTTTTAAGTTGCATTAAGACTTCGTGACAATTCTCGAAGTAACGTAGCTCAGAATCGAGAAAGGCCTCCAGATCCGAAATACTCTCACACTCAGACTCTTTGATGTCCTGCATGCGTCGATATACATCCTCACTGGATTCCTCGTATTTGGCCTTTTGTGAGCGGAGCTCCTCCTCGACACGGAAATCCTCCTTTTTGGCTTTTTGTACTTTGGCGAGCGATGCATCATAGGCGAGCCGACGGCTTTCCAGTTTCTTGCGTGAGGCCTATACAGCGTTAGATGATTTTCCGTTCACAGCTTTTCCAACGTGCTGCCATACCTGGTATTCCTTCATCTGAGCAAGAGAGCGCTCCAGCGACTCGAGCCATGCGCTCGTTGCGTTCGCGACATAGTTTTCTTGAATGCGAGCAATTCTCTCATGTGTACGGCCCATGGCTGACAGCGTCAGTATGTTTCCCTCGTCTCGACGTGGTCGTATGCGCAAATACCTAGAAGACGGCTCCCGAACTCGGAACCATGGTCAAAATCCTCCCCATGGCTGATCATAGTTGAGCCCAGCAAAGCGACCGGAAGAACCTTTTCCTTGTCGTCGCCTTCAGATCTTTTCGATAGCGACTTAACATACACCGTCATCCCCTTTTGAAGACGTTCCATGCCTAATAGTCGGTGAGAATTCAGTTGGGCCTTCTTATCAATTGTCTAATGAGCATACCATCATGTCTCAAGACCATTTCTTCCTCTAGAGCTTTAAAATCCTCCGAAACACATGTTTTTGCTTCTCCTCCCATGCGTTCGCCAGCCCATTGTTTGAAGCGATCGAGTTTCTTGTTCACGTTCATCGTGGAGAGTCGTTGGCCGTAGACCAGCGTTTTTCGTTCATGCAGATGTGAGAGTAGGCTGCTCTCTCAACGCTTCTACGTAATGCAGGCGGAGGAGTACTGGATTTCTTGGCTACCGAAATCAACGGGTTAGACTGGCCCTTGACTCGCAGGATCAACTTGGCTAAGGGTGTCGACAGCGTGCAGGGATGCGGAAGGAGCGGCCAGGGCCCATGAGTTCTAAGAGCACGAAAGAACCAGAAAATTTGCCGCAATTATCCGGTGCCTTGACCCACTAGAAGCAAGCGACTGGAGTAAAAACGACGCTCTATGATTGCAAAAGGTAACGAAAACAAAGAGGGGAAAATAAAATGAAGGTGGAAGTCCAAGCTTGGGACAGGTGACATATTAACGCTTTGCCCGCAGAGGAATGAAAATAGTAGGTACATTCGAGATGGCATTTTGGACGCCCACCATTTCTCGGGCCACGTCCCTGTAGTTCAGGGGTCCGGCTGAGAGTGACAGAAATCACTAGCGATAGCAAAGGTACCTCTACTTTCTATCTCTCATTAGGCCGTCTCAGATTCCCCTGCAGGAAGGAATTAGCACCCTCGTGGACTCCTTCCGATCGTGGATATATGCAAGCCGGGTACGCGTAAAAGTACAGGTACCTATCCTTGCTAAGCCCCATCCGGTCTGATTGCCAAGGTCACTACAAGTCTGGGGAAGAACGAGGGGGGAAGGACAGACAGGGGCAGCAACGAAAGCGCTAACCTGCAACAAGGCGAGGAGGAGAAACGAAGGGCTGGACGAACGCTTCTTGTCGCTTGCATACCAGACAATTGTAATTCTCTCCAGGCCTAGGAATGCCCTCCTGTTTCTATTCTCGTTCGTCGGTACCTTGTTCACCCCGTTAGTTGAATCGTTTCAAACTACCTTGTCGTTTCACTGGCATGCGAATCACGATAAGAAACACATCCTACACGAGTACGAGACCATACCATTCTAGCGCAAGCCACTTCTTTGGCTTATGATTGCATTCGATCCGGAGTTGACAATAATATCGATGATGCGCTATCTGTAGTGGCCTTCTCAAACACGACACGCAGTACCCTAGGCACCGAACCCGATGACATTTCTGAAGTGCACCGAACTAGTGTCCATCCAGCGAAGATACCATCCAATGGCGAACCCAAATATAGTCGTTAAACATTGCTATCAAAAAAAAAAAAGTCACAGGTCGTACAGCAAGGACGTCAATCAAATGCTGCAAAGCGGCACAACTGGGCAAGAATACTGAAACGAATTTTCGGTATGTTTGTTCGCTTTTTCTGGAGACTGATTGGGATCATTTATTTGAGACAGATCCAAAAGAGTATGTTGAAACGTTTGCTGGTATCACTGCATTGTCGAAATCATGTCGAACCGAATGGAAAATTGCTCCTTTTTAACTTGTACTATTCCTCACGTAAAAAAAAGGTAGGGTACAAGAAGAAAGCTGCGTAAAGCCCGCAACCATTGCAACAGCCCAATGCAACCATTCCGCAACCCAAGAACCACCATTTTACTCCTTCGTCTTTTGCGTACCACGGAGCAGACCAGTTCTCCGGGCAGCAATAAGACCGGCCTTTTGACCCTGGGCGGCGTACCGGGAGATGGTCGAGGCCTTACCAATATGCTGGTGGTTACCACCACCGTGAGGCTGTAGAAAAGAATTGTCAGGAAATCTATCACTTCATAAGAAACGTCAATTAGACTTACGTGATCCACGGGGTTCATGGCAACACCACGAGTCTTGGGCCATGAGTTGCGCTTGACAGCGAACTTGTGCATGGCACGAGAAGCCTCTGCAAAGCCGTTAGTCCATCTTATGCTTATGCTATTCCACTTCCTTCCATAGAGTCCAAAACATACTCAGCAAAGGCTTGTCGGTACGGCCACCACCGGCGACGATACCAATCATACCACGGGCACCGCTCTTGATGACCTTCTTGGCGCCAGAGGGGAGCTTGACACGGGTGATACCCTCCTCAGGGTTCTGACCAATGACGGTAACATAGTTACCAGAGGTACGGCCGAGCGCACCACGGTCGCCAGCCTTCTCCTCGACGTTGGTGATGACGGTACCCTCGGGGATGGAGGCAAGGGGGAGGACGTTGCCGACGGTCAGGGAAGCGTTCTTTCCGGCGTAGATGAACTGGCCAGTGTACAAGCCCTCGTTGGCGATGAAGGTCTCCGTGTGCGTCTTGAACTTGTAGGGGTCACGGAACTGGACCTTGGCGAGGGGAGCTCCTCGACCGGCGTCGTGAACAATCTCCTTCACCACACCCCGGATGTAACCGTGACGCTCGGCATAGTCGAGGGTTCGGAATTGAGCGGGGGCTTTGTTGAGACGGGTGTGGGCCGCTGAAGACAGAAAACATGGTCAGATTTGAAGTCCTATTGATATTTGCGCCGATCGCGATGATGACGATAGATTGGGAACGTATAGATTGTGGGACGTACTGAAGATCGATCCACGACCCTTTCTCTGGTTGCGGATAACTCTACCCATCTTGGCCTGCTGGAGAGTTAGTATCGACGGTCGGTGGTGTCGTGTGAAGGTGTAGACAGGAGCATACCTCGGCGTTTGAGCGTGGATGTAGGAAAAAGTCACGATGTTCGTCGCTTTCGAGACGCCCAATTCAAGTCTGTGGGTTAATCGTCGTCGGTTACTTTCCTAACTCGGGATTAGCCGCAAACTCGGCTAGGTCTCCAGTGTCGATAGCCCTAATAAGCCACCATTGAGCCTTGTAAGGGCAACTATATGACTGCGAAATAACAAGAGGCGATGATGGCCATTGATAAATATTAACTTCGTCGATGAGCGCTTAATCGTCTTTCCTCTGCACTGAAAACCCGAAGTTATCTTTCGAGGCTGTTGCAGTAGTGTACATTTCTTGCAAAATTGTTCTTATCACGTGATGCGATCTCAAGCGGGTGTTCGCGAGCCCTTGTCCCTTAGAACATACGGAGTAATGCAACTTCAGCCACGGGCAGCCAGCCCCGCCTTCAATGCCAACGTTAGAGCAACGACGCGCTGTTGAATCCATCCACGTGTCATCGGATGAAGGGCGACTGCTACCTTGTTTGAAGACCAATATATCACAGTTCAGAAACCACTATAGGTGCATTCATATGTCATGGGACTTCGTTCTCCTTACTCTCACTAAGCTTTCCTTTTCCCTTTCCCTCCCTAGTTGTAGAGTCACGAAAATTCTACTTTTTTGTTGTCCGCTGTTTGGCCTAATCTATCTAATTTCGGATTCGATGTTCACTATGCTGATTATGTTGTCCTGTCTGCATGTGTAGAGAATTTGTTTTTTTTTTCTAACCTGCGTCTCAACTACTGTGTCCGCCTGTCTACTTTTCTCGGTGTTTGATTTTGATGATTTTTTATTGCACTGGTCACTATTCTTTAATACCATTATATCTCGTATCCTCATCAAACAACATGCCTTTCATTCTCGTCTTCTCGTTTCATGTTGGTATTGTTCTCTGTTCTTATGAAGTACCACGTCGGATCAGTTATACCCAATCTTTCTCCTGATGCAAACTCTTTGATATGGATGTTTCGATCGTGCATTCTGACCTGGCTTGGCAGTGCATTCAATGCTGGCAGAGAAAGCGCTTACGTTACGGGGCAGAAGGGCCTTTGAAGCTACCGAGGCGACCGAAATGGCCGAGTGATCATCATTCGCTCTGGCTCTCATCTCAGGTCAATCATCCAAGGCACTTCAAAAACTGAAGACACCACTTCTTGTCTCATATTCATCCTGCTTTCAATTATTGTTCGCGGCATTGATCGCTGATTGCGCATGTAGTGTTGGATCTTTGATTGAAAGTAAGATTTGCGTTATGAATGGACGGATTGTGACGAATTAAATAGACCATATATTTCTTGACATCAGAAAGCTGAGAGATTATGGGGAGATTGACTATCAACTTCCACCGCTTTGCCATGCGATGAGCAATTTTTGTTGGAACTTTGCAGGTGCTCAGTGCTAGCAGAGGAGAAACAAATGTCGCAGGTGCCATTGCCTGTTCTTGCAGGGAAGTTTCCTATATATTTGGCATACCAATCAGAGCCGGTGCAGTGCAACACCTATTAGGTTCACGTAACCTTAATCGTAGCTTGTTCTAAGGTCGCTCGTGCACCCTCGCCCTTCTCCGTGTTTAAACTCCGTAACCGACATCAACTCGCAACCCCGAGAAAAGATGTCCCTATCAGATTCATCTGCGCTCTCATCTGCGCCTCCTTCAGAGGATGAATTGTCCCTTCCCTCTGACGATGAGAGACGCTTGAGCTCGTCTTCAAGCAATAATGTCAAACGCGCCTCATCTCCTCTCGAAAGTCCGCCGCCGCAGCGGAAGCGGGAACCTTCGCCGCCCCATGAATATGTCCTCGCAGACAATCCAGACATTGCAGTAAGTCTTTTCCTTTCGGTTGCTTCTGTGCAGTTGATACTACAATGCTGCGCGTGATCGTCAAATTTTGACGCGAAATTGACGTCTGATTCGTTGTAGTTCCTTGTTATGTTCCGATCGCGTTTCAACGAAGCTTTCCCCAAGAATCTCTCGCACTTTGGCCCCCAAGATATTGAAAGGGGTGTGGTAGATTCCGTCCCTTCACCACAAGTTGAAAATCTCCTTTGCGCGCTGTTAGGATTGGTTCTAAACCGAAAGAAGAATGTTGAGTGAGTTGGTCAACGCGAACCTGCTTGCAGCTCTCGTGGGCGCTGAAGCTGCACGCTTTACGGATGAAGAAGAGGCTAATATCGGTCATTCACTTTACTTCAGGCGAGGGCACCATCAGAGGGCTTTAGAGGAAGCTCTTCAGACGCAAAAATACCAATGGCCGCGAACGTGGAATGGTGCCAATCCTTTGTCTGGCGGAAAGACCTTCACCGCAATGACACCCACTGAACGTGTAAGAAGCCTCAGGATGCGCCGCCGATCTGACTTTCTGCTCACAATATTCAAAGCTTAACCTTCTCAAAACCCTTGTTCTTTGGGCTCTTTCTTCTTCCGATGCTATACAAACAATTATCAAGGATTCATACAAGCAGGCACGACATGAGGACGACCTCAACCAACCACTTTCAGTGCAGCCATGGGGTCGAGATGGTGACAAACGCCGCTATTGGCTCATTGAAGGACAAGATGACACATCTTTCCGACTATATCGAGAGAGCAATCCTGCACTCAAGACAAATACCTGGTGGAGCGTTGCCGGAAGCATTGATGAACTGAAGCTCATCGCGGAAAAATTGAGTCTGGAAGGCACTCAAGCAGCACGGCGCTTGAGCGATAGGATACTGGCAGCGATTCCAAGATTCGAGGCGACAGAAGAAGTATGCGGACACCAATCTTCGCAGCACCTAATCACACGTTACTGATAATTTTGCTTTAGAAACGAAAGCGCCGAGAATACAGAAACGCACGAAAGGCACAATTCACGCGCCCGGAGCCAGGTCATTCTCTTTACGAAGGACGAACTCGTGGCAAGCGGATAAAGTATACGTTTTCGGATGAGGAAGATGATTATTCAGATGTGACCTCCACTCGCCGTTCAACGCGCCAGTCAGGGGCTTCGACGCCGGCTGAATTAAGTGGTCCTGTATACACTGCAAGTGGCCGACAAGTGAGATCGCGCGCTGGAGGTGCCTATGGGATCTCTGCGCTCACCAATGAGCGGCCCAGTAATGAGAATTCAGCGCGTGAAAGTGTGGATGTCATGGATGATCCAGAGGAAGCTATTCGGGGCTCAGGTACTCGGACAAGGCGCTCCGGCCTGAGAACTGAAATCAACGGGCAGCCTTCGCTTGAGAAACGCGAGGCGGGGTATGATTCCATGGATGAAACCGAAGAATCTAGTGGCAATGAGTGGAACGGAGAGGATGAAGACGACGACGATGCTGATGTTAATGCCGACGAGGACGAGGAAGAGGAGGGCGATGAAGAAGATGGTGGTGAGAACGATGAGCTAATGTCCAAAGGAGACCAGAGTCTTGTCGTGCAATTGAAGTATAACAAGTCCGAGCCTGATGCTGATTTTGCGAAACCAAGCATCCCAGTGAGCGCGCCTTTGAAGCAGCCTCCTGGCTCCGCAGAAGAGAAGGAGTCGCGAAATGGTCAAGTCCAGGCCCCAGCCAAGGAAGAATCTTTCACAGCCATGCCGTTGGAACCGAACCATACACCTTTGGCTACAGCGGCAGCCAGATCTGAGCTCAAGTCAGAGGAGCCAATTTCCACGACCACGGCTCTGAACCATCTTCCATCTTCAAATACGACGTAATCAGCTGTTTGGCCCAACGTTTTTGATATTATAATACCAGCACTTTTTGTTTCCTTTTGCAATCGATCTTCTAGCAAAGGCATTGTGTTTTTGGCCACACGATGGGAACACAATCATACAGGGTTTGCCGCGTGTAAGCTATACTGAGGGGTTGAATTTATATTTTTAACAGAGGACGGTAATGGCGACTATAGAAAAGTCATATAGCACCTCTTCCCAAAGATTTTTATAGTCTTTTAGACATTCAAATACCTCCAAAAATTATTTACGTGAAAATCCCGTGCTGAATCATCCTTTAAGACGGTCTTGCGCCCTAACGCCCAACTCTATGCAATGTTCCGATTCTTATACACATGAAGTCAATCTAGGATATTAGTCTGCACCAGCGTTTCCAAACTTGGCTTTGAAAAACTGTGTCCTTTTTATTAGCACTATATTCAGCGCACAACCGGCAATGAAATCTCCAGACACACTTACGTCGCCAACTTCGGATGCCTTTCGCTCTTGCCGTGATGGAATAGGCCAGTTGTTGACACCCCACCACCAACGACGAATGCGTGCACCCACTGACTGACCGCTGAGCTTTGCGGATCTATTCCAGTAACGCCAGCCACTCAGAAGGAGTGTCCATAATGTGCCCTGAACGAGCGGCAGAATGACCTGATACTGGAGGTTAGTTCCAATTGGTCATTGAGAGAAAGTCTTTCGAGAGCTCTCATCCAGTAATCTCATCAGCATACCTGGTCTCGGACAACTACCCATGCGACAGCTGCTTTGGTCTCTTTGCCTTCGATGCTTTTCAGGAAACTCTGCTCGAATCGCAGGTCGGGCAAAGGCGGTAATGTTGACTTTCGAGGGTGCGGTCGAAGTACAGACTCTGGGATCTCTTCTGAGGAAACAACCGACGCAGTAGGAGAAGCCGCAACGCTGACGGGTTCCTTGGCACTGGCTGTGGTGGAGGGGTTGAGATCATGTTTGGGGGACGGATGCCGCTCAATGCTCGCGGTCTGAATCGTCTCGGCGAGCTGAATCGCCGGATCAGCCATTGCGAGAATGTATTGTATATGGCGCTTCCAGAAACCGCTGGCCTGAGTTGTTGATTAAGCTTATGGGACACCCTTGTCTTCGACGACTGGACTGGTCCTTGGAGCTTCACTACTCTAGATGGAGTTGATGGGACCTGGCTGGCCGAGGATTCGCCGATAATGATCCGATCTCTCAGCTGACTCAGCATATCCAATCAAGTTCTAGATGTATGAGCTTACTGCACATGGAACGCCTTTCCTTATTGGGTAAAGTCGTCCTGTAGTCTCCACGGTGAATCCAAAACTATCATTTGCTAAAACTCACACTGACTCCGACTACGCCCTTTCGCCCTCCCTTCACCACCTTCTCTCTCTTACTCTGTCTTCCTCGCTCCTTTGTCTTCTGGCAACGCTGAATATCTTCCCCATTGCTGCTTCAGGCCATATCTCGGCCTCGTTGTATTAGAAGAAAAGAACAAAATGGATACTCTCCTCCGTCAATCGCGGGCTATGTGCCCCTTCCTGCACAAGACCTCTCCCGCCACCCTCCGGTCCCTTTCGACCTCGACTGCCCATGCGGCTCCGTCCCCCGGAGGAGGCGCGATTTCGAACCTTCAGGTGCTTGCTCGACGATGCCCGGTCATGGGCAAGGCCTTGGCTGTTCAGAGTGCCCGCACTGGTTCCTTTGGACTCGGCGGCGTGTATGGCGGATCCAAGGCCTACACAGGACGTGCCCGCCTTCATACCACTAGAGCCAAGGATGCTCGTGCGGTTGATGTTGGCCTTTTCGGTCACCAGTCGACCAGATCTCAGCAGCAACAGCACCCGAAGCATGCAGCTGCCGCCAACTCCGAGCCGAGCCCAACGAAGCACAAATTGGCTCCGAGATTTGATTACGAGGGCTTCTACAATGCCGAACTCGAGAAGAAGCACAAGGACAAATCGTACCGCTATTTCAACAACATCAATCGGCTGGCCAAGGAGTTCCCCCGCGCTCATATGTCGTCCAAGGACGAGCGCGTGACCGTCTGGTGCTCCAATGACTATCTTGGAATGGGAAGAAATCCTCAGGTGTTGAAGTCCATGCACGAGACTTTGGACACGTACGGGGCTGGTGCCGGTGGAACTAGAAATATCTCTGGACACAACCAACACGCGGTAGCTCTCGAGGGCACTCTTGCTAAGCTTCACGCAAAGGAGTCCGCTCTTGTTTTTACCTCGTGCTACGTTGCCAATGATGCCACGCTAGCCACGCTCGGCAGCAAGCTCCCTGATTGCGTGATTCTTTCGGACAGCAGCAACCACGCGTCCATGATTCAGGGTATCCGTCACTCTGGCACGAAGAAGATGGTTTTCAAGCACAATGACGTTGCCGACTTGGAAGCCAAGCTCGCCTCTCTCCCACCCGAGGTGCCCAAGATTATCGCTTTTGAAAGCGTGTACAGCATGTGCGGATCAATTGGTCCGATTGAAGAAATCTGCGACCTGGCTGATAAATACGGCGCCATTACATTTCTCGATGAAGTCCACGCCGTAGGCATGTATGGGCCACACGGTGCCGGTGTCGCCGAGCACCTCGACTTTGAGGCCCACGCTGCTGGCCGACCCAAGGGAACCGTCTTGGACCGGATCGACATCATCACCGGAACCTTGGGCAAAGCGTATGGCTGTGTAGGCGGATACATTGCCGGCTCTGCCAAACTTGTTGACACCATTCGCTCCCTCGCGCCCGGATTCATCTTCACCACCTCTCTCCCTCCAGCCGTCATGGCCGGCGCCAAATCCGCCATTGAATACCAAATGGAATACCAAGGCGACCGACGTCTGCAGCAGCTGCACACCCGCGCCGTCAAAGACGCCCTGGGCGCCAAGAACATCCCCGTCATCCCCAACCCATCCCACATCATCCCCGTCCTCGTCGGCAACGCCGAAGTCGCCAAGCAGGCCTCCGACATGCTCCTCGAGGATTTCGGCATCTACGTCCAGGCCATCAATTACCCCACCGTCCCCGTCGGCCAGGAACGCCTCCGCATCACCCCTACCCCCGGCCATACCCGCGAGTACCGCGACCACCTCGTCCAAGCCCTCGACACGGTCTTTGACCAGCTCAACATCAAGCGCACCTCCGACTGGGCTGCCCAAGGCGGCTTCCTCGGCGTCGGCCAGCCCGTCCCCAAGCCCCTCTGCGACCCCCTGTGGACAGACAAGCAGCTCGGCGTCGACCAGATTGTCGCCGAAATGAAGGCCGGCCAGGGTGCCGTCGGCATCATGGAAGCCGTCCTCGAAAAGGAAGTCAAGCAGACTGCCCAGGCCGTCGCCGTTGCCGCTGCCGCTTAAGTAGCCTGTACCCACTGTAGTACCTGACATACTTTTGCGTGCAAAGCAACGAGTCACCGCCATCTAGCCTCTCCTTTCAGAAGATTTATTTGGCCAATTATTCTAGCGCAGCTTCAACCGTTCTAGCCCTACGCCTTTTCCCCTTACAAAGGCCTGTCATTCCTTTTTTTATTTTTGACTTTTATTCAATGATCTATTGATCTATTCAAAATTGGGAATACTTGCCCCGTTTGAATTTATCCTATTTGGATCTAACCTTTTTCCACCTCTCCCTCTCCAGTCACAGTGCTGTATTGTACTGTGTTGTATTGTGAAGTCTTTTGTGAAATGTATTGTGAGATCATGCATGTCTTGCATCTCGTGATTCCCGTCCCATGTCTCTTATCTCAGCCTTGTAGTCCATCTCTGATTACCAATTTACGACTTGTCCCAACTCGCTGGCCCACACTACATAAGCCCGACGGCCTTTACGACGGGTACAAAAAAAAAAGAAGTAAAAAAAGAAAAAAGCAAATGTAATCATGGGACTAGTGTGGGAGAAGAGACGGGATCTCGACTGAATAGCAACCTACACTTGCAAGGTAGCATGTAGGCTTGAAAATGATTTTGTAGTAAATTTATTTTATGAAAGAGTCCTTTATTGTTTTGTGAAAAAAAGAGGTTAATTTTAAAAGTAAAAGCAGGAAAGAAAGAAAGAAAAATGGACAAAGGAAAAAGGAAAAAGGACCGGACCCGAATCAAACTCCATTTACTAGAAATACATCTTTGGGACGGTGGAGTTGAAGAAGTTGAAGAAGAAATTGGAAAAAGAAGTTGGATGAAGAAGTCGATCAAGAAGAAGTAGTAAATACGTGTCTGGCTTACAAAGGTAGAAAATAAACTGAGACGAGACGGGGAAATGTAATTTGGAGCATGAAGAAAAAGGGGGGAAAGAAAGGGGGGTAGGTAAGGGGGGGAAAGCTAGACGAAAGGAGAAAAACGAGAAAAGGAAAAGAAGAGAAGTGAAAAAGGGACAGAGGAAATGATAATAATGATGAATGGGAAGAGAGAAAAAAAAAAAAGGAACAACCGTGGAGTCGATAACTCGGGAATTTTAAAATCCCTGCTGGACGAAAGAAAGGAAGGAAAAGAAACCGTTATTTTTAACACAGGCCAGTAGTTGGAAAAGCAATAATGTAGTTTAGAGAAGAAAAAGACTCCCGAAAGGAAGAAGGGGAAAAAAGGAAACAGAAAGATCACTGATCATACACCGCCGTCGGCGAGACGAAGTCGCTCTTTTGTCGTCTTGGCCTTTTTCGACGGTCCCTTTGGTTTCAAGGACGGTTTGCGACCACGAGTTGGAGCCTCGACGGGCGTAGCTGCGCCAGACGGTTTATTACTGCCGTCATCGAAGTGTCCTTCGCCTGTAGTAGTCAAATGCATTAGCCATGTCATGTCTTGAAGGATCAAAAGCCACAAGGGGATAGCGGAAATTCCTGTCCCTATATTTGAACGATATGATTGTGAACATACCCTCATGATACATGTCATCCAACGTGATATCAGCTTTTCGCTTCTTCGGAGCACGTTTGCGGCCGGCCGGTTCGCGTGCTTCCGCAGCTGCGAGCTCGGCTTCCTTGCGCTCAATCTCGGCCGCTTGGTCGTCGTCGGCAAGCCACAGTGCAATGTCCTTGGTCCGGTTCTCGCGCGACCGAGTGTTGAAATCGACTCCCGCTCCAGTTCCGCCAGAAATGACCACGCGTTGGACTTCTTCCTTTTGTAATGCCCGCTTACGGATCCGTTCTTCAATCGTACCACGAGTGATAAGACGGTATACCGTCACCTGCTTGGTCTGACCCAGACGATGGGCCCGGTCCATGGCTTGGCTGTCAATCGTCGGGTTCCAGTCTGAGTCGTAGAAGATGACCGTGTCGGCAGAGGTCAAGTTGATACCGAGACCTCCTGCACGAGTCGACAGCAAGAAGATGAAGATTTCAGGTCGAGTCTGGAAATCTGCTACCGTGTCTCGTCGGTCCTCCAGCTTGGTCGATCCGTCCAATCTGAGGTACTTGTAGTTGCGGTAGGTCAGGTATTCTTCCATGAGATCAATCATGCGTGTCATCTGGAAGTACAGTAGCACACGATGGCCGCCTTCTTTGAGTTGTACCAGTAACTGGTCAAGCTTAGCTAGCTTGCCAGAATCGGTCACGAATCGTCTCATGGACGGAACCTGAATGTCCGTAAATCGTGTCTTCTCTGAAATGGGCGGCGGGAGCATCTTTCTGGCCGGGAAGAATGCCGGGTTAACCTTGGCTTCCAGCAGTGCCTCCTCTTCGCGCTCAGAGGGCCCGAATAGAGTCTTGCGCATCGGCACATTGAACATGACTCTCTGCTTCTCCAACTCAGCGCCTTGGCTTGAACACACGACCTCGATAGGTGGCGCAGAGGCACCCGGTCGAGCACACTGTTCCGCCCGACCAAGTCCCGAGTCTTTGTACAGATTGGCTGACACGTTGCAAAGATCCCGCATGTAGCCTTCACTGGCCACTTCTGCCAGTGGCGCCCGTCGATTGCGACCAACAATGTTGAAAAGCGCATGCGCTGGTGTGAACTGAGCATTCTCTTGATCTTCCTCATCGTACACGACATTCAGCCGGCCAAGGTCTCTTGTTTTTTCGTAGGCGCGAGCTGCACGAGCAAAAATGTCCTGGTGGGATGCGTCGTAAACCTCGCCAGCAGACACGTCGGCGAACCGCAGCCAAGAAAAGGCACCTGATTCTTGCGAACTCTGCTTGATGTTCTCCGGCGTGAAAATATTCATGAGCTCATTCAGGTATTTGCCACGGAAGCCCACAGCAGCATTTTCTGGACCAGGGAGATCCAGGCGTCCGCCATGGGTGTAAAATAAACGTGGCAGGGGAAGCTCTATCAAATTTCGTGTCGAATAACCGACATTGACGTTCTGGCCTTCTCGAAGGAAAGATGCAGTCTCTGCAAAGTATGCCAGTGACAGTGGCGACGTCGTCTCAGCCCGTTCAAAAAGATCAGGATGATTACAGACCTTACGGAACTGCATGACCAAGTTCATCAACGTAGCCGTATCTTGTTCATCTCCAACTGCAGCCTTCTCAATCAGATCCATAATACTGATGCGATTGCGAAGATTTGTATAATAAGCACGCTGTCTGTATGTGAGATCGCAAAATACATCCTCTTCAATCTTGTCGCCAAGCTCCTTTTGCACATGTTTCTTGATACGACGAAGCATGAATGGCTTCAAGATCATATGGAGACGCTTGAGTTGATCCTCATTCAGTTTCGTATTACTCTGAGCGTGACTCTCAATGTCCTTTGAGAACCAGTCGCTGAATTCATCATGGGAATCGAACAGACTGGGCATGATAAAATGCAGCAGAGCCCACAGCTCTTGCATATTGTTTTGAATTGGTGTACCAGTGAGCAAAAGACGGTTTCGACAATGGAAGCCCAGGAGACTCTTCCATCGAGAGCTTTGCGACGACTTGATGGCCTGTGCCTCGTCCAGAATCATGTACTGCCATCGGATCTTCTGGAAGTATTGCGCATCCTGAACGACCAGCTGATAGGAGGTAACAAGGACATGGAAAGAAGATTCTTTGTTATACGTGATATGTTTGCGGTCCCAGAACTTTCGCAGCACCTTTCGGTCCTTGGCATTACCCCAGTACGGTAAAACCTTGAGATCGGGCACGAATTTGGTAATTTCCTGCTGCCAATTATGCAGGGTAGAGGCCGGGGCAATGACCAAGAAAGGACCCCAGATGTTATGGACTTCGGCCAGGTATCCCATGACTGAAATCGACTGCACAGTCTTACCGAGACCCATTTCGTCGGCCAGAATACCATTGATGCCTTGCTCGTAGAGATTGACGAGCCAATTGAGACCCTTGAGCTGGTATTCCTTGAGTTGCGCCGTCAACATCTTTGGCTGAGCTACGTCCATGGCAACCAAACTGGTCGGGTTCTGAAAGTTCATTTCGCCATCCTCGTCGGGCTCCTCCTCCTCCTCCAGTTGGTTGTTGAAGGCCCGCGCACGGTCTTGTGCCTCCTTGACGGCATTCTGCGCATTTGCCATGGCCGCCTGCTGCAATGCGGACTCGTCTTCGGCATCAAAGTCGAGATCCTCAAAGTTGGTAACTTTGGTGCCCGGTTTCGCCACACTTGGGGGAAGATTGACGGTGTGGGCATCCGGCTTTCCGGGTGCGACAGTCTGCCCAGACACCTCAACACCCACTGTATCGGTGGAACGCTCGACCTCATCCGTTTTGATCTTCCGACCGATGAAATGCGAGTACAGCTCCGTCTGAGAGATGAGGAAATTGAGCTTTCTGCGCTGCCGGGCCGCTTCACGATCTGCTTCGGCCTTCTTTGCATTCTCCAGCTCTTGTCGCTCGGCCACACGACGCAGATCGCGCTCCTCTCGTTCGTTACGCTTCCAAAAGGACATCATCTCACGCATACTCCTCTTCGCGCGGGCCTGTACATCCTTCATGCTCTTGTTTGTACGGAGCTGCCATCTTCGCGCTTCCTTGGATGCCAATTGAGCAGTCTTGCGCAAGTTGTTGTTTCTAGTACTCGACGAATTGTCTTTGATACGCCAGACGCGAGGGATATCCTTTCGAGCAATATCGCGCCAAATTTGATCGTAGATTTGGTTGTATCCCTTGGACACATATGGAACAAAAGGAGAGGGAGATGCATCCTTAGTTTCCTTGGGTTCGTTCTTGAGCGTCTCTCGTTTCACTTCTTCCTTGGGAGCAATGCTAATCGGCTCATTGTTCTCCATGGCGGCGTGCGCCGCCTCGGCAGCGTCTTTCTCGGCCTGTTTCTGCTCCTTGGATTTCCGTGGACGAGCGCCGCCACGGCCTCTCTTTTTGGGAGGTTGTTCAGCCGCCTTCTCCGCTTCATCGCCCATTTGAAATGATCCCATCGTGCCGCCTTCAAGATTAGGCGCCAAGGGAGTGACCTCCCGAATCTCCTTGACATCCTCAACACCCTGCAGAATCCTCTTGGTCTGCCGGGCCTTGCGCTCCGCCCTCTCAGCTTCCTTGCGATACTTTTGGCGCTCGGCCTCGTCGGCGGCACGTTGAGCCTTTTCAATGGCCTCGTTGCGTTTCTGGTATTCAAGTTGCACCGTCTTCTCGCGCCGCCGCTTGCGCTGCATGTCCTTCTTTCGTTCCTTTTCGTCAAAAATTTCCTGCCGCTGCACCTCTGCAAGAGCATCAGCCTCTTGGGACGCCTTGTACCGGGTTTTGCCAGATTCAGCCTGGTAAGTCAACTGATCCGAGTATCGGTGCACCACGGCGGTTCTCCGACGCTGCCAGAGGTTAGTGATCTATTCCATTCAATCGACATTTTAAAGTAGACATACCTTGCGTCGAGAACATTCAGTGTCTGCGACTTGGCGCATCCGCTTCGCACTCTGCTTGCGGTATGCCTTCTTCTGCTGTTCGAATTCAGGTGCTTCAATGTCACTCATCTCCTTTGCCTCAATCTCTGCCAATGCCGTGGCAACGTCATTTTCCTTGTCCGAGGTGGATGAACGGCCATGACTTTGCTTCGAAGCAGGCGCCGAACGGCTCGATTCGTCGTGACCGTTCAGCTTTACTTTCGGGCCACGAGTAATGGGTGCCGAGGACGTAATTGACTCTCGACGGGTCTCGATCCGCGGAGCTGGCTCGTCGGCGGCGGGCGGCGGAGGCGCAGCAGCAGCAGATCTTGACGAGCGTCGTGGTTCTCGAACGGTAACTGCAGGCGCTGGTGCGGCCGGTGGCGCGGGTGGCGCGGTTGGTGGCGGGGCAGGCTTCGATGGAGTTGCATCGGCATTTGAATTGGAAAGGATGCTTGAGAATGACATTGGGTCGGCCGGACGACTTGGTTTCGGCTGATAACGAGAGTGTTAGATTACGTCGTTTGCAGGGTTTCCCCTTGGCATCTCATTTTTGAATTAGCACTTACCTCTGGAGCTCGAGGCTGCTCGACTGGAGGTACACTCTTCACAGTTGAGGTTCCGTTGTAATCAGAAAAGCCAACGGGAGATTCTACCACACCACGAGTCGGTGAGCGTGCGACAGGATCCAGGCGAGGCGGAGGATGTGCGTGGGTAGTGGCGGGGGCTGGCGATGATTGCGCATAAGGCGTCGTGGTGGACGAGGGTATAGAGGCACTGTAGGCAGCAGGCTCCGCTGGAGTTTCGGGGTAATTGAAAGGTTCTCGGCTCTATCAGAGGAAAAGGCGAGTGAGGTTAGCAAAAAGATGAATAGTTCCAATGTATGATCAATACTTGACGCTAACGTACCTGAGCAGGTGATTGCTTCGTATAAGAAGAACGAGCCCAAGTCCTGTCACCTCCATCCGAGGTCGGATCATAGTAAACTGAGGTTGAGGATGGCATATTCCGGGGCGGATAACCGTTCATGGAAGCCAAACCATTTGTCGCTGGCGTGGGCGAGGCGACACCCGGGCTCTGGCGAATCGACGGCGGGAGCGGTAAAGCAGCCGGTGTAGGCGGATGATTATGTCGATCATTGTAAGATGCAGCACGCGCTTGAGAGCCTCCCGAAGGGGAGTAGGAAGGAAAGTGAGCGCGGGTGGGCGAATGGGCGGCATAAGGCGAATGAGGATGACTTGGTCCGGTCATCTTCCCTCGTCGCAGCCGTTCGTCCTCGTCTTCCTGCTGAAGACGGTGCAGATTGCCGTTGTGGTACATAGTGAGACGGAATATCTGAAGGCGATGCCGCGAGTTAAAGCGACCCACAAAGCTCGCGATGAGCTGCGGCCATTAGATGAAAGAAAGAGATAGAGCAGCTCTTGCAGATGATCCGAGCCACGGAAGATTGGGAGCGTCAAGCGGCGAAGCTTGCTGCGCACAGTGACTAGAGACTTGTCCAATCGATCGGAGCAGTTTGAAGCTTCTACAGACGTAGTCGAGGAGAAGCTCAACAAAAGGCCTTTTCCCCCGTCGCCGGTCGCGAGCCACGAGAGGAATTTCGGCGAAGGAGCGAATAAAGTATTGTAGAGTTAAGACCGCCTTCGATCACGCGCAATTTATCTGGTTGGAAGGTGAATGTGACCCAGGATGATGAGCGGTGACGATGATCGTCGCTGGGTCAAAGTTACGGACGGAAACGGGATACCGACGTGGTGAGTAGGGCCTCTTCGCTGTCGTCGATAACGGTGGTGATGAGGGTGATGGTTGTGGTGATGGCGAAGGTGGAGAGATGTAGAGAGGATGAGGAGGGACAAGCTGAGGTGTCCAAGGATGATGAATGGGGCAAAGGGGTAGAGAAAATGGATGGGAGCGTTGACTAGTGGAGGAAGAGGAGGAGAATGGTTGACCGTGGTGAGGAAGGGAGCGGAAAGACGAGCAACCCAATGTGGCCGTTTGGTGCGGGCGGCATCTCGGTCGTCAAGTCAAAGAGTTTCGCTGGATGGGGACATTTTTGGTGGAATTGACCGTTTTAGCTCACCTTCCTTCTTTTTTTCCCCCCTCCCCACATAATAATGATACAAAAGTCTGTGCCAAGCGTACGCCTAGAGAATGAACAAAATAAATATTAATGACATGCGTATCTACTACAACTCATCCAACAGTACTACTATTATCGTAGAAGAATTATCATCGTCATCATCGTCATTGCCATCATCGCCATCACCATCAGCACACTCAAACAGCGATAGTGTGTTCTCTCTCTTTTTGCCGTCTGCAGAGTACATCCAGCTAGCTTGGGGGCGACAAACATGTCATCGGGATTGGGAGGATTTTCAATTGCCAAGGCAGAAAAGAAAAGGGCCCCCCTGGACCATTCAATGATCGACAACAAAAAGAGTGAGAGAGACACACGAGGCAGAGATATACATGAGAGACTTTATTGTCCACTCTTTGTCTCGCTTGGTCGGCAAATGAATTCCATAAGCTGATCAGAGTCAAAATTCATCATTTACACGATAAGTTCTCTCTTGTCTCCGTCTCGCTACCGTGTCAGACGTTACTGCGAGTACCGTCGCTGTACGTACTAAGCGTGGTTATTATATCACCTGCAGTCGCGTTCTGACGCGCTGACGCGGGCGCAAATAAGTGTTCGGGGAGAAAGAGGAAAGGAGGGCCTAGATCCGATCTGGCGGATCTATGACAGGCACCTGGGACCTCGGGGATAGCATCGTTGCTTTTGTGTCGTGATGTGGAATTTTGGATATCGGGGGGTTGGATGGGATTTTGATTGCGCAGAGGAGAAGAAGAGGTTACCTTAGATACACTCGTTCTCATTCCACACCGTTGCTCTTGACTTTTCCTTCTTGTCTCTCTCTTCCCTTTCCCTTCCCCCCCCCCCCCCCCGTCTCTTCCGATCGCATTGTGTCTTTGGGTCCTCTTTTTCGCTCGTTTGTTTCCCCAGAAAGGGAATCGCATGGTCCCCCCAGACCCTTTTAGCCGCATAAGCGAGCGAGGGAGAGGCGCCAATCCCAGCAAGGGCGAGACTCTTGGAAGCAGGTACAAAACTGGCCCCATCACAACACACATACCTAAGGTAGTGTTCAAAGCGGTCGACAGTGACATAGCTCGTTACTATACTTCCACAAGGAACAGCGATGCTCGATATTCGAGTAAAAAAGAGTGTTCATTGTGCCATCTATCAAAGGAGCCCTAGGATGGGGCCAGTGCAGGTCAATGCACACAGAATATTAAAAGAAAAAGTAACGGGAGTCGCAGAGGTGACACTGTAGAAGAACAAGGGCTGGATGATCATACCAATACACACAATCAGCAAATGCAGACAGTATAATACATACAGATACCGGACGCCGTCCCATGTTGTCCGAGACCAGCCCGACTAAAATGTAAATCAATCATGGTATCATGTCTTTCCCCCCCTCAAAACCGTCTAACGTATACAATGCATTGAGTTTGCCGTCTCCCCCTAGTGTTGGTTGTTATTATTGTTTCCTCCTCCACGGCCACCATCCAGCAAAAGCTTAGGCTTGATATACCCCTCGTCGAGCTGCCGGAACCACGCGGCGTGATCCTCGGATGCGCCGGAGAAGAAGTGGCTGAAGGCGCCCGTCGCCGTTAGATGGCTACTGCTCTCCGTAGCAGGATGACTAGACCCTTCTGCGCTGGCATCGCCATACGGCGACGCTCCGGCAGTCGCCGCCAAGCCTTCATCACGGCCACCAGGCGACGAAGGCTTCCGACGTGCAGCTGCAGGGGGCAGATCAGACGTATCCGAGTCAAACTCCTCGTCGTCTTCCGGAGTAGGATCGACACTTCCCAAGAGGCTTTGATCGGCGCCTTGAAGATCCTTGAGACTGCGCGCCGAGTTGCGGCGCGAGGTGACATTCGCATTTGGCCGCGCTGGCGGACTTTGTGTCGAATTGCCGCTGCTGTAGCTCCCGAGACCCTGGCCCTTCTGGCCATTGCCTGAAGCGGCCACTGCAGTAAGGGCCACGGCGGGGTCGCCACGCTGCGATCGATTGCCGACGCCCGTGCCGCCGCGTTTGTAGTATGTACTACCGGCAGCATACTCGATATCGAATTCATCGTCCGAATCCAACTCCTCGACGACTCCCGTTCGAATACCGAGAATCTCCAGCATGCGTGCGGTCGTGCCACCGAAGATAATGACAGTAAGCACCACGACAACCAGTACCGTGGCGCGGAGGGCCGGTCCATTTTCTCCCACTAAACCGGCAGCAAGGGCCACGCCGACTGCACCTCGAAGGCCGGCCCAGAACAGCATGACCTGATAGGAATATGGCAATTCGTCTGCGACTTCCTTGCCCCGTCTTTGCGCACGGTATCGGATGAACCAGTTGATCGCACGAGAGAGAGGGAAGACGGCAGCCCAGCGAGCAATACAAATACCGACAACAGTGATGAGAATGAAGAGCGGCTCGAAGTTAAGGTCGCTTCCGGAGAACAAGCTGAGTCCGAGATAGATGAAGATGAAGTTTTCCGACAGCTGAGCGAGCACCTGAAAGAGGTACTTGGTGGTGAGTTGGGTCCGTCGCGACATGTTGTAATAGGCATAATGCTTGAGGGTGATGCCGCAGAACAGCAGAGTCACGATACCTAACAAAGCTATTGTGAGCCAATGAAGGGAGAAGCATGAAGGGTCAAATGCTACGACTTACCTGACATGTGAAGGCCATTGGAGAAAAAGTAGCTTGCATAAGCAATCAAAACAATCACACAGCTTTCAATCTTAGGGTAGCGTCGGATAAGAGTGTGCTTGAGCCCAAGGGCAGTAGCAATCCCCACAACCACACCAATCAAAAGACTGCCAAAGAAGACGAGTAAGAAGATGCCGACACCTTCAAAGAGACCGAAAATATTCAACTTGCTGCTCCCAACTCCACCCGGGCGATATCGTTGGGCCGTCTCGAATAAGACAATGGCAATAGCGTCATTGAGAATAGATTCACCAAAGATGACCGTGTACAACTTGGGATCGACCTTGTAGGTGTTGAAGATGGCAAGAATGGTGACAGGGTCCGTGGCAGAGAGTGTGGCGCCCACGGAAATGGCCTCTACAAACGAGATATTCAACCCTCCGATTGGGATCAGCGTCCACAGGAAGAGGACTAGGCCCAAAACGACAGCGGAGATGAAGGTGCCAGCAAAGGCAAATGTCAATATTGTGCCGATATTACGAAAGAAGTTTGCCTGGTTTAAAGGTCAGTGAGTGCGTGTCCAACTGGAGATGCGAATGTTAGCACGGACCTGATGCAGCTCATATCCCGACGCCAAAATGATGGGAGGAAGAAGCAAATTGAAGAAAATTTGATAGTCAAAGCTGACTGCGCTCAAGAGCGATTGAATGCCAAAGATTCGTAATGATAAACCGACAATCATGCCTATCCGGAATGTCAGTGTGAGGCCGCAAGCCTTTGAGAGGGGGAGAGTATCGGACCTGCAAAGATCGACAACACGGTCTCATGAACAGCTTGAATTTTTCGTTGCTGAAGGATGTAACTGGTGAAAAGGGCGACAATTAAAAGGGCGATGAGAATAAAGAGCGCCCATGATGATAGGATTTCCTTCTGGCCAGCTTCGGGCTCTATTACATGCACAAAGTCAGTGATGATGAGGGGCCAGGAGTGGGTTGGGGGACAATAGAATGGCAGAGAGAGAGATATGCATACCATCTGGATCAGCATCTTCTGCTTGGCGCTCTTCAAAATCTATTAGCATTATTGTTCTAGCATGATTTGAGTCCTGGCAGTGGACGTACTCATGAGCTCCCAGGCAGCCGAGTGAATGGAAGAGGCCATGATGCCGAGGCGGCTGCGGCCTGTGTCTCACGCGGTGTGTCACAACAGCCTAATCAGAAGGAATGATGACGACCAAATTGAAAATATATAGCAGTAGCTAGAAGCTCAGATGCGGAGTCATGGGCAGTAAAATTGAGAATTCGAAGATTGAGCCAGGAGAACTGGAGCAGTTCCTTTGTTGCAATAACGGGGGACGCAAGGTGTCAGGCCGGCACGGCGATCTCCGTCATCAAATAAGTATACGGTGGGCTTAGGAGCATACTCCGTACTCCGATAACTGACGTTAGCCTTTTCGGAGGGATTACATCACATGACCTTGCATGAATGGGAGTTTTGGGAGACTTCCAGCGACCGAGGTACGTACACATACCTGATGCAGTCAACTTTCCCGTCAACTTATTCAGAGAATGGTACATCAGATGGCGTGATGGGGCATGGAGAGAACACCCTGTAACGACCTCTAGTAAGGCAAGCCCCGAATTGCATCAGAATCATGCTCGTTCTCTGAGTACTTTGGCGGGCTGTAGTAGGACCGAGGCTGTTTTAGAAGCCCAGTAACACGTTGCAAGCTTCCGTGCAAGTAATAATATGCGCCCATGACGCCGGCTGGCTGGTCGAGACCCTGATACAGTACAAAGTACTACTGTATCGTAATTCCTCTCGATCCACGGCGCAGGGCGATTAGGGGGTGAATCTGCGCAAGTACCAACTCCGGTGTTCTAGGGGGCAAGGTACAAATGATGACCCACATGGTGCGACTCCATATCAAACTCGGTGCATTACTTCATCGTTACCCCAGATTTGAACATGGAAGTACCTGGCAAACAACAAACAAAAAAACGGACAGAAGGGGAACGCGCCTTGTGCTCCAGATTTATCATGATTCTGAATCACACTCCTGGAGCACGTTGGCTTGGTGTACTGTCTTCCCACGTGTGACGAGAATTGGGTGAAGTAACCTAATCCGAGGGTGCTTGCAAAGAGCTGGGTCGCTGCTGAGGGGACGTTGTCCGAATACTCTATATAAATCTTCGTTTCAGCTCCTCTCGCGACCCATCTCTCCGACCCTCGTGAGCTCTTACTCAACACGATTGAATCATCACGGCACCCACTCCTCGCGTGCCGAATCTGCAGTTGAAAGGGAAGGGCTTGGGGAGAAGTGGTGCCGCGTGGTTCGGCTAACGACGGTGCCTTGGAGGGAGTGAAGTGTGACGCTTTTCTATATCCAACCAAAACTCGGGGAAGGCTGTCTCGCCCTATACCCGTCTGCCCTCCCTTTCCGCATTCCCCCACACCATCTTTCCCATGCTTCTTACACACGACAGTACTATAGTCGTCTTTTGGTTCGTCTAACTCATAAGAAAGGTAACTGGGCCATGCGCCTCATTCCCATTTGACTGTTTTGCTTTCTCGTGGTCACCCGGACCAACAGTCATGGACCAGCTCATGCGAGCCATCATTTTACTGCTCTGTTGCTCATATTAGGATATGATCATTCCTACTGCTCTTCCCATCCATCGTCCTCATCAAGATTGACATCAATTCCTCAGTTTGAATTCAACTTCCGTATTCCTCTGCCTTATATACCACCCCATGTACCCCTTGATCTTCCTCTGAAGGTCCGAGCATCGCTTGCAGATATTACGTCGTGTCCTCACTTTACCCTCACTTTTGCAAAGCGATCAGCAAGGACAACTGCATAGTACCACTCTCCCTCCACTCGCGTCACACGTCTGTCCTTGATGGCGTTTGATAGCGCTCAGTCTTCCCCGACTTTTGTGCCCTCCAAAGACCATTCGCCGGCAGGGCGTCGCATCCCTGACCTGGCCCGGTCGGAACCCGTTTCCTTGACTGGTTCACCCCGGATACGTAAAATACAAGACTCGCCCGTCGATGAACAGTCACCCTTGTTGTCCCCACGAGATTCCAAGGATGGCGATAGCTCAATGGGGCAGGTTGAAGAAGAGGACACTCCCTCGCTAGAGGAGATGCATAGCGACGAAGAGGAAGAGAAGAAAAGCGTGTGGCAGCTGTTTCTGCTGACTGTGTGCATTGGCGGGTGAGTAACAATACTGAATGCTGGCAGCAGAATTTAGGGAATGAAGCTGACCAGTTTGATAGGCTCCAAATTGCTTGGACGGTGGAATTGTCCAATGGCTCAGTATGTCTGTTCCCTACATGATGGCTCGACTGCTACTAACATTCTTATCACAGCCGTTTCTTTTATCACTGGGCATCAGCAAGTCCATTATGGCATTGGTATGGATTGCTGGTCCGCTTTCCGGGAGTTTGGTCCAACCATATGTTGGGATGCGAAGCGATAACTCCCGAATCTCCTGGGGCAAACGAAGACCCTTTATGATTGGAGGCACCATAGCCACTATTATATCGTTACTGCTTCTGGCGTGGACCAAAGAAATTATACAAGGGCTGGTACGAGTTACAGGTGGAGACCCAAACAGCCGTGGCACACAGATTGGAGCCATTGTGTTTGCCGTGTGCTTCATCTACATACTTGATTTTGCGGTCAATGTTGGTGAGTGCCCCCCAAACAAGTTAACGACTCCTCGTTGCAAAGCTGACAAAGGGAAACAAAAACAGTCCAAGCCGCAATTCGTGCCTTTATCGTTGACAATGCACCGAGTCATCAGCAAGAGACGGCGAATGCGTGGGCCGGAAGAATGACTGGTGTTGGAAATGTGTTGGGATACCTTTCCGGTTATGTCAACCTCCGCAAGGCATTTCCCTTTTTCGGACAAACGCAATTCCAGATCCTTTGCGTAATCGCATGTCTGGCCTTGGGCGTATCTGTGGCGCTCAGCAGCGTCTCAATAAAGGAACGCGACCCCCGTCTCGAAGGACCAGCGCCTAAGGGCCAAGCCGGGCTTATCGCCTTTTTCAGGCGAATACTTGTGTCGATCAAGCGATTGCCGCCGCAGATTCGAAATATCTGTCTCGTGCAATTCTTTGCCTGGGTCGGCTGGTTTCCGTTTCTCTTCTATATTACAACATATATTGGCGGCCTCTACACCGACCCTATCTTTCGATCAAATCCTCATCTGACCGATGACGATATCAACAAGGCCTGGGAGAAGGCCACACGCGTCGGCACTTTTGCTTTGTTTGTCTTTGCCTGCGTCTCACTGGCAGCCAATGTTGTCCTACCATTTATCGTTACGCCCACATATGGCGGGGATGAAGATGGACTCAAGTCCACCGCGAGCTCTGTAACGCTTTCGGCGTCGTTGACATCGTCTTCGAGTACCGCCGCACTCAAACCAAGTCGCATTCATTCCAAACTCAAGCGATTGCTCCCATACTTGCAGATTCCGTGGCTCACCCTTCGCCGCGCCTGGTTGCTGTCCCACGTGCTCTTTACCGTGTGCATGTGGCTGACGCTGGCCGTAAGCACTCCAACCGGCGCTACTGTGCTTGTCGGTGTCGTTGGCATTTGCTGGGCTCTGACTTTGTGGGCACCATTTGCCCTCATTAGTGCCGAGATTGCCAAGCGCGAGACTCTGCGCCGCAGCCAACTAAGGCGACTCAGCGGCGGCAGAGGCGGCTCCCATGGTCAGGGGTCCGACGAGTCGGAGGACCAGGCTGGTATCATTCTCGGTCTGCACAATGTCGCCATGTGTGCGCCGCAGGTCATTGCCACAGTTGCAAGTAGCTTCATCTTTCGGTTCTTGCAAAAGCCGCGTGGTGTTCCTGGAGATGGCAGTGTCGCCTGGGTGCTCCGCATTGGTGGTCTCTCTGCGCTCATTGCTGCCTATATGGTGACACGAATCAATGAAGACAAGTCTTCGATGGTTCCCGCAAGTTCCTCATCCTCTGATGAAGAGGACATTGTCTAGATGATTGATGACTCCCTTTTTCTTATATACTGCGCTTGTCGAGCCCTTTTTTTTTCCCCTTCCTTATTCGCAACTCTGCCTTGTTGGCTTTCAAATACTCTTTGTACTCATATCTCCGGTACAACCGAGACTGCACTACTCGGGAGCGCGTGGCATTTGATCAAACCGCCTTGGCGACAAGCATTTGCATTACAGCGCCGCCGCAAACGAAGATGCGGCGCTGTGTAGCTGGGTGATACGGCTTTTGAGGGATTTCTTTTCCCTTTGTTTTCTCTCGGATTAGACTTGACATGGGATATGGAGTATTACAGCAGCGAAGGGCTGTGGTGAAGGCGGAATGATTGCACAGGAGTAACTGAATATATTTACAAAACAGAATGGATAGCGCACAGCGATGGCGAACGGGATCTGATTGTTAGTTTGGATTGATGGAGATGTCATCGGGAACTTTATGGACGTGGTGTTTTCTGGTGAAGACATGCTTGATCTTTTATATGCATCTATGAGACTACCTTACCAAACTACTTCTCCGCTGTTCTCTGCCGGTATCTCCTATACCATCATTTCTTATTATCTCTATATTCTCATCAATATCTCATGAATAATGAATGTGTATAAATGACACTGTCATCTCGCAATAAAATAAGTCTATGGAGAGGCCGTGATTAGTGGGGGTTGCTCTGCCAGCGTTACATTGGATGGCAATGTACCAAATAGTGGACCGAAGATAAGCTAGGTAGTTATAACTCGTTCATAGCTATAACCAGAGATGATACTCAACTATAAATTAGCGACCCCACTTCAAACGGACCTCCATTGTAGCCCCGCCATTACTGTAGCGAGTGAGGGGTGATGGATGTAGCGAGAAAATTTAAACTTTATTTGACGTCGATCTATTCATCCCGTCCAAAATTCGTGCGAGTGATCTATCGCCTTTTACTATACATTATTTTATTCCCTTGTATTTGAAAAGCTATTTCTCCCTTCCATTCGCCAATTTTTAACTTCTTGTCTCTTTTTCCATTGTTGAACTCAGCGTCTCTGCGATTTGCAATTTGCTTGTATCCTTATCCCGTCTTTATCTGTGTATTGCCAAGGCGTGTAATCATTGTTTTAGTCCGCCTCTCCTGGAATAAATCAGTGGAAGTCTGCAATTTTTGTGATCAATTGGTCAACTCGAATCCTTTTTGTTTATGCTATCTGCTTTTCAATTGCTTTGACAGAGAAAAGCAAACGGGACCAAGAGCCGTTACGAGCTGGGGATATTCTGCAACAGCGTTGAAAAATTTCTGTCTCCCGAACGGTCCTCCGAAGGGATATTGCATGTCAGATGTTTTTTTACTAGATCAGAGGAACCCGAGTCTGACCGCAAAGTGGTAAGACAAATCCATCATCAACAATTCAGACTCGACCCTGGCAAGAGCACAATGTCTTTTACCCTCCCGATTCGGGGCAAGGGTGAAAAGAAGGCAGATTCCTCACAAGGATCAAGCCCTTCAGGAACACATTATGAAGTCGGCCCAGGAAAGGGAGAAGAGATAATAGAGGGGGTATCAACAGAAACAATCATTTTCCCTTCTGCAGCGCACAACTTCTCTCGCACCCTCGCGGACATTAAGCGGTCGACCCTCAGTATATCCAACCGTCTTCGAAGCGTTGCGCAGGACTCGAGCTTTGTGTGCGCCGTTGCGGATGCTTATGAATTTGAGTATACGACAACAGCGGATATGAGCAATAGTCCACGACAAAAAAAGAAAATGGTCTACCGCCTTCCGCTTGTTGCTAATGAGCGCTGCGGGAGCTGGTATATTCCTCCAGAGCGCAAAGGCGGGAGTGCCTACTTTAAGAGCACGGACGGACATATGGGACAATGGGGATTCAGCTTACGGCGACTGAATCTGCAGGTTTTGGATATAATTGGGCAGTATGACGGGTGAGTGCTCTGTTGTAGCTTTGCTATAGATGTTTTATTTGGATTGTCTCATTCAAGTCAGACCTTGTATCACGCATTTTCTGTCACAAAGGCTAATTCTTTAGATGCATCATTGTTGACTCTACGAGACGAGGAAAGAGTAAGTCTTATTTCTTTGCTTGTCATCATATCCCATCAATCAATCTACGCCATTTGACTCTCTATACTCTAATGCTAAACAATCAGGAATGCCGGATGCCCTGTCCAAGACCGTGCCGATATGGTGTGCCGTGCTGAATAGGGTCTTTTTCCCGAATGTTCCCGCTGCACATATCCTGCATACGCCGCCACAAGCAGTATCTCCGTCCGAGCATGCGCAGATTGAAGCGCGACTGGATTCTTGCGTACAGCAATTATTGGTAACCCTTCCCACGCTTCTAGTTCTACCATAGCATGAAAATTTTTTCACAGATTATTGGAGTCCAGCAATATACTCACCATTTTCAGGGTCTTCATCTGGACATTTCCTCACTCCGCAACAAGATTCGTAAACCACTACGTCCATTATGGGTCACGCAGGATTCCAGCCTTCCAAATTTCCAAGATACCCACGGGTCATCCGACGACGACGATGACGATGACGACACGTTGCCCTCCTCATCCTCTACATCCCCACAACTCTCTTCCACTGGAACCGGCACAACTTCTACAGGAAACAGTGAACCCTTTCCCACATTCCACCCCATCGTCCTGTGTACTGCCTCGCGGCGCGTGCCCGGCGGCGAGGCGTCTGAAGGGGGCTACGTCCAAGGCGCAGGCGACGACAGCGAAGGATGGGCCAAGGGTCTGACGGCGCAGCTATACTGGGCGCATCAAGCAGGATTACTCGCGACGCCGGAAGAAGATTTACCGGGACTCATTGCGTCGTTGTTGGACGAGCAGCGCGACTCTTCCTCGAAGAATGGCTGCGGCGATGCCACATTGGTAGAGCAGACTGTACGGTCAGATGTAAACATGTATATTGGCACGCTGGGCAGTGTGGGCGAACAGTGGGATTACGTTATTGCCTGTACAGAGGACGCTCCAGCTGTACATGCTGACGATATCACGGCGTCAGTTCAGGCAGCGAAAGTGCCGCCACTAGCAGAAGAACCAGCGGGCAGAGACACGGAGAGGCTACGAACGAGGTTACGCATTCCCTGCGGCAAAGGCAAGCTCGGCAGTCGCCAGCTCCGGCGCGTATTGCCTGACATAAGAGCCTTTGTCGAGAAGAATATTGTTTCTGCTCGCTGCGCTCGTTTTGATGATCCTCATACTGCTCGTGTCCAATCCGGTACTGCTTCTGCTGATGGCGAAGGTGCTCCTGCATCTGCTGAGAGCAGTTCTGCCAACAGTGCTGATCCTACCGCGCAAGCACACAATCAACCTCGACCTATGCGACTACTCATTGCGTGTCCCACGGCCAAGGACCTCTCCGTCGGCGTGGCTCTCATGGTGCTGTGCCTGTTTTATCGCGAGGACGGTACGTCTCTTATCCTCTCATCTTAGCAGTCCCATATATTTCTCATCCCGCATATCCCTTTGCCTTATATTTGTATCCCCTATCCCATATCCCCACTACTTCTTATCCCAATCTATCCTATCCCGCATATCCCATCCCATATATATCCTATCCCACACATAACCCTATCCTCTACAATGATCCGTGTACTGTGTATACGTGCATTGTCTCTCCCTCCATCTCTTCCCCTATTTTCCTCCCTTTTTACCTGCCCTTATTTTTCTCCTCGGTACCTATCTCAACCTCTCAAGTACCTCTCATCCCATCATACAACATACCTATCTTTAATCATCCAACACATTTATCTATCCATTGCACACACTTACCTACCTATCTACCTACCGATCCATAAAACATACCTACTACTTACCTATGATATACAACTGTGTGACTAACACATGCAATGTCTAGGCTCATTCCGCTTCCCGCTCCGCCCTTCTTCTTCTCCTCCTCCTCCTCCTCCTCCTCCTCCTCCTCCTCCTCCGTCTACATCTGCATCCGCATCGACGTCCTCCTCACGGGTGACCAAACACTCTGACATTGCAAATGAAAAGCCAAACGAACATACAAACGCAAACACTGATGCTGACGCCAACCCTAACACAAAACAAGAAGGCGGAGTCGAAAGAGGAGAAGAAAAAGTAAACGTAAACGCTGACACCGACACAAAAAAAGAAGGGCGAAAAGAAGAAAGAGGAGTAGAAGGAAGAGAAGAAACAGAAACAGACAACGAGGACGAAGTGGTAATAAACAAGACATATATCCGCCAGCGCCTGAGCTGGATCCTCACGAGCCGACCACACGCGAACCCGTCGCGGGCGACGCTGAATAGTGTCAATTCGTATTTATTCGGATGATTTCTTACCTGTCCAAGGTTTCTCCTGCTGCTGCTGCTGCTGCTGCTTCATACTTGTCTGTATATTTCCCCTTGATTTGATCTCTTGATTCGATCTCTGTATATACCTTACATAAGGTACTTCAATCATCTGTATGTACATATATCTACGTATCCAATACCTTATATACCTACGTACCATACATACGTACCATACTGTGCATATCGTACATAGCATACATAGCATACATACATCATACTGTAGATAACATACATACCAACATACCGTACATAGCATACATACATACCGTAGATAACAGACATACCAACCATGCAGATAAACCATACAGATAAACCAAACACTGGAGAATGAAGACAAGCTACCTACCTAGTATATAAGGCAGATACATGGCACCGACCAAGTACAAAATGTTCCGTCTGGCTCAGGCGGGAAAAAGAAAAAGCGCTGCAAGACGTACTACGTACTCTTACTCACGGATACCATCTACATTCGCATGAAAATAAGTGTGCGTGCACTTTATTCAAGTTTTGAATTTGATTTTGAACTTGGTACTTTCAATTTAAATTTCTCTTGAATGTTAAAACATAAATGTTATAAAGAATTCCTCGAATCTTGAAAAGTTCGAGTTCGAGGGCATGGGCATGAGAAACTAGCGTACATTTGTCACGAGTAGTGAGAATAAGAAGCGGAGAAGAAAAAAAGGAGAAGAAAAGAAGAAGAGAGAACTGAAGAGACGAAAAAGACAAACGAAGAGGTAAGATCAGGAGAAGTAAAAGAAGTAGAAGAAGAAACAGAAGAGGAAGAAGTAGAAGAACAATGGAGACGTAAAAAGTAAAAAAAAAAACGCAAAAATAAAGTAAGACAAGCGAAGAAAAGGATAGAGGGGAAAAAAAAAAGGTAGACAGAAGAAGATAATGGTACTGATTTGAGGAGATCAAAGTGTTTGATGTAAAAGTATTGCGGGTGAAAAAGGGAGGAAAGAAAAAGAAAACAATGGAGAAGAACGCCAATTTGTAAGAAAAGAATAAGAACAGACGAAAGAGAAAAGACGAAAAAAGAACCCTGCCCTAGAGCAAAAAAGGTGACCGCACGCTTTAAAATTTGAAATCCCATGGTACGAAATACGAGACAAAGGAAAAGAACAAAATAAAGGAAGAAAAACGGACAAAAACGGACAGAAATGGACAGAAATGATGCTACAACAGCATTACTCGTCATCGCTCATGCCCGTACTTTCTCTTCCATTCGGATACGCTTGACTTTGGCCATGTGCGCCGGGACCACTACCGCCACTCTTTGATCCCATGGTCAATTTGAGCTTGGTCGGTCCGGGACCGGGCGTGGGTGTGCTACTCGTTTGAGCTCGTGCTCCTCCAAATCCCACCGACGAGGCCGCTCCGCCAAGTGGCGTATCGGCTCCAGATACTAGACCAGTCGACGACACGCCGTCCATGCCAGCAGTCGCAGACGCCGAGGATTGCGCGTCATCAGCATCTCCTAGGGCTGCTGCAATGTCGGGGTATTTCTCCAATTCATCTTTGAGCTTTTGGTTAAACACAGCCTGTTACAGTATTAGCATCTTCTTTTGCCACACAAAATAGCACAAAAGTTGGGGCAGTGACTAACCTCAATGGTATTGGCATCCTGGAAGAGTTGACTGGCATCCTCGTTAAATGTCCTCGCGTTATTACACATTGTCCGCAGATCATCCCTAAACTCCTTGACGCTCTGGTACTCCTCCTTGTTGATGCGCTTCCTAATCATATCCAGACACATGGGATTCTGAATAATGGCATAGTAACCCGGAAGACTCTTTGGTGGAAGCTTCATAAAATGTTCGGTAACGCCGCGGACAATCTGGTCGCCCTCGTCATTGAACTCTCCGGTAATCGGCTCTTCCAAATCGACAACATGCTCAAACACATTGTTGAAAATCTTTTGGTGAACCGCCCTTTCTTCTAATGTCAAGGTTTCCATCATGGCGGCCTTGGACTGCCGGCCACGCTTCCGCTTCGGCGTTGGCTCTTCAAGCACTTCTTCCGCCTTGCGCTTCTCCTTGAGCGGCTTGCGGCCACGCTTGCGGGGTTGTGGTGTCTCAGAGCTGTCCCGGTCAGGCGGCGGCGGTGACTCGTCAGGCCCTTGGTCCCCCCGACGCTGCTTCTTCTCCTTGTTCGCCGCACGACGTGCCATTTTGGCGTCGCGTCGCGCAATTGCCTCTTCAATCGTGTCCTCGTCATTGTCAACCGCCTCGAGCCATTGTTCCTCTGTAAGGCCGTCATCGTACCGCACACGAGTTCGCTCACGCGCGCCACGGCCCATGGTTTCTTCAATTTCCTCAACAACGGCATTGTCATCGGCCATGTATATTTCTGGCAGCTCCGACTCGCCCATTAGCCGCGGAAGACCCTTTTCGCCACTATATCTGGGATCCCTGGCACGCTCGGCATCTAGTTTCTGGAAAACAATCAATTCGTCATCCGAACGGGTCATGATGGCGTTGAGATCATCATCATCCATCTCATCCTGTTCAAGATTGTCCGACGCGTCGGCACTCTCGAGCATGACTCGCAACAGCGCTTCCCGCTCTTCGTTGGTCGACTTGTTGTCAAACTTTCCGGCCTGAATGACTTTGCCATCCATGTCCAATTTATAGTTGGCACGCTCAAGAATCTTTTCTTCGACAGAGTTGGAGCTAATCAGTCGCAGGATGCGCACTTCATTCTTCTGGCCGATACGGTGGGCACGATCCTGTGCCTGCAAGTCTTGGTGCGGATTCCAGTCCGAGTCAAAGATAATAACCGTGTCAGCCGTCTGCAAATTCAAACCAAGACCACCAGCACGCGTCGAGAGCAAAAAGCAAAAGTAGTCCGAGCCTGGTGCGTTGAAAACCTTGAGCAAGTCGGACCGATCATCCGCCTTTGTAGAACCATCCAAACGAAGATATTTCAGCCCACGGAGTCGCAAAAAGTCTTCCATGATATTCATAATCTGCGTCATTTGGAAGAACATCAAGACGCGGTGGCCGGTCGCCTTGAATTTGGGTAGGATGCGGTCCAGCAGCTCAAACTTACCCGCCGTACGCCAGAGCAAGTCGTTGCTGCCCCTGCCCGGGTTCATCTGCTCTTCAACCTCGTCAAACACAAATGGATGGTTGCAAAGCTTTCGCAACTGCATAAGCATGTTGCTCAAACCACGCATGCCAGTCTTGCCCCCTTTGCCGTCGCTGACGACGAGCTTGTTGTGGTTGACCAGTTGCCGGTACAGCTTGGACTGGAGAGCCGAAAACTTGCATTTGATGACGCGCTCTTGCTTTTGAGGCAAGTCCTTTTCCACATCCTTCTTCAGACGACGCAGCAAGAAAGGCCGAAGAACCTTGTGCAGACGACGAATGACGAGCAGCTGCTCTTCTTCCGTCAATTCCATCTTGTCCTGGCCACCAGTGTTGGCAAACGGCGTATTGAACCATTCGTCAAACGATTTGACAGACTTGAAAATGGTTGGCAATGCAAAGTTGAGCAGTGCCCACAGCTCCGGCAGGTTGTTTTGCAACGGGGTACCGGTCAAAATGAGTCGGTACCGCGAGGTGTAGTAACTCGTCAATGTGCTACTGAGCTTTGACTGAGTATTCTTCATACGATGACCTTCGTCGACAATCATATGAATCCACTTGATCTTGCAAAGAATCGGCCGGTCCTTGATAATGTACTCATATGTCGTAAGTAGCACCTGGAAGTCACCCCAGCGAATCTGCTGCTGTTGCTGCTTCCGAACGTTAGGCGGCCCCTTGTAAACAATTCTCTTAATTGAGGGAGCCCATTTCTCAAACTCCAGGTTCCAGTTGGTCAGGGTACTCAGCGGCACAATGACCAGGAACGGGCCATTTTGCTTCTTCATCTCGATCAGATAGGTAATCAAACTGATTGTCTGGATCGTCTTGCCAAGACCCATTTCATCAGCCAGGATACCGTTCAAATTGTTGTTGTACAAGGAAATCATCCACTGAAGACCCTTGATCTGGTACTCCTTGAGCGTACCACCGACCAGAATCGAAGGTTGCACCTTAACCTCTTCCTGGATGCGGTGCGCCACCTGGTAGTAATTGATCTGGCTGGTGCCACCCTCATCAACCTCTTCGCCTTCTTCCTCTTCTTCGGCGGGGAACTCTCCTTCGCCATACCGAGCGGCGGCTGAACGCTGCTGTTCTTTGACGGAACTCGCAAGCTGGCTCAAGAAATTGTCAGTCTGCGACAAGAGGTGCGAGATACGAGAGTCCTTGGCCTGGCCGAGCAACTTAAGATAAGTCTCCTCGTCGTTGGCCTTCAAGGCTTGCAAACGCTGCTTGGCAGTTCTCTCCACACGTCTCTGTTCTTCCTTTTCAATGTGCTGGTGGTGCTGAATCATAATACGACCAAGCTTCTGCACACGCTGCCGCTGGTTCTGAGCAGCCATCTGAATCTCGCGGCCGTGGTTGAGAACGGCTTGGAGATGATCATACTGCTTCTTCTTCTCTCGCGACTCGCGAGCGTCCCGCTGCTGCTTCTCTAGTTTCTCCGTGATACGAGCCTCGCGGAGCGATTGTCGCTTCATTCTGCGATACAATGCACGGTTTGCCGTCATGGCAAGGTTATCCGACATGATCATGTCTCGACTGATTTGCTGTCGAAGCGCTCTCTGCTTGGGCAGCAAACACAGCATCTTGTATTCAATCAAAGCCTTGAGCTTCAGCGAGTCATCCCCGTTGGGCGCATCCGATTTGCTGGTGTCCCATACGCCAAGATTGGCCGGCAATTGCTCCAACTCTGTCTTGCGAGACATGATGCGGTTGTAGACCAATCGCTCCCGCTCCTCGCGAATCTGATCCACGTCGACACCGACGGGCATGATACTGGGCACCATCAATCGCTTGTCTCTCAAGCCATGGTCGGCGTAGCCAATGGACTGTTGAAGATGTTTGTAAGGCGAGGTAAATGTCTGATAACCATTGCGGGGCTCGGGCTCTTCGGGTTTCGCATGTTCGCCATCAGTGGTCGGGGTGGCTTGAGCGACAGCGGAGCTCGGCGCAGCGGCATTGAGAGCATCGTTCGCGGCAGTCATATCCTGACCGATAGAAGCGGCTCTCTTAGCTTGCTGAGAAGCAAAGAGTTGCTGTTGCACATGGGGTGGAATAGCCAAATTCTTCGAGAGGAGCTTGAATGCAAGAATTTGGTTCCGCAAAGTGGACAATTGTTCGGGGGTGAAGCTCGTGCTCGCAGGGAGGTTTGGTTTTTGCGGAGTGCCGACCTGGCCGTTAGGGATCGGTGTGGCAGCATTGGCAGGCGCACCAGCAGAAGGGGTTTGGCTCTGAGGACCTGGACGTTGGGAACGGCCTGTTTCAAAGAAGAATGATCATGTTAGTCGCGGAAACGACCAAAAGAGAAGCCTCTAAAGGAAGGTTGTCCCTCACCATTGACGCCATTAGCGACAGGAGTACCAGCTTGTTGCTGCTGCTGTGCCGCCTGTTGTTGGCGTTGTTGCTGCGCAAAAGCTTGTCGCTGTTTGTTAATGAGATGGGTCTGCTGGACAGCCATCAGGAAATTGTGGGCTTTGATATACTCTGGGTCGTCTTCTCGGACGCCCTGCTGCTTCATCTGATTAAACTTCTACAACGAGGAATTAGCTTCATTTTTCCGCAAAACTAATACGGTTCCGCCAGCCATGGAATATCATGCAAATTGCAGAAGTGCTGCCAGGTTGATCACCAACAGAGAGGGAAGAGGTGAGAAACAAAAAGGGGAAAAAAAAAAAATTAGTGTAATGGGTGGGTGTGGGAGACATTACCTGATGCACATCCCGCACATGCTGCTGGGTGAGGTTTGGCGGCAGCGACATGGCGGCCTGGGGAATGGCCGGAGCAGATTGGACGGAAGCCATCTTTACAGGATAGTCGCCCTAGCCAGGACGTGATGCGTTGATGGAAACGCGGTTATCGCAAACCCTGGCTGAAAATGCCAGACGGGAATCGGGTGCCCAGTGATTCGCGTAAAATACGGTTGGTCGAAAAGGAATCAACGAGTGAATGAAGAGAAGCCGGCGGAGATGGAGAGAAGCCGGGGTGCGATGAAAACCCACGACGGCAGCAACAGCGACAATGATCAATGCAGTCGCGGTGTCACTGCCCCCATCTGTCGACACCTAGCTACACCCGGTCGGAAAATTAGGACGAAAATCGGGAAGACAGGTAGACGTAGCGTTGGTGGGCTGACGTCCTGACGGTATCGTTGATTTTTTGCTTTGGGGAGAGGTTGTCGCGCTCGGCGGATGCGACAAAGGAAGCGCGAAAGGGCGTTTGGCGGGAAAGATAGAGGGTAGACCTCGTCACGGGGACGATCGTAGGGTGATGTGAGAAAAAGGTCCCAACGCGTGGCGAAGGGAAGCGTGTAGAGCGGTTAGCGGGCGATAAAGAAGAATCAATATCGCGCCAACGAGGCTCAGGATGATCGTGGGGGTGACCACAACAAATGATTATGGGGGAAGGGGGGTGGTTGTGGTTGTGGTGGTGGTGATTGTCCGGGTATCTGATGGTCTCTGTGCTTCCTCTCTCTCACACTGTCTGGCTTCTTTCTCTGCCTCGTGTGGTCTTTGCTTCTCTGGCAAAGGTGGAAGGGGCGAAAGACGTCGTCGGAAGAAACTCTCGCTGCCTGTTGCCTCTAGGGCTGCTTTTGGCTTAGTTTTCTCGCTTATGTTTCAGCTGATACCTTATTAGGAAAAATGCATTCATCATCCATCAAGAAGTCGCCCGTCCCGTCACGTCAGTGTTGCTGCATTCAAGACGCGTAGATCAAGCAGTGTCAAAGTTCGCTCTCTGAGGTTGTATTTACAATTAGATTATTGACAAAGAGACGTCGACGATGAGTATCAGACTTACTCCAACAACCAACATGAAATATGCGACTTCAAGGCCGTCAGTGATCATCACCACTGTTGCCAGATTGCCACTTCAAGAACAAAGTATTCTACATCCCCACCAACCTAATAGTCATATTGTCCTACTTCTTTATTATACAAACCATATACAAGTATATTATCACTAGCAATTCTGAAAGGAGAATCTCTGTCGCTCATTGGCGTCACAGCGAAACAAAGAACCAGAGCACATATTACAAGTGATAAGTCCGAGACCATCATCATCAAGCATCAGCCCCATCTAACAGTGCTTCCAAAACGCCACAATCAAAATGCAGCCCAAAACTCCCAGAAATGCAAGCATCAGGGCCAAGACAGGGTTCCCTTCCCCCAACACGCTGCTCGATAGCATATTCGCGAGCGGTATTAAAATCTAGCCCAACACATCAGCACCATGCTCATTTATCTTTACCCTTATGCAGAAAAATTCCAAGAATCAAAATGGGGAACATACCGAATTTCATAGCTGCCTGCCCGAGTCATATATCTAACCCACTTGACACTACTGTAGTTGTTCTTCTCAAAGACCTTCAGATACCGCACCAGCAGGCCAGAGCTTGTAAACATGAGAAGTGAAAAGTTGAGGCTCAACGGCGGTCGGCTCCAAGCCTTTTGATTCGTCATTGAAGTAAGGGTCGCCTCAGCTGACAGCACAAATTCGCTTTGGCCAGTGAAGCGGGGAATCTTCCATACAATATTGTTGTGCTCCGGTTCGTACTTGGCCTTTCCTTGCGAAGTGCGTTCCGTGATACGCGCAGTGTTGAGTGGGGTGGGGACGCGCACGACAACATTGGTCGCGAAAAGCTTGCTGCCGTAGTTGGCCTTGATGGCGATGCTGTATTCGACCTTGGTCTTGCCAATTTCGTTGACGATAGCGTGGACCTTGAAAGGTAGGTTGACATTCTCGGTGGCGCGATAACGCATCAATTCGAATTCTCCATCGGGAGGGATGAATGAGATGATACGATCAGTGTCAAACTTTCCGAGCTTGACGCATTGGTGGAACTGGCAATCTTCGAGGGTGACACTGCCGGCAGCGGCGCGAGTGGCCTTGGTACCCGCGCGATTTCCCGAGGGACCGGATATATTGTCGCCATCAAGAAGGAGGCGGTCATTGAGGCCGAACTTACATTCCGGGGTACCAGAGAGGTAAGCGCGCATGATTATTTGTCCATTGACGTCCGCTCGGAGAATGCTGCCCGTGGCAGACATGAGCAGGTTGACGTCTTCAATGACATCAACAAACGCTTCGTTCTTGCGATACTTAATGTCGGATCTTCGCCAAGAGAGCGCGCCTGTTGCTTGCATCGTAATACGGGATGAGTCCTCCTAATCGTCATTAGTTGAATTTCTTTCCTCTGCGATCCAAGGATTACACCTACCATTGCACGCTCAGACTTGACACCCTCAGTGGTGATGTACATCTTCAGCGTATCCGTCTCTGTATTCTGGGGATATCCGAAATCAAGAATCTCTGATAAACGATTAGCCATTGACGCATAGCCAGATGTGCATATCTTCTCGTTCAAAATCATCCGGTGCCTTCATGTAATTTTGCGTCTGTTTAGAAAACTGTGTGGAGGCGGAATGCAGGATCGTGATCGATGACCCTAAAGAGTGTGCGATTTCAAAGAAGATGATATTACGGGGTCCACAATTCCCCAAGCCAAAGAACTCGCACTCACCATCCAGAAGCTCATATACCAAGACGAAATTATTCTTCACAGCCTCTTCGTCAAATTTCCCAAAGTAACTCTTTCCCAGTCCGACCAAGCGATATAAAAATTCAAAAACAAGTGCCGCATTGGCGTTGCTCTTTGTCACCGCCACCAAGTATATGTTCTCGTGCTTGACATGGCTGAATGTCGTCGATCCCAGCGTTAAGATGGGCGATCGTACCTGGGCGTTGGAAATGACTTGGATCCGAAATACATCAGCAAAGCGCGGCCGGCAGTCATTTCGAAAGGCGCGGAAGATGAGGTTCTCTCCCTTTTGATTAAAAATGAGGATTCCGGAAATCATGATTGCAAGTAATAGTCGTATTCAGAAAGCGTCTGTTAAATTGTCGCGTGGAGCGTGGTTGATAGTTTAGTTTGCTGGTAATGCTCGATTCCCGTCTATGCCAATGTAGTCCACTGGAAATTCAATGCAAGGAAAACCGAATTCCCTGAATGTCTATCCGCAATACTCGGGACAAGGTTATGATACCGATGTTGCTAGACTTTCCAAGTCTCTCCCCAGTACATCCAGGCGCAAACAATCCTGCGCGATCCCCGGCCTCAATAGCGTCTGTTTCCGCTGTCTTCGAAAATCTTGTATAGCACCGAACCCATACACCTTTTTGGTTCTGATTGTCCGTGTCGTCCAGTCTCACTAATAAATAGGACGTCGAAGATATTATATCCAGTCCAGTTTGGTTCCAATACCGGAGCAACTTGGGTGTCCGCGCCGTCACAACGATCGAGCAATTGTGATTTACTACCGACTGGTCCGAGCAAGGGAAGGACAATCGAATGAGGACGAAGCCGTAGATCTGTCCTCTCCTGGGTTCTTTGTGGTTGCGCCCTCTGCGAACGATGGCAGCAGGCTGTGGTGGTATTTAGGGGTTGAAGCTCTAATTTGGCTAGGATAAGCAATAGTTCAATGCGGGCCAAGTGGCGCAGTTACGGTGCGGGTCGCTGAACGGCAAGAGCCGCGCCGAAATACAGTGCATGTACCGCCCTGTGTTTGGCTCTTTACAGAGAGCCAGAAGCCGATACACTTAGGGGACCCCCGCTGCTAAGCTCCCCTTAGGTCCCCTATTCTTCCTGGCAGGGCTTCATTAAAGCTCAGGAAGAGGGAGAAAAATGGCTACGCGAGGAATGCGTTTCGCTTATAGAGACACCGTTAACACTGCACAGGTGTTACAAATATCATGGGCTGCACAAAATTGTTATGATGAACTGCCTTACTGTTGTACTCGTATTTCGGGTCGCATAACCCTAATTTAATGTTTGATTGTTACGAATATATAGGATGAAACTAAAGCAAAGACGTAGGAGCAAAAGACGGTCAAAGAAGCGGTTTAAAAAGGCTATATACTTGCATATCATCATGCGAGCAATATTAATGTACTTTACAGTAGCATTATATATATGAACAATACAATGGGAAAGCGATATTGATCCATTTCACGAACCCCCTCTATTGTAAAACGTCAACGGAAGATATAAAGGGGCCATAGCCCACAGACGATTAAATAAGGCACAATTATATGTATATATATAGTATATCAGAAATCCAACCCAATGCACCCATGCAAATGCTAATAAATGAAGATCATGCAATACATGCAGAAACTCAATAATAAAAGAAGCAAGTATGAGGGTATATGCACTATATGTGTTGATGTAGCATCTGAGCGGCAGAGACAAGCTGGCTCGGAGCCGGCATCGACATGCCTGGATTTGTCGTCATGGGCATAGACATTGAGTGGTTGGCACCATTGTGGAGCAGAGTGCTAGGTGCATGATGTTGGAGGTATTGCTGGTGAGCACGTGTTTGACCAGGAGGTGGATTGTGGCGCGCAGGGCTTTGGGAGATGTCATTGGGCGAGGCACCAGATGCAGAATCTTCATTATTGTCTTCTTCGTTGACTGCATCCACGTCCTCGCCTTCATCATTCGTGTTATTATTGCTGTCATAGTTGCCATCACCCTCTCCGTCCATTTGCTGTTCATGAATGCGACGGTGCCTTGAATGAGGTGTTAGCTCTTGATCGGCCACAGAAACTGTCAGGGAAGGATAGTGCATACTGTGCCAGATTGTCCGATCTAGAGAATCCCTTGTTGCAAGTTTTGCAAATATAAGGACGCTCTTGAGTATGAGTGCGCACATGTCTGAAGTTCAAAGGAAAAAAACCCGTCAGTGTGCACGCCCTCATGATGATGACTAGAACGAAAGATCAAAAAGGGAAAAAAAGCATAGCATACCTCTTGAGATGCTCTAAACGCTTGAAGAGACGCCCACAGGAAGGAATTGGGCAAGAATGGGACTTGTGGGGATAGGGGCCCATATCGGTTATAGTTGCACTGCGGGCGCGGCGCAATACACCAGGCATTGGCCGAATCGCAGGACTGCTGTGGACTGGATGTTCGAGTTCAGCTCCAGGCGCACAGGAAACATGACTCAGATCCCCATGTGGCTGCATCAGTCCTATCGGAGCCGGGCTAGCTTCGAGAGTTGGCATGGGCGTTGTATTCCGAGACAGGTCAATCAGTTCTTTTGGCTGCGCCATGCCTGCATAGTGGTTGGGCTGCACCTGTGGTGATGCACGCATTGACTCAATACCGTCCGGCATTGGTACAACCGAGCTGGACACAGATCGCCGCAGGTCACTCGGTCGAAGGGGAGCGTGAGGGTTAACAACGCTGCCTCCAACAGCGACCATTCCCATGCCCATTCCCATTCCAGGAGATCTTCGACGACGCTGCTTATAGGTTGGAGAACCTTCCAGCATGCCATACGGGTTGTTTGCCGGGACGCCTCCGCCAAACGTGCGAATGCCGCCATACTGAGAACCCGCAAGATTTGAGGGTGGCAGCTGGACCATGTTACCATAAGCAGTCGAAGCGCCAACGTCGGGAATGGCGGTATAAAGGCCAGTATCCTCGTTGGCAATGTATGCCGGTTCGGCTCCGAGGGGCATCGGTTGCTGAGGTGGAGTCAGAGGTTCAAAGGATACACCACGGTTGCTATAATCCTCGTAATGGGACGAGACGAATGAAGGTGCTGGCGAGTATTCCATATACGCGGGCATGGACGCATGGCGAGGCTGGGCACGAGAAAGGGCCATGCCATCGAGCTCTCGCTTCACCAAGTGTCCGTGGGGCAAAGCAGCCGACATGGGCAGAGGTGCCGCGGTGTAGATGGCCATCTGATGAACATCATCTGGCACAAGCGCGCCCATCGGCTGGGGAACCGTGGGCGGCGGAGGCATCGAGTCCATGGCGCGCATCACCGGTGAATTGGATTGCGAGTAATTCACAGCTACGGCCGCATTGGTGGTGGCTGCGGCCGCAGCGGCTGCGGCAGCAAAGGAAGAGGTATTGGCCTGCTGGGCCTTGGTGAGCTGTTCAAAGAGCGATTGGGACGAGTCAAATTCAAAGGAGAGAGCAGGCTCGTTGACGGCGACAGTGGTGGGCTCCTGGCTCATCTTCTCGCGCTTGAGGTCACGCTCTAGAGCGTCAAGGAAAAGGCGGTCATGCGGCACGCTATACCAGTAAAAGACCTTTTGCTTCTTCTGCGTACGGATGCAGTTGTTCTTGTAGAGAAAGTCCAGAAAGGGGCTCTTGGGCTCCTCGAGCGACGCATCGGTACCAGCCTTGAGGTTACGCAGGTCGGAGAAGATGCCTTCCTCGAACTTTTTGGAATTCTTTACGGGGCGCCCAAAGGCCTGGAAACGAAACGAGAGGCACCGTACAATGTCGGTGCCAGAGACGTGAAAAAGATTATTCCTGTAAGGTCTCCGTGTTAACACAGAGATTCCGACTTTGAATGCGGACTGCGCATAAGAGTGTTGAGGCGCTCGAGCAAGTGAAGAGGAATGTTGCCTTACCAAAGCACGCACGAGACATATTCGCCCGTGGGTAATAGGAATCGACGAATATATTGATCAGGCGCCCAATCGACGGGAGCAGAAATAAGAAAGTATTTTACTGGATTGGAAGAAAAAGATGTCAGCAAATTGGGTTGATGCGACTCGCGGCAGAGTTGGAACACTAACGATTATCGACCTGCTGAAGTGCTACCTGCGCATCTTGTGGAAGGCTCTGCTGTGCTTCACTTGAAAGCATAAACGTTTCGGGCTTTTGTGTAGTGGTCATGATGGCCAATTGGGAAAAGTAATATTATATATAGATATGAATATATACCGTGTATACGGGCAGGAGGTTCCTGAGTTGTCGGCTACCGGCCGAACAAGCACGTCTCCGTGGTCGGGGATCCGGGGTGCTGAACGCGGAGGATCGGCGACGCCGCAGATGTCGGCAAAGTGCAGCGTGTTGGGCGCGCGCACAGAGAGAGAGAGAGAGAAGGAAAGAGTGCAGCGGAGTACGCGATTAGTAGGCAGGAACAGAGACCAGGCCAAAAGTCGGAGCGGAAGCACCGGTATCGAGTGTCGAAAGAGATTGAAGTGGTAATGAAGTGCAAGTGTATCGTCTCACGAGGGCCGGCCTCGCAGTCTGACAGAACGATTGATCGAAGAGCCGGATCTCGGATCCCACCTGGGGAAGAACTGATCACAGCAGAGGAGCGACGAGAGGCGACGGTGGGTCGTAGACCACAATAGTCGCCAAAGCGAAGCACGAAGCAAGAAACGAGAGGGTAAAAAGCGAACTGGCCCCAGGGAACGTTGTGTTGCGACACAACGAAAGACTGATGACGAACCTGCGACACGTAGACTGGGGGTGCAGAGGACTTTTTGGAAACGGTGGAGGAAGGAGGGAGACGCGAGAGCAAGAGTAAGAGTAAGAGTAAGAGCAAGAAGAAAGAGGAAAATCGAAGGGGTTGAAAGTAAGTGACGTTTGAAGGGGAAGGGGGGAGTTAAAGTCGGGCAAGTTTGAGTGGAAGTTAGGGGGAGCTAAAGAGGAAACGGATCAGTCGACGACCAGCGGGATATCGCGGAGTTGAAATCAGGGGGGGCAAAAGCGCAATGGAAAATTGCTTTGAGATTTTGAGAATTCGGGGGGGGAGAAAGAAAAGGGAAAAGAGCGAAGACAAGGGGATGAGGGCCAGGCTTCAGATTTAGAAGCACGATGGTGGTTCGACTGCAGTTGGGTTCTTGTAGGAGCAAGTACGGTATAGTTTGTACCATGAGAGAGGATGTTTCTGAGTAGTCTCGTATGTGTGTCGGGAGTGTTTTGCCCCCACAAAATGGCCGACAGTCCAGCACGCACCCCTGGCCCCCCTGTAGAGACGATGTGGTTGGTGGACGTGTTGGTTTCAGTCCCGTCACGAACCGACGAAAGAGAATCAGGAAGGGACAGACGGAGAGGACGGGACGAGACAGAACTGGGAAGGAACGAGGGACAGCGAGTTGAAACAACCGCCAGGGGCAGATTGCGACTCGCAAAGAGACCCTGTTTTCCTCCCGTTCTAGCCTTTCTCGGTACAGCGGTACATGCACCACAGAGCCAACCCTGTCAAACCCAAGATATTCTGTGCTAAGCAATCGTGCCAGAACCTCCTCCAAGTCCCTCTACGAGTAGGAAAAGTGCAAATAATGTCAATTGAGGGATTGGCCAAGAGATACCTGGGTAGAGGGAAAACGACAATGTTACCTCTTTGGCAGAGTGGGCAGGGATTATGCCATAAAATGCCATCCAAAAACACCGAAGAAGAGACAAGTAAAGTGGGGCAATTTCATGTCAAAAAAGCACCACCGGCCAGCATTGTACGGTTTATACGCTATATTATTAACAGCAGGCATCTCGACATGTACAGAGCTACTGTATGTATAACAGCGGTCATACTATTAACAGTCAGCTAGTATTCTGCTTGACTGCCTCACGGCGTGGGAAAGCAGGATCGAGCGGGTTGACGTGGAATCGGAGCCGTAGTCTACACGCTAGACCTATTCTGTCGCGTATGCCAAGCTCGCGTAACCACTTCTGGTCAAGTTACCTACTGCCCTCGGTGTAAAAAAAGCCAAGAGGCACGCAAATATGAAGTGAGTGCGCGATTGAATGGTCTGCTGGCACCCACAATAATAAAACGTTAATATAATTTTCGCCTGACGGGAAAGCCAAAAGACATGGTGACCGTGGCTTCCGGTGGCTGGTGGGGTTCGGAAAGGTCAGCCATGGTGGGAACCAAAGAAACATGGCCCGTAATATTTTCCATAGACTACTGATTAGAAAAGAAACAAAAATAAGACCGATCAGAGTCTTAGCAGGTTAGCTCAACGGATCGTAAAAAGCTCGCATTGAGGAGACATGACTGGAAAAACATGCATACAAAGTCTATTATTGGATTTGGTCCAACAGACCGAGCGCTCAAGAACAGGAATCCACTCTGGCGATGCGCCTTTGAGAGCTACGCAAAGCTTTTTGCCTCTCCTTTGGTTAGCAAATTCCTAGCAAGTGGGACAGAGCGGCAACGACAGCAGAAAGTAGTGGATGATCCATGGTTCGTTGTCGGCTCGTCTCCGCGTAGCTATTCCGGTCAACGAGCTGTCGCGCGGTGTCTCAGTTAGGGCGACCCTTTTCTGGTGGAAAACGACGCTGTAGCAGCAGGTCTGACTCGGCCAGAATAGCATGGGCGCTTCCAACTGTCAAAGATTGCTCGGCCAAGGAACACCAGCGAGACGCCCGTAATACTCCAACTCTCTCTTAGGCGCCTCTATTACATGTCGCTGGCAGCGGTAAATGTCAAGTACGTTATGTGTAGCTTCAACGAATACACTTGTATACCTTAGGTGGGCGCTGCGTTCCAGCTAAACAGGTTCACGTCCATCTCCCAAATCATGAGACCGAGTAGACCTCATTCGCTTGCTGCAAGAGGAAGGTACCTGAGGCAGGGTGCTAAAGGCGCAGGTACGGTAGCAAGTGCAATTCGCAGGACGGCAATTCCCACGACGACACAGGCTTCGAATACCGGGATATGACCGTTGACCAAAACGTGACAAGATACTCGCAGGCTGTACCCTCCCGCAAACATGCAGCTTCTTGAGGACCGACTTGCAATGGTGGCTGCCTAGGGCCATGGGCCATTGACGCCGTCCAACGGGACGTCGAACCATCACCATCGCAGACATGTGAGCCTCACAAGTCCAAGGGGGGGGAAAGTAATTTATCGCTAGATAGATGATCGTCGTCGGAGCCTTGACCGACAAGAACAAAATCAAATGCGCACCTTCGAAATTTCCCCATGACCAGGTAAACTTCGAGCTCATCATCAGGCTATCCGGCTAGATTCTATTCTGCTCTCAACTACCGATGACCGGAGGCAATAGAATGCCATGTCGATCACAGCTTAACATACGATCAACACTACTAGCCAACCTGATCCCTATCTATCGGGAATTTTTTCGACAAAAGCAGCAAGACTACGGGCTGCTGCCTCTTCCTGCCAGAGAAAGGTCTAGCATCTGTCTTGAATTCATCCCTTTTTGGAGTCATATTGTCTTTCCAACTCCCGAAAACCACGGGAAACTAATCACTAACATTCCGTAGACTGATTGAACTACCAAAGCAAACAACCAGAGATGATCATCAGAGACATCCAAGCGAGATTGCTTTGCTTTTTCTTTTCTTGTCCGCGACGAGTTCTCTCCGGGTAGTGTTCCAAGTGGGTAGCGACATGAGAAAGTGGAACAGCACGAGCTTGAGCACGAGTATTCCTCCTCTCCGTCTTTCGTGCCGAAGCTCAACCAGCTCTCCGCAAACACTCATGATCGAATCATCTATGTCCAAACATGGCCCCTTACCGGAGTATATCATCGTTCAGTTTTCTCCGGAGACAGAGACACCGTCGATCGCCATCGCTTGGCCAAAAGCTGGCCAGTACGGGAGCGACGCCGTTAAACCCTGCGCATGGCGAAATTACACGACCAGGGGGCTACCCTTGTCTGTATCTTTACCGTTGGTACTAGAGACACTTGGTCCAACCGGTCAGTGCAATGAGCTTGTTGAGTGTACTCCGGTACTGTGGTACACAAGAGAGCATCCAAAGGAACTTTGCCCGTTCTGTCAGTACTCCTTTCTGCCATCTCAATCGCAAGCACATCGAATTAACACGGTTAGCCACAGCTCAATCAAATGACAATCCGAAAATCTTCCGTAGTGATGAACATCTCGGCCGAGGGGCATAGGAAATCGGCCGGCGAAGACACCTGCGAGCAAGTCGCATCTATTCTCTCTGGCCTAGTAAGGCAACCTATTTCTCCGCGGCGTTTCTTGGCAAAATCATGGTGCTAGTCATCATCCCAGTATTGTAATCGTCCCATTTGCCCTTGCTTTGTCGGTGAAGAGACGAGCAAAAAACGTACGGAGTACGTAATTGCGGCTTGCTGATCGCGATGCTCGCGAATGTAAACACTGAAAATGACATCTTGGTTTTGAAGTATTGTACACGCAGTTTGGCATGCTCAAGACGTTTGTCCTGCCCAGTTTATGATCCAGGAATCTAGTAACAGCTCTATCACGTTAAATTTTAGCATTTATCAATTCGTCAGCACGAGTGACATTTTATTTTTGATATCCATAAGCAGCCAGACCTTCAACGACCAAGTGATGTCGTAAACAAATCATCACAAGAGTCTCGATTTGATCAAAGGCAAAACCCTTAGTAAGAAGCCTTACAAACGCTTAGAATGCAAACAACCTCGAATACTGTAGTTACCTCACCTCGTGCTACTTGTCTAGCCAACCCACAATCAATTATCATTGAGCGCGTGTACGATCTAGATCAGGTCGTTTGCTTTCTGTCCTTCTCTAAGAATATGATGACTGTACTGCATACTCTGATTCCCGACCACACCAGCCACCTGCATTGCTGCATTAAGTTTACTGCACTGTAGACTAAAAAGGGGCCGAGCAATAGCCGGCAGCGTTTCAGACAATCCAGATGGCGCCATGTTTCAAGTATTTTCGTTCCTGCTCCCGGGCAAGCTTCCCCCCCCCCTTCCCCACTTCCCCCAAACCAAAGAGGCTGTTTCATCTTTCCATGTGTACTCTATACTCCGTACAGCCTCACAGTCAAACTAGAATAGTCGACCTAAGGTTAACGTATCTAGGGACCTGCTGTATTCTTAATTTAGCTTTGCGCAATGTTTGACCTTTTGACTGCTTGATTGCTTTACTGCTTGGCCAAACGCTTTGGTCTCTAGGCGCTGTTGGCCACCGTATGCTCTGCAATATATCGTGGTGCATACTTTGCCATTCTCTCTTCAGCTCATATGGGTAAGTTACATTAGTACCCTAAGCTCAATGAAAACTCGATCGAGCTTTTCGCGTATATGCATAACCGCCTCTGTGCACGATACATGCATTGCAGACGTGGCCATGAATAGGGATTGTACTGTATGCCGGGTGCCTGCGTCTAGAGATTAAATTTTGCTGGCTTGAAATAGTCGGGCTCGTGCGATGTAGTAGATTCAATACATGGATACGTGGGGCCAAAGACAGAGTGGTCGAAAGCGAAAGTTTGCTGTTGAATTCGTGTTGATTTGAAGACTGATTGATGGTCCAAACTTGAAAGCACAGCAGATCCAGAAGCAGGGCAGATGTCAATTCCCCGCAACTTCTTTGCTTCCACTCTAGCCATGTCGCCAGCAACATCAAGCTTGTGAAGTATACCTTTCAAGCCAGGCAATCGAGATTGGTTTGATGCGTTAATTAGCATGCTAATATCTCGGTGTGGGCAGAAATGTCAAAAATTATACAAGAAAATTGGAAAAAGTAGAATCTTAGGTATAGAACAATAGTTTGATGCACAAAATGTATGACGAGGGTATAAGCCAAGAAATGGTGCTGATCGGGGGCAAATGCTCGGGCCTTCATGCTGCAAAGCAGAGAAATGAACATGAATCAATGGCTTTTGGCTCTACCTCCTGCCCTTCTTGCCCTTTGCCATTCTCTTTGGTCCCTCAATGTCGGCAATATCACGCTTACTCAACTTCAACATGCCACCGCGAAATTTACCTACACCAGGACCTCCAACGCCTCTTTCTCGTCGAGATTCTGCATCTTTGCGCTTCGTGAGCTTGGGCTTCTCGAGAATGATACCGTTTTCACGCGCTTCTCGGCGGCGCTTCTCCTCTCGCTCGCTGGCTTTCGCCATGATTCCTTTTCGATGAGACAAGGGCATTTTCTCTTGCGTCATGATAGAAGAGTTTGATCCAAGAGCTTGTATACGTAAATCGAGTGCCTTGTGTCGATTTTTCCCTGTCGGATCCAGTGACGAATTTGAATCCAAGAGGTGGGATTCGCGCAACAAGCGCTGCAGCGCGAGGTCGTTCTTGAGGTTGGCTGCCTCGTCGTTCTCGTCTTCTGAGTTCTCTTTTGATTTTTGAGGTTTTGGTATCGGCTTTCTCGCTGCAGTTGGCGGTTTGGAAGACTGTTATGGGTAAGAAAGTTGGTTCAAAGTACGGATAAGTCGGAAATGTTGCGTACCATAAATGCTTTCATTTCTTCTTTAGCTGCCAGATCATCGTATTCGTTGGAATTTGATGGCTTTCCCGTGTGCTCCACGACTTCTACCTTTCTTTTTCCTTCATCTGATGCAGCGCAAATATGTCAGTTATATGTTCCATGGGCCAAAACTAGCTAAGCATACCGTCAGAGATTCCGCTCCAGTCGGAGTCTTCGTCTTCCTCATCCTCTTCATCGTCATTGTCCGCTTGTTTCTCCTCAACCTTCGGTTGCTTTGGGCGCAAGTCCTCTTCTATTGGCTTGAATTGTGACTCAAAATGTCGTCGAAACACTTCGTATGCGTCGGATTCTTCTTCCTCTGCCGAAGGCTCTCTAGTTGTCTGTATTTTAGGGCCTGCACTTTTCTTAATTCCATTTACTTTTGCTTTTGATTCATTGGTTTGCCGCTTTCTCTTGCCCAGCGTTTTCGGTGCTACGGCGCTGCGCGACGAAGACGACATTATTGTGTTATGAACGTAGTGTATGCTTCGTTGCTACAACTTTCCCCGGAACTTTTCAGGATAAATTCCTGCCAAAGCATTCAGAGCCGAAGGCGGTGAGTGCGGAAATCTCCGTGTCGGCTGTTCTGTGGCAGAGTACCCCTCCAAATTATAACTGGAGTTCTGGGGAAAACAGAGAGCACTTGCATTTCACTGCCTTGAATAGCATTTAGATCGTCGCAATGACACGATTTCGACCGTGTATAGACCTACACTCGGGCCAGGTCAAGCAGATTGTCGGCGGAACGTTGACAGACGTTGACTCCTCTCTCAAAACCAATTATGTCTCAAAACTGCCTGCGGGGCATTTTGCAAAGCTATACAGAGAGAATGACTTGAGCGGTGCGCATGTTATCATGCTTGGTCCAGGAAACGAGGACGCTTCCAAGGAGGCACTGGCAGCGTGGCCATCAGGGTTACAGGTCGGTGGTGGAATTACGGATAAGAATGCAGCTCAATGGATGGAGTGGGGTGCGGAAAAGGTAAATTGCCAAGCGGACGGACAATTACGCTTTGATCTTTCAGAAATTATACCACTCTTGAACTTTTAAAATGTTTAATATTGCTCTACCATGCATACTGAGGTTTTATCTCTTCCCTAGGTAATCATCACATCCTACCTTTTCCCAGATGGAAAATTCTCCATGGAACGCCTGCAGGCTGTGCTTGCGGCCCTCGGAAACGATAAGAGCAAGCTCGTCATCGATCTCAGCTGTCGGAGAAGAGGCGATTTATGGTTTGTTGCCATGAACAAATGGCAGACCATCACAGACATGGAGGTCAACCAGGGTAAGTAGGGATACTGCGGCCGCTAAACTCCTCGAATGGGGTGTATCCTCATATTGAATGACATTATTGACGAGATCGATTGTCATTAGAAACCATCAGGCTGTTGGAACCATTTTGTTCAGAGTTTCTAATCCACGCCGCCGACAACGAAGGTCTGCAACGCGGAATTGATGAAGAGTTGGTCAAGAAGCTCTCGGAGTGGTGCGCCATTCCTGTCACGTACGCTGGCGGTGGCCGGAACCTGCAAGATCTTGATAATGTCAAGCGGCTAAGCAATGGTAGAGTGGATTTGACTATTGGCAGTGCACTAGATGTTTTTGGTGGGTCGGGAGTCAAATTCGAGGATTGCATTGCATGGAACAAACAAAACGCATAATGGGAGGATAAACCCTACTGAGCCCTCTTTCGGGGTTAAAATATTTTGTAAGATTTTGTACATAAATTCTACTGATACCAATAAATGTTCTCTTCTGTCAAAATTGGTCTTGTTTTTCTACAAAGATCAAAACTACATGTGCTGTGAGCGGATTGTCTGTTTTACAAATGATATACGGATCGACCTATTAATAAAAGGAAAATGGCATCCAGAAAATAAGGAGAAATTTCATTGGTATATATAATTAAAATTATAAATAATAATAAATAGATTAGTCTGGAAAGCAGAAAAATATCATCGTTTAAACATCCATGTAGAAAATATCCAACGTCTAAATCCACATATGTAATGGCAAATTCCCAAGCTACTATTCGACCTCATAGACTTCACCTGCAAACCCGTAAACTGAGGGGACGGAAGCGGCAAGGACCGAGAACGTGGGAAGCGAACGCGACTGGCGAGGGGTAGTGCTGTAGGCACCAAGGACCGAGGACCTCACAGGGCAAACGCTCGCCAAGAAATCGTCACCCCAATCGCTCATCGACCTCAACTTCGTCACTATCCAGCTTTGCGACAATATCAATCTCCTCCTCGTCCTCGGCTACAAACCACGCAATATCGGGTTAAATCCATTCATCGAAGAAGCTGTCAGCATCTACAGTAATACCTGCATACCTTATACACCAAACGGTAGAAGGAAAAGCTACCGTTACCGATCAACCAACCAATCTTATCAGCCCGACACTTTTATTTCCGCCAAGATGAAGCCTGTTGTCTCTGCCCTGAATGCATGGAGCTGGTGCGTTACCCATTTTTAGAACGGCAAAAAAGATAAATCCGAATTCCAAGAAACCCAGACCGATGGTCGTTTTGGCTTTGATACCACTTTCATCATGCATCTTAACAACTACTAACTTCTGTTTCCTCATATAGTATCGTGGTCTCCGTTTTTGCCATCGTCATTCTGTCGATCATCGGCAGCTTGTTCAGCGTACGTTCTCTTTGAATTTCCCGGGTTTTATCTACAAGAGTTTTGTCTCCAATAGTCGTCTTGCGTGGCAAAGCCCCTGGTGAATTATTTGAATCTCGTCCACCAAGTATCCCGCCATCTAGACTGTACCGTGCCTTTATATATCGACCTGTTCGAAAGTCACACCTCGTGGGGATATAGGCATGATGCAAAGATAGGGGACGCTGCTTGCTCCGGACGATGACCCCACGCTTACACGGCCAATACTCTCGAGTAAAGCAAGATGCTAACTTTATTGTTCTTCGCTAATAGCGTGAGCACCATGCGATGGTCGGCTCGACGGAAGACCCAGTCGATGGCAAGGCTGTTGCTGGATCTATATTTGGTGCTGTTGTCATCTACGGTGTAAGCTTACCCTTCCTTTTCTTTTCTTTTTCTCGGTCGCTTGTCTACCTTGAGACAGCGACGGAAAGTCTTGCTAGTAATGGTTGCTGATCTTGAAATCTCCAGGTATTCCTCGTTTTCTGCGGCTTCCAAGCGTTCCTGCACATGCGAGAAAGTCGGCGGGGCGCAATCTCGCTTTCGTGATTAAACTGCAAAGACAGCATGGGCAGAAGAGGGTGCCTCAAGCAGATCGACTATCCACTCTTCTCGACTGCATAGAACGCCATGTTTATCGTTTGTGAATATCTTCAGAATTTCACAACGGCCACGAATGTTCATTCTACTCTAGTTGTAGATTTATTTTGACAGCAGGAGTTTAGGGGGTTCTCTAGCATGACTTTTCAACTTTTACTTTTTCTTCTCTTTGAAAGATCTGATTAAATCATTAATACCAAGACAGCCATTTTCATTTCCTTGCGTGCAATTCCGCAACATTCAATACAGTCAATGACACGTGAGGGATCTTAGTCATTCTCTATATGCAAGGATACTTTGATGATCCGTTTTGATATACCCGCCACAAAAATTGGCGGGGAAGATTGTGAATACATAGTACCAACGCCGTTTCCGCCCCCAAAGATACGACCCTCTTAAACGCCTTAGAATGCACATGTGATGCATAAGACCACCCTAGACTTTCCCAAAAATAACTGTTATAAAAGAGAAACGACCCAAGTTCATGTATGTTCTACTCATCATCGCTCTCGCTTTCGGCATCATCATCCTTTTCATCGTCCAGCATCTTGCTCATGTACGGGCCATCAAGCCAGTATCCGAGCTTGGCGTAGTAACTGCGGACACCGACACCGGAGATGACGCTAATCTTCTTACTTCCGTGTTCCTCACGCGCAATACGCTCAGCCTCTTCCATCAACAGGGTACCGTAGCCCTGGTGCTGGAACTTCTTGGGGTCTCTGGCATGGACAGGAATGGCAGTACCATACACGTGGAGCTCGCGCACCAGACTGCTCTGCTGGCCAGTCAATTCCGGCCGGAACGTATGTGTGGACGAGCACTTGCGCAGACGCAGGAGACCAATCAAGATATCCTGCTTCGGGTCTTCGTACGCCAGAAAGGTCTCCCAGCCGCCATTGGCCACGTAGTCGCGGCGCACGAGCTCGACTTGCGATGGGCGAATTTTGTTCTTGACTTCGTTGATGCCGACTTCGCGAGTGCGCACGTCGCGGCAGGTGGTTCCGAAATCTTTCATTCGGGAGAGTGCCAGTTCGCGCAGGTTGCCGTTCTCGACACCCGATGTGACGAGCGGCATGGGGATGTCGCGCTGCACGCGGTAAATACGGGTCCATGGTGGAACGAGCGCGAGGATTCGCGCCACGAGGTCGATCAGTGCGTTGGGGGTGTAGTTCTTGTATCTGCCTGTTCGCCAGAGTTCGTAGAGACCTGTTCCACGGATGACGAGGGTGGGGTAGATCTTGAGACCGTCGGTTCGGAAGGCGGGGTTCTCAAAGTATTCCCGGAACTGATCGAGGTCGCGCTCCATGCCGACGTTGGGCAGATCCGGCATCATGTGGCTGACGACTTTGAAACCCGAGTCTTTGGCGAGCTTGAATGTCTCGGCGACGGCTGCAACGGTGTGGCCGCGGTTCGTGTCTCGCGCGACGTCCTCGTAGAGAGACTGCACGCCGACTTCGAGACGAGTGCAGCCGTATCGAAGCATGCTGCTGAGATGTGTGTCCAGACAGTAGTCGGGGCGGGTTTCAATGGTGATGCCGACGCATTTGATGTTACTCATCTCGCCGGCCTCGACGGCTTCGTCGACATTGTTCGTTTGGTAGCCGCTCAGTGCGTTGTGCAGTTGCGAGATGAATTCCTCTCGGTAACTCTCTGGAAGAGACATGAATGTGCCGCCCATGATAATGTACTCGACCTTGTCGACGCTGTGGCCTAGGGATTTGATCTGGTCGACTCGTCCGCGGGCTTGTTCGTAAGGGTCGTAGCGCGCACGAATGGCACGCATCGATGTCGGCTCGTAGCCAGTGTAGGATTGCGTCGAGTATTCAAAGTCAGAGTCTGGGCCACCGGGACAATAGACGCAGACGTTGCCCGTGTAGGAAATGTGTGGGCATCGGTGAGGTTTGCACATAACTGCCACAACGGCAATACCGGAGGACGTTCCTAAGAGGAGAACATGATTAATTTAAGGTCATTGAAGTTCGGGCTTCTATGGCAGAGAATTGACATACGGATTGGTTTGGCAATGAGTTTTGGAAGAACATATTTCTTGTAGTGCTCGGGGACCGCAGCGATAATGGCCGTCAGTGGAGGTTGGCTGGCGAGCTTGTACTTTTTGGCAATTTGTCCACGAAGACTGTTCAGATTGATGTCCTTCTTCGGTGCTGCGCCGTCGCTCTGGGCCTCGTAGTCCTGGATCAGAGCACTGGCAATTTCAGCACAGGCGCGCATGGCTCGTTCGCTCTCAGAGGGCATCTTGAGGTTCTTGGGCTGCCGACGCTTGGTCGGGTCCGGCATGGTGAGGGTGGCAGTCGCCATGATGACTGGCGGGTGTTTTCTGCCAGAGTAAAAGAAGTGATCTCTGGGGTTAGAGAGGAGGAGGACTGGTTATGTTGATGATGTTGATGATGGTGATAGAATAGTGTGTGTTGCCCCTCAGGCATATAGGTAACTAAAGACATTGGATATCAAAAAAGTTAGACGGCAAGTTCCGCAAGTGACGCTCCCCTCAGTTCTTTTTGCGGTAATATTGGACAGGTACCTTATGTAAGAAATTACATGGGAGAGTACCTCTGTACCTTTTGAGAACGAAGAGTAGACGGATGCCAAGACCAAAACCTCGACGACAATTCGCTTCTTTCGCAACATCCCCGTATCTTCAGTTGCTGCTTGCTGCTGCTGTTGCTGCTCTGCCCAGACAGACTTTATTTGCTCTGTCTCTCGCCCCCCTCTGAAAGCTCCTTCCCTCCATTGAGAGCCCTTTTTGATTCGCAACGTCCAACGTTCCGATCGCCGAAAGCTATCTTCATCATGCAGGCCTTCAGACGTGGTGTGCAGACTGCTCTGCACACTGGCTTCCGCAGCCAGGCTTATTCGACCTCCGCCTACGCCGCGACTGCGAACAACCTGCGGATCAACACGGATACCAAGGTTCTCTTCCAGGGTTTCACTGGTAAGCAGGGAACGTAAGTCACTCGCACCTCGATTTTCTCTGTTTGCAATGGCCATTGAGACTCAATTGGTGCGCAGGTTCCACGCTCAGCAAGCTATCGAGTACGGTATGATATAAGCTTTTTTTTATCCAATCAACTTTACATTCCTCTGCTCGATCAATTGATGCTGATTGGATGCAGGCACCAATGTCATTGGTGGCACGAACCCCAAGAAGGCTGGTGAGACTCACCTTGGCAAGCCCGTCTTCGCCAAGGTCGAGGATGCGATCAAGGAGACTGGCGCCAACGCCTCTGCCATCTTCGTCCCGTATGTACACTTGGACATTAGACCTCAATTGATTGGCGCAGGGGCCGTGGACTAATGGAAATATAGCCCTCCGCTTGCTGCGAAGAGTATCGAGGAGGCCATCGCCGCTGAGATGCCCTTGGTCGTCTGGTAAGACTGAACTTGAGCTTGATATTGGCTTCAAACGACTCAATTGCTAATTTGTACGCCTGACAGTATCACCGAGGGTATTCCCCAGCACGGTATGGATTGATTGAATCCTCTCTGTCACGGAATAATACATAACTAACGGCTTCTCCCCAGACATGGTCCGCATCACCGACATGTTGAAGACCCAGGACAAGACCCGTCTCGTCGGCCCCAACTGCCCTGGTATCATTGCTCCGGTATGGATTCACTCTCTACCAATTGAAGATGCAGTCTAACATGACAACTTTCAATAGGGTCAATGCAAGATCGGTATCATGCCCGGTTTCATCCACAAGCGCGGTCGTGTCGGTATTGTCTCTCGTTCCGGAACCCTCACCTACGAGGCCGTCAACCAGACCACCCAGGCTGGTCTCGGTCAGTCTCTCGTCGTCGGTATCGGTGGTGACCCCTTCTCTGGTACCAACTTCATCGACTGCTTGAAGGTCTTCCTCGAGGACGAGGAGACTGACGGTATCATCATGATTGGTGAGATTGGTGGTTCCGCCGAGGAGGACGCTGCCGACTTCCTCAAGTCCTACAACAAGAAGAACAAGCCCGCCGTCAGCTTCATTGCTGGTATCTCTGCTCCCCCGGGACGTCGTATGGGTCACGCAGGCAAGTACCCTTTTTCTTAGTCCCATGATTTCGTATCATTTTTTTTTAAGTAAAGATTTCTCACTAACATCCAATGCAGGTGCCATTGTTAGCGGTGGCAAGGGTGACGCCAACTCCAAGATCACTGCTCTCGAGGCTGCCGGTGTCGTTGTCGAGCGCAGCCCCGCCGCTCTCGGCAAGGCCCTCCACGCCGAGTTTGTCAAGCGTGACTTGATCTAAATGGACATGTAATTACCCCCTTATATGTGTTGTTATTTTATTCTTTTTTTGGGAAGCAGGACAGACGAGCGGAAGGAACTGGTAGATATAAAGGGTGGAAGTGATTTGAAGTAGTGGCGGAGGAAGTACAAAGTACCTTGTCCTTTGCCATGGGGGTCGTGTCTCTGGGGATCATATCGCTGAGAAAGAAGGGGGAAACAGCATGTTCCCCCCTTTTGTTTCATTCTCCTTCTTCCTCTTCTTCGTTCTATTATTTGTCAAGTGTACAGCTAGGCATGCATGAAATATTTTTTTGATACGCTCATGTTCATATTCCAGTATTGGATTGACGTGCAATCACTTGATTCATGATCCAAATAGTGTGCCATTTGACATTTGACATTTGAAAAACCCGATATCACCAATTTCTATTTAGCTGCGTGAGAGGTGTACTATACAACTACCTAGCTCTATTGATGAAAAAAGATTCATTCAAAAAGGTGGAAGGAGAAGGGGAATGTGGGAATAAAAGTAAAAAACGGTAAGAAATTGGGGCAGTATTTACAACGTCATTAATCTAAAAGGGGGAAAAACAAAAGTCATCGGAGACGTTCGAAATCCAGACAAAAGCAAAGACGGAAGACATAAAACAAAGCCAAAACGTCTATGCAGATGCCTTGCCGTCGCAGAATTGCACGACAGCCCATTTCCCGCTCCAGGCCCACTTGCGGGCTTCGTTCCCGCCGCCGCCTTCGAGGGCGCGCAGCCGGTCGTCTTCGCCGGGTGGGAGCCCGACGACGACGTCGGCCTTGCATGTGCGCAGAGCGAGGGTGCGCATTCCGGAGCCGGGGCCGAGCGGGCCAATGGCTTCGGTGAAGGGGGTTGTTGTGGGCCATTGTGCCTATTGGATTTATTTGTTAGGCATTTGAAGGTATTGGAGGGACGCAATAGGAAGGGAGAAACGAGAGAAGGGAAATTGAGAAAGTGAAGAGAAAAGAAAAGAAAAGATAAAGACGAAGAGACTGGGAAGGAGGAAAAGGATAAACGTACGTCACCAGTTAATTTACGATAATTCAAATCGCCCTTTGCAATGACCAGTTCACTGCCTTGTAGATCCTTGAACAGCTCCGGCGCGGTGCCAGGCAGGCGCCAGAAACTGCCGCCTTCGGTCCAGAAGCGGTTGGGTCGAATAGAAAGCTTGCCCTCCGCGTGGAACTCGCTCAGCTTCTGGAACAGAAAGGAGAGATTGCTTTCCTCCTTTTCGGACAAGGGCTGGGGTTGTTTCTTGCCCTGGTGCTCCTCGTCCTCGGACAACGAGGAGTAAAACGACTGCGCATTGGCAAGGGCGTTGAGGAGTCCGCCGAAATCTGCGGGAATCACGTCCGATACGAACCACGGGTAGTTCTTGGGGTGCATGACAATCGATGTGGCGAGGTTAGCGGACAAGAGGTACCCCGCGAGAATCAGGTCGACGTAGAGCTCGAATCCAGCATTGTCTAGTATGAAATCGACGCGGCGCTCGCCGTTGGGATTGGCCTTGCGGGCTTTGCTTAGCACTTCGTACGCGGCGGGCAAATCGTTGGAGATGATATTCTTTTGCGAGCTCTTGCGGGCTTCGGAGCCCTGCAGTTTTTGAATGTCTTCGTAGGTAAGTGACGTGAGCAGCGAAAGGTCGGTCGCGTTTCCCCAGAGGCAAATGTCGCACATTTCGGTGAACATGAGCTTTTCTGCCTCCTCCGTTTCTTCGGCGGACTTGTTGCCTAGCTTGCCACCGCCCTGGCGCAATTGGGTGTCGAGTTCTTTATATTGCGCTGCGAGCTCAAGCACTGCTGGGCGCGAGGACTTGAAAGTGGAGATCTTCTGGCGCGCAAAGACATCGTGGGTTTTCCAGTGCTTGCTGAGCGTGAAGAACGTGCTGAGTCGTCTGTGTAAGGAGAAACGTATGAGTAATTGTAATTTCGTACACAATGATATTCTGGGCGCGTAAAGTTTGTATGAGGATAAAAAAGCCAGAGGAGGAGTTACCGGTAGAGGTAGCATTCGGAGAATAGCCAGGGCACGTTGAACCACTTTGCCTCTCCGAGCTGCTCGAGCTCCTTATTGTAGTCGGCAATGTCGGGCTGACCGTCTTCAGGGAGGGGGCTGTGAGGTTCGAGAGTACAATGTCAGCAGTCGTAGGGGCATAAATCATAGGACAAGTTCACACTCACGTCAATTGGCGGTCATGTTGGATCTCGTATTTCAGCTTGGCCAGTCCCTCGATGATGGCCTTGCCCTCCTTGGTGTGTTCCGCATCTTTGCTGGCGAGCGTTGCGCGGTGCACGTCGTCAATTGCGCCAGTCTAGATGGTTGAGCTATTAGCAATCTGCTGGAAATGGCGGGGTGATTTGCTACCCCACGTACAAGAATGACGGGCCACCTGTCTCGCGCAGAGACATAGGCAAATGTGGATTGGTCGGATGTGTAGTACGGTGCTGGGAGAGTCAATCAACATGTCTGTCCCTCGATGGAGTATCCGAGAGGTGTGCATACGAGTTTTTGTATCAAATTCCATGGTGCGTGGTGTTATGTGTGCAGCTCAAGTTTGGGGAGATGTCACCTTGGAGGTGTCAGGTCGGTACTCCCTAAGAGAGGTATGTAGATGCGCGAGTTTTCTGTTTGGCTTCAATATTTATGCAGCCAATTGCAACACGATGTGACCTATTAATTATATGATGCAAAGACTAACTTATGTATATTCGTGTAGAATTTATTCTGATTCAGCTTTTTGGCATATTTTAGACAATACTGTACTCCGTACCTTGCGGAGATTAAATCCCAAGTGGGGACAGCTATGACGGTTGGCCTCTCATAAAAGACATTCTGCAACGTCACTTTTGGACATCACCTGACCCACCTTCTGTACGTGGCTATGCTCATGCTCAATGACAATAAGAATGGAAATGTCATGCTCCCTAAGACTGAAATCAATTGTTAAATTTATTACTTTGAAGAAAGTATATTTGTGGGAGATTTCAAGGTCGGAAAGTTTTTAGAACAGAATATTTAGTCGAATTTTATTTACTAGGCATTTATAGAATCTAAATTCACAAAATATCTTCTCATCTACTCAAAGTAGATAAATGAATATCCTGCCAATAATTAGATGTCTTCAGATAAAACATACTATAACCCAAGACGTGGCATAAATAAGTTGCATTGAGTTTTTGTGGCTCTGCCATACCATATAATATTCAAGTCTGGACCAATATCATTTAAGCTAGTAAGGCAAGAAAAAAAAAAGGGTCATCAAGGAATGAAACGAGCTTCAAAACCAAAAAAAAAAAAAAAAGAATTTTGAACCACTCCAATTTTCGAACATTCAAATGAAGTGCAAAAAAATGAACCCAGTGTGATTTGAACACACAGCCTTTCGATCTGGAGTCGAACGCGCTACCGTTGCGCCATAGGTCCTTGTTGTTGCTGATTCAGCCCACAAAAGAAGCTATGACCCACAACCCATAACCGAACTGAAAGGTGCAGATATTAACGACAACCTTCCATAGACTCGACAGCGACGGTATAGAATTACACGATTTGATGGAATTTCAGATCATTTGAATTGTAATTTCATTCAACATATAAAATTCTATAATCGACCTTTATTTAAACTATCGGGGGAAGGGTTCCAACTATATATAGCGGGATGTTACCCATTAACTATTCCATTGCTAGCAAAAGACAGCGGAAGCCCTTAAACAGTAGTCCATAACTTGAACCTCCCCAGATTTTTTCCACTCAAGCTTTTTAGATCGTCGCTTGGTTTGCATGTCTCTGGCATCCAGCCATACCTCGTCTCCTACCTTGTAGGTCAGAGCTGGTAGACAGCGTCTGTAAGCCTGGTCTTCGTAGGTCATTCGGGCTTCTGTCCTGGCAGCTCGAACGTAGTCTAAGATCTCTTGCATGTGCCCAGCAAAGTCAATTCCGTCAATCGCGTTTTCAGCTGTGGAGAGATCAGTTAATGGTTCTGATTCAAATCCCAACCACAGGTTATGCCCATAGTTGGCAAAGAGGGGGCTGTCAATGTATAGTCATGATTCTTATGAATAGAAAGCTCTTTCTGGTATAGAATGAGAGCAATCGCACGATTGAGAAGCCAAATAACAATCTCGTTCTCTTGTCCCTGAAGAGCAGCAGCCAGGTTGTCCGGTTTCTTGTCTCTCCACGGGCAATTTTGAGGTTGTGCAACTTAGTCTGAATAACGATGAGATTAATAATGGAGTCGTTCTATATTTTTAAACTCAAACAATTACTAGAGCGTATTGTCATGCCGGAACGACTCATTATTTCCTGGATTGTCGAGGGCGGGCCTCAAAGTTGTCGAAGCGGTAAAATAATTGACAGATATTGTTACACTTGTCCTGGACATGCTAGGGCTGGCGATTGGCTGAGTTACTTTGTTAAGAAGTAAGAGAAGTCTTACCTGAACAGCAAAGTGGCGAGCACTTTACAAGGTTCAGAGTCAAAAACCAATAGGTTTTTTACAAGGACTCGGAGGGAAAGGTAATAGTTGACAAATATTACGAGTATATCGAAGTATTTGTGTCCATTTTCTCCAGCTCGAGTGCTCCTCTAGAAAGGGAGACGGTAGGCCTTTGGATGCCAACGGCAAACTCGCAATAACGACAGTAGTGATTCGCAAGCAGATGATAGATGACAAGACCAGCAGAGGACAGACAAAGGGAAACATAAGTCCCGGAACCAGGATTGATATTCTCGTTAGTTGAATTATGGCGACGAGCCGTTTGGCCTTGATCGAGATAAAAAAATATTCAACCGTGGCTAGAAATATACTAAAAAGTTCCTTCAACAAGACCTTGTGTGTTTTGGTAAGCATATAGAAGGAAAGGAGATCTATACAGAAAAGGATTAGGCCGCAAGTGCATTAAATAGATGAGCAAACGCAGTTGGCTAGGCAGCAACATCGAAACAGACATGTATTGAATGGAACCATGAGGAGCCATCCAATGTGAATAAGAGATTGTGATTGACGTGCCATGATACGCGTGGTATCGGCCCTGCCGCCTGCTTGTGAAAAATAGCGTGTTTGTGTACGCAAAGATTGAATCCTGGGTTTCTTGTGATTATATGACCAAAAGTAAAAGGTCTAGGTGTGAATATGTCCTTTGCCAGCATTTACCGCATACCTGACGCCATTTTAAAGCACACAGAGAAAATAATACATCGAAGAAATGAATGTCGAAGACCATGAAGTTCGCCGAATAAAGTTGACCAAAACGCTTTTATGCCTCCCCAAAAGGGTAATTGAATTTCAACAACCCGTTGAGACCGCCAACCCAGCCGTCATCGCCTGTAGCACCTGTGCTATGAGTGCCTCGTACGATGCTCGGAATGCCACTGGTGAAGACACCATCACGGCATCGAAGCTGTTCGCCCCGAACGTGAATTTCTGTCCCAATATCCACGCCGTGATTACGTCTGACACCGTCTACGCTGAGCTCGAGACCGCGGCCTCGATTCTTGTCGCTGATCCGTAAGGTGATATTCATACTTGATGGAACCACAAGCGGCCTAAAACTCAGACTTCGAGGACAGATGGGCGTGAGCAGAAGCGATGGGACAAGAGGATGGATGATGCTGCCCCCGCTACTGAGGCTGTAGGCTGTGCTACCTGTGGGGGTCGAGATGATAATACCATCGGCGACAGCTTCTGTAAGTAAGCGTCCGCATATGAAGATCTCCACGACGGCCAAATGTGGATCTTGGCCTCGGTGGATGATCACTTCATTCATAGCATGAATGTCGCCCCCAATCTTTGGAGCTAGGTTGCCATCTGATGATGCATTTATTCGATGTCCGGCAGAGTCGAAGACGCCAACCTTCAGCCGGTTTCGGAGGAGTACTCTAGCTGGTCGAGCTTCCCCCATGAATTTTCCTCGAAGAGAGGACCATTCTGGTGAGACTGAGCCCGCCCCGGATGACTCGTCCATCTTCTCGGGAGTCAGCTGAGCACATCTATCTCCCGGGCCTGAGCCGGACATGTAGACTTCGCGGAATGCGCGTTTGTACTCATGGTACTTCCATTCGCCCAAGAAGCCGAGGGTGCCCATGCTGAAAGAAAGAACAGGTGGTACACTGTTTGTTGCTGAAAAGAGCGACGCCGCGTGGAGAATGGTGCCATCACCACCAAGTGTTACTGTCAAGTCCACCTTGGGCTGTAGTTCTAGTGTTGCTGTATCGCGGTCGGCTGCTGACGTGTAGACGGGAAACGGAAGCCTGTCATGGATTTCGGAGGCGACTTTATTCTCGAAGATCATGGCAGTGGAGGGATATGAGGAGTGGACATGTCTACAATAGAATGCGTCAGGTTTGATTGAGGATGAAATGGACAAAGCGGTGAAATGCATACTTGGAGAACTCAATGACGGCATCTGTAACAGCTGGTACATTTTCCTTTTTTATAAAGAAGACGTTTCGAGGAGGCGAGGGCCATTGTAGGCAGAGGAGATCATTATGGAGAGATTCTGTAGCCTTTAGCTCTAGAGTTCATGCTGCAGTTTATTGAGTCACAAGAGGTACCTTGATATCTGGGTATTATTCGATCAGGCAACTCCGAAACAGAGCGAATTTCTCTCCGGTGATGACTACAAGAAAATTGTCTCTTCGCAGAGAGAAACAGTCGTATTCGAGGCTGAATGGGCCTCATGCTTGCATGTTACAGGTTTTGGACGTTGTTCAATGACTTCATCTGTAGGCGGAACGATACGGAGTATACATGCCTAGCTTAGATTTTCCACTAGAGCCGGTATCTCTCTCTCACACCTTTTTGTTTGAAGTATATTATGTATTACACAATACTTATATGCAGTATCTTATTCCTTTACAGGAAAATAATGTCTTTAGTCTGATCTTCTGATTGATATTCCCATTTTCCAAATACTTATTCCCAAGCATTATGATAACTTTAAGGTAATTGTTCCAATGAGCTCATGTCGCACTTGTTGATTTGTCCATCGGAGGTCGGACAGCACTCTTGAGATTAAAAGGTCACCGTAGAATGCGGTCAAGCAATGAGCCAATCAGGAGAGAGACGGAGGTCATTCGGTCATCGTTTCTTCACGCGGGCCGAAGTCATCCGTTAGGCGGCAGTTGGGTTTAGCTGTGCGTAACTTACCTTAGAGTCGTAAACTTAGCAGCAATAAGCAGTCAAGTTAGTGGTAGAGTAGTAATCCACTCCCAGGTCATGAGTTAAGGTTAGTCTTGCCAACTATTACTTCACCAGCCAGCGTATCTACCTATCTACTTAGCTTCTTAAACCAACTCCTCCCTCTCTTTCGAGATGCTTCGAGTTGTATAGTGCTTCCTTGGATGCTGTTCTCATTCTTTCCCCAGTGCTGATACGGTACCTTGTTTCCATCACTCTCTTCCTCCGCACTCCGCATGTAAATACTCCTTTCAAAGCTAGAGCCCGAAGCCCCACGTCCCTAGTCAGTCACTACTTAAAAATATCTCTTGTGTCCTTGGCCTGAGAGGCGCTCAAGGTGAGCACGCGACTTTATCATTTGTCTCACTCGTCCCACCGTCTGCCCCCTCCCAACTCTATTCTGCAGCCCTTTCGCAGGACTTCTTATGTCAACCACCCGACACTCTCGTAATGCTCCGGAAATCTTCATATCTACAAATTATAAGCTGACATATAGAAGCTGCATCATGGCTTCCGAGGACGTTACAAACAATGGGTCACAGAGTGTCCCGGAATCTTTGCCAGATCTAGGCGCTGGAGTTACTGGAAAGGCAGAAGAACCTCATCCTGCTGGTCGGGTCAAGCATGGTGGCTTTAATCAACTCGTTCGCTTGGTTTTGTTTGCGATTTATTTCTTTTCATGTTGCATCAGGTATGGCGACGATCCGGGCCCAAGACCGATTTAGATTTGGTGGCTGATGATATCAGTATCAACTTGACGCAGTTCCTTGGCTCGCCGCTCTACTTTATAAGCAAAGACTACTATTATGCCTACATGGCCATGACGAAGCAGTCGTTCGGTCTGCTCATTACCACCATGACCCAGTGGTGGAGCCCAACGACGGTTAGAATCAGCGGAGACAAGAGTGTTCGAGGGCAGCTTAGAAAGACCGCAGACGGAAGGCTTGAATGCGATTTCCCCGAAAGACTGGTCCTCATTGCAAATCATCAGGTACGCTTCACCACAAAAGGTTTCCACATTTTGATGCCACTCTAACACGGTCGGTATAGCTCTATTCCGATTGGCTCTACCTTTGGTGGATCGCGTACACGAGCCAGATGCATGGCCACATTTACATTATCCTCAAGGAGTCTCTCAAATACATTCCTATCATTGGACCTGGTATGATGTTCTACGGCTTCGTGTTCCTCGCTCGAAATTGGGCCAAGGACAAGCCTCGGTTCAAGCACCGGCTCGAAAAGCTCAGTGGCAGACACCATGGTCCTCTTTCTGGCACCCATTCGCTGGATCCCATGTGGTTGCTCATCTTTCCTGAAGGCACAAATTTGTCGAACAATGGCAGAGCATCCAGCAAACGATGGGCTGAAAAGCAGGGACTCGTAGATCCGCAACATGTCCTGCTGCCTCGAAGCACTGGTTTGCAATTCTGCTTGCAGGAGCTCAGCGAATCTGTTGAGTGGGTGTATGACTGTACAGTCGCCTATGAAGGCATTCCGTAAGACCCCCAACAAGATCCCCGTGGATTGGACTCAAAGAAGCTGACATGAAAGATAGAAGGGGTAAATACGGCCAAGACCTTTTCACACTTCGTTCGACGTACTTTGAAGGCCGCCCTCCCAAGTCAGTCAATATGTACTGGCGTCGATTCCATGTCTCCTCGATCCCCGCCAATGACCCCAAGGCTTTCGAAGTGTGGATCAGAGATAGATGGATGGAGAAGGATGATTTGATGGAGTACTACATGCAGAATGGCCGCTTCCCTGCCGATGAAGGTGAGGAACCCATTGTAAATGGTACTAGTCACACCAAAGATGCAGCCGACATCCCTGTGAAGCGTGGCGCCGGATTTATCGAGACTGAAGTCAGGCCGAGCCACTGGTGGGAAGTTGGACAAATCTTTGTCGTCCTGGCGGCGTTGGGGCTCGTCATTAACGTCATCAAGAAAATGTGGAACATTGTTTCCGTGGTTTCGTCAAGTCGAGCAAAGTAGAAATGACGCATGAAGATACCCGATCCGCTACAAGCATAAAGGCGTTTGGAATTTTTCAATATGCACTCGGGGCGTTTGTTTGTTTGTTTGTTCACATGGTCATGGAGTGGAAATTTTTCTATGGTATATTTCAGAGAGAGCATTTTACAAGGGCATATTGTTAATGGCAGAATAATGAGCTCGTGAATGTATCAAACTTTGCGTGTCCAAGGAGCGTTACGGTGGACTTTGGGTGTTTTTACCAACACTACTTCAATATGAACACAGTACCGACGACATCTCGCGACTTCAGGTGGTCCGTGCTTGTAGAGCGCTGGTCCGGCAGCCGCGACGTGCAGGAACATTCTGTCTGTGATCTGATGCAGCAACATTAAAGCCGTCAGGCTCAACGTCTTCTCTCTCCCTATTTTTTTGCTTGCCATTCATTTTTCATTAACCATTTATGCTTGGCAAGTGAGTCGAGTTCAATCTTGAATATCGATCGATGAGTCCCTCGCTGAGGTGATCATTCTGGAATCTATCCTGCCCCGGCCGCATTTTATCACAATAATCTCGTTTCCGAGATTCGAGGACCTATTGCGCAGAAGCTGAAGCGCTTCAATCGGGTAGAATATGGCGTCTTTCACCAATGGCGATGTGAATGGCCATGCGAGTCAAGGGGCATTCGACCTTCTCCCCGAAAGCCAGCGTTTCTCCGACATACCTTCTGCCATCGATATCCCCGTCCAAGGCCTTGACGCGGAGGAGGCCGTCGAAGTCGACCTTCAAGAGCTACCCGAAGACCCGACTGAGCTCTGTACCCTATTAGAAAATGAAGGCGCAGCGAGGAATTTCTGGATGGTTGTTGCGTTGGCTTACGCTAAGCAGCACAAAGTCGATCATGCGATTGAAATGTTGATAAAAGGGTTGAGTGCCATGGCTGGAGGCGCACCCAAAGAGAAACTTAGCATGTTGAGTTGTCTCTGCTGGTTGTATCTTTTCAAGAGCAGGGAAGCGCCTCGAATGGTTCCCGGTAAGTTCGGGAGAATCTAACTAACCTGGCTGCATGGAAGGCTAATACAAGTGCAGAGGGCCAAATGATCTCTGAAGCGCGCACAAAAGACTTCTTCTTGCAAGCAGCCACAGCAACGCTGAATGAAGCATCTCGCATCAATCCGTCTTTCCCACCGTTGTTCCTTGCTCGTGGCGTTTTATACCTTCTTCGTGCCTCACTGCAGGCGCCTTCAAAGGGCCTGGGATCACGGGGTCATGACCACTCTGAGCGACTTGATACACTTCGACAGGCGTCAAAGTGCTTCGAGGATGCTTTGCGGGTTTCAGGCGGCCGGAACATGATGGCCGTGCTCGGAAAGGCCAGAGTTCAATATTCCCTTGGAAAATACGGAGATGCTATGGAAAGCTACCAGGAAGTGCTCTCTCGGATGCCCGACTTGATTGATCCTGATCCACGAATTGGCATTGGCTGCTGCCTATGGCAACTAGGATACAAAGAAGAGGCAAAAAATGCATGGGAGAGGACGTTGGAGATTGTATGTTCGCATTACCACTAAATGTCTCCGGACAGCCGGCTAACTGTGACGAAGAATCCTGATTCGAAGCTTGGAAATATGCTTTTGGGCCTGTATTATCTGAATTCCAGCTCCCAGTACCAGACGACGGACCCGGCGTTCCTCCCCATTTACAAGAAGGCCATGACTCAGTATACTCAGAAAGCCTTCAAAATCGACAAGGAACAACCTCTGACATGTGCAACATTTGGTGGCTATTTCCTCTCTCGAAAGGCCATGCCAACTGTGGAGGGCCTGGCTCGGAAGGCCATCGAGTTGACAGACGTGAACGCGGTTGCGAGTGATGGCTGGTACCTTCTCGCAAGGAAAGCCCACTTCGAAGGCGAAGTTTCTCGAGCTATTGAATTTTATCAAAAGGCTGACCAGGCTCGTGGCGGAGACGATCGTGGATACTTGCCGGCAAAGTTCGGTGTTGCACAGTTGCAGGTTCTGCTGGGGGATATTGACGGCGCGAAATTCCGCCTAGAAAAGATCCTCCAGACCACAAAAAATCTGGAGGCCATGGCCTTACTTGGTACTCTCTACGCCGAGGAAGTGTTTACCAGCCAAGCAAGCGGGCTGAAGGAAGACAAGTCGGCCGAGTTGAAGAAGGCTACTGCACTGCTTGAAGCTGTCCGCCTGGCGTGGAAGGATCCGAAAAAGCAAATGACACCGGATGCGACTGTGCTAATCAATCTTGCACGTCTCTATGAGGCTGATCACCCTGAAAAGAGCCTGCAATGCCTTATCCAGGTGGAACAGATTGAATTAGGTAATGTCCCTGATGAGGTACGTCCTGAAAAGGGCGAGGATGAGGCTGCATATTTGGCCGGCATGCGCCAATATCTCCCTCCGACGCTATTGAACAACATGGGCTGCTTCCACTACCATGCAGAAAAGTACGATCAGGCCAGAGATCTCTTCCAAACCGGACTGAACGCTTGTGTCAAGCTCGGCGAGAAAGACGAAACAGCGGATATCGATGCTCTCGTAACCACGATCAGCTATAATCTTGCTCGTACCTACGAAGCGGCTGGATTGCTTGACGAGGCCAAGAAGGTGTACGAAGGTCTCTTGCAGCGACACAACGACTATACCGACGCACATACCCGACTCGCATACATTGCGCTCCGACAGAGCCCATCCGACGAAGGACCAAAGATGATGGCGAAGCTTTATCAGAGCGACAGTACCAACATCGAAGTGCGGTCATTGTATGGCTGGTATCTGAACAAAGCGAAGAAACGGACTTTAAACATCGCCGAGGATCAAGAGCAGCGGCACTACAAGCACACCTTACAGCACTATGAGAAGCATGACCGGTACGCGCTCACGGGCATGGGAAACCTCTATCTGGCTATTGCACGTGAGATGCGAAGAGACACGGACCAGGAAAAAGACAAGCGTCGAAAGATGTACGAGAAGGCCGTGGAGTTTTTCGATAAGGCACTGCAGCTCGATCCCAAGAATGCCTATGCCGCACAAGGAATCGGTATTGCGCTAGTGGAGGACAGAAAAGAGTACAGTGTGGCCGTCCACATTTTTTCCAAGGTTCGAGAAACACTGCGAGATGCTAGCGTCTTTATCAATTTGGGACATGTCTACGCAGAGTTGAAGCAGTACTCGCGCGCAATCGAGAATGTAAGCAGTCCATCTTGCACTACACCAGATCAACTGTTTCAAGTACTGACAATAGTATAGTTTGAAGCTGCTCTGGCCAAGGACCGGGCGCGAGACCCGCAAATCCTCGCATGCCTCGGACGGGTGTGGCTACTCAAAGGCAAGCAAGAGCGAAGCGTTGCGGCCATGAAGAGTTCTTTGGATTATTCGCAGCGTGTAAGTTGTCTTGAAACGACTCATTCATTATTCAGTAAACTAACTTCCCAGGCCCTCGAAATTGCTCCTGAACAAATCCACTTCAAATTCAACGTCGCTTTTGTCCAGATCCAGCTCGCCCAACTCATCTATTCTCTCCAAGAGTCTCAGCGCACGCTTCAAGACGTGCAGAGCGCGGCGGCCGGTCTCGATGAAGCCATTGAGTCCTTTACTGCTATTGCACAGGCCAAGAATCCGCCTTACCCCAAGCACGACATTGAACAGCGCGCCAACATGGGTCGTAACACTATGCGACGACAGCTCGAGCGTGCAATTCAAAGCCAAAAGGAATACGAAGAAAAGAATGCGGCCAAACTGCAAGAAGCCCGCGAACTGCGGGAAGCCGAACTCAAGCGCCGCGAGGAGGAGCGCAAAAAGGCCGAGGAAGCCACGCTCGAACACAAGCGTAGAATCGCAGAAGAGCGGCAAAAGATTCTCGAGAAAGACCGCGAGCTCGCCGAGCGTCGGGCCGAAGTAGAGCGCCGCAAAGAGGAAGAAGAGTACAGTCTCGACGAAGAGACTGGCGAAAAGCGCAAGAAGACCAAGAAACGTGCTACCGGCGGCGGTAAGCGCAAGAAGAAGACGAGCGACGAGAGCGAATCCGAGCCCGAAGCTGCCGCGACGGATGGTGAAGATGAAGGAGGTAAAGAACGGGGACGCCGATCACGACGCAAGGCCCGTGCCAAGGACACTAGCCCTGCCTCGAGCGAAGACGAAGGCGGCGAGGGCAAATCGAAACCTCGAAAGAAGAGAAAGCTCGAACGCAAGGGCAAAGACATGAGCAAGTTCAAATCCGAGGAATTTGTCGTCGACAGTGACGAGGATGAGGATGATGCGCGTGCAGCTGCTGCGGCAGAATCTTCACCGGAGCGCGCCGGTGAAGACGATGAAGACATGCCTGATCGTGCTGCCGCAAATGAAGACGAAGACGAAGATGAAGAAGAGGAGGCGGTTCGTCGACCGAGAAAGAAGGCCACGCGCAGGATCGAAGAGGATGAGGACGAAGATGAGGAAAATGACGATTTGTTCGGTGATGAGGAAGGTGAAGGCAAAAAGGAGAATGGCGATCATGCCGATGTCGAAATGGCTGATGATAAGGCACCCACGCCTGCAGGAGACGACGAGGATGATGAGTAAAGAACATTGTCCCCCTTCTCGCTGAGCAATGGATTGTAATAAAACTTGTTCGGGGCTTCTTCTCCCTTTTTTTCTCCGCCTTGACTTAGTTTACTCGTTAGCATCTTGGGCAGTTTTTTCGTGGGCGTTCCTGTAGGATAAGGTATTGGGCCTCTTCTTTTTTTTTTCCTTTGCTTTCTCATCCTTGCGCTTTGCTGTGTAGTTTAAAACCCCACCGCAAAAGAGAGAGAGAGATAAAAGGTGTATTATATTTATTGTGGTTATTACTACGTGATCTTGACACATAGCAATGAAACAATCATTGAATGGACCGATTAGTTTCCAATACCGCGTGATGTCGAGTCCATGTATAGAGTACTATTTTCTCCGCATGACTCCTGCGAAATTTTGGAAGCGTTGACCTAAAGTGTTTGCTAGGACTTATAGCTATCGCTATCATGCTTAGCTCCATAACCCTAGAAGGACTTTTTATCGTCATCATTGTATTCTCGAAACGCGGCGCTAATAGGAGAAAACAATGCAACAGGGACCGAGCACCGAGCAAGGAGCAATGAGCAACGCCATGTAAGCTTGGTTCAATCATCCTCTGCGAGTCCAAATTCTTCAAAAACGTCGCGGACTCGAACGCCTCTGTTCTCGGCAATGAGACCGAGCAGGCCGGTCCCAATGTCGCGCATGTCGTTGTATTGGTGCAGCAGCGAAATATGCTGCTTGATAGTGTCCTGTGCGGAGGAAGGGGTGTGCGGTGGTCTGCGTAGTGGGAGGGAGTTAGTGTCGGTATATAATGTATGTGGTTGGAGAGATGCTAGATTACTAGATTGATGTATTGCATGAATGCGGATGAATTTCAACGCGATGGTGTGGAGAAGAGGAGGGGAGAAGAAGGAGAGAAGAAGGAGGAAAGAAGGAGGAAAGAAGATGAAAAAGGTTCGGAGAAGAGCACCGGAATAAAGGGGGGAAAAAGAAGAGAAATAAACATACTTCAAACTTGCTAAGACTTCAGCTTGTTGACGCCGGACATCTTCCAAAGTGGCGCGGAGAGAGGATATTTCTTCTTCGAGTTTGGCCTATAGAGATAGTTAGGGGACCAGATTGATCAAACACATAACAAAAACGCCTTGGATATTATAGGAAAGTGAGTATGGTAAAGGGGAGAAGTTCCATGAATAGGGAACGGAGAAAATAAGAGTATATGGAAACTGAGGTAGAGAGATATGGGACTTACTGCTCTACTATCGTCTTTCTCGCCATTGTTGCTCTGTGCCTCATTATGCTGGTGCTCATGGCGTGGTTGATGTTGGCGAGCTTCATCGGGTGTCTTCTCTTCTGACATGATGATATTCTCTGCCTTCTCTTGTTCCTCTGTGCTGGGGAGGCCTGCCGCCGGATGGCCTTCCTTTTCTTCTCTGTCTTTATGCGTATCGTTGAATATTGTCTGATCTTGTTCGTCTCCCAACATTTGCGCGAGGTTTCTCTTTGGAGGCTGTTTCAAAGTATCCGCCTGCTCTGCTATCACTGATGTTTCCCCGCTAGATTCCATAAGGGGAACATTATGGTTGCCAGAACCATCCAGATCATGACAACCTTGTTCAGCGAGATTTAATGTAGTCGAGGAAGTGACATTCTGAGAGGCGTGATTTGGAGGATGGGTTGTCGGCGTGGGATGCAAATCTTCTCCCGCATCATTGGAGATTGGTAATTCTGTGGATTCATCCTGAGTCTGTGCATTTGCTGAATGTTCCGCAGCCTCTGGGACAACGGACAAGGCTGAAGCATCTATATCTTCAGCCTTTTCTGTATCTTCTGTCGCTATTGCTCGTCCTCGTCCCCGCCCTCGAGCTTTTGTGCTAGCACCCCTCCGCGTTTGTCGACGCGTCTTTGGAGGCATGGCCGAATTTAGTTGTAGGAAGACGGATCGAGGAAACTGGAACGACGAGAATTTGTGATGTAGAAAAATGAGGGGATTATATCAAAATGCCATGACTTCCATCGCAATCAAGATCTACCCGATAACGCGAGAGGGTATAATCGAGAAACGAGAATCTCGGTGACAGAATCATAAAGATAAATTTTTCAAAAAAGCTCGAGTAAAGGAGAAGGACAACATAGAAAATGGATCGAGGAAATTTTTCAACGGATCAATGCAGGATAGACATTTCTAGACTTGCAGAAGGGATGGAGATAAGAAATGTAATTGAGGAGACTACTGGTTTCAAAACCATTGAGATGAAAATATAAACCTGTGAGAAAGGAAGAATGCAATTGCTCGTAATAGAGTTGATTGAAGATAGACTGGCTTGCCAGAAGGGCATGAGAAATGGCAGAATGTGGTTTGTCATTCCGCCGCGAAATGTGACGAGAGGAATCCGCACACATTAAATTAATCAGTCGCAACCTCCCCCTGGCCACGGCGAAGGCGATATTACGACTGTTAGTGCAGCAAATTTTCTACTTGGACTATATTTCGATTGAAGCCGACAGACGAGACATCGGTGGTAATTGTTGACTTTGTCTGCTCTACGTTCACGTGCATAACTCTTGTTAGGAGTCACTGGCCTAATCAACGTTTGTTCATGACTAGCTATCGGAAAGATTCACAGGGAAAGCAACATCGGCGACATGACGACCAATTTGCTGTAAGGGAATAGTCCGATTAAGTGGCAAGTGATACAAGAAAAAAGTTGGGCAACTAGTAGCCCAGTGTTATTGTTGGGGAATATGGACTAACAAAGAAAAAAAAAAAGGGGGCGTTCCATTGCTGAAATCATCGTCAAAGTGGAAAGAATATCCCTAGGCAAGCACTCAATAGGATAAATGCAACAAAAGACAACAGCACAAAGCTCCGGCAGAAAAGCACGTCGTTGTCATCAACATTGCTCTGTGCAGGAGATAACAAAGTAGTTAAGATAGCTGCAAATCAGCGCGCCCTTTTTAAACAGAATGAAACGCCATCACTGATGAACCTTTATGATTTACTGGTCGCCATCGTCGTCGGGCTGGTCGAACAAAAAGTTGGCGGCAAGCTCCTCATTCTTGTCGCAGGCAAAGTATGCTTGGATAACCATATCCCGCTCGAAACCAAGGAGGCATAACTGTTCACATTAGCAAATAGAAGACTGCAATTCTCGGACAGACAGTTCTCACCCTCTCAATGGCCTCACGCTCCTCCTCAGTCACGGTAATGGCCTGAGCACCCGGGGGCAGCGGCGCATCATCGTCAATGTCTTCACTCAACAATTGCAGGAACTGCTCCGGGTTTTGACCAATCAAAGCGGCGAGCTGGGGATTCCCGGCACCGACCTGCTGAAGAATAGGCTCCAACATCTGAGGCTGATTTTGCACGACTTGTCGAAGCTGCTGAAACTGAGGATTGTTTCGGAGGAAGTCGAGATTGCCCATTCCGCCGGCTGCTGCAGCCGCAGCATCGCCAGCACCAGCACCAGCGCCAGCGCCAGCTCCAGTTCCAGCTCCAGCACCGGATCGCGCACCGCCGGCGGCGGCGGCGCCGCTGCCGCCACGGCCAGCTTGTGCAGCGGCCTCGAAAAGATTAATGGGCTCGTCTCCTTGAGTACCAGTAGTGGCGGGAGGTGACGCAATGTCTTCGGAAGCAGGAGCCGCAGCAGCCTGCGATGGTTGTCGTCGTTCTTGCTGAACGTTCTCGGGAATGCCCTGAAAAGAAAAAGCATGTCAATCGCCATTTGCTCCTGTGTATCCATGAAACGCAATAGTTTCCACTCACGTTTAAAAGGTATTCAACGGCACGGTCGGGGTTGAAAAAGGCGGCACGCATGGCACGTTCGATATCAGGTCGAGGGAAGCCCATGCTCTCCATGTTCTGAATAGCCGCCTCTCGCTGACCTCCAATCGCAAACGCCGACGCATCGTTGAAAGCAGCACCCTCCTGTGCAGCAGGTGCAGCAGCAGCGACAGGGGCAGGCGACGGCGTCGCCGGCGGGTTAGCCTGTGTGGTGCTGGTAGATGGAGCAGGAGCGGCAGGCGGAGCGGGGGTCTGAGCTGCAGCGGGGGCAGGAGTAGAGGGTGTTTTGGCGGAGGAGGCTGCGGAGGAGCTAGCAGGAGCAGGTTTAGGCTGACCCGGGTCAGTACAGTTGGAACAACCAGTCTAACGTGGCAAAGAAAAGCTTTTTCTCACCTTAGAGACCATGCACACGATGAAGCCCTTCTCCTCAATGTTGTAGGAAGCTACGGTGTTGGCATCTTGCAAGATTTTACCTGAGCGGCAAGAAAAGAGTGTTAGACAAGAACACCTAAAAAAAAAAAAAAAGATGACCCATTTGGAGCAGGAGAGACAACCATACCAGAGTAGATCAATTTCAGCGTTGAGGCTTCAAATCCCTTGTCCTCTTGGATCTTGGCCTTGACCTCGGAGATCTGTTTCGAATCAAGTCAGCGGCAGCCAAAAGCACATAGCAGCTTTCTCAGATCCGGAGAATCTCAAGCCGCAACGGGAAATCGTACTGTCTGCTCCGGTTCAGCCTCGATGGTGAATTTCTGCTGTTTCAAATCCTGTAGTAGAATCGTGAGCGTTGCATTCAACAGTCACCCCGCTTAGAAGAGTGTATCTAATGGCGCACCTTGAAAGTGAGCTTCATTTTGCCCCACGGAATGTTCTTCTCAGGATAGGGTTAAACGAGGTGCCTGAGATGAGGCAGAGGTGGAAAGAAAATTAGGTTAACGCCTGAGAGTGGGTGGGAATGGATGAAGGGGAATCGTCCAAGAAAATAAAATCAGGTGAGACGATGGTGATGAGGAAGTCAGTGAAGCTGATGGGTACAACTAACAACTGGCGGCGACATTCATTCTTTACATCACTTGGTGCCTCTCTGCCATGAAGAATTTGTGCAAAAAAAATGTATTACCAATTTTGCACTAGCCGATATTTATGTAAATTATGCAACTAATTGCGTATATGGCAAATACTAACTGCCGAACATTCATTACGGTAGGCGTCATCTTGGATCGTTGTAGGTACTTTGTTCGCTGTGTGTTGATACTTGGCGGAAACCTCCTTTCGTCGTGTTTGTCCTTTACCTCTTCGGACCAAACCCTCAACGACGAAAGTCATTGCTACGCCGTGCAGTCCTCTGAGAATTCTCCTCTCTAATCTTCCAGTAATTCAACCTCCGACCTGGCCCTAGACTTAGGATCTTCAACGCGTCAAAGACCCATGATAATGCTTCTGCACCTGCTAAAATGGCCCCTGGTTTCTTCAGATTGTCTAAATTTCCACTAAACCAGTGGGGCTAACTGTTGGTCCATCGTCAGGGTCTTCTCTCTAACGGCCTCAAGGTGTTTGGTAACATGATGAGATGTGCTAATTTGAGCTAGTTTGAGTTGAGGCAATCATCAATAATCTGCACTACTGCAGCACTGCCTCTGCCTCTTTTTGCTTTGTGCGTCGTGGGAAATTACTTGACCCAGCGGGTCCCCACTTCACCAGCACTCTGGACTCTAACTCGACGCGATGGATCGACGGTCTATGCGTCGCTTACTCCCAGGCCCCATGTCAGTGACTTGCAGCCAGGTAGTATAATGCACGCGGGACTTCCCCACCGGGAGATCGTCTCGCACGTACCCTTGGACAAGGAGTCACGTTGGGGAAAGAGTCCAGAGGCATATTGGCCAGAGGATGGTCACTTAAGGTATCCAGGAAATGGAGGATCACTTAAGTTATGTTTTGAAGTACCTCTCAGAATGCCCGAACTATCATGGCCAGCGTTCTTGAAGGGGCAAGTTTCACAGGCGAAGCGGTTCCCCTGACTCGAACAGCGGTCCGTTATTTGATAGAGTTTCTGCAGCTCTCAACACCGTCGTCATTTCCAGCCGCTATCTCAGGCTTGAGCAACCTCTACGAAGGTACATAATTATGCCTCGGCCATTGGCGACTTCGAAAGAAACCATGAAACTATTGACGCCACATCGCGCTTCATGGTCCGGGGTCTTTCCCGGAGTACGACCCTGGTCTTTTTCCTTGCTCCATGCGCCCACTGGGATGCGCCTGACGCGTCCAAGAGTAGACCAAAACAAATGAAAAGTTGACTTTTGCTCCGAGAATCGCTCATTTGCACTTGCTTTTCTCATTTACCCCCTCACTGCTAACACTTACATCTTTGTTTATCTTCTGTATGATTCCTAGCTTCTAAATTCGAACGGTCAATCGGCTTGAAGAGCTTGGTGCATTTGGTCGCACAATCACCGTCCACATTCGTTCGTGCGGCAATCGTTTCCCTCTCTCCGCTTCCCTCTCCAGGCCTCAGGCCTTTGTTATGACTACCCCACCACTACTAGTGCTATCATCGTACGCTCCGTCGGTCAGCACCGTCTCTTGCCATTGGCATCGCTTGAGGAGATAATCTGCGGCGACCGATCCGCCTGCGCCATCGGCCGCTTGGCAAGGCCCCCCTTGAAGCATTCTCGAAACCTTTGCATCATCTTTGTCGAAGTCCTCTTCAACAGGCCAGCCGATTGCTGACGCGCCTCAGGGGCTGCGGCGCGTCTGATGCAGCGGTCGACCGGGATAAAGACCTACTCAAACCTCCTGGTCTTCCTACCGCTTCTTGACTTTTGATTTTATGTGTATGAGATTCGACGAGCACCTTCTGTGTCATCGCTATTGCAGAGCCCTTTGTGTCGTCATTCTTCCAAAGAGACGTGCAATCCACGTCACTCATTGTCATCTTAACTTGAGTCTCGAGTAGTCAAACTTCAAGGTCAACCCTGACTTATTTCGCCGTATACAACTATATCTTGACATGCCTGGGTTAGCCGCAGCTGGGAAACCGTCGGAGATAGCGCGTGCCTACTAGGTATACGTCTCGCCTGAGTCGGTCATTTTCCTTTTTCTTCGATAGAAACTGTACTTAGGTATTTATTTGTTTGTTGCACTACTTTCTGGTTTGGGAGAATCTACAAGAGATTGCCCAGCGCCCGTTGCTCGGTGGTCATTGCCTCCGTTTGAGCAGTTTTGACCCCTCATTCATGACGATGCCCCATATCCTATACCATGGACTGGGTGCAATCGCGTTCAGCCTCTCCGCCGTATCATTCTTCTTCACCATATGCTTTTCCATTGTCTTAGTTCGTCAACGGCGTCGGACACGAGGTCTTGGGCTCTCGGCAGTTGCCCTCGATGCCGCATCACTTGGGATGCTCTTATATTGCGTCTTCCGTTATCGATATTTCAACCAACAACACTCAATCAAAAAATCCATGTGGCTTGCAATATCGGGATTGACCGTTTCCTTTATTGGAGATGCATTGACAGGAGTTATGTGGGGCTGCACGGAGCGGAGTCTCTCCCAATTACCATTCGAAATATTGGGACGCTCAAGTCGAATCATGTTTTGGTCTGGGTTTGCGTCGTGGGGAGCGTCGATTCTTGCAAAAATCGCGTTTTTCTTGTGTCTCATGCATATCACATGCAAAAAGAAGTCAAAATGCCATGGCAGCTCGTGCCGCGGCGGTCTTGAACATGGATCGGAAATGCGAGAGTCGAAGTCGCCGAAAAGGTTCGCAACAGGCCACTCCGAGCCACGTCAGGGTGTAGTCTCCCAACCGTACAATTTCTACCAGTCAAACTTTTCAGAAGCACGGACGTCTGTTCGGTCATCTCTATCTCAAGTGATACGTCCTATGACGTCTCGTACGAGACTCCTGACCCGTCATATCTCCTATCCCCGCAGTCTTGAAAGGCCACGCACCCACAGTGGATGTCACAGTCGGGACACTTCCAGGGACGGGTTTGATTCATGGGATACGTCAAGTGTGGGCTACCAAACTCGTCAAGCCGTACTGCGGTCTTCTTTTCCAGTACGTGGGACAGCACTCGAGACTATCCCTGGGAGTAGGCCTGACTCGCTCGCTTTCCCTCTGGGCCTTCAAGAACTAGCACCGGCGCATATCCGGACTCATTCGGGCGGCAAGCGGTTCCCTAGCCCTACCGTTAGTGAGGCGCACATTCATCCGTTATTCCGATCAGACAGCCCTACACCTCCACCAACAGCCACCGTAGGAACAGTTGTCACGGCGGCTCCATTTGGCGGGCAGATGCTCATGCCTCATTCCAATTTGATGCTCGCTCAGATACGGTCGGGGAGTTTTGTGTCATTACCCAGCCCTTTGGTGCATTCAAGGAGCTTTGACGATGGAGCAATTTTACGAAGTCCGACTCCTCCGAGCAGGGAAATGACGCCTCCCATCCCCGAATACATTCTTTCGGCTGGATCAAGAACTAGCTTTATCTCGTATGGAAGACGAAAGGCATCGTTCAGGTCGTTTGAGGATTCGCAACCAGGATGATTTATGAAAGTTTTTTGTCATTGCATTCATGATTTATTTGGACGAATACACGAAAACGGAGTTAGGTTCGGCAGGTTTGCAAACTGACCGTATTTTCAGGTTACTAGCAAGGCGTTTGGTGCTTCTGGGTCCTTTTAAGCGCGCGTGTTGTAAATGATACCAAGGCCATGATCTGATTCATGCACAATTCCTAGTGTTTATTTATCATTTGAATAATATGAAATATTATAAAATAAGTTTCCTTACTTGAGAATTTTTGTAAGCAAAATGAGACGACTTCATATCAATTTCGATGCTTTGCGAGTTTGACCACTTTTCTAAAAATAATTATAAATAACATTACGGCAAAATATCACATTTTATCATTACAATATGTGATTCTACTCTAATACATACTATAACTTATTTAACGTTGATGGAGAACGAGCTGGTGGCTGAAAGTATGACGTTGGGGATCTGCATTTCGAATAGAAGGTAAATGGGCCTTTTTACACAATACCATTCAGCTTATTGTCATTGAGTAGAGGTATTGTATTTTCAGCGACGGAAAATTGATCAGCTGCTCGGATATCTGATTTAGGGACTGCATTCACTGCAGTCACAGAGAATGACCTGTTCCTGCCAATAACAGCCTGTTGGAAGCTGATCCTTTCGCGCTAGCGACTCAGGACAATATCCTCATCATCCGCGGTGTTTTGCCCACAACTCATCCTTTTTCCTGCGTATCATAATCGGACAATAAGCATAATCTGCTATTGATCGGTATGAGTACGTAGATTCTGATTGTTCTCTGCTCCTTTCTGCTTTTTCTAATACCGGCAACCTTTGACGTTGCTTGACGCTGATTTCTCACGACCATAAATAATCCGAGATCATTCTCACTTCAACTCAAACACACCGTCGGACTACTTTGGACAGCATACCCAGAGGCTAGATAGTCCAGCAGCAATCTATTTTACACAACACGAAGGTGTCTAGGAAGCAAATCAAAATTCATATTCTTGATACAACTATCGAGTGGTTCTCGATCTTGCCGCCGAGGCCAAGTCTCAGCTTCTGTTGGCGACTTTTCAAACGTCAGAATCTAGCTTGATACGGATTCTCAAGCGCAAGCAGGTGAGTGTTTGACCCATTAATTTATCTCTTCTGATACCCGGGAAATCATCATCCTCTTTGCTCTTTTCCCCGATGATACACCGCTCATCTTACCACCGCTCTATTTTTTGCTTTTACTCAGCATCCTCAAGCAATTGGATATTTGTCTACAGCTTCATTTCAGCTTGCATCTATACAAATTATGCGCTGTCAAGTTGTTTTTCTGGGCTTTCCGTTGCGTCCGAATGATATCCCGTGAGGGATTAAAGCTTGTTTTGATGCCAACAGAGTCAACAACGCTGGCCAAAGAAAATTATATTTCCCATTTTCACCTAAGAAACCTGTTCTATACTTGCAAGAGTATCATTTACTAAGGCATGCATCTTACAGAACCGCGAGCATGAAGCGCAAATCCAAACGGACCACGACAGCCAAGACGGGCCAAGATGACGAGCAAGGTTTACAAGGTGAGAGTTTATATCTTCCAGCGGGTCCCATAGTGCTAGCTATTACCATTTCCGGATATCCTAATTGACGCTTCGGCCGGACCAGCCCCCCCGAAAACATCGGCGATTAAGCGAGACAGGTCGAAGCCATCTGCGAGGCGGCAACCATCTGAAAAATTACACATGACGACTCGATCGGCTTCAAGGGCGGTCTCTGTTATTTCAGCAAGGCTGGATAATAATATCACCAACTCAATCCAAGGCTCCGCTGCCGACGCTCGTCGTCGCAGTTCGGCAAGCACTTCAACAATTAATGTTGGTGCCTCTGAGCCTGAATCTGTTGTGCCTCCTAATAAGCGTGCTCGACTATCAACAACACCATCAAATGGTGTGAGTGAAGATCAAAATTCCATCATCATTAATAACCATGATGATGAGGTCAAAAATCTAAATTCTCCTCCAATTGCTACTTTTAGCCCTCTGGAGAGCAGAGCTTCCTCGAGAAAACGTTCTATTGATGAAGTTGGTACTGATACAACTACCAACCTCGGCCGCGAAGCCACTAGCGAAGTGCAGCAGCAGGAACAGCAACCCAATGTTGTTTTAGATGCAGAAGACGAGCCACCATTGAAGAAAAGAAGAGGACGGAAACCAAAAAATGCTACTAACGGAGATGCAAGCTCTGCAGCAATGATTTCGACTGAAGAAATTGCGCCGGTGAAGCGTCCTCCTGGACGCCCTCCGGGTCGGTCAGCTGTCGGAAAACCCTCGGCAAACCAGCTGGGGCCTGGAAAAGGTCGAAGAGGATTTCCGGGCAAGAGAAGGGCACCCCATCCGGATGCTCGCATTGAAGCGGACCTAATCAGGCAATCCCAGCTAAAGAGAGCATATCGTGTCGTCGCTCGCGGATTGAAGACGGCTCTAATTGAATTGGGCGAACGCACGGAACAGACCTTGGAAGATGATCCTGAGGCCCATGTCAACAACGACGCCCATCAAGTCATCCAAGATCAACTTGATGCTCGCTTGGCTGAGCGCTTGGCTTTTATTCAAAGAGAGCATCAAATTGAAGCCGAGCATCAGCAACGCAAACTAGAGTTTGAGAGAGAACTAATCCGTCAGATGTTTCAGGTAAGTCAAACCCTCAAAAGTTTTTTTTTTTTTTTTTTTTTTTTTAAAACTCTTGATCTCGCCGTCCACTGACAGCCAAAAAGCAAAATGTTGCCAATCTTCAAGAGGACTATCTCATCCGCGGTAAACATGAGTTGATGGAGCTCTATCGCAGCCAGACGCAGCGAGAAACTGAAGGTGACGTCACTGAGTCAGAGGTAGGTCGTAGGTGCACCCATTGCGAGGACTCCACGTATTGACAGATTTTTTAGGATGAGATTGAGGCTCCACCTAGACAAGAACCATCTGATTTGCGTGTGGGCTCCAATCCTTCAAGAAGCGTTTTCTTCGATAAAACGGAGAAACGCTGGGATTTCTTTGATAATATAGTCAAAATCCGACTGGACCTGCTCGAGGAATTCCCAGATATACTGGATCAGCCAACCTCGTTTACAACGATAGACTATTGGCAGCGAATTTGGGCCATCGAAAAGCTCAACGTCTTGGCCCTGGCAAGGGCACATGAGGCTCTGAACGAGCTGCAACAGCCGTCTCTAACACCGCCTCCAGCCATTACTCCCGTAGCCCCGATCTCCAACGAGGAGCTCGATGCGCTACAAATCTTGGCCAATCTTTCTCAGGAACAGCCGAGAATGGGTCTCACAAATGGCCGCGAGGAAGCTACAGCGGTTACAGACATTGAATCGCAGCAACAGCAGCATCCTCATCCGCATGTGCAACCAGCTTCTCCGCCCAAGCCAGTCAAGCCCGCGAGAAGTCGAACTGAACCTTCGCTGAAGCTTATTCTGTCGTCACCGTCTCCGGAGCTTAAGGGTGGGGCTGACGAGAAAAGAAGTACCAGCATTACTGTCCCAACTGTTGCCCCGGTTGCGGAGGGACCAGTGTCACCTACTAGATCTCGCGACCATCATTTTGAAGCCGCCTCCCGCAAGCTTCAAGATATTGTCGCATCTCCGGGGCCAGTCGAAATGCGCCTTCCACCACCAACTAATCTTCCTCACCAAGGGGCCCCAACCCTCCCACCGCCGGACCAGCTCCGAAATGCGCCCATTGATCATTTTGTTTCTCCAGTGATTAGCGAAAACAGATTGCCGATAAGCAACGCCGATACTCTGCCACGAAACCCTCGAATGATTGAGCCTATTCGGCCGGCAATGCAACCCATCGCCTTGGCGCCTACCCCCATCCCTCCCATGGACTATCGACAATTTCCAGATCCTTTCCTTGATCGAAATTTTTCTCCAGCTCATGATCGAAGCGCACAAGCATTGTCGTATGCTCCGCCCCCACTGATGCCCCTTCCTCGGCCGCAGATTTCACGTCCACGAGACATTCATCCGCCGCCCGGATCATACCATCACGCGCCTTCTTTCCAACGCTACCCTACGGTGGAAGCTGCACCTCATCCGCCTCCGCCACCACCTCCCCCACATCAATGGGCTTATTGGGATGACTCTGACCGACCTTTCTTTCGGGGACCGCCACCTCCCCCACTCCCCCTACCACCCCAGGATTTTGTGTCGCCGGCAAAAGCGTCTTATGCATCTCCACTTTCCATGCAGCCAGCATACCCGGTCGGCGTTGTTGCTAATGCTCCACCCTCAGCATATGTCTCGCAGCCGCCGCGGCCAAAGCGAGAGAGTCGCCCTATTCTTCCAGCTGGGCGAGTTCAAGTCCCGCCGGCACCAGCTCCACGAGCACTATCATTTTCCCATTACCAGCCACATGTGCCTGGACGTACTGCTTCCCTACCCCCGCCCCCTCACGGCGAACTCCCTGGAGTCCGACCACCAACGTTCCGAGAACCGTTTGATCATCCACCGGGATTAGCTGAATTTCGACACCGTTTTGCGCCGGAGACATCGGCCAAGCGGGATCGCTAGTTACCCCATATTGTTCCGGATGCCTGATTGAGGTCGTTTTCGACTTACACCAAATCGTCTTCCACTTTTAACCGTTTTCTCTTCATCTAGCATGGGCACTCAATGCCTTGTCTAATATTTACTCGGGAGGGGGCGTCAGATTATTGACTGGTATTCTTCACCGCATCTTTATTGCCGTTACCGCATCTCTAGCTGGTTCGGCCGGCATGGGGTCATTGACGTCTCGGCGTTGTTGTGGGACATTAGCACTCTGTATCCTGGGTTCTGCCAAAAATTTATCTGTCTCATGACTTTGGTCATGGCTTTCTTTTTCCTTGGGTCACGCGCCAGGGTTTGCTTACATTCTGTTACTATGGGCGTTTGTTCACCTCTGCGTCAGAGACTTTTTATTTCTTTTACTGTATTCTGGGAGACTTTTCCTACTTTCATCGCTGCCGAATCATCCTCTGTGTGTCATTGATTTTCACGGCTGGGCATGCTCAAGGCTCGGGTGCAAGGACAGACTTTTATTTCTATTTCCACTTTGATATCTTCGGCACTATTCATACGTTTCACGTCATGTACATACGGATACAGACGCACATATCGTATGACGAATAACTCCATTTGATAATAGTCTCTTGCTCTCTTCGGACGTGATTTATTTCTTTGCATACACAGAATTGTAGACAATATTTGATATGATTACCTCTTTCATGCACGTCTCTGTCAGTGAACAAATCCAGTAACAAACACCTGAAGAGACTGTCAATACTGCGAGGGAAAAGTATCGATATGACTCAGTTACATTGCAGCAATCATTTTTGTCCTCCTCCCTCAATCCACCGCATTATCAAACATCTACCAGCCCCTTATCCCGTTCTTTCAAGTTACCCTCTTGGTGAGGGACCCGGAAACACTCAGAGACCGAATGACTCGACTTCTAGTCCCAAACAGGAAAGAGCTGAGTTGATTTAACCGAATAGAGACAAAGCTTCGAAACCAACACACTCTGCACTATACTGCGATAGGAAATGCAAGCGGGGCATTCTTTTCCTGCCAAACTCTGCCTCACAGACCCTTTTGACGTAGCTGAGTCCGACTCAAGCGAGTGAGCGAGAGAAAAGTTCCAGACTAAGATACCTCTATTCTATACCATCAACGAATTCTATTCCGACTCACCAAAAAGGTATGTGATAACACTGCGCCGCAGAACCCTCCATTGCACATCTTCTGCTTTATATAAAGACCCGCTCGTTCTCCCTCTCTTGCTTTTCCGCAACTCAACGACAGCTTTCGATACAGCTTGAACAACTGTTGCTTATACCCCGCTATAAGATAGAGAATTCCTCTCTCCGTTTTCCACAGAAGCACATCCGGTACGTTTGATTCAAATATTTTCTTCCTTTTCTATGCCTTCCTCGCAACTAGTCCGAAGATCAATGGGATCTCTCTGGGAAAACTGGTTGCGCAATTACTGTGACAGAATTGGGTCCTAGAACCCGAAAGCACAAGTGGAGCTAGGACATTTCTGTTCCGGGAACCGCAGGAAGAGGAAAAAAGAAAGAAATCTCACGCCGTCGGCGACAATATCTCATAATGATCGATTGAAGCTGAAGAAGAAAATAAAGAGACCTGTTTACTGACTTTACGATTAATATCAGAGTACAATCGAAGGAATACTCGGACATAGACGGCTCCTGCCCCGCTTTTGCTCTACATCAGACACCATTCTACCAAATCGACACCAGGAGGACACAACAAGCATAATGGCTGTGCGTGCGCAGTTTGAGAACTCGAACGAGTAGGGTTTTACTCTTCTTTTCTCGCCTTTTTGTTTTTATTGCTTTGCTGGAAAGAGCTGTACCGCAACCAATTCCTTGATTTCGCCAAGCCTGCTGGCTTGTTGCTGTGCACCGGAATGGACGATTAAATGTTGGGAAACATTTGCGGGAGGATTGCATTCGAACAACCAAACCGAAGTGAATCAACATGTGAAATGGAATGCGACAATCCAAGCACAAAAGGCAAACAACCGCAATTTGGGGGCCAGAGGGAAAGAGATGGCCCGCGTTTGGCGCCGTTGGGGTACTATGTTCCTACGATTGGCTTGGACAAGGGAAATTCAATTAATACAGGAAATAACTCAGCGAGAAGAGCGAAGAGGCTTTGGATTAAGCGGACACACTTGTTCTGCTCCAAACGACTTCTACCTTTGAGGATACTGTGCTTCTACGACTTCACGGCTAGCAATCAAACCAGCAGGTTCAAAACGAGCATGCGATTGCGGGAACTAGGCTCTATCCTTGTGGCTGGATTGCATGAAATAAATATGATCAGAAGCTAACAGATGACCTTTTGCAGGGTCGGGGTCTTCTCCACTCTTACCAACTCCTACGCTCTGGTTGCCATTGGCGCCTCAGAGAACTTTTACAGGTACGTACTTTGCAAGCCCGCGGATTTTCATCATGCGGCTTCCCAATCGCTTCGGACGGGATGCATGATACTCTCCTGCGGCCATCCTTCCAATTGCAAAATCGAGACTAATACGGCAATAGTGTCTTTGAAGCCGAATTGCAGGATGTCATTCCCATCTGCCACGCAACCATTGCCGGAACAAGAATCATTGGTCGTTTAACAGCTGGGTATGTCATATTTTAGTCGTCCTTAGGGGCGTTTTTCTATACGCCCTAGAAACACACGATCTACGTCTGGAATGTCCACTGATGCACTGGCAGTAACCGTAAGGGTCTCCTTGTTCCTACGACAACAACAGACCAAGAACTGCAACACATTCGAAATTCCATTCCCGACAGCGTCAAAATTCAGCGGATAGAAGAGCGGCTATCGGCACTCGGCAACGTTATTTGCTGCAATGATCACGTTGCCCTCGTTCATCCTGATATTGAGCGCGAGACCGAAGAAATGTACGTCTAATTCAAAACCTGCTCCCACCAAAAAGATTGCATTCCTTCAGTCTTTCCCAATATGTCGCATTGCTAACACAATAATAGTATCGCCGATGTCCTCGGCGTTGAAGTTTTCCGACAGACTATTGCCGACAATGTCCTCACGGGCTCATACATGGCGCTCAGCAACCAAGGTGGCATTGTCCACCCCAAAACGTCCATTCAGGACCAAGACGAATTGTCTAGTCTGCTTCAAGTGCCCCTCGTTGCGGGAAGTGTGAACCGTGGCTCGCCTGTCGTGGGCGCTGGTATGGTTGTCAATGACTGGATGGCCGTTACAGGTGAGTTACCCAACTCGATCTTACTCTGGAGCTCTTCCCCTTTCTACACTTTCTTTTTTTCCATCAGGAAAATTTGGCTCCTCCCTTTTCAAACAAGCAGCGAACGACTGACTATTCGACCTACAGGTCTCGACACTACTGCTACTGAACTGTCTGTTATGGAGTCTGTCTTCCGTCTGGGCGAGGGCATGGGTCCCAGCGCTATCAACACCAACAACAAGGACGCCATGGTCGAATCGTTTTACTAAACAGGAATCGGCAAGACCGGAAGTGGAATTGTCCTATGCCCTTGTGCGCTTCTTTTTGCTCTCGTGTCGTTGCGTGCAACTTTGCTGGTTCGATGTATGTGTCGACTTCGAATGTTTATATTTTCCAAAACTTCTGATTCATGAGTCGTCATCATGATGGGGTGTTATATTACTTTTTTTGGGAACTACCATTTCAAATAGATGACCAATTAAATATTGCATTTATTGATCCGCCAAAAAAAGAACAACTCTGGAAAATATGCCTCAAGTACATATCAGTACACGGAATTGGAAAATGCAGGGAAGGAAAAAAAAGTGAAATCTTGTCTGTTCCTCACTACTACAAAAGGAGACAAAATGGCAGGGCCATTTAAAAAAAGTGTTAATGACATGAACTAAGACTTGAATCATTCAAGGGCATAACATTGAAAACATTGCCAGCATGCTATGGACGTCAACACATAACTACCAAGGAAATGGTTACTATGGAAATATTCAATAGTAGATTGCCACCGACTGCAGATACAACAATAGATAAAAAAAAGTTGACCAAGAAATTCACATCAGATTCGCTCCAAAAACAAAGCGGAGGGTAAAGATGAAATAAAATGTCAAAGGCAAGAAATAAAAAGGGCGAATCTTGACAGACGCTGGTAGTTCCTTGACTGTTCACCAACTTTGAGGTCCGACAATGGGCTGTACGCGCCCTTTTTACTCCGCAGCTCCGAAGCTCCGCTAGAACGCTTTCATTCAGCTTGGTCGGATACGTGTGGTTCTCGCGGTGCTTGCATTTCACTTTCTGGCGCATTTTCAACGTCATTACTCGTGGAATGCGCAGGAATCGGAGCAGAGCCTGTCTCGATAGCCTCGCTGGTATCGCTGGCACCGGTAGTAGCTTGAGACGCCGAAATATCAGGGCTGGCTGCGGTTCTATGCACTGCCTTGTCCCATGCGCTTTCAAATGAACTTTGTTCTTGTTCACTTTCTTGGGTCTGGATGTCAGCCTGACTCTCGGAATGAGAATGCAAGCCCGTGTCCAGCACATGTTCCGGGGTTGCTTCTTCCTCTTTTACGACCGGCTCGCTCTGAGAAAGGGCTGCCTGCCAGCTCGTCTCTTCCGCCAATAATGACGACGGCATGTTTTCAGAAGACGACGGTATCAGATCTTGTTGGGGCTGGGAAGGCGGTGAATTCGATGGCGGAATGACAACGAAATCGTCTGGCGCCGCCGAGATGGGTCCTGCTCTGGTAGGGGCTTTGGCGGAGCCAGGATTTTCCACTTCGACCTCGGCGTCGAAATTCGACGAATAGACCACTGCGGCGAAAGCGTCAAGGTCGCGAACTGCATCGATAGCTTGAATGTATTCATTGATGGGAGCGGGAGAAGTGCCATTGCCTGCGCCGCTACCGAGGCCAATGGCGTGGGCTTGCCTTGTTAACACGGCAAGAACAGTGGCGACTTTGGCTTTTGCCGCGAGGTCGGCTTCTGTGTGGACAGGGAGGTCTGATATGTCGGGGAAGGCGGTGGGGTTCAGGGTGTCGGAGAAAGGCCCCGGCATAGATTGGTTGGTGGTTGGTAAAGGGGGGAGTTTGAAGGCTTGGACGCGCAATTTAGAGTCAGTGAGAAGGGAGAAGGTGGAGTCGAGCGTCTTGGTGAGGATGAATGTGAATGTGGGCGAGTCGATCAAGTCTGATGTTTCGTCGAGTAGCCGCCTCAAGAGAGGGGCGCTGGTATCGGCGGACGGGAAGTCCGGCGTCATGCCTGATTCGTGAAGGACGAACGACTCATGCTCGCGGGACGGAAGGAGATAGGGAAGCCATTTTTTGGTTCTGAGTTGAAGGGTTAGTGAAGGTGAGATAGCAATAACAAAACCGCAACGAGAGCCATGTTGCGAGTAGGCATAGGAAGATAGGGTGTCGGTCAAGACGTACCTTCGAGCTTCTTCCGTCTCGCCTTCCACCTTTTTGCGCACTTCAAGAATAATATTCGACAATCTCTCAAGGGCAATGTCTTCGCGAGGGTTCAAGGATCCAAACACCTCCTTTACCGCTGTTTCAACCTTGCCCATAATGTCCCGCCAGCCCCGGTGCAAGAGCCACCAGCTGAATGTCAAGTACCGCCTATTGGTCTCAAAATCACTGCCATACGCCTGGTCTAGGTTGTCGTCATCATGATTTTCCAGACTTATTGTTGAATCCGCAGCAGAGTATGAGGCCAGTGCGACAACGCTTGAGAGGTAGCTTCGACGTCCGAGCAAGTTGAGTTGGATACGCGTAAGAAGCGTGAGGAGCGAGAGAGTATAGAGAAGGGTAAAGGATCTCGTTATAGCTGAGAAATAAATTAGTATGTTCGAATACAAAATCCTGAGAAAAGAGCAGTTCCATACAGCTAATCTTGAGCTCATGCCACAATTGTGCCTTTGTCTTTCTTGGACGTTGGCTGGACGCGACTCCTTCAGAACCAGCCTGGCTGGCATGTACATAGCTTTCACTTTGGAAGCTCTGCAAGCTTCTCCCATCATCGTCCGTAATACTGGGCGCCTCAGAGCCGCCCTCTGATGGAGTTATTTCGGATCCTGCTCCTACGCTGCGAGCCAACCTCTCGGCCCTTTTCTGCTGCAGCTCATTGGTAATATTCTCGACTGGTAGAGCCTCAAGGATATTTTCAGTGGCCGTTGGTAGGAGCGCGAGGACTGTAAAGGTACAGTCTTCCTGATTCTGCTCGAATCTTCGACGTAGACTAGAAGCAACGTCAGTCTGCTTCTAATACAAGCTAGCATTTGGGATTGGGACGTACTTCTCCCGAGCAATGCGGTCACTGCTCATGCGCTCACGAGCTTCATTCAGTTTTGCCAGAACATACTGAGTTGCTACATATCCGGCTCCCAAAGCCCCAAGACCAATGGCAAAGCGGCCCCGATTCCGCCAGAACCACTTGCGGGTGGCCGTGAACATTGTATGTCGATCGAAGTCGTTACTGGGATGATATCATGCTTGAGGAAAGGCGGATTTGAGAGCGCAACAACGGTCAGCTCTAGTCACAGGATACCTCCTTTCAATGCCCTTCAACTAAGGTACTGAGATTCGATGGACGTCTCAAACTGAGGTGAAACACATAGGATGTTCCAGAGAGCTATCGATATGTAGAATGATGCAGTTCCCAAAAAGGCAAGAACCTCGGCGATGCCGGTGGCAGGCAGCATAAAAATTGCATAACTGCGGCACTCACTTTAGGTAAGGCAGGTACCTAATCATAAACCGGTTATCAAAGTTATGCTTTGTCATTTCCCCCACGTTCCTTGTCCCTTGGAGCTTTTCCGTATTCGCACAGAACTAACGGAGTCTCTCCATCCTGTCCGCCCCACTATGACAACCGCGTCACTTGTCTCCTCCACCATTATCTGGTCACCCCTCTCATCTGATCATCGACGAACCGGACATGATGTCCAATCCGCGCCGCAACAGCAGACCCCTAATCTGAATCACCATCCAATCCCTGAGTCCTCAGAAAAGCTGAAAAATCAAACATTTGTTAATCCTGGAATGGATTTACCCCACCTTATCCCACGCTCGATGACATCGTTCCCCGTCTTAGCCGGCTTGTGCTCGTGCCTCTAAACGCAACGCGGCCGGTGCTTGATAAGATTTGCGACTCCACTTTCTCCATCCATAGGCGGCTCAAGCTCACCTCATTCACCACACACTTTCTTGCGAGAGCATCCTTCTGACTTTCCGCGCGCCATATTCCTATTCCCGATCCCTCTCAAAAGCAGCCTTTCATACCATGGAGCCGCGGCGCCCACCAGAGTACATTCTCGAGGTCTTTGCAGATCCGACCTGCGTCAAGGATGTTGTGAAAGGTCAGGCAGTTCTTTGAAGCTTCTACCGCTTCTAAACATGTCCTTTGGAAAGCCGCGTTGACTATTTCCTGCATGTACTGACTACCACGCTTCTTAGGCATTCTACATACTATCTTCTTTCATCGTTTCTTCCCTTCTATCCGGCCCCGCACCTGGGATTTACTTGACCTAACACTTCCCATCGTCGACGATGCCGAGCTTGAGACTCTGATTGACCAACGAGCCGCCGCCTTGATCCGTCAAATTGATACTACATCCAACTTATCATCTGCGAGCGTGCGCGGCCAAATTACCGTGCAGTTCTTCGAGAAACGCCGGCGAAAGGCTTGGTTCTCGACCAAAGCTGAAGAAGAGGTATGCTGGGAGATGTGGACGTTGGATGTCACGCTGGCCACGCCACGAACCGAGTCTGGTACGTTGATTTGCCCTCTACCATAATTGTCAATCTTGGAAATCAGCCCCTAATAGTTCATGAATCGCAGAACGCCTCAAAGTGCGCAAGGCTATGGAGATGATGCTCCAAATGACAGCAATGAAGATTATTAGCATCGTCAATCGTGACAAGGACCACATTCCACCAATTACAACCAGCGAATCCAACCCGTTCCCTTACCAGATTGCCATCAACCCGAAGCTTGATGGGTGGGGAACGCGGATCGGCATTTTCTAGAGTCGTTTTCTCATTTGATCCCCTCTGGCTCACACCTAAATCATGCATGTTTTGCGGTCTTCTATCACTCTGGCAAAGCCTCTCTACGATTTAGCTATTCGCGGCTCCAAAAACCTGGACGACAGCCAGTAGCAGGAATCTACCTATTTGAAACGGAGCCTGGAAGCCCAAAGTCACTCATCGCTTGAGCCTCACTGCTTTGCTCCCGTCTTTTAAGGTACAGCTTCATCAGAAATCTTGCGTTTGTTTCCTTTTTGGGTACATACGGAATCCATAATATTTTATTATCTATCATATACCCCAGCACCCATGTACTAGTTTTCTTAAAACCCAGCATATCAGATGTCCCGATTCCCTCAAATTAGATTCATTTGTGGTGTTATAGCCGCCAACATCCTCCATTTGTCAGCAAGACTTTAGATCATTCCAAATGTACGGACTGGCAAACAAGCGGTTTCCACAATTAGCACTACGTTATGTTCAATTGTATTATCATCCCTGAAGGCGGCGAAAGCAGGCGAATATGGTGTGGTTCTGGTAACGCAACTTTCCCTTTCCCTTCTCTCAATTTTCTCTTTGTGTTTGTTTCTTTTGGATCTGAATTCGGCTTTTTGGCGGCGATCTTGGGATGGCATCTTGTGAACTACACAGGGAAGAAAGAAGGCGTCGGATTATAGAAGCAAAATCAAGCACTCAGTTTTTATTCCTTTTTAAAGGAGGTTTAAGAAGAGCAACCGCCAACTTGGCATTAAACTTCAAATTTGATCAAGGTCCTTATCTCTGAATCGAAACGCAAATCAAGGACACGTCTATAGTAGCACTCATTCTTCCAACTTCATATTAATGTCCCTCCTTACGTTATCGACAGCGGTAAACTTCGCTGAGCAATCGCAGTCTTCGTTTTCAACAAGAGTCGGAAAAAACTAACGCCACAAAAAGGTAACGGACGACAAATCTCAGCTCTCAAAAAAAGAGACCGAAGTCACAATTCCTCATTGCGGCATCAGGGGGGACAAAAGCGCCATAGCCCGTTCATCCTGGTGTCCCCTCAAGCAGAAGCATGTCGCATAAAGAGCCAGGAGTTTCGGCAGTGTATCTGTAGCACGATGTGACCTTTACAACGCATGGGGCTTAGCAGTGGCCTGGTCCGCAGTGGTGCGGAGGTTGGCAGAGGTGGAGCTGCTGCTAGAGAAGTAGCGGGAGAAGACAGGCTGGATGAAGGAGCGGAAGACAATTTGGGCGCCACTGTGGTGGTATGACTGTCAGATACGCTCCTACCACATGTTTTACAGAAGGGTGAAGGGTAAAACTTACCCAGTCTGGGGAAGAGCCATCCACAGAACAAGAACGAACTTGAAAGTGTAGTAGAAGGCTGCCATGCTGTTAGTTTCTTGGCATGTGATTGCGCGCATCATGGAAAATACATACGGAACCAGTAGACCGCATTCACGGCGCTCTCAAACACTCTGATAGCAAAGTTAGCGACGTCTGATTTTCATCCAAGAGTGACTACGGCTTTCACTTACGTGAGGAAAGCATAGACGACCCAGTACTGCACAAAGCCATATTTTGTAAGTCACGTGCTCAAGTAATTGATTGTTAAGGGGCTCCTTGCTGGTCGAATAGCGAGTCAGGAGATAAGGTCACGTACCGTCAACCACTATATTACAAGTCAGCCGGTCAATCCATAATCTTTGACTTCTTTGGCGACGCATCGCAGCAAGTGCGCAGCGAAGAAGAAGAAGAAGCGGTTCTCACGATAGCTTACCTGAGTGTCATCGGACTTGCCGGAGGTGAAGAGAGCTTCCAGGGAATAGTATCCTGGGATGGCGAAACCAGCAATATTGACGAGGAACTCGCCAGCAATATTAAAAAAGACAAGGAAGAAATAGACGGCTGCAAGACCCAGGATAACGTAGACCTTGGGAACGGAGGTCTGGCGCTCCAAGTTGTTGAGGACAGGGTACTTGGAAAGCTAGGATATCACCAAAGTTAGCTCATTCATATAGCTTCATGTTCCATTCTCTTTAAACTGTCAAAGGATTGTTGCAAAAAAAGATTGTGGGACGTGGAGAACCCTTGACGGGTAATAATAACAGAGACCAGTTTACGGTCGGGGCGGGTCAAGCTGGTTCAGTGGTCGTAAAGGGAACAAACCTCTTTGTCGAGCTGGGAGATCTGATGCTGAGCACGGTCTTGGAAAGACATTTTGCTGATTTGATAGTCAATTGATTTAGTTCAGCTATAGCAAGTTGCTGGGGGGCGAGTCTGAAAAGTCTCAGATATGAAGTCGGGAATACGTGACAAGCTTGAAAAGGACGACGATGATGATGACAGAGTGGGCAGGAGAGAGGGAGAGGGAGGTTCTGGAAGCTAGTGACCGAATCGAGAGGGCTTAGGCCTCTCTTTTGGGAGGGAGGGCCGCGAAATTCACACTAATCGCAAGGCAACTACGGGGCTCTCAGGCTCTCCGCTCGTTTCGCTTATTCCCAGTTGAAACTGCGATGACGAAGGAGAAACTGGTGAACCTCGATCCGTCCACCAAAGCCGGGAATGGACGTAATTGTAGCTGACCTAGCGGCGTATACCTCTCCAAGAGTAGCTGTTGCCGTACACTCAGTGTAGCTTACATCCCTCTGACCGCCAACTTCTCTCGCTAACTGAGATCAGCGGTACCTGCTAGGTACTCTTGGCCTCGTCTCCCACCCAAGAATGTTCGCTTTTACGCCCTAAAGAGAAGCCGTACTGGAAAGGGGATACACGTGACCAGAACACACCCACAATCCAGTTACCTGTTTGTCGGTCGCCCTGCGCAACCAGCCTCTCTTTCTTTGTTATTGACGCACAACACGCCTGGTCCTGCTTCGACCACAGGCAAAGTCCTCGACAAACCTCCCGAAAGGGCCCATCTTCGCCGACTTTCGACAGAGCCTGTACTCGACCCATCGCGAGATCCTGCAACTTGAAGTCTTCATCCTTCGAGTCGCTGTGGTCGACGAATTCTCGCGCTCGGTTTTCGTGTGGTGTCAGGCATCCTCAAAACGGTCCACCTTGAGTAGTTGGTGACCACAACATCTGACCCACCACGACGTCGATTGCCAGACAACACAATCCCCGAGTATTGGATCGTTGTCGACAATAGAACACAGGTTTGTAGGAACAAAGATGGACGTTGCGATGGAGCATCAGGGTGCGCATCCGGATCTAGGTGGGTTTTTAACATCGACGCGATCAGATCAACGCCATGGTGTGGGCGTGGTGTTGCTCTGGTGATACTTTAGCGCGACTGGAGACTGACATGGACCCAAAGGGAATCCGTTGCAAAATGGACAGATGAGTGCACATGCCGCCCGTTCACGATCAAGCACTTCGGTCTCGTCGAGAGGTCATCGTCGACCGCTCTCTCGTGCCTCGACAACCAGCTTCCACTCCACCAATACCCAGGTCTCGCAACATAATGCTGCCGATGCCAGCTTTGGAATCGCTCAGCAGCATCCTCAAGATGCCAACACCTTCCCATATACGCACGAGGAAGGGCTGATATTGCAATCAGCGCCTCAGTTAACGAACCCTCATGGCTTCGTGCTCGACCCCGCCCTGCACGGCGGCATGCCCCATGGAATGTCCTATCCTGCCGAAGGAACATTTGCAGAGAACATGGCTGTAGCTCCTTCGCATCCTCAACCATACCCATCGTTTGAAGATACCCAACACGCAATGTTTCATGCGCACAACGCAGCAGCAGCCGCAGCAGCAGCCGCAAGTCGAAGCGCCAGTGTAGTCGATATGAAACCAGATGATACGACAATTAAACCGAAAAAGGGATCAAGTTCAAGTATTGCCAATGATAATGAGCTTCGTCGCCTTCACCGTGAAAATAAGGGCCGTTCAATCAAGGAGGTTGCCTGCGAAGTTTTAGCAAACGAGCGAGGGCCGAAGGCCGAAAAGACGAAGCAAGTCTTCGCCATGCTCTGGTAAGTCTATAAATGCTCGAGTAGATCGAATCACTTCCATGAGGCACGGCGCTTACTCAAATACGTGATAGGCTTGACAATGTTTGCAAGAGGAGCACGGGTTCTGTCCCCCGCAACCGAGTGTACTCGCACTATGCCACCAGGTGCGGTACAGAGCGGGTTGTTCCCTTAAACCCTGCCTCGTTTGGAAAGCTCGTGCGAGTAATCTTTCCTGGTATCCAAACCCGCAGACTGGGGGTCCGAGGAGAGTCAAAGTATCATTATGTTGATCTTTCCTTATCCGATGACAATCAGGACGGATTAGATGTAGAAAGAGCGGGCGGTCGTAATGGAAGTATATCCTTGGGCCCGCCTGGAAATTCTAATAACAAGTAAGTTATTGTCCTTCACAACTCAATAGAAATAATGTCTTACATATTTCGTTAGTCCGAGGTCACAATTCCCCGCCGACACAGCCGTTTTCCCTGGGCCCGGTTTGTCTTCCTTCGGCGCCTACTCGCAAGCTTTTGTGCAGCCCTCGGGAACCCGGCAACCAGTTTCAGGTAGCTTGTTCATAGACCTACAAGGTTCGAGCATTGAACGGATTACTAGCCCCACCAACATGATTCAGCAGCAACTTCACTTCTCTAGCTCAATTGATGTGCCCTTGGAGGGTTACGAACCAGTAGTACTGCCGAAGATTCATGAATATACGCCGGAGAAGACAGATACAGATATCGCCGACGCTTTAACAGCATTATATCGAACTCACTGCACGTCTCTGGTTGACTGTATACGATTCTGCAAAGAACGACAATTTTTCCGCCTTTTTACACAATTCCACGGCACACTTACCGTTCCTGTGCAAAAGCTCCTGGCACACCCGAATATTGCTCCATGGATCGCGGAGTGTGATCGGCTCATGTATCAAAAAATGATCCGATTCGTAGCTCCGTTGGCGCTGCAGGTTATCCCAAAGCAAGTTCTGGATTTTTTGCGGCTTGTATCAGAAAAGCTTTGCTCCCACATCTCGGCGACCTTCCAGAACCATCCGGCCCACTTAGTTCAAGCAAAGCTTAACCCAGCAGCGACTTTTGCCAGTCTTCTAAGCCGCCTGCTAAGAGTAAACGTAACTGCTCACGCAGCAGCAAACATGCTCTGTAATGATGCCAACCGAGACCAGATGTGGCACGATTGGGTGCTTTTCCTGAGACCCGTCAAAGTCCTGGAGACTGTTCTGCCCAACTGCGGCTATGCTGAAGCTCTTCGCATCTTGACTTCGGACGTTCGAAATGCCCTGGAGCCGCTCAATACCGACCCTTTTCTCGAAGCTGGGACCATTTATGAAGCAGCCAGTTTTGCCTCTGCCAATGCACCTGCACAGCCCCAAAGCATTGGCGTAAATGGCAAATCCACAGAGAACTTCCTTGAGCGATGGGCCGGCTTTCTCGCCGATCTTCCCAAGCGATTTCCCCAAGCCAGCACGCGGGTCCTTCTGCAATGCATCGAAAGCGTAGGCACTGCCGCACTGCGAGATCTAACGATAGCTGGAGCAAACAGCTTTGGTGCATGGTGGGTAACCAAAGTCTGGGTAGATGAAATGATCCGCTGGCTTGTTGAAATGGGCGGCTTTCTTGACCCTCTTCCCCCAGCCAGCCCAAGCGCTACCGAAGTCGCGATGCCATCGGCAACGAGTAATCATTCTATCAGTGCCGACTCACTATTTGGCGGCGCCACTGCTGTTGGTGCTGCTGCTGCCGCCAATGCAGGAAATCCTCCTCGCCCGCAAAGCGGAATGAGCACTCATGCTGACAGCCGGTTCAGCAGCATTGACGTTGATTTTGGCACTGCGCCTGGCGGCCCAGAAGACAACAGCAATCAAGAGCGCAAACCAGAACACTCCCACCAGCAGCAACAACTCCATCATGGAGGAGTTCAGCATCATATTCAGCAACCCCAACATCATCACAGGCACTCAAATTCTGCTCTAGACACTGCTCACCACGCTACTCCTGCCTCTGCAGGATTCGGCGGCTCTGTTGTCGAAGAGCAGAACCACGATGATTCTGGGATCAGTATCCCGTTGTCGGACGAAGATCTCGCGCTGGCAAAATACGGCAGTTTCGTCACCGAGGGAGATTCAGGTTCGGGCGCGAATCTCGGCTCAGATCCCACGGGGAGTGGCGACGTTGTGGTGTGTTGAGTGAACGCTCCCATTTTCAACGTCACGACGCTCTCGTCCATTTTGGGCTTTTCCACTTCCAAAAACCTTTGTCGCGGGATTGGCGTTTCTGGAATCATCAATTTTGTCTTTTTGTATTCTTGGGCAGCTCCTATTCCCTTAATACCTTGCGTTCGTCTCTTTCTCCCCAAATTTTGTTAATTTTTGCTTTGCTATTTATGTTCTCCATCTACGTTTACTACGTTTGGCGGCCTATCTTTGCTTGGCCTCTCACGATCCCATTTTCCTCCTATCCTATTTTTTGGCCTCAGTTCTGGCCTCAACCGCACGAGCCACTCAGTCACGAGTCTCACGAGAACATTACGCATATCATAACGTATGCTCACGTACGACATGTATCATGCATGCATGTATTGGGATACGCTTGCCGTCCTTTTTGTCCAGGGAGCTTTCCTTGAACCATCCGTGTTCTATTTCCTGGAATTTTCTGGGTTTCTCTCTATCTCGGATCTTGGAGACTGTCCTTTTTCGACAGCTTAGTTTTCAATATCCCGTCTTCCTTTTTTTTCATTGTTCTTCATTTCTTTCATATTGTTTTCTCTTCCATTTCGTGCGTTTCAGCTTCTACAGGTTTGTTCATCTGCTCCTTTCTTTCATATTTATCTTTGTGATCTCCTTTTATTTCACTTCTCACTTCTCGTTTCAACCCCAGACGTTTAATATCACTTGGTTTCCTTTATATTCTTGGTATTTCTCTCTACTTTCCCAAGGGACGGCGGCGCAGGTCGGGGCTGCGGTAATGCAAAATAGCACACGCAGATCAGCCAAGGAAGGTTGGTTGGTTTGCTGGTTGGACAGTGAACATAATTTTTCGCGTTTTTGGCGTTGTACAGGTGTTTCTCGTCAACTTTTAATTTATATTTTCGCATGCTTGGGATGAGATATCAAGCTTATATGAATGCATCACGTTATTTTCAAATTGTCTGTTGCATTGATTCGAGTAATATCTATCTGAGATAAAAGTGACGTGCCGTGCAGAGATATACGTTATCGTGCCGCAGAGTAAAAAGGGCGCCAGATGTAAAGAATAGGCATATGATACTGCTTTGAGTTTCCAGTGGAACATTTCTAGACTCCTACTTTAAGCATACAAGCAATGAGAGTCGCGATGACAATGAAGAATAGATGGAAGCTTGATTTCCGGAGAAAGTGAGTATTTGCAAGGGTGATACGGGGTTCATAAATGAAATAATGAATTTGTCAAAGCAATGGGGAAATGAATCGCATAGAGGATATCGATGTAGACAGAACAAGGAGACGGAAATTGAGAATAACGCTACAATAAATTTTCAACGTCACCACAATGCCATTTCCACACCCAACCATGAGCCGGTAATCGGAAAAGCACGACATCAAAGATGAGCCGCCAAGGTAGGATCAGCATGAATAATAATTCGTTCAATAGATTTGGATTGACCAAATTCCTCAATCCACAGACGCAAGCGGGCACGCAGCTGGCTCTCAAACCGAACAATTGACGTATCGGCAGAAGGAGGGGCCAAATACTCCCTCAATATTGGATCCAATCCACGATACGCAAAGTCAATTTGGTCAGAAACCTGATCGAAGCCTGCTGAGCGTGCATAGCGAACAATAGAGTACAGATAGTCCGAGATGTTTCTGCCGGAACGCACGTCGTCGACTGTGAACTTGTCATTGCATAATTTCTGGAGTGCAACAACGCCAGGCATTTTGAAGCGTGAAATGAGTTCGGCACACCATGTGCTGAGACTCTGGTGAAGAATTGCCTTTTTGGCGCCACTCAAATGTCCATACCAGAGTAATGCATCTCCACGGAGGCAAAGAAATAGATTTCCAGCCACCAACTTATCTCCTTTGAGAGTTGCGTAATCGCGAATCCTGTCAACGAAATGGAAGACGTCAGAGTATATGACTGTGTTGTTGATGTAGGAAAGCGGCTGTTCGTCTCCAGGACTGAAAAATCCTACCTCGTCGAGGTCCCAACGAGCTTGCTGTCCTTGAAGCGTTGTTGCAAGTTCACGAATAGCTGATGTAATGGTCATAATGGAGACCGAGTCATTGTTAGGCACTAGAGAAGGACTTGAGGAATTCGTGGATAATGAAGAGACAGACATTGGTTGGCTTGACTCGGTTTTGGAAGATACGGGCACAGAATCAAACGCAGAACTACTTCCGTTGGTAGAATGATTGCCAGTGCGATTGATACCGTCAGGAACAGCCGCCGGCGGATTTTTGATATCTGGTTCAATCTTCGAATCCCAACTTTTGACCGCACCACGAATCTCATTAACTACCACGCGTAAGTCATCGAGCTTAACGTGCAACCGGATAATATCGTCTTCGATGGGGTAGATCCTATCGTCCAGCAGCTCTCGAAGCTCTTGAGCGGGCCCTTGACACGAGCTTATTCCTTCCGACTTTTCCTGTGAAAGTTTATATTCAGACTCTCCCTCTCCATGTCCATTTGCAACGTATGTGTCTTTTTGCCCTGTAAGTGGTTCAGAGGCGTGGCGTGGCTGAGTAGAAGTTTGATGCACATTTGCCCGCTCTTGTGAGACTCCATTTTTGGTCACATAGGTTTGGTCGAGACAGGGATGTGCCGTATTGGTACCAGAAGTCGAGATACCCTAAAAAGCCTGTCAGATTTGAGCTTCTTCAGAAACAAGCGGGAAGCCGTTATTATGGTTTGGATAGGCAGAGAGCATATCATTCGGCAGTGCTCGGCATCAAGTTTAACCATCAAGTTACCGAGAAGTTGACAACGAAATGCAGTTACCATAGCACCACAGCTAGCAGACTCTAGCAACCCAACGGATGGAGCATCGCCGGAAGTCATATTGAGAAAGAAGGGGTGGAAAAAGAAAAAAGAGACCAGGTCAGAAACTGAGATTATAGGTGCTTGGAGAACGCGGAAGCCCCACAGCTAAAATTCAGTTGAAAGAATCTCTCTAATAGAAGAGTTGTAATTAGAGAACACATTGCACTTGTCGAAAGATCTATAGTATTTGGGGAATATTCGTGTTTGAGCAGACAATCCTCAATGAAGAAGCCTCAAAATGACACTCAGCGCTTTCCAAAAGGACGCAGCACATAAACATTGCTGTTTCCCACGTCGGCGATAATAGTAGCAATCAGCAAAAGCAGCGTAATACATTATCAACTTTAGGAGAGAGCACTCGAAAGCTACTGCTAATACGAGAACTCCGAAGAATAAATTAGCGGTGGAGGTGACGCGGATTGCAGTTATTTGTTTTGAATTGTCTTCCAGGGCGAACGATGGGCCCAGTTATAGCTACCCAAAATGGCAATGATTGTATAATTACACAAGTTTAACTAATTTTGCGGCACAGAAAGGGAATGGGGATTTGTGCTCCTTTGCATACATTGATATAAAGTATGTATATGAATATAAGATGGTGATTGGAGAGTTAAATTAATACAGTAGAATGTGATCATGGTCCGATAGTTTAGTCGGTGACGCGTATAGACAGAAATTATACCTGTAGAGCCTAGCCTGGCTTATAAACGAAATGCCGCAATGCCATGATGTTAAGAATTATCCCACCCAGATATATGCGCCGGTTTTGCTGCTGTAGAATAAATGCAGACGCCAAAAGCTAACAATCAGATATAGGCTCGATGCCTCCAAAGGACAGAGGTATAAAAAGCGTTCTCACAACTTCGGCAGGCTGACAATGCCTACTCAGCCTTGCCAAGACTCTGGAGGTTGACAAGCTCAAAGTACCTTGCTTTGTTGCGAAGCAGTTCAGCATGGGTACCGTGCTCAACAATACGGCCTTGGTCAAAGACGTAAATGATGTCGGCCTTTTGTATAGTACTGAGTCGATGTGCGACAGCAATAGTAGTACGGCCGCGGGCAGCAGCATCGAGTGCAGCCTGAACAACCTTTTCTGATTCCGAATCCAATGCTGATGTGGCTTCATCGAGCAACAAGACTTTCGGATCACGAAGAAGAGCACGGGCAATAGCAATTCTCTGCTTTTGGCCACCAGAAAGCATACTGCCCTTGCTACCGACAACTGTTCCGAATCCTTCCCTATAAGCAAAAAATTAGCAACGGGATAGCTTTCCGGTTGCGGGGATTTCACGCAAGAACTTACGGAAGAGACATGATAAAATCGTAAATATTAGCATCCTTGCAAGCCTGGACAATTTCTTCTTCCGGAACATCCTCACGGTCGGCTCCAAGAAGAACATTATCACGAACCGTGCCTTGGTAGAGCGTGGGCTCTTGACTAACCAATGCCAGATAGCTACGGTAGTCGTTGACGTTTAACTTTGAGATCTCTTTGCCGTCGATGAAGACACCTCCTGACAAAGGGTCATAAAATCGTTCGAGCAGTGCAATAGTGGTGCTCTTTCCGCAACCGCTAGCGCCGACGAGGGCAACATATTGGCCAGGCTTAACCGTTAGGTCGAGGCCTCTCAAGACCGGTTGTTCGGGACGAGTTGGATAACGGAAGTGAACGTCACGGAATTCGATCATACCATCCATGCCGCTTAAGCGTTCTCCCTCGCCTGACCAAGTGTCAATGGTCGGTTTCCGGTCAAAAAGTGCTTTCAGCTCCTGAGCCGCCAGTTTCGCTTTGCCCATGTCAGGCGCAAAGGAAAAGATGGTGCCGGCGGATTGGGCGCCGAAAATGATAGAGGAATAGCAAAGGAAGAATTGAAACATCGAGTACTCCCCATCCGCGATAAGTTTTCCACCATACCAGAACCCAAGAGCTGTACAAAGGAACATGAACGATTGAGAGGCAGCGTAAAGTAGGGATGACTTGAGCACGGATATAAAACTTGTCCTAGCCTGTTGGACAAGCGACTCATGGTATTGATCCCAGACATCATGTTCTCGAGTCAGTGATGCGACAGTTCTGATCGCAGAAGTCGCTTCACATGCATAACTGGCAGAGTGTTCGTATGCCTTCTTCGCTCGCTCCTGGAAATGGGCAAGCATCCAGAAACGGAAGAAGCCACAAGCGAGGAGAATAGGAACAGTTGCAGTGCATACGAGTGCCAACTTCCAGCCGATCGCGCAAGATAAAGCAATCGACGCAATCAAAGTTGTAAGAACAAGAAGAATTGTGCCAAGGGTAGATCCACTCATTCCCGCAAGGTGATTGGTCTCCGTGGACAAGAATGAGGTCAGCGCGCCGGCCGTATTTTCATCCCGGTCAAAAAATTCAATGTCCTGCCGTAGCATGGTCCGGAATGCTTGAAGGCGTGCGCGATGCACGAGTCGCTCCGAACAAAAGGCAAAAGAGATGCCCTGGACACAGAAAGCGATGAATTCGATAAGAGCGAGCATGAGATACATTCCAGACCAGAAGTCTGCATCATGTCGGAGCTTGTGAACCTGTGCAGGCAAAGGCAGGGAGAGCGCAACAATGGCCTTTGCAAAAAAGACAGACTGAGTAGGATTTCCGCCTCCACAGACGATTGAAAAGGCAAGGCCCAGGAGCATGAATAGTCTCTCTTTGCGATTGAAAGAAGCAACAAGCTTTATCAAAGTCCACAGGGAGTACTTTGGACGAGATTCTGGTTGCCTTTGCTTGAGAGCCATGCTTGAAATGGATTTCGTGGTTTGGGTTCGATTCAACTTCTCTGCCATAGCAGCATCTTCAGGGTCTGATTCGAAAGCGTCCTTCTTTTCTGAGGTGGGAGTTCCAACGATTTGTCGATCACGCTCATCTAAGATAGGAACTTCGTCAATTGCCTTATTCTCGTTGATAGCTGCAATACGCTGCGCCTCGACAAGGTTGTAATACGCTGATCGCAAGCGAAGAAGCTCATCATGGGTACCCTGTTCGACTATACGACCACGGGACATGACAACGATGTTGTCGGCTCCTTTGATGGTTGACAGACGATGAGCAATCACAATTGTGGTTCGGCCAACGGCGGCAGCATCGAGCGCTGCCTGCACAACGCCTTCACTTTTCGTATCCAGGGCGGAAGTAGCTTCATCCAGAAGAAGAATCTTAGGATCGCTGACGATCGCACGTGCAATAGCGATACGCTGCTTCTGGCCACCAGAGAGCAGGAAACCCCTCTCGCCAACATGCGTCTGGTATCCTTCAGGCAGAGAAGTGACAAAGTCATGGGCATTTGCCATCTTAGCCGCGTTGATTATGAGTTCTTGTTGCTTTTCTTCAGATACGCTCTCATATTTTGTGCCAATCAACCCATGCCTGATATTGCCGTAAATGGTCGTAGCGAAGAGAGTAGGCTCCTGGCTAACCAAGGAAATCTGTTGTCGAAGCCAACGGAGGTTTAGGGTTGAAACGTCATGGCCGTCCAACAATACCTGGCCGCCCACGGGATCATAAAAACGCTCGACCAAATGCACGATAGTACTCTTTCCGGAGCCTGATGCACCAACCAGCGCGGTCGTTTTTCCTGCAGGAACCACAAGGTTCACATCATCCATGATTGTAACTTCCGGCCGTGAGGGATAAATGTGCTTGACATGTCGAAGCTCCACCGTGCCTTCCAGCGATTCTAATTTCTCGCCGTCGTCCGTGACCGAATCCAGGGGTGAAGCACGGTCAATCGTATGATAGATTTTTGTGGCTGCTCCCACAGCGGTAGTGAAGGCCTGCGCGTTGGGGGCGACGTTTCCAAGCGCAAAAGCTCCGATCATGACCGACAGTAGAATAGTCAGGATGTCCTGAAGACTCATGTCGCCAGCTGCAAGGTATCTCGATCCTTGCCAGAAGGAAAGCCCGTAATTCAAGTACATGACACAGAACATACCGGCAAGCATGACAGCCAGTGCTGTTTTGGTCTTGGCGCCCCATTTTTCCCCTTCGGTCAAGTAGGAATCGTACTTTCTAACCAGCTTTTCTTGGGTGCCGAAGGCCACAGCATTGCGAATGGAACTAATGACTTCCTCTGCAATGGTGCCACCTTGAGCATAAGACTCCAGAGCTTGTTTATTGTATTTGACAATAAAGACGGAGCCGCCGCCCATGATAGAGAAAATAGAAATGACGACCGAGATCAGGATACCAGTCAATCGAGCATACTTGATGAAGCCGATGACGAATGCAGTGATGAAGGTTGATAGAGCCGTCAAGGTAAGTCCGAGTTTTTCCGACATACCATCCTGCACCAGATTCATATCTGCAGTAATTCGCGTAGTGATTTCTCCAGCGCCAAGTTCATCGAAGAAAGCAATGTTCTGGCGCAAGATGGCGGCGAGGTACGCCTCACGAATCTTCTGAGCAACGTGTTCACCAGTGTAGATGAAGCCTACAGTGGCGATGTAGACAGTCGCAAACTCGCCAATTGCGAGATAAACAAAGTAGAGGGTGTTATGGTTGAGGGCGTGCGTGAAAGTAGAATGGGACGCAGTACCCAGAAAAAAGTCTCGGAAAGTGCCTGTGAGTTTGCCAAAGACGACAGTCATCAAAGGAAGAACGGCGCCAGCAGCAATGGCACAGAGAGCGCTGACTGCCATAATGAAGATATCAAGCTTCGTGGCATAGCGGAATAAGGTAGTAAAGGTCACCTTCACAGAAGGAATGTCCAACTGTCTTCTGATGATTCGACGTTCGTCCTCAGAGAGGTGTGCATATGGATCCCCGACCTCAGCACCACCAACTTTGACAATTTTGGAGTCTAGCTTTTTGAGTGAGGTGGAATCTTGCCGTTCGACCACAACGGCCTCTTTCCCTGTCGATGGGGCATCTTTGAAAGATGGTGCATCGCTCGAATTGCCCGATACAGGTTTCTCTATCTCGTGCGCCGTCATGGCTTGACCGGGAGGATTATCTCCCTGAAAGCCGTGGAGCAATGCTCACGAGAAGCCTCTTGTTGAGGAAACCGTGTGATTTAGATGCTAGCCTGCCTCGAGGCAGGTTCCAAGTGTCCAGGCTTTTCGTATGGTTGATATATAAATCGGAGCGCACGGCGCAGCGATAAGTGGCAATACAGGTATATGGAAATGATAGTGTTTCAAGTATAGAAATGCAAGACAAAAAAACTTTTTAAAATTGAGGAGGAAATAGTGAAAAGTATATATACGTATATATTCGCTGCAGATGCTCAAATACGAATTCTCAAAAGATGAAGATGACAGCGGTCTAATTAAATTCAAATAATCAGCAACGAGGACGGGGCCAGCCCACTCCAGGTAGCCGGGCATAACAATGGCTCAAGCATAATTTCTGGCTCGGAACGAGGAGATACCGAGGAACTTTGACCCCGAACGGGGTAAAATCGTCGGAACTTCGTTTAGACAACATCCGACCTTCTCCTTTGGGCCAATTGTAAGGCAATTCAACTTGCCATCCCCTCCCTAAGCGAATTGGCCTAAACAAAGCGCAACAGACGGCCCAGACTCTGTAAGCGATACGGGCGAGGGGTGACAGCGTTGCAGGGGAGTCCTGGGAGCCCTGGGAGCCCTGGGAGGGGCCCTCGGGGCCTCTGGGGAGACCAGTTGAACGAAAGGGATAACTAATTGAAAAAGCAGAATATAACCTCGTCAAACGATGACTGCTATGCTGACACTGGTCTGACACAATCTTGCTTAGCACCAACGTGATAAGGCTACAAAAAGTAGTCTTGGAGTCATCGAGCAAAAGAAAGTTCTCTCAACAGCATTCAAGAGTATCAAAGTCCATGCACGAGATGACTCATTCACTGAGCCGATCTATATTGCTGGTCTTAATTGCTCTTGCCTGAGGCGGTAACGCCGAAGGTGGGAAAAAAAAAGTCCCCGTCACAGATCGTTCCCGCTCCTTTTCTCTATCCCTATCCAGTATAGCGCCGAACATGAGCCACGAGCCACGGGTGACCCTATTCTGCTGCCTAAGTCTTAAGTCCACGTCGCCCTGTCGTAAATTATGCTTCATTGGAAAGGCTTTGCGGGACCCAGGCAACGTCAAAACTGGGACGACTTATTCCAAATCCAGTTATCAGCGTACGACTCGAGCCCTGAAAGCTGTAGCCTGAATTTACATCAAACGTATTATTTGACTAGCACTATTAGCACCTGTTGACACGGAAAGTTGACTTCCGAATGCTGGCTTACTGCACATGCATACCTCGCGTAAATTCATGGAGCAATACGGAATATGAAGTACGAGTAGAGTTTTCATAACTTATCTCCGCTCCGTCTCCATGTCACCAGTAAAATATCTGGTTAAGATCCTGTGAGCGGGCCATCCAACGGGACTTGAGCCAGGAGTACCCAACTACCGAATCTTCAGATATCCACCATTGTTTCATCTCCCATACTCGGAATGCCTACTATATATACATTAAATTTGCACAATTTTTTGTGTCGTATTCAAAGCTCGACAGCTTAAGAGCTGTGAGCATGGGTGTTTCTCGTTAGACAATCATATAGATTCGACGAACGATAGATTTTTTTCTGCTGAGTTTTATAAGAAAATTGCACACTAAGTCAGATTTCTTCTTCAGTCCATACCCTATATGAAACTCTTTGTATCTCGAATTTTGAAGTCTTTATATGCTCTGCTGCCTCGGTCGTTTGTTGGTCCTTTGTCGCTCCGCTAGGCTATTTTCCCAATGTGGATGCAGACACGTGACTGAGTACGGTACGTACCGCTTTTGATCTCCCCCTCACCATACCCTAGGGCTCACCACGAAGAATATTGCTAAGCGAATGCAAGTGGATGATCGAATGCCGCGCTATTGACTGTCCACAATCGACATCGACGACTACTTTCGCCCAGTTCACCGCGGAAGACATTCAAGATGCCGGTATGTTACCTTCTTTTTGGTTTCATAGGAATCTTTAAATCAAGCGAAAGAGGAGGGAAATATGAAATACCTAGATTGATGCTGTTCGGATACGAGGGTGATTCAGTTGGCGACATCCACTGAATCTTTCATCCGAGCCGTCATGAAACATCTGGATCATCCGTATCTTCAGTCGAGATAATTTAGAGGAATTTCGAGAAATTTGGGCTGGAACGCTCGAGCTTATATGGGATTCGAAATGGAAGCTGATGCGAATATCTTCACAGAGCCACAAGACCTTCCGGACGAAGCAGAAGCTCGCCAAGGCGCAGAAGCAGAACCGCCCTATCCCTCAGTGGATCCGTCTCCGGACTGGTAACACCATCGGGTACGCACTATCATAGTTCTTCTCCGCAATGAAATAAATCATCAAACCCGTTGATGAGACAACTAAGGACTTGGTCCTCCGAGAAAGTCATATCGCTAACATACGTCTTTCGCACAGCTACAACGCCAAGAGAAGACACTGGCGCAAGACCCGCCTCGGCTTGTAAACAATTCTCCTATCGAGCGCCTTCAATTCGGTTCAACTGCTACGATATGGGATGTGGTGGATTTTGTCTGACGGAACGAATGGAATGATTGTCGATGATTCCCGATCAAAGCACTTAGATCCGATCGTCTAGACATCGAGAACGGGCGTTGATCTGCCCTTATCCATCATTCTATAGGCTACTAGGCTTAATGAAAACGGGTTAATTAAACAACTTGCTTGGTCTACTTCCAGTTGATATCATATGCATGCTGCATTGAGGCAAAAATTCCCTTAGGTCTTTCTCAAAGCTACTTTCGATTGGCTTTTATCCGGAAACTGTCAGCGCAGAACATCTCGACAACATGACATTTCTGCGACCCTCCGACTTCGAGTAATGCGCGTATCTTAGAGCTGTCATTGTTTCTCCCCGTTGCAGGGTTTCTGTTTTCAAACCCGCCGAAACCCCCTCAAAAACAGAAAAAACAAGAAAACAAAGGTCATTTGAAGTCTATTGCCGCCCATAAGCAACCAAACGCCTGATGCCATAAATGTTTATACTTAAGGGTATTAAATCCATCCTTTGGTTCTAAGAATGTAAGAACTACTCGATTAGCTCAATGCTGCCGTTAAAACGCGGCACTCTACCGAAAGTCAGTCAAGCAAAGGAGCAACAGCATTTGCAAACTCACGATGAAACTCTCCACCCCCATCTCGAATAATTCATTGGCTACTCCTTCGCCCTTAGGGTGCTCAACCGGACTGAGAGGGTTCTTCACAACTGTTGTCGTCTTAGTATAAGCAGTTTCCATGGATTCCCAATCTCAGAAGCTCGTCAAAGCCACAAGCATCTCCGTGAATGGTATGTAGGGGCGTACCAAATTCAACATAAAGGTTTACGTATATCTGATGCAAAACCATGCGCAGATTATTGGTTTTCGTATCCGTGAGCATAACGAACTTGAGGTTGGTTGGGGTCTCATAATAATGAAGCTTGTATTGGCCGGTCGAGTATGAGACGAAGCTGGACAGGATTGAGGTCAGCATCCGCTTCCTAGTTCTCTCGTAGAGGTCGGATTGAGTTATTGTGAGTTGATAGAAACTTACTTGTCGTCCATACCGCCGAGCTTGCGGACCATATTCCTGAGCGAGAAAACAGTACCAAAAAGGAGTTTCGCATCGTCTTGGGCAGTGAGCCCAGAAGGCTGCGTGCTTATGGCATCCTCGCCGTCGTAGGTACCGAGGGTTGAATTTGATTGCGGTCGGCCTTGCTTGCTCGGTGCTGAAGATACTGGTCGTGGTAACCAGTGTTTACTGTATATGCACTCGGCTGGGCAGGTAATATGTGAGTGCAGAGTCAATAGATCACCTAAGAGGAGGCTGGCTCACTGTGACGATCAAATATGTGAAACGAGTACACGACCATCGCGTTACTCAGAGGATACGTCCTAAATACGAGCTTCAACTCATCCAAGGGAGATATAGAGTTCCTGATGTTGATGTTATAGCCTCCGTGTTTCTCTATCGGCGCTGACTGTACTGTAGGTTGTGATTGATTGATCTGATTAAAGTTAAGCTATAGCGCCAAGCCTCGGTTCTCATGTGCTGCTGCTCTCGCTTTGTTGGTGTCTCAAAGCAAATCGGCCGATCGCCTACCGCCTGGACTTTTTGGGGGAAGTAATCATAACCCCCGCGCGTATCGGAGTAGTTTCATTTTCTACTACGTACTTCGTATTGCTGCTCGACTTAAACTTTGGTTAATCTGGCCCACTATAATTCCGACTAACATAACGAACTGGTCGTGCACCAAGAATCAGTGATCTATCTGCAAAACCTACCGTTCCTCAGATGCGAATCGGTCTCCTTGCACCAAACGTATCCCTCTCAATACAAGGCAAAAGCATCAGACTGTCAGCCTGAGATTCGATCTGTACTGCTTGCCTTCATTTGCCAGTATCTAGCGCATAGATGCGTCAATCAAGTCGTCCCTAAATCTCACATATGAGATGTAGTATATGCATCAGTTCATTTGCTTGAGACTGCGCCGCTTCATCATTTAACTTTGCATCTGGACGCTCGCCGACAGGGGCGTTGCGAATAAAATATGGCGACCACAAAGAGCTCAAATGAAGCTCAGCAAGCCGCAGGAATTATGCTCTCGAGCGAGATCACTGTGGACGCACCAGCATTAGGAAGCAGTGGCAGACCGCCCATGGTAAAGCATTTGTACGTCTAGCAACCGCTACACACTTGACTTCCGCGTCAACTGAAGCTTGAGGCGGATCTCTAATAAGATCAATGATCGACATAGGTCAACACCAGCATATAAAAGCCCACTGAGGCACCATCAGCGTAGCCACTCGACTCCAAGACAGGTGAAAGTGCGTCTCAATCTCGCAAGGGCAGTGCATCGAGAATGCTCGACTCATCGCTACTCAGGAAACTCTCAATGCTCGCTCAAGCTATACCGACAGTCAAGATGGCGGCGCTTCGCAACATCGCATCAATCAATACCTGATCAAACAGGAAATTGGACGCGGATCATTCGGATCAGTACACCTTGCCGTCGATCAATACGGAACAGAATATGTGAGAATCATCTCCCTGCTTGTATAATCTTGCCACATATGCTTCTGTTTTTCTATGCAATGACGTTGGGATTTGTCGAGCTTTGTCGCTCTCTCGAACTATGCTAATTCACCGCTTCCAGGCCGTCAAAGAATTCTCAAAATCTAGGCTTAGAAAACGTGCTCAATCAAATATACTTAGAAGGCCACATGATTCGAGTCAGCGATGTAGTGGACGTCTAAGGTTTGGCTCGAACGCACCATTCCACCATCCCCCCGCCAGCGAAGACGCCGAGAATCCCCTTTATCTGATCAAGGAAGAGATTGCAATTATGAAGAAATTGCACCATCCAAATTTAGTATCTCTTATAGAAGTTCTCGATGATCCGGATGAAGACTCGCTTTATATGGTGGTTGAGATGTGTAAAAAGGGCGTGATCATGAAAGTTGGTCTTGACGAGCGGGCAGACCCTTATACCGAAGAAGAATGTAGATATTGGTTCCGAGATTTGATATTGGGCATCGAATATTGTATGCTTCAGTCTGGCCTCTCAAAAGATTTATGGGTTCTACAGCTGACGATACATTGATAGTGCATGCGCAAGGAGTTGTACATCGTGACATTAAACCCGACAACTTATTGTTGACGCAGGACGACGTTCTGAAGATCGTTGATTTTGGCGTGTCAGAAATGTTCGAGAGGGCTACTCCAATGCTGATTGCAAAGTCCGCTGGATCTCCTGCCTTTCTCCCACCTGAACTCTGTGTATTGAAACACGGCAAGATATCGGGAACAGCAGCAGACATTTGGTCTATGGGCGTTACTCTTTACTGCCTACGCTTTGGAAGACTACCTTTCGAAAAGCATGGTATGCTTGAGCTATTCGAGTCTATCCGTAGTGATAGCGTAGAGTTTGCAGACGGTTGCGACCCGCAGTTGCAAGATCTACTTTCAAAAATTTTGGTAAAGGACCCAGCCAAAAGGTTGACTATTCCAGAGATTCGGGTGAGTCCAGCAGATTCTGCTTTGTTTCTTCGTCTCAGAAGCTCATCACTCTTAGAAACACCCTTGGGTCACCAAGGAAGGAACTGACCCCCTGCTATCGGCAGAGGAAAACACTGCTGAAAAAATGGAACCACCAACAGAGGAAGAGATGAACTCAGCCATCACTGACAAAATGAGCAAGCTTCTAATAGTCGTACGTAGAGTATCTTTGTGAAGCTGAATTCGAGATTAACATAGACTTAGATGAAAGCCGTGGCCAAGTTCAAGTCGCTGCTGACGAAAAGACGCCCAAGTTTATTTCAAGGCACCCTTGGACAAGGTGTCCGAATTGTGCGGCCACCGCTTTCAACATCTCCTCCAGCCTCAAGTCCTTGGCTTCATCGAAGCAAGAGCATGGATCTTTACGATCGACGGCGTGTGGAGCAAGCCTTAGCAGCAGAGGGCGTACATCGGGAACTTGACGCTATCACACCGGAAGACCGCATTCCGCTCCCACACCGAGCAGATAGTATGGTTGTTGTAGAAAGCGGTATCCAAAGTCCGAGTGATCGACATGGCTCGAGAACGGAGGAGTCCACTGGACCCACATCCGTGTCCGAAAAACTAGCTTTGGGCAGCGGAAGAGAATCCCGGAGCGACGTATCGGCGCCCACTGCTGAGGGCGGAGAGCGTCGTCGTGCAAACGGAAAAGGCCATGCACAAGACCCTCTCGAGAATAGTATCTTGCTCGATGTTGGTCTTGGTGGCGACGACGAGGATGGCGGCGCCTCAGCATACATCCTGAGCGAATCGCCAATGGCGACGCATGATCATATCTATGAGATGGCATATCAAGAAGAGATTGATCGAATCAGGAAAACTCACGGACGAAATACTTCACTTTACCTTACTCGTCGCGTCGATAACGTGCAGAGGTTAAAGGAAGACGAAACTCTTTTGGGGCGGTCCACGACACCGGCGACACCGGCAAAAGGCGGATTGGCATCTCTCGTTAATCGTGTAAGAGGTCAGGACGATGAAAAGGAGCAAGCAGGTCAAAATAAGCAAGAGGAAAAGTCAGAGTGAATTGATTTACCTTTTCACTGGTGTGGGGCTGGTCATTGGCCGTCCAGTCAAATGCCGCTCCGTTTGCGCCTGGAAATTCCAAATGGTATGATAAGCTCAGCCTGGCCGGTATCTCGCGCTTGAAACTGGAGAAGCCCGGTGCGGGGCAGCGCATATCATGCCCAAGGCTGGCTCCTCCAGAAGACATTTCTGAGGAGCAGAATGATCCAACATACTTCTTTCAATAAGTGGCGTAGAATTGATATCGATCGAGGACCTTGCAATGCGTCATATCAAGAAGCACGATACTTTCATAGATCAAAATAAGCGCCTGGTCGAATTTGCGATAGGTCCTTTACAATAGCTTTTATTATACCAGCTTTTTACTGCCATTGTGCCGTCTCAGAATTTTCTAAATTAATGGAGAAGGTTTTGGAACGTGGAGTGGGAAAGGTCATACTTGTGAGCACAAGCGCTTCAAATTTATCTAGGATACCGTCAAACCGAAATGGACTTCACTATGGTCTTTGCTATAGCGTACAGATAGACATGAAAGGGTTGCAACTTCGGCTACGGTCTGAATGCATCGAAACGATTTGCAAGCTCCACGCGACGGATCGGTTGCTCTTTTACCAGCGTCAAAGGAGAAGATCAAACCATGGGGGCATAAATATATGACGGCTCTTGTAAAATCAAAGTCGAAACCGTCCTGAATGTTACAGGTCAATCGGCTCAATGTCAGGTCAGAGTCTAGAGATCGGTGGCAGTTGCAGTCTCGATCATCTCTAGTCACCTCGATGAAGAATCCGCTGTGTGCAGCTTCTTAATTATGAGGGATTTTTTCTTCCTTCGCTTTACCCTCTAGGAAATTCGTCATCAAAACTCGATATCCCTCTTAGGAACTGCTCATTTCTATTTGATCCTGATCCCTTCTTCCCGATAGGCCCAAAGTAACCGTTATTCTTGTTCTTGTCCTTTTCTCATCTACCAAGTAGGACAAAGGTACAATCATACAGGCTTTTGTGTGATATCAGAAGAGGCACTTTCTAAGGCTGCGCCACTCAATTGCCCCGCATTTCCCTTGATCATCAACAGGGCTCGACTCATTGTGCAGCATACACTAGTTTATTTTGTCATGACCAAAGATGCGCCGGATCTATCCGATGCAAAAGCACAACGTTCCGCAAAATAGTCATGGCGGTGTAAAGGTGAAGAAACGGCACCGCCTTGAAGGGGAAGAGTGCGGGGAAGATGATGAAGGGAAGCTTGTTTCAAGCGGCCCTGAGCTGATAGCACCTAGGTATGCAAGCTTTGGGTTGTGCCTAAGAGCCTCGCTACAGCAGCGGCTGGTTTTCTCGACTTAATCGGACAATTAAGGGCAAGGATGCAAGGCAATATCAAGCAATGTGATACTACCAAAAGTTTGGGCCCATGAATAGCATATGCTCAAGAGCAATGTTGCCCTGAGCACTCTCGACTATTCAAAGCAGTCCGTGCCATCAAGAAAGCTTGGGATTCGTTGGTCAATGCTTGTCGACGTGCCGCTGTTCAGGAGAAAGAGACAGCATCATGGCTGCGGTGTTACCCACGGTATCAAACGGAGGCCCGGCAGCTATTTGTTAGACTGCAGGAGCTTGACCGCTTGAACGACGACCAACCCTCTTTGAAGCTCACCAAGCTAGATTGTGCAACGACTGAAATACGCATACTATCGGCTGATCCTCGCATGCATCAAAGTCGTTCCTGCAATGCTGCTGCACATGCGATGCACTGTTTTTCTTTGATATTAAATACAAGCGACAGACATGTGATTGGACCTAACTCTTGTGAAGCTTCACGAGCATATTACCATTTAAAGTAGACACTAAATATGAAACATGGACTCAAGCTTGCAAACGGTCTGCCGCTCACTGTCTTACTTGGAGAGGACGGTTCATTGTCCAGCTTCTGATACATCCATTTCAGACTTGACAACGAGACGTGCAGGATATATTTGCGAGGAGAATAGTGTTTCATCATTGTTTGTGCCAATCTTTAGAAACAGTTCCATGAACATATAAGAAAACCCTATCATAGGGGCCGGGATATTTTGTTTTCGTTGCATGCGAATAGCCGGGAATAGCGAAGCTGAAATGCCAGATTAAATTTGCTCTGACTATTCAATCTTTGACAAGGTATGCTAGAAGGTTAAGCGGCCCGGAACTTGGTCTAGCTGTCCACGTCAATTTTACGGAACCTCAATGACATGGATGATACTGGTCAGCAATGAATTTGCGGTGTGAGGCTCGTTGACCTGTTAAACCAGACAGTTGAAGGCAACGCCAAGATGTTCATGGCGCAACGGCGCCGCGGGACGGAGGGACTTAGCTTGAAAATGGTTCAGCTCGGATGGTCCCTTGGACACGTTGTCCGGCTGGGCAAAGGCTACGGAACCATAGATTTGGGAAAAGAAGATCCGTCCTTCAGGGATGATAGACGGCATGAGTAAAGGGCACACCCACGATCCTACAGCATCATTGTCAAAGCCATAATAACCATGCAGATAATACCTCTTTTATGAAGTCCCGCGTATGCGGCACCATAAAAAGCGGAACATGGGAATTGCCGGAATCTCCCCGGACGAGGATCCAAGCCAAATGGTGCTTTGAGGCTGATTGGAGGTTACATCAGATGTCTTTAGCTGAATGTTGAAGCTTTCGTGTCCCGATACTAAACAGGCACAAGGTATAACTATACTCTTTCTTACCATTACGGGTCTGCCTAGAGGGGGCACGGTTCGCGAAAAGAACACCTTTACACTGAAGAGGTAGGGAGCTACCTCAGCAATAAATGAGAGTATCGTCATTGAATGGGTTACTGCTGTAGCAGAATCAATTGGATCACGACGGGCTCTAATTGTTCGATCCATCTTTCAACATCATAATCTGTTGATCACTCGGCTGTTTGGGCTGAAAGTCGTCATGGTAGGGTTGACATGCACTGTCCCATTACGCATAGATAACTCAGATTTGTCATCATGTTCTCATTGCCAGCCGGTCATAGCCGTTGCTTCCTTGGGGATGGCTATTGTTCGCTCATGCTCGCTCCTGCGTTGGCTGCATGGCTCTGCACAGCCTCGAACTTGGCGAATTCTCTTCAATTTGGCTTCTCGTCTCCTCATTTTCATATCCCGTAGGAGGGAGTGCGATAACTGAAACAAGAATTCGGACATGCGAGCACAGCCGATTCCACTTGGTCAGAGCTGGACGATGCCTGGGCAAGCTCACATCAAAGGCAATGTGGTGTTAACACCCGTATTAAATGAGGACACTTTTGGGTGTCTTTCCTACATGGACAGCCTGTCGATCACTGACTTCACTTTCAACGCCCTGGGGGGCCCCCGGTTGAATCCTCCGGATCAAAACACCCGCGCCCTCGAGCTCAGTGCTTTCTCACTGCGTTCCCAGTGGCCGAGGTGTGTGTGTTTTTTTTTTTTGACGTGCCTGGAGAAGGCATCCCACCTTTTCCAGAGGGGCATCTGGATTTTTCCAACCGGGTTGCTGTCCATTGCGATCTTCCAGGGCATTCTGCGACCGAAACCAATTCTAGCCTTGGCCCTTTCCCAGTCCAGCACAGTTCAGCCCCCCCAAGTGCCGCCCAAATTGCTACGAGGTATAGGTAGGTAAGTTACCTACCTAGGTAGGAGAGAATAAAGAGGCTCGATCGTGTGCGGATTGGAAGCGCGTGTGCGCATGAGAGCCATTCTGACTGCAAGTTCCCCACTAAAGACCCGCTAACTGACTTTTTGACCCCATTCATACCCACTACCGCCATCACAGGATGCTACCACGGTGGAGTTATTCTCTCTCTCCCTCTCTCTCCCAGTGATGCTTGAAAGCGGTGTCGCCATTGACTACGATTATTATTCCCACTCCCAGCCCCTCCCTCCTCTCCTTCCTTTTGCTTCCTTGTCCCATTCACCCGCCTAGAGGTGAGAGGTGGCTCCCCTTCGGCCCGCTCTAGCACCTTCGCCCGCTTTGCAAGACGTTTGTCATCCAATTCACCCTCCCCCAACTGAGCCGAAACGAGGGGGTTGAAGCAGCAGTAAAACGAGGTCCTGGGTCCAGGACAAAACGTCCTTGTCGCCGCCAGTAGTCGCCTCTCTCGTTTGTCAAAAAACTATTTCTGCTTTGCTCTTTAAACCACTTCATCCTTTTTCTGCCCTTGTTTTCTTTTCTCTAGTACCGCTGCTTGTTCGCCTCTGTGATTGTGTGCCTGTGCGCGCGTGCGCTTTTTCTCCCTTCATTTTTTTCTCGTGGTGAAATAATATCAGATCACTCTGGTCATCTTTCGACAAAGCTACCAACGTCGACCAATCTCTCAGAACCTATAACATCATCGTTCTCCGGATAGGCCTCACCCCGATCCCGGTGATCCGCAAGGCCCCCCCACCGTTTATCCTCTTGGACGGCTTTTTTTTCTGGTTTCACCTTGAGGCCGTTGGTGCCTACTGAGCCGTTTTGACTTGCTCGTAAGGCGGTCTCTGTGGGCACTGCCCGTCCACTTACCTTTCATCACTGCACGCCCCACTCGTCATCGGGTAACGCAGTTTCTCGAATTTCTTTCCCCATCCTACGCGCTCTCTAGTATCTGCCTCTGCAGCTGGGAGCCGACGAGGGCACCGCCGACGCCTCTTGGTGCAACATCCATCGACCCAGCCAACCTCCTCGGACCGCCACGCCCTACCGCATCTCACACGCAGACATAGCTCCGCAAATGGACGACGCTGTCCGAACGACCCCAGCACGCTCCCCCTCGACGTCATCCGCCCGCTCTCAGGATGCTAAGCCTTCCGCCGCGCCTCCCATTACGGCGACCATCCCCGAGATTGCTAATCTGAGACTGGAAGGAAATGGATCCCTCTCGCCGCAAAAGCGGCCGGGCATAACCAACCGCTTGACGCGCATGTTCTCACAGCCCAAAAGTATTTCCAAAGACACGGATTCGGGAAAGGAAACAAATCGTACAAAGGCTGGAGACCAAAGTAGCGCTTCTGATACCGATACAAGCGTTTCAAGTAAGGCTCGTCGTCCGGCTATCCCATCGCGACAGGGCTCCATGACGGATAAGAAGGGCGCATCGAATGGCTCCGAGGAGCGAAAACCCACCCCGACCGGAAGCAAGAAGGATCATGATCCAGCAAACCCTGCGGGCGTTCGGCGCTTCGTGATGCGCGAGGATGGCACGCACGAACACCACCTCAAGAGCGCCAAGCGGCAGGAGAAACTCTCCGACATGCTGAGGGACATGCTGGGCAGCAAAAAGAAGGACGACCATGGACACGGTGACGATCAGCAGCTCTCGCTCATGTCGAACTGGGTGGATCAGCTCAAGAAGGAGAAGGAGCGTTTGCCTTCGGACAAAAGGGGCGGTCCCAATGCCACCATGAGCTTGGTCGAAAAGTATGGCAAGTGTCAAGAGATTGTCGGCCGCGGTGCTTTTGGCATCGTGCGCATCTCACATAAGACGGATCCCCGCGACAACCGGGTCGAGCAGCTCTACGCCGTCAAAGAATTCCGCCGCCGGCCACAGGAGTCGCCGAAGAAGTACCAGAAACGTCTGACCTCTGAGTTTTGTATATCCTCGTCCCTGCGACATCCAAATGTCATTCACACCTTGGATCTGCTGCAGGACGCCAAGGGTGACTACTGCGAGGTCATGGAATTCTGCGCCGGAGGTGATCTCTATACCTTGGTTCTCGCGGCTGGCAAGCTCGAGGTGGCAGAGGCGGACTGCTATTTCAAACAGTTGATGCGCGGCGTCGAATACATGCATGAAATGGGTGTCGCCCACCGGGATCTCAAGCCCGAGAATTTGCTGCTGACCACTCATGGCTCGTTGAAGATCACCGATTTTGGAAACGGCGAGTGCTTCCGAATGGCTTGGGAGAAGGAGGCGCACATGACAGCCGGCCTCTGCGGCTCAGCGCCCTATATTGCGCCGGAGGAGTATGTCGATAAGGAGTTTGATCCCCGCGCGGTCGATGTCTGGGCAACGGGTGTCATCTACATGGCAATGCGGACCGGCCGCCATCTCTGGCGGGTCGCCAAGCGTGACGAGGACGAGTTCTACGAACGATACCTAGAAGGTCGCCGGGATGAAGATGGATATGGCCCGATTGAGACCTTGCATCGGGTAAGTGCTTTCTTATCACAAGCCAGGTTATGATCATATGCTCATCATTGCTGCCCACAGGCCCGCTGTCGCAACGTCATCTACTCCATCTTAGATCCGAATCCAACCCGTCGGATAACAGCTTCGCAAGTTCTCAAATCTGAGTGGGGCCGAGAAATCAAACTGTGCAAGGCAGGAGAGGAGGGTTTCTAAAACGGCACGCATAGGCGTGACCAGTCCCTCCGCCGACAATGATAGGTTCGCTGACTGAAGAGGGTTTCCTACTATTTTTTCTCCTCCGGGACTTATCCATCGGCTGCTTCCTCGAATCGCTAGGACTCCCACAACTGCTTCTACGCAGCCGCTTCCTCGATATTTCCTTCTTCTAGTCCAGGGCGACATTGCTTTTCTCACGACAAAATGGCATTGGCAGTGATAGTAACTGTCCATCTTGTTCATTTTGCATATCTGACCTCTCCATCCTGACCTGTATATTCTTTTTTCATCTCCTCACCACCATCTCATGTTCTCCTTTCACTTGTATGATCCGCGCAGTTGTTATTCGTTTCAGCTTCATTCGTTCTCGCGCGATTCAGCGGGTGGTGTTCAACATCCTGATTGCTCGTCACAAAGCAACTGTGTCTTCATTTTTGTTTTTTCCTTTTGTCTTTCCCCTTTGAACTTTCGTATCTACGGGTTCCGTTTCTTACTTTCTTTTTCAATACCTTATTCGCTTCCACATCAATCACCATGCGTTGCATGGTGATTGGATCGGGTTGATCATCATATGGCTGCATTCAACTGCTTTGGAGGGTTTTGCTACTCCATATTGGTTGGGACCTTGCGGGAACTGATCTTCCCCAAGATTTGCCAAGATTTGCCAGAAAGAATATTTTAAAGGGCCTAAAGCCAAGACTGGCGTCCAATGTCAAATACCTCGGCTATGCATCGTTTCCGAGATCTTCAACAGTTCCGAACTATTGGCAGGGACGTCACTGAAGCTTTCGACTTCCTGTGGTTTTTTGGTTGTCTTCTTTCGAGGCACATCCTCCAGCCTGATTTGATGTGCCACTCCAATTTCTTGCCACAGCAACCCCTGCTCTTTCATATGTCGCCATTCTGTACGATATATTTGGTGCGGCCTGAAAATGTTTTTTTTTTCTTAATTTTATTTTTTCTTACTTTTCCCCCTCACTTTTCTGTTTTATTGGTGGGCTTTTTCTTTTTCTCGGACGTGAGCAAGGCGTTTGTGGTGTTCTGATCGGAGACACTCGCAGCACAGGACACGATAAATGGAGGGTGGGTCCATTGTTGTCTTCGACTTCTGTCTCATACATTGTCATGATTTTTTTGAGTCGGCTTTCAAATGAATGAATGTTTTCATGTCATATCATTTGCTTGTCTGGACGTTATGGTGTTAATGGACATTACACTGGCGCCAGTATTATTGTTAAGTTGAAGTTTGGTTGCATGAAGCTGCAATTGAAAGGTACAAGGAGAAGGTTGTTCTCAGCAAGGAGTAATCCACGGCCCCTTTGAGATTGGGTTTGTCTCCCAGTAAGCTTGCAGCACCTCTAGTTGTGTTCTGGCAAGCATATCCCACTGATTTTTGCTCTGGGCGCTGCTTTGATGAGACACGTTAGTATCTATAGTGAGCAATTTATTTCTGTTCACTTCCTTACTAGCCATTCTGTTTAGTGTTGCTCGTATTTCTTGTGACGGCGTCCTTCATTTCCCAATCTCAACGGTCTCACTTGGCTACTTCAGCCTGTGGAAATTCCCCAAAATAATTGTTAATAAGAGGACGAAGCTGCGAAATATTGTTTCTAGGAGGGACATGTCCGGAGGATCTTGAGGGGAAATTCTTTCGGCAGTTTCCACTTGTACATAGAACAAGAGTCCTTCAAAAGGATCTCAAAACAAACCCTTTGATTTGGCAAGGTTCAACGGTGCGATATTTGAACCATATGATGTATATAGAAAAGGTCTAGGAATTTCAACTTAGTTTCACGTCTGGATTAGCGATTAATAATATGTATATAAAAAAATAAATAAAATAAAAAGAGAAATCTTTGTGAGATATAGTATACTGTGTTTATTCATAACTTCACTCTCCAGTCATAAGAGGCAGATACATTGCCATTTGCCATATGGTAGAAGTGGCCTCCAGTATCCATATATTTGAGGCTTCATACACAGCATGTCTCGGAGGCAATGGGAAACGGATGTGGTCAAGCCATTGGCAAGACAAATTAACAGTTATTGTATCAGTACAGGATTAATGTATAGTATCAAGCGATGAAAGAAGTAGTTGTACTTTATTTGCTTGTCAGCTCGTTTTAGCCGAACTCGGCATTTCTGGGCACCGACAGGCGAATTCCATGACGAACGTCGTGAACGGCAGAGGGGCTGAGCAACAGACAGACCGACTAGAAACTCCCACAGACACTACACATCTTACTTTCGCGTTTGCAAGAGATCTGCGAAGATTGTTACCTTCTGTGTCCTTTTTCATTGCGATATCTGACAACTAAGCTTTTGGTGTGCAATACCATCACCATCTCAAGTACCTGATCGCTCAGCACTGCCATTCTACAAACACCGGGCAGTCTTAGTGGAAAGAGATATCACCAAGGGCACCGGATCAAACAACTGAGCTAAGAACAAGGGATACCGTTCTCTCGTGTTATCGAAAGCTTTTTGAGCACGAGATCGTGGAAATTCTGTCTGAGAGAGAGGGAGAGCATTCGGCGTTTCAGATCGTTTGTTTGTTTAGGACATCACCCGATTGAACAGATTTAACAGACAAGATGTCTTGGTCAGGTAAGTACTTCAGCTCCTAATTCAAGTACTAGCAGCTTGTTATTTTGGTCCGTTGTCCAAAGATCTGGATCTCATTGAAGTCTCGGGCCGGGCCGCGCTTCAAGATCCACTTTGAGGGCTCAATGACTGCTTTGTCCCATAACACCTTTTCCCTGTTTGATCTTACATGTAATCTGATAATGGACGTCCAACAGGTTTCAAGAAAAATGTCAACCGTGCGACGACACAGGTTATGATGAAGACAGGTTCGTGGTTCGCTATTCGGCCGCTTGGAGGTCTGCTATTCGACAACTTATTGACTTCGACACCGCAACAGGCCACGTCGAGAAGACGAATGACCGAGACTACGAGGTTGAAGAAAGGTCTGTTGACCAAACGCGTCACCAAGACCGTACCTTAATATTGACATGGACCTCATTAGACGATACCGGACCCTCGAGTCAGCCGCGAATAGGTTACAGAAGGAAGCAAAAGGATATTTGGACTCGCTGCGAGGTACGCCCATGGCGCTTTCTATTCATCATGGCTTCCTTTGAAAAGCTTCATCAATCTGGTACTGACTGGCGAAACAGCCATGACCGCATCGCAAATGCGCATCGCCGAGACCATTGACGCCTTCTACGGCGACGCAGGCACCCGGGACGGCGTTAGCAGAAGCTACAAGCAAGCTGTGGAAGATCTTGACGCCGAGACCATCAAAGCTTTGGACGGACCCTACCGAGCTACTGTCTTGGAACCTATTTCCCGGTTCTGCGCTTACTTTCCCGATATCAACGAATGTAAGCTTTTCCCGTTTTTAGCCCCTTCATGCCCCCTCACATCGTCTTTGCACTCAAGACCAAGCCATTTCTCTTTTCGCCAAATTTTCTAACGCCAAGTGCCTCTCAGGTATAAAAAAGCGCCAGCACAAGCTCCTTGACTATGACGCGCTGCGCGCCAAAGTCAAGAAATTGACCGAAAAGCCCGACAAGGATGTGACCAAGCTGCCTCGAGTCGAAAAGGAAGCCGATATGGCCAAAGAAGCCTACCAGGTTCTCAACGACCAACTGTACTCGGAACTGCCACAGCTCATTGACCTGCGTGTCCCTTACTTTGACCCGTCGTTTGAAGCATTAGTCAAGATCCAGCTGCGGTTCTGCGCCGAGGCCTACTCTCGCATGGCTCAAGTTCAGCAATATTTGGACGCGGATACAAGAGATCAGTACGCTCAGGGCCAGCTGGATGCCCGTGTTGAGCAAGTGCTGCAGGAGATTCGGGATTTGAGTATTGCGGGGACTGTCTAATACCTTTTTTTCTTTTCTTGTTGATCAGCGATTGAGTTGCATTTTTCTTTCTTTTCCTAGTGTTTATTTTTCCTCTTCTAGTCTTTTTATTTTCCTCCCTCCTAATTTCTCCCATGTTAAAAATATACTCTTTCAGCTCTGTTGCCAAACGGTTCACTAGATTTGAGGACGTGCCTTTATTTTCCTTTTGTTGTTTTCTCCGGCCTGAAAAGGGAAAATACAAAACCCAATGGGACATTATCACAAGTATAGCCATCGAATCGTGTCCAAGCTCCAACTCATATCCAAATTCACGTTTACTCATGCATTCAGTAAACTTGTGGTCATCGCTTACATTCCGCCAATTTTTTTTTTTTTTTTTTTTTGGTTTTCATCAATTTGGATTCCACCAGTAGATTTTTTATTCGAGCCGTTGATTCAAATATGCGTCAACAAGGGCATATCCCAGTAATCTACCTATAATGCACTTTACGTAGTAAGCTACAATGCTACGTACTTGGTACTTTTTTTTCTATTGATCATCTTGCGTACTTGGTACGTCTACTATTTATCTTAGAGTGCAGCGGTACTCTGTATGTTTCAGTATGCACTATCCTCCTTTATGCTTTCTGCGTACGAGCATGTACGTATATATGTATATATATACCTTTTACATATGTGAGTCCTACCCTTGGGTAAGTTGTAAGGTATATACGAAAGGTAAACCTATAGGTAAGTTAAGGTATGTGTATGCCAGTATATGTTTGCTTGTATGTGTCTGCTTGTAAGCATGATGCATGATGCACGGTGCGTGGGGCGTGGGGCGTGGTGGATGGTGGGTGGTGCATGGCAAGGCTGGAAATGCCAACAAAGGAAGCAGCAGGACACAAGCAGGGGGGAAGGGCAGTTTGTGGTCCACAAACACATGAATTACCAGCAGAAAAAGTTTACCAAGCATATAATTATGTGTTCACTGTTTTGCTGCTGCGTTACATCACAGGCATTGCACGTTTGAGGAATGACATCTACAAAGAAGTTGGTACGAATGAATATTGAATGTGAATGTGAAGATATGAGGATATGAGGATACGAAGATATGAATAAAAATGTATTAAAAGGAATTAAAATGAGTTGAATAGATACGAATATACGCCTTCCGCTATGCAGAACTAAAATACTGCGACCAAGGTACTAAGTTATATCAAGGGGGTATGGCGCCATGATGCTATTCATGGTAGAACTAGCTGGAAACTTTGGAGAAAGAAAAGAAAAAGGGAGGGAAAAAGAAGAAGAAGGGGAGAAGGAGAAGAGAGACAGTGCTGCAGGTATATAAATATGAACCGCCCAAAATGTCGTAGGGGAGGAGAAAAGTTTAGAAAAATTAGGAAGAAATGTAAATTAAAAGAACGGTAGGTGAGAAAAAAAAAAAGAGACAAAAAAGAGATGGCATAAAAGAAATGACAAACGGCTATGCAATTTGCTGGAATAAGACATTTGCTAGATTAATACTATAGAATATTATATCGGGTGGCACTCGCGCGTGACGCGCCACGCGGCAAGACCCCGACGGCCCACGACACGGCGGAGCGTAGGCCAGATTCCGTCGCTGGCGAAATCGAGATCGTCTAGATTGAGGTGGTTCCTGTAGAGCCACACGCGGGTGAGACGGAAATGGTCTGCTTGCGGCGAGGAGGATGATGAAGACGAAGAATCGGTGTCCTTGTCGTCTGAGGAGGATAATGTGGGTGGCTGCGCAGAGTAGTAGCCGTTTGTGTTGAGGAAACGGACTGTGATCTCAACCGGATCGGAAGATGACGATGGAGATGATGATGCTGATGAGGAAGACGGTGGTAAGGCCGACTGCGGGGATAAAGTATTTGATAACGAATACTGATCGAGAAAGGTTGCGCTGAATGGTGCAATGAGGTATGTTCCCGCGGAATCAGAGTGTAAGTGGCCATTAGAGACGTAAGCGGGAGATGAACGTGAAGATGAGTTTTGGTTCGCAAAGACAGAGTCACAGTCGCAGGGCGTTAGCTTGCTGAGTTCTGCAGCGAGAGCTTCTGGTGCTGCGCCCATCATGTCGCGCGTGGTAAGCTCGAAATTTTTGCCATTGAGTAACCAGAGTGGTGGGCTGTAGGTTTTCCACCACAATGCATTTGTGGCATCTGGTTGGTTTGCGAGGAAGAGTTGGGTCGGCACGATGCCGCCTTGATGGTAAGTTCCCATCAGGATGCCAAGAAAGGCATTGAAAGCAATCCAGCTTGTGATCCAAGCGCGCGGGTATCGGCGGGGTAATTGGACAGAGGAGAGGATCAAGGGAATGGCGGGAAGAAGGAAGCGGGCTTCTTGATGCTGGAATAGGGAGAGAACGAGGATGCCAGATACGGCAGATGCGAGACGGAGAGTAGGGATTGGCGAGAGCAGCAGGAGGAATGCCGGCCCGAGAAGCTGAGGTAGGTTCGCCAGAACATGCTGGTAGTAGGGGTGAAGACCGTGTTCGGCGAGATTGGAGGGGTCAAAGTTGTAGCGTAGGTTGTTCCAGGGAGTGATTACTGGATTGCGGAAGAGTGTCGACAGCGTGACTGCGGATTCGGTGTAGTAGACTGTATCGGTGATGATGGCTAGGCCAGTGGTTGCTATTCCAAAAAAGAGTATCGCAAAGAGCGAAAAGGGCCTGGGGAGAGATTGGTCAGCATGAGGGCAGGGAAAACGAGGTATATTCCAGATTGACTGACTGTCGCATAAAGTGGGGCAATAGACGCAACCCCGGTATTAGGAGATAGGCGGGAAATGTGATGCGATTAAAGACGCCGAGAGGAATCAATACCCCAAGCAAGCTAGACGCAAATATTGACGAGCGATGCTGGAATTGGACCTGATTAGTGAGGGAAGAAGAGCAAAAGTTTGTAAAATCTTGAAAGGAAATCTACCTTGTCGTCTACAATACGCTGGATAACTACCAGGCACCATGCCACAAGGAGTGTCTCGATCGAGTTGGAAAAGGTGTGCGTTTGGAAAGTCCAGGTGACGTAGGATGATGCAACGAGCAGGATGGCGGCGCGTCGCCGCCTCGGTGATGGGACAAGTTCATGGATGGCCCAGTCTTCTAGCACAAAGCTGAGTATAAACATGAGCACTCGCAGCGTCCAAAAGACGACCGACGGCGCGACTTCCTCCTGGCCGGTCCCAGGCCAGACGGAGCGCAGGAGGAGCATAGGCAGGCCGTAGACGGGCCATAGCGGGAAGATGCTGCGGACGGGATGCGCCGACGTAAATTCCCATGTTAGATGGACGGGGTAGGAAAAGACAGAGCCTAGAATTGAGCGGAATTATGTTCAGCCTTGCGCTCACCGGTTGTTTATTTTCCGTCTCCAGGGACGAGGTGGATCTCCGGCCGAGAAAGGACAGCTCGCGAATGGGGCAGCCAAGCCACCAACAGCCGGGGCTTTGGGGATCGCGTATGTCAGGTAAAATATAAAAAAGCCCTTCACTCACCAGCAATGACTTCAGGACCTTGGAAATTCTCATCAGGGTGGAGATAACTGGGCTGCAGCGCAAAATAGAGCCGCACCAGAATCAGTAGCAGGTAAAGGCGCCGATGCATGCTTGCGGCGACGGACGCGAAATATTCAATTCCTCAATGCTATCGACTTCCGTTGCTTAAGGCTCATACGCGTGAAATAGACGGTAGAGACATTGACATGTCGCAGGTTGCATGCTGGTTGAAGCAACTGCTTCAATGAATTTTGCAGGTTGTCGAAAGAGAAAAGAAATAGAAAAGGAAGCCCGCCAGAAGATCGGTCAGGGTCGAGGCCTTGTCTTTAATCAAGAAGAAGACTGTCCGAGCACCGCAGCTAAGATAGAATCGTGTTGGGATCAGGATGGGAAAGGAAATGGAGGAGCCGGAAGAGGCATTAAACTTGGACTCTGTGCTCTGCGTCCAGGATCCCGCTTGGAATGAGTACCTGAACCAGGATTATCTGGGCCAGCCGGAGCCAGTGCCATGTCATGACCGTCACCCTACGCCTAAACCTGATAGCCCAGTATCAGAAAATTTATTCCCTGCATTTTAATTATAAATAAGCGGACCGTCTCCTTAAAACTCAAATACCAGCGTAATTATAATTTTTGTCGCTGTATCATCAGTCCACTTCTCCTGATATTTTCTTGCTCTTTATCCCCCTACTCTAACCTTGGTCATGGTCTCTGTTTTGTCTCGTCGTTTCTCCTTCCGTCTTTCCTTCCCAATTCGGCAACCCATTGCCCCGATTGAGACAGCTCAGGAATTTCAGGCTAAACCACAACCGGTCAGCCCTGTCCATGGCTTATATAATCACACTCTCACAGCTCCTTTCCACAAACAGTTAGACTGCCTTGGTGGTAGGACATGAGGTCACACCCATTTATGCTATCGAGTTATGCAGAATTTATGCAAAGGGATCCGAACTAGACCCCTCCTGGCCCAAAAGACCCCCCCCCGAATGTGGCTGCTGCTGTTGCCTCAATGAGCACGGGGAAGTTCATTGAAACTGAATGAGATTGACTGTCTGATCGATTGTCCCCGTAGATTTCTTTATTCCACCGACATTTCTTCTTTCTTCTCAGTCTCATCCTCCTTTATCTATACAACTCTACACTGTTTCTCAAATCAAAACGCAGTGCTTGAAACTCCCTTGAATCTTACCGACCTTCGCCAATACTTCTTCGTACCCTCATCATCTTTAAGCTCGGTGTTTCGGAACGAACGCCTGTCACACAATCATCAACCACCATCCAACATGTCGAACACCATCATTCTCACCAGCTCCGACAATGTCGAGATTCCTGTCGGTAAGATGTCTCCTTTCATGTGGTTGGGGTTATGGCTTGCCTGTGCTCTTGATCTCAGCTTTGGAGAGCGTTAGAGCTGGTCAATCCAAAGGTGTAGTGCGTCGTAAGAGTTTCCTTTTACTAACATGATAACTTGTCTTATACAGATCGCGAAGTCGCTGAGCGATCCATTCTGATCAAGAACATGCTCGAGGATGTTGGCGATGCCGCTGCCAACGAGCCCATTCCGATTCCTAACGTACGGTCCTTTTCTCCCTTTCACCCTCCTCCAGTGCACCGCGGTCACGCGAGAGATAGAATGACGGAATCATAGCCGGCCCAGGATTGACTTACGGCTAATCTCCCCTATTCAGGTCAACGAGGCCGTGCTGAAAAAGGTCATCGAATGGTGTGTTCACCACAAGGGTGATCCGCCGGCAGCTGCCGATGATGAGACCGAGTCTCGCAAACGAACGACTGAGATCGACGAGTGGGACCAGAAGTTTATGCAAGTAGACCAGGAAATGCTTTTTGAGATCATCCTCGTGAGTAAATTTCAAAGAACATTTACGCCGGCTTGACTTTCTCAAAGCCAAGCTGGATGTGCTAGTATATTTCCCTTTATCAACAGATTTATCTAACACGTGTCCAGGCTGCCAACTACCTAGACATCAAGGCTCTGCTTGACGTGGGCTGCAAGACCGTTGCCAACATGATCAAGGGCAAGTCACCCGAGGAGATCCGTAAGACCTTCAACATTACCAACGACTTTACGCCTGAGGAGGAGGAACAGATCCGCCGCGAGAACGAATGGGCCGAAGAGTAAGTTTATGCATCTGCTTCCGATTCCTCTTCTTTTTTTCCCCCCTACGCTAGTTCTACTCCTCCTTCTTCACTAGTCTTCCATTGCTTCTACGATATATCCGTTCATTCTCTAGCTATGACTAACAAACTCTTCACAGTCGCTAAATTATCCACGCTCAATCCAATGCCCCATATTCCACGATCCTCTTGTGTTCTTTTTATATTTGCAAAGCAAACCCTACTGTTTCTGCTACTGCGCGGTTATTTGTCATTTTTTTTTACCCACAAATCCTAGTCTGATACATTGGCGTCCAATCAGACCAAATCCAATCAAACAAGGAGTTAGGAATACGAAAGTCAGATTAGATGACTCCTGGAAGTCCTACGGAAATTCAATTCGATCAAAAATAAGTCACTTTTGTGATCTCTTGGGGTTTTTTTTGTAATGCCTCAGACTAGCCAACCTCCGCTGGATCCGACCAGGAGGGTAGTTTGACGTCTAATTCCGCGAGAAAGCACAAAATCTCCTTTGCAGAGACCCTGAATTGTTCTTTTCACGCTATGGCTGTTCAAAAGATTTGGTTTAAAGATGTAAAAGCAATCCTAATTGCTAAGCTATGCCTACCGGATGACTAAGCGCAGTGCCTTTCGTTGGAGGTGTAGAGAGCTGTCGAAGAAAAAAAAAACCTGATCATCTGGCTTTTATGTAGCAATATCGTGCAAAGTACAAAAGAAAATGCAAAGTAGCATTGCAGCGTAAAAAGCAAAAATAACAAAATTTCCGACCTATACTTTGGGTTCGTGACTCATCATTACTTTGCACTCATGATTTGATGAGCTTCTCGACAACGTCCAAAAGGATATCAGCTAAGCAACACGAGTTAGCACACGATGACTACAGGGAATTGCAAGCTAAATCGGCGGCGGAAAAAAAAAAAAAAACATACCATGGTGCTGCTGGAAGATGAGCATGGGTCGTAGACGGACCGCAGTCTCACCGCTTCCACCAATGTTTACTCCATAAGATTTGGCATTCTTCAAGAAGGCGTCACGTTGGGGGGAGTCAAACGCAATGAAAGTGCCCTGGCCCTTTCCGCGCAAGTTTTGAATCTGGTCGGGATACTGGCCCGCAAGGCGCTCAAGGCCGGCATAGAGATAATCACCGACCTGGGCAGTGTGGTTCACGAGATCGAGGCGCTCGATTTCTTTGATGATGGCGCGGAACAGGATTGCGCGGGCCGGATCACCCATCCATGTGTTGAACTGTCTGTATGGCTTGTTGGGCCGCAGCTCGGGGTTCCCATAGTAGTAGCCTGCCGTTTGGGCCTTTTTGGAGAAAGTCACCATGTCAGGCGGCGAAGGGAGGTCCCAGTGTTCATGCGCCCAGAATTTGCCCGTTGCACCAACACCAGTCTGCACTTCGTCTACAATGAATAGGATATTATGCTTCTTGGTGAGTTCCCGCAGGCCCCGGAAGAAGGCAGGCGAAGCATGGTTATCACCACCTTCGGACTGGATGGGCTCAACGACGACAGCGGCCGGGGGCTGAGGCCATTCTTTGATCAGCCGCTCGGTTTCTTCGAGACAGCGAGCTTCTTCTTTGGCGTTCTCCTCGGCGTGTTCCTCCAGAGGGTATTTGAGAGCAGGAAAAGAAGCCTGGGGCCAATTGAACGCGGGGATATCGAGTTTGTGGATGGGCTTGCTGCGAGTAGTACTCAAACTGCCAAAAAGCCGGCCGTGGAAGGCCTTCTTAAAAGAGAGAATGGAGAGTTGAGGAGCACCGGGGGATTGATTGTTCATGACTGAGGTAGTTTCTTCATTGGTGAAATCAACGTCCGGCCCGCCACGTTCTTGCCGACGCTTCCACATGAAAGCGGCCTTGTAGGCAGTTTCGTTTGCGTCTGAACCAGCCATGGCGGTAAAGACCTGGTTCAAACCTTTGGGAGCAACTGTCAGAATACCAGTCTCAAGGATTGATGCCCAGTCGTCAGAGGGGAAGTTGCCGAGAGCGGGCCGGTTTATGAGAGCAGTGACCATTTCAGGCGAGCGAGCGGCCTCTGCCAGCGCAGGATTGTTATAGCCAACAGGGATAGAGGCAATTTGGGCATACACATCAAGGAAGGTATTGCCGTCAGGGTCCCGAATATAATTACCAACGGAGTCGGGGTATCTGGCAAGCAAGTTCAAGCTCCGAGTGTCAAAGACCTTGTCGAGCTGGGCAATGGCTTTCTTGCCTTCCGGGCCGGGAATAGCTGTCGACACGGTTGGACCCTCGGGCTCATCTGAGAAGAAGGGCTTCTCAGCGGCTGTGGCGAGTGTCCGACGGATATGTTGAGTAGCATGCGCTCGAGCAGACAGGGTAGCAGGGCGCACGAGGCGCGAGGTCCGGAAGAAAGCCGACATAGTATATGCGTGCTAACTGAGTTTCTGTTGTTCTCAAAGTACTCTGGAATGATTTCGGATTAGACTTTGCTCAAAAGGATCAGCTATGCTTGTTCAAAACATGCATCAAGCAGTTGTGGTAGGGAGTAGAAATGCATAATAAGCTCATCTTAATTTCCACAACGACAATGATGAAGCGTTGGATGGTTGGCGCAACCAACAGCCATTGGAGCTCTGACAAAGGATCCAAGCTATTCTCTGGGGCGTTGCAGTCCCCAGATGGGCCTTGAAGAAAGTCACGTACCTGTCGTGCGGCTTATGATCGACTTGATTCTACTCACAAATCGAGCCAGAAAGTCGTAAACAAGCTCTTTGGGCCAATTGAAGGTACACCTGGAAAGGGTCTGCAAAACAATAAGTGTGAGAAAGGTGAAAGGGGAAGAGAAATAATAGCAGGAAACACTTGTGAGTGACTGCGAGATAATCAACGTCTTTCCAAGATCATTCGTGGTGATGGCCCCTTACCCCTCGCAAGTTATCGAACCAAGTTATCAATGGTTGGTCGCAGAGGTACCCCGGGCCGGTGACATATTACGAATTGGCCAGTTAAGCAGCTTTACCGATGTTTGGGCGGAAAGTTGATGGAGATCAAGCGCCTTCAGGTGGAGAAGCTAAACCATTTCAGTGAAAGTCCAACCGAGAATTCCGCGACCAGCCGCCCTAGAGCGCCGATAACGTTAAAAGACGGGGGAGGATGGTGGATACCGGTAGTCCATTCCACTCCGGCTATCGAACCGTCTCCTTGCTGCCGCTGATTCAAAAGACATGCAGGTCTCGTGGCTGATATCATCAACATACTTTACTAAATTCAGTGCGAGGAAAAGCACCGATATCACGCAGAAGGGTAAAGCAGGAGAAAGTGGAAAGAAGTAGGCGAGGTAAAGGGGTACTTGCTCAACATTGCACAGAAATGAAGTCACGGATCTTTGAAGACTCTTAAAAATTCATTGTCCCATTTTACCGACTCCTTCCTGCTATGTACTGTCGTCAAACCGGACCATTCCCTTAATTGAGCATGTGCTCGAACGGCACGACGATATGATGATATAAAAGCAGACGTTCCACGATTGAACACAAAAATTATTAGATGAAAACTTTTCCAGACAATCCCAGGCCATCATGACCCGGGCTTTATGCACTGCCTTCAATTTAGCAGAAAAGGTCAACATAAAGGACTTTTAAACCGCTTTCGAAAGTAGAGATAGTAAAAAGAAACTCCCTTCCATTTGCCACCTGCAGCCGTATGGGGAATCTTAAAAGAGAAAACAGGAAAGAAGAGAAAGAAAAAGAAAAAGTGAAGAGCGAGGGCAATGACAGAGACGAAAGGTAAACATAAAAATGAATTGAATAAGCGGACTTTGATCGACTTCTCAAAATTATTGTGGCTGCCAAAAAACCAGTGGATTGGCTGGAAAAGCCTCCTTTCCATCGGGAGCACACGTCGATCAAAAACAATCGGAAAACTCAGCTAAGAACATGCGGTTTGCGAGACTGCAAGCGTCTGGTCAGCAAAAGCTGAGAGTGGGAAACAAAGACAAGCCACCATCCGGTTTCATAATGGAAGTCATGCGGTAGAACAGATTGGCGCTCGTAGATAGCTTTCCACAATTTGAGGTTGAGGGAGCAATCAGAACCACGGCCAACATAGAGAAGAAAAAAAAGCCGGGTCTTTCTTTTGATGGCATGCACTTGATCAAAAATATGCTATACGTCTCCTTGAAAACCGGCTGAGTCTTGTTGCGGTTGCTGACGAATATCGGGATGGTCCTTAGGCACCATTTCCAAACGACTTTCGCCATTTAGATCCGGAGAATCTAATTGATGAAACTCCTCCTTGCCGGAGTAACCGTTGATGTGAACATGATTTCCGTCGGGAGCCACTTCTTCGGATAATACAGGAGGAGGAGGTGGTGGTGGTGGAGGCGGTGGGATTGGCGGCAAACCCTGAGATAAAGGATCTGGCGTGGATGAAAAGTTGTCATTTTCTTCATCATCTGCGTCCCTCATTCCAACGTCCGCCGAACTAGTATAGGGGCCAGAAGCAATTGGAGGCGGCGAAGGTGGGGAAGTCGGTGAGTTCGATTTGAGCCGCTTCGATGCCCCGGTGATTTCATCGAAACCATCTGCTCCCTCTGCACTTTCCCTCTTCCTTTTCAAGCGGTCTGCATCAGGCGTCTCTTTCTCCAGCGGCGAAGACTTCTGTAAGCTGTCACCTTCATCATCAGAACCTCCAGAGATATGGACGTCGTCATGGTCGTGCTCGTCTTGTCCATTCGCCTCATTTTGCGGGCCGGTAGGTGATTTTGCACCTTCTGGTTTAGAGCTACGCGCCGCCTTCTTTTTCTCGTGTTCGCGCCTCTTTGCAACTGCCTTGTCAAAAAAGTCTTTAACAAATTTCTTCACCTGTCTCTCCTGCTTGGAGGAGATTTGAGTGGGATCTTCCACTCGCGCGTTCTTGAAATCGGAGTCTACCAGTTTCTTCGCAATCTACAAAAAAAAAAAAAAATTAATCACGGCACAATTGTTGTGTTGCACTTAACTCACCTCCTTTCCAAAGCGCTTCAGATCCTCCCTTGGAAGCTTCGACTTGAACTTGTCCATGACGTATTTAATATGAGGGAAAAGCTGTCATTATCAGCACACTGCACAAAGCCGACCGACTATATTTGAAGCAAAGAAAGGAACTCATGGGAAAGGGAATATCATACCGTATTTTCGTACACCTTTTTTCGCTTCTCTTCGTTATACGACCTCCATTTCTCTTTTGGCTTAGTCGGCGTCTTCTCCGGCCCTTTTGCCTGACTTTGAGGCTGTTGCTGCTGCGGCGTTGCCGAGGCAGGAGTCTTCTCCTTAGGAGTTGCCGATTTGGTGATGCTGTCAATAATTTCTTGAAGCTTCTTGTCGCTTGAAATGACCTTGGGTGGAGGCGGAGGTTGGGCGGCTGCCGTGGTGGGTCGGCTCCATGTGGTTTGGCCGCTGGCGCTGTAATAGTATGTGTTTCCATTAGAAACAGCAGAAAACCATCCTGGCGGAAGTGGATTGAAAGTGCGGCGTGGTGCCCGAGGGCCATTGTAAAAGTTCTTCCGTTGTTGGCCAGAGCCGCGAGGGTTGTTCCCAGCGGCCGGACCACGAGGCGCTTCAGGGGAGCGGGACCTCGACCGTGATTTCGATCGACTTTTCGAGCGTTCTCTGCGTTCTTCACGGACAGATTCTCGTCTATCAAAACGTTCCGGCCGACTTGGTGTTGCATTGCCGTTAGGGTCGCGCTTTTTCCGCGGAATGCGATATCCAACTTCGAGAGTGCTCCATTCCTTTAGGATCGCTGCTGCACCGGTCTCCACACGATCATCTCCGCATGTCAACAGACTGTCGACGGTTACATCAATCTTGGAGTCGCTGATCTTATTCCGAGTGAGGCGAGGAAATTTGTTGAGAATTTCTAAGATTTGCAAGACGACGTTGAAATCATCCTTCCAGGACGAAAGGGAAGAATTCAAAATCTGATAGCCGTGCATTTTGACGACTCGATTGATAACACGCTCCTCATTGCAGCGCTGTATACGGCCAAGCAACTTGACAGCAATCCATTTCTCCTTGCATTGGAGAAGGGTTGCCATCACTTTGGTGACGCCTTCCTCGTTCAATGCTCTAGGCTCAAGGTTATTGACATATTCTTCATCATCCTCCCCGGCCGCCTTTTTACGGCGGGGTCGACGTGCTACGGCGGTATCCCAACTGTCGTGGTCTTCGATGCCCAGGGCTTCAATGGTGTCAATGGACAGTTTGGTGGCCCGCTCGGTCTGCGTTTTCCCTCCTATGTAGCCCGTACAATTGGGCTCCCCACAGTAGCATGGTTGCGGATCGGCTCCGTAGCGGTCGACATTATAGTTAAAGACTAGCTCTTCTCCAGGTCTGATTACTCGCTTCGCGAATATTCCCATGCGCAACTTATCACCAACGACCCATTTATCCACGTAGCAATTCGGGTTACAGGAGTGATTGCAGAATCGGCCTAGATTTCCCTTTTTGGTGGCGTCGATAAACTCGCCCTTGCTGAGGGACATGAAGTAAAAATGCTTGATCCCCTCCTCGTCGTAATCTCGCATTCGCCGTCGGAATTGGACTTCATTTATGACCTCTCCAAGATACTCGAAAATGAATTGATGCGGCGTTAACTGCGACTCTGCACGAAGGCCATACCCTTTTTTCTCAGTTTGAATAACAGAAACGTTGGCATACTCCTTTCGCTGAAATCGCTGGTTTTGGCAGCCTGTTCCGCAGCCGCAGTCGGGAGCACACTCCATCTTTGTGGCGCGATTAATACAGTCGGAGTCTTCTCCGCAAGCCGCATTTGTACCGGATGATGAATCTGAACGGCTTAGTGACTTTATACCGTAAAGATCCTTAGATCAAGAACTTACTCCATTCCTCTGTACAGTCGCACTCCATAGAATGTTCAGTGGCCCCGAGGTATTTTGCTGAGTAGGTACAGTCTGCCATCAAGCTGAACGTTGCTGTAGCCTCAGTGGTCTTCTCCGGTAAATGGTCGAATAATTGTGCGGGCTGTGGGATGATCTTTTGTGAAGATGAGCGGGCAAGCTTTGGCGCCTGGCCTGGCTCCATTTTTACTGTAACATCGCCCGTAACCGTTTCCACCTTGTCGATATTTTCAGATGGTGATGAACTTGCGGAATCTTGGGTTTTGAGTTCGGTTTTCTCTGGCGACTTTGAACCGGACTTTCTGGGCGAGGCAGTTCCATTGGGAGTTGTGGACTCTCTTTTGATGCCAGCCCCTCTAATGGCGTCTGGCGCCTCATCTTCCTGGGAATCGCTTCCTTCGAGCTTCATTTCTCTTAGCCCGGACTCAACCACCTCTGGCTTCTTATCTCGACTCCGTCTCGACATTATGAGTGATCATACGGCTGCAGGCGCACTGGAGACGATGCGAAACGCTTTCACTGATGTAAGCGATGCAAGGACGGACCGGCTGTTCTACTTGAGCAATGCTCCGCCCTGACTGTGCAAGTTGAAAAGCGACTGCGCCGATACAGTGTCAATGAGAACGTTGGACTCGTCACTCTGGAAGAGTAAGCATGAACGAGCTGGGACCATACGTGTTGATAGATCAAATCACCAGGGGTGATGCTGCACTGGGAAGCAGCTAGGGATAGGAGGCAAAGTTGAGACCGAGAGAGAGGAAGGAAGAAAAAGGAAGAGGGAGAGAATAGATACGTCTCGACATGAGGTTGTTTCACATCGAGAAAGATATAGAAAGTGGTGAAGATCTGGGCACCAGGCTTTGAAAGGAATATTATCTTGAAGCGTATTATTCGAGCCCGGAGCGGCTAATGCCGCGAACCTGGTCGGCAATAGAATCAATTAAGACGGGAAGGAGCGGAGTACAATAATATTAAATCAACCTTCCATAATAGCAATTGTAACGATATTAGCCTCCCTATGATATCTCGTATTGTAATCGGGCACCATAAGTGAATCAACAGCGCAATGGAAAGTTGACAGTGAATATCAAACTCCGAGCGAATAATCAATTGGAGAACTTTGTCGTCACTTGCTCGGCGTTCGGTGACTCGTCGCGGCTGGGAAGCTGTCTCGCTAAAACACCAAACCATAGAAGCTGATGAAGTCAAAATGAATAACAGTGACTGCCGGCCCTGAAATATTCCCAGCCAAAGCGGACAAATAATGATAAACAGAAGGAAATATGTACCGGTCAGTATAGAATATTTAACCAGGCGAAAGTAAGCCATGCAAGAATAGAGGCAAAGAATTTTGAAAATACAAGGCGAATTAGAATTGAAGGATAAAAGTATTTACTTTCCTTTGACTCGGATTCTGCTGCTAGCACCTGTCGCTCGTGGGTGCCATTTCAAAATTTGCAGCATACTCATTTCTTTGACATTTGAATTTGAAAAATTGTCCTAAGTGAATAGCAGTTGGATATGGGTTCCCGAAACATGGCGACTGATCTGCTATTTCAGTATCTCCGTCGACCATGCAACAACGAACCAGTTTGATTTCTTTATTCTGCATATTGGATGTCGGAGCGCGGATAGTGAATTGACGAAGTCGAGACACATGGAGGCTTCTCACAACATATCTCTCAATGTGATTTGGCAGTTGCCTTTTGGGTGCGAATGCAATACATCAAGAGAGATAATAGTATTCTCCTTTCATGCGACGGGAGCCCGAATTAGCCACGACCAAAAGAAATTGGCATGACAGCCCCTGCAGGTTATTTCGTAGTCTAATAGGAGTGCAGTAAGGTACTCCCATATATACAGAGAATTCCGGGGATCAAAATGCAAAGAGAGGAGCAGTTCCTCTTTTCCAGGAAGTTCGATGGACTAACACCTGTTCAATTTGTTTTGTTGGCATATAATGCCATGGTTGAGAGAATTTAATTTAGCCCCTAAAGTGACAGAACACAGTCGAATGAATCGCAAGGGAATATGAAAATGCTCTCGGTACCTTTACATCTGCATAGCTCCAGAGAAAATTCGAGACGAGCCGTCATACTAATCGTTTCTCATCTGTACATTAATAAGACGAGACTCTCCAGAGATGGATTGAAGGCCAGGAGGCCATGATGGGAAGGAAGCGATAAGCCGCCAAACGGGGTGCCCCGAGCCCGCAGCGCAAGAGCGGGATTCAGGGAGCTTCAAATCGAGATCGCCTTCAACCCTTTTGGACGCGTTACTTGGTAACCTGGACGCTATATAGCGACTCTGAATGACGGCGATTGTCTCTCTTGGGTTGTCGGCTGGCGACCAGGCACAATCCGCCAGGAACGTTGATATCGATTGAAATGCGTTGGTTGTCATTTGACGCAGAACGCTATTGGAAACACGCAGAGACTTTTGGTGTGGCCAGGACACATGGTATGTTATGCAGCTTCCAACTGAAATGGAAATCGCTAGGCTGCATTCGATTGTTTCTGATGCCGAAATCAATAGGGGACCGGGCTTTTCCCCTTAACATTAAGCCACTTCCCTATAACTGTAGAAAACCGTCTCAGTTCTGAAAAGACAAAGGAACGAGTAGTTTGAGAAAAAAAAAAAATAGATGATGTTGCTCAGGTGATAGGGTATAAATAACATCTTCTCTATCAATGGCTTAATGCTCTTAATTAATATCATAATCCAATCCTTGAGTTGCTTGAAGAACTTCAATAAGGTTAGCGCTATGATTGTACGGAGTATATACCTTAACTACTGACCGACCTACCTAGGTATTGTGTATATTGCCCCCCATTATTTTATTGCTCGTTTTCCCGCCTCTCCATTTTCCCACGACGCTTCCTGGTATATATACCCCAATACTTTCCTGTTTTTATTTTAACAGAGCAAACAGCTTCTCTTTCGCTTGCCTTCCAGTTCGTTCATGGATGATACTCATCATAGCACTCATAAACGTCAGTGCTTGCATTCCAGGAAATACGCTATATTGACAAGCGATATCGCTTGTTTGCGATAATAATTCGCGTCTCCTGTTCCCCGCTGGTTGGCTGTCGCGAAACGGCCACCCTCGCATTCGAACCGCGCCTGGCTTGATCGATGTAAACAACAGCACATTTCAAGCTTAGCCAAGCTTATCTGGATCGCATTTTCGCAAATTGGTCACTCCTTTACTAATATATGTCACGCTTTTAAACTGTTCCAAGACATTTTGCACTCGACCCTAAGGCGCTTGAGACTTGGAATAACATGGCGTCTGGTGAAGCTAATTGGACCCAGCATGAAAAGGTAGGTTGCCCTTTCTTTTCAGAGTTCAGAGGCATGAGGTTGCAACAAAGCTTCTCTTCAATGCGCGATTAGGTGAAGGCCGATTGAATTGACGAAATGGTCTAAAGCTGGACATGATTCGCTGTACATACAGAATACATCTAAGCTGATGTTCGCATGATAGAAACGTCTGCTGGCGGAGATTATAAAGGCCTCATCAGTGGCCCCAGACTCACTGCTGTCTTTCATCAAAGAAAATGGGCTCAAGCCGGCATGGAATCAAGTTGCTCTGCCTGGAGGTATGCCATATTGCCAACTTGCCCTCATGAGCGCAAAGTGCTGTGCGAATGGCAACTGAAGATCAAATTATAGGTCGTTCTGTGGAGGATTGTCAGATAATCTTTCGCGAATTGTTGAAGCAGGAACATAGCACACCACTTGACAGTGCAACTCGATCGGTGGCCAAAAAACGAACCCTCTCGGTTGTCGAAGCTTCAACCCCAGCGGGGAGAGCGCTGCAACCGCGCCCTCCTCTCTCCACAGCATCCGAACCAGCCGCCAGAGTTGGAGCCACTAAAGCTTCTGAAGAAGGTCTCCCAAAGAGAAAACGTGGACGGCCGAGTAAGGCTGATATTCAGGCACGCGCTGAAGCGGCCGCGGCCCGAGGCGAGCCCTTGCCTCCGACTAAGACCTCAAAACCCAAGTCAACGCCTTCAACCCCGAGTGCTACACCTGGAAAGAGGAAGCGTGGGCGACCCAGTAAGGCTGATGTTCTGGCAAAGCAACTGCTGCTTGAATCTGCCGCTGCAGCAGAAAATGCCGAACAAGAAGAGGAGCATTTGGCCAGCAAGGGAAGTCAGAATCGCAAAGGCTATGACGATGCGCAAAGAAAGGACGAGCCAGGTGAAGAGGATCCTGATCGCGCCGGCTCTGAAGAATTAGATGACGAGCAACAATATCCTGAAACCCCTGAAGATCACCAATTTGACCCAGATCTCTCCGTGAACAGTGAGGAACTCCACTGATGATTAGCCATAGTCGCTATCGCTGCTCTTGAAAACACAAAATTCTTTGGTAGATCATGAGCTTCGAATCAGTCATTGTCAAAGTGCTGAAGTCATTGTTCCGTCCAGCATTCTGTTGAGCGGTCGCAGGAAAATTGTTCGCAATTGGCGCATCTGGTGACACTTCTGTTGTGATGTTGGATCAGCGACACACCTCCCCATTGTATTTAAAGCTCTGTTAGCGGTCACTGAGTTTACTAGTCTTTGTTATCCTGGCTTTTCACGGCGCATGATGAGGCATGCACGCTTCTTCGCAGAGCCTGACTGTTGCTCTGACTCTTTGTACCCGCATGTTCCCATTGAGACGACTGGAAAAGCCTTGTATCATATCTATTTTGCATCGCGCACGTGTGTGACAGCAACGATATCTTTATATGCCCATTCAAGCACTTGAAGCTCTATTTGTTGACTCCCTCTGTCAATCTGTGGCCTTCTATTGTGTTATAAGATTTATAATCTGTGAGACATGAATGGGAGGGTCATACTTTCACGATCAGATTGAATCAATTTGGGAGTGTCAACGTGGTAGGTTGCCAAGTGCTTCTTAGAGGTTATTGTTGTCTTACAGGATTGGTAGGGCGCCTGTCACCCAGGCACCTAAGTTTAGCTATAGCTCGTGGCTAAGGAGTTTACCGATTATAGCGATTGGATGGGCATGAAATTCCGACCGGAAAGACCCTGACTTTTAACTCCGAACCGAACCGAGAGGGAGCCTCAGTAACTAATCGCTGCTATTTTGTTGTTGCTTGCCCTTTTATCGGATTCCATGCAAATTCAAACGAAATCTCTTTTTTCTTCAATAAATCTCGCAGATATTTGCTCTTCAAGATCTCATCCAAGACAGACTTATAGAATCCGAGATAGCTGGTTTAGCCTACTTCCATAGTAACACGCAATTCAAGACTCGTTCCTGGGCCGCGTCACTATCATATCATAGCCACACTTCGCCCGCCTTGTCGGCATTAATCCTGTTCCAAACAACAACCCTCGATGCGAGCTTCGATCCATATCATCTGCTAGTCATATCAGCCATGCAATTGGGATAAGCTGCTTCTCTGTTCGATAGGCAAGGCAGGAACTGTCACCACGGCTCTTTCTGCTGACCTTTCTTCCATAACGATTAGAACTTCATTTTATATGGAGTGAATCCATTTATATCTGTGGATTGCACATCTGCGGGCCAATTATCGCACGGAAAAGTGTCTGGATACTTGCCGCACTTACAGCATTGCGGGATTCTGTTCCAGAGGGATTCATGGATTCGGAGCCTCAAGACGCACTCTGGCGCCTCATCGAACGACGTTCAATCTAGAAGCCAGAGCTTTGAAGAACCACGATGCACTTTCCCAAGCTCACGCCTCTGCAGTCCCGATTTGCGGCTTCGCTTACCGCATCTTTAATACTCGTTATACTGTACCTTTCAATAACACATCCGCAATTTGCGTATGCCTCCGACGCCGACTCAGTAGCACATATCGACCACAACCATCCGTTATCATTCGAACTGAACCCGGAAGAGGACGTGGTCGGCTTTATATTAGACGAAAATGCCAGCGAAGACGAAGTTTACGAGGAAACGGGGAGATACGAGGCTGAATTTGCGGGGCTTAGTCGCGGAATTGATGGACGAGCGCCCCCGGGAGTCACTGCGCTATCGAATAATGATCCAAAGAACTTGGATATCTCCCAAGGAAAGTCTCAATCTTACGTTTTTCCAAGTTCTGCGCTCTGGGGCTCTTATGCTCCGACTTCAACCGGGTTGCCTTCTCCGGTCAAGGCAAGATGGCTGGATACTGCAGATGGAAAGGATCTGCTGAATCTTGAAGAAGATCTTGAGTCGGATATGGCATGGAATATTCGCTGGGGAGGCAACGGACCTTTGGACAAGCGTCAAGATGAAGATGGGAATAGCAGTAATAGTTCACGGACGGTATATATCACCTTGAACGCGTGCTTGCAACCATCGGCGACAGATTCCCGCAATTACGATCCACCCCCGCAACTGCAACTCTTTGCTACAAATACCTCGGCAAATGAGCATCCGGGCCCCAAGGTGACTACGGATAACAATCAGATCAACGCTACAGCATATGGTGGCTTTGCCGAGATCACATTTAATGCTACTAGTGATGTATACATATCGGTGGTTGCACCTACAAATTCGTCATATTCGGGCATCTGGAATTATGACGTTGCGGTATCCATTGACGCTCCATATCATAGTGTTGAGCTCTGGAGACCGAACCTACATCTTGTGGATAGCGACACGTACTCTGCCCTCCTCATCACTGACAATCTCACGGAGACAGCTTCAGACTCTCCAATCTTCCAAGCGTGGAACAGAACCGCGCCACCGTTCGTCATGTTCGCGAACAATGTCAACGAAACAAAGATACGCGGTCTTGAACACTCATATTGTGGATTGAAGCATAACGCCGAAATTGCTGGCATCGATGACGGTCAAGGGGCCGACATGGTGACTTCAGGAATGACATTGCGAGGATTAGGCAATAAGCCTAAGGAGCAGTTTTATATCCAGGGACTGAAAGGACACTCGACATATCACGGAATTCTTGCAATGCAAGGAAATTCTACCAAGGAAGGTGCCGGAGTTGTCGGAGGAGGTGGGAAAGTTTGGCAGACAATGAACTTCACCACCATGACTGGTATTGTCAAATCACAAAAGTCCCCAAACCTTGAAAAGTCACTAACTCAATGCTCTTCCACCAGATGGCAATTGCCAAGTCATTTTCAACTTATCATTCTGCAGCGAAGTTGCCTATGCCGTCCCCTCCAATCCTAAAACATACCCCAATATCGGTGTCCTCACCGAACTCTACGACACCCACGCCGCCAGTCTGTTCAAAAACTTCTCTTACTCTCTTCAGCAGACGCCCTGCAATACCACTAGTTCCGCGCAATACTCTCTTGCCCGCGATTGTGACGACTGCAGCAGGGACTACAAAACGTGGCTTTGCGCAGTGACCATTCCCCGCTGCGCCGACTTCTCATCTGACCTTCCTTTCCTTCAACCGCGCAACGTCGCCCAGCGATTCATTAATGGAACTTCTCTCAGCCCCTCCCAACGAATTTCCAATGCATCCTCGCCATCATCATATCTCTCCGCAATAGCCTCATCTTCAGCAACTGCCATACCCGGCTCCGCCTTGCCTTCAGGTTCCTCCCTTCTTTCGTTACCTTCGTCATCCCCTGTATCTGTCCCGCCATCCACCCTGCCCGGCACCAGCAACAGCCCATTCGGATATGACTGGTATGCCGCTGTCCGCGCGGCTCTCTACTCTGTTGCGTCGAATTCCTCGCGCAATCCGCTTATTGACGAAATGATCCAGCCCGGGCCGTACAAGGAGATTCTCCCCTGCGAGGACCTGTGCTACTCGATTGTTCAAAGTTGCCCGGCTAGCTTAGGTTTCGGGTGTCCTTTGCGCAAGAAGGGGCTGGAAGTAAGCTACGGCATGCGAAATGACAGAGGGGTAATCACGTGCAGTTATTTGGGCGCTGCATATTATTTGAATGCTGCCGAGGCAAGATTTGGTAGTGTGAGAAATGTTGTTGGCATAGCACTCATTGTGATGGTCTTTATGGGTATATGGGGATAATGGGGCCGGCAATACTTTAGATTTGCGATTGTGTTGCGAGGCTCCGATCGTGGATTCTTTCGGCTTATCCTTTTGCCAGATTGAAGGAAATGCCGGCTGTTCTCGGCGACCGGATTCAGCTCGGAGAAATACCTCAAAGTCCAGACATTCTCAATGACGTGATGGGACTTATGAGCGGGCAGCGTCCCATGAAAACCGTAACAATGATAAGACACTCGGCGCAAGAAAGAGCGAGCGGAATTCGTGTTCTTGTGCATGGTTCTGAAGAACAGACAACCAGCATTTAGGTTTCGCAGGGTAATGGTTCGATATGGTACATGATAGACTTGTGCAGAACCATCTTCTGGAGTTGTTGCGGCATTGGGCTTTAAATGCGTTTTCTTTTTCTCTTGCACCTTAGAAGCCTATACTATCTATCTAATACTTTTCCCTTTCCCGCTTGCTACGACACCCATATATAGTCAAGCATTATATGATTTATCCATTATCGACGAAAAAATATTACGCCACCATATCATGGATCCTCAACTTTTGGAGAGCATTTATCCTTTGATCCTCGTTTCTAATAGTGCTGACCAAAGTCGCGGCATGTTGTGAAGAGATGCTTGAAAGACATCAACCCAAGACGAGAGCAGGCGTCACCTTGAGCAGAAATATCCCGCTGTCTCTCGACAATGTTGCATCGCATTATTTTGTAGATTCGCTTAGCAAGTGCGGAGCACCATCCCAATGCATATTCGAAGAGAACGACATGAGAACATAAGATCATGATGAAGGGAGAGGACTTCTCGGAATGAAAAACCAACCCCTCGATAAACTTGATGTCGTCATTGAAAAGCACCTTATGCGCCTAGCCTAACTCCATTTGTGTCGCCGAAATAGTAAAGGTATTATCGAACTTCTCCTATTGGTCGTCGTTCGAGGCGCTGCCATCACGACTGTCGGAAAGCAACAGGATCAGCAAATGCGAGAGTGAGTCAACTAAGGAAAATAAATATGTATCACACTCACGGAATATATTTCACGCCGGATTCCTCAGCATTTTGAATGATGTCCTCGGGCAGCTTTCGAGGAGTTAGCGACATGTTTTCCAGCTGCTAGGGCTTTCAGCACACAGGCGAGCCGTGACACTCACCTGCCCAATGACCTTGACGGCATAAACACCAGGAACGTAACCGTCCAGCCGCTGCCAGCGGGCTACCCAGGATGAAGCGGGATCGGCAAGGGTGATCAAGCCATCATAGACTTGCGATGTGCATTCTTGAATTGCGTCTGCAGACCCGGCAAGGTGTAGGAACTCTTCGCAGTTGGGGCAGCCTTCGCGCATAAACCTCTAGGTTTCAAAAGTGAGTCAGCGAGGTTGCAATGGGTATTTCAGAGTGTTGCGGAGAATACGTACGCTTTGGAGCTGGACGATTGAGCACACCATGCAGGCGCGGAGGCCTCGCTGTTGCCCCGGGGTGACAAAGTTGGATGACATTGGGTGCCTGTTAATACTAAGCAAAAGGAGTCGTTGTCAATCGAGCTATTCGTATTAGAGTACCTTGAGCGTAGAGACCCCGCTCATCAAAGACACTCCGGTTCTCTTGCCTCGCTCTGAAGACCAGAGTCAACCAGAAAGTTTCTGCGGGAATCTAGACAAGCTCTCTCAAGGAAAGGATGTCAAACAGCCACAGGGTTGCCGAGTTGTCTGCTGTCGTCAAACGTGTCCAGGATCATCTTGTCTTAACTGATGAGATATGATAATCCTAAAGTTTGTGATTGATGAAATAAGCGAATCCCATGAGGCAAGAGGCAAAAGCACGGATCTTTCGGCCATACTGCGTTAGCGTTAACAATCAGACATGCATCTGCCATCCACTAATCCGGATCAGGTACTCGCAGGCAACATCGCCAGAAGAAAGATTTCTTATGCGGGAGGAACTGTGGCAAAAGTACCTTCACCGCCTGATTAAGCATTGAAGGTACGGGCTTCGATGGTACACTTTGAGTAGGCAGAAGCGGCTTCAGCCGAAGGCGCACGAAGGTCGTCAGGCACACGACCTCGGACCAACGACGACTCATCTGCAAGTCGACTCCCCGTCTCTCATTCCCCACATAACTTCTTTCGTTCTCTTTTGCCCCTCTTTTGGATTTGATCTCCTGCAAGAGTGTCTTGTCTTGTCTTATATACTTCATCATTTTGCGTTTCGCGCCGCTCGGAGAATTTTTAGAACATTAGAGACATCATGACTTCGGCGGAGGATGCCGTCGCCCTGAAGAACAAAGGCAACGCCGCGTTCAAAGAGCATGACTGGCCCCGCGCCATAGACTTTTATACACAGGCAATTGAGGCCAACGATAAGGAACCTGCCTTTTACTGTAATCGCGCTCAAGTATTACCCCACATTCATCCCTCTTCTAGCCCGCGGAAGCCGCGGCAAATAATCCTCGTGATCAAGGCTTATGACCATGTGTAGGCACATATCAAGCTCGAGGCTTATGGATTTGCAATTGCGGACGCGACGAAGGCGATCGAATTGGATTCCGACTATGTCAAGGTGAGCACTGAATGGCCTCCGTGTGTTAATGCACATTCCGGTCGCTGATTATGATCTCCCTTAGGCATACTACCGGAGAGCCATCGCAAACACTGCCATCCTCAACTCCCGCGAGGCGCTCAAAGATTTCAAGAACGTGGTCAAGCGCGCTCCCCATGACAAGGAAGCGAAGATCCGTCTCGCAGAGTGCGAGAAGATAGTGCGACGTGTGGAGTTTCTCAGAGCCATAGAGGTTGGCGATGCTCCGTCAGCTGCTGAAGGCCTGGACTTGGACAACATGACTGTGGAAGATAGTTATGATGGCGTTCGTTTGGAGAAAAAAATGACTCAAGAATTCATTCATGACATGATTGAGCGCTTCAAGAATGGCAAGAAGATTCACAAGAAATACGTCTACCAGATTATTTTGGCGGTCAAGGAAATTACATACAACGAACCGACCATGGTCGAAGTTGGCGTTGAAAAGGGCAAGAAATTGACTGTTTGCGGTGACACGCATGGTAGGTCGCTTGGGTCTTCTACTATTTCGATCGATATTTTTTTCACGTGCTAATTATTGGATAGGCCAATTCTTCGATCTTCTTGAAATCTTCCGTTTGAACGGCTTCCCATCCGACGCGCATCACTATCTCTTCAATGGTGATTTCGTCGATCGTGGATCGTGGTCAACCGAAGTTGCTCTCCTCCTTTACGCATACAAGTGGCTCCGACCGGATGGTTTCTTCCTCAATCGCGGTAACCACGAGACGGACGATATGAACCGCGCCTACGGTTTTGAGGGAGAATGCCGGGCCAAGTACAACGAGCGAGTCTTCAAGCTCTTTTCCGAAAGTTTCTCTGCTCTCCCTCTTGCTACCCTCATTGGAGACAAGTTTTTCACCCTGCACGGCGGCCTCTTCTCTGATGACAACACCTCCCTTGACGACATTCGGAAGCTCAACAGACACAATCAGAGACAGCCTGGTCAGGAAGGGTTGATGATGGAAATGTTATGGACAGACCCTCAGCCGCTACCTGGCAGAGGCCCCAGTAAGCGGGGCGTTGGGCTTCAGTTTGGCCCTGATGTTACGAAACGGTTCTGCGAAAAGAACGGCTTGGAGGCCGTCATCCGCAGTCACGAGGTCCGTATGGAAGGTTACGAGGTCGAGCACGATGGACGCTGTATCACAGGTATATACTTTGTGTTGTTTTATATGTTTTTCATTTTAGACGACGATACTAATCACTTTGATTTCAGTCTTCTCTGCACCTAAATACTGCGATAGCACCGAAAACAAGGGTGCTTATATCAACATTGGTCCAGAGCTTAAACTTGAATACCATAAGTTCGACGCCGTTCCACACCCAGATATCAAGCCAATGGTAAGCTTGTCTCCCGAGTTTATCAAACCCCAGCTGGGGAAATTTATCCGTCCTAGTGCTAACAGATGTATTAGGCATATGCCCAGAGTTCTCTGATGTCGATGATGTGATATATGTCATTCGGGAATTGAATAAGAAATTTGAAAAAGCAAACAGCATGTCAAAAAACGGTTAGCCAGCACTCGTAAAGGCTTAGCGTGTTTATTTCTGAATCTTCTGTTTTCCACCGGATTTTCTACCGCTGTGAATCTCTTTTACGCTTTCTGGCATCTTGCGGCGAATCTAGGCGTCCGGGTCGCAATAGGTAGCCCATAAATCATCTTTTTGGCGTTCTCATTTCTATGATCCTGATATATGATGTCGGGAAACGTTGTATTATGGCATCGTATATAGTACTGCATGGCATTGTCATCGATCCGTTAGCGATGAATCCATCTGGGTATTATTGGCGTCAAAAAGTCTGTATCTCTGTCAGCCTGTGCGTCTGTTGATGAATGAAAACCAAGGACCTAGGTTGTCTTTACAAATTGTTTCATCCTTGTCGAACCGTGGCTGTGGTGACTTTGGCCATTACATCGTCACCAACCTTAGTGGAAAAAAAAAAACAACCTTCAACTTTGACCCGTTTGACATGCGTCGCAGTATCCATTTGTGAATGCTTTTTGTGGTGAGTTTGTGCATTCAACGATAAGATACTCCAAACTGGATGAGGTTCGAAAGGTTGCCTGAGCTCCTCTACTCCGAAATTTATACGGAAAAATGTGACGGACGGCAGAATATCTTCTGAAGCACCATCGGGGCATCAATCCTTTATTTCAGTCGAGGCATCTTCCTGTACCCATGGTAAAAGGCAATAGTTTTCAGCTTCATGTTCCAGTATTACCCATGAAAAAGTTCCTGGCCACCCCCGGAAATCATCCCTGCAAGCCAATTTCCTGTCGCGTGCACCCTCCACCCTATGCTTTCGGCGTCCGCTGTGGTTCCACCTCCGCCTACCCAGCCGCTCACAGCGGCGACGACCGCGCCCATATCCTCTTGAGCCACCCGAAGCCACGCTTGTCTACCTTGAACTTTGAGCAGATCGATTGGAATTGCAGTTCCGGTGAGGCCAAGAAACTGGTGCAGCGCGGTCGTAAGGTTTGTACGAACTGTGATATTATCAACCGAGGGAGGTGCGGAAGAAGGCGGTGCGAAGAGTAACTCGAGTTGGAGGTAAGCCCAAGGTTGGTATTGTTTAAGAGGCACTCCTATATATCTTCTGATCGGAATGTCTTCTGTCTCTTCAGAATCGTCGGAATCATTTAGCCGTTTCTTAGAGAGTCTGGTCTCCGAAGAAATATGCTGCAGTGGTTGTGGTTCTGTAGGCGCGCGGTCGGTTGCAGACACCGCCGTCATGCTGAATACAGAATTTCTTCAGAAGTTCAGAATATATAATCGAGACGCGCACTGATTTCAGTGGAATTGGATAATGATTGTGGGCCAGGTTCTCATCTAGAAAAACCAATAACACTACCGTTAAAATTGAGTTACAGTCTCCAAACCATGTGCCGTATTTGAATTGCGGCAGTTGCCGATTAGCTGCGCGCGAAGGGTGTTCCAGGGACTAGGATGACAACCCTGAATCCGGATTAATGTTTTGCCGCTTACGATGTGGCGTGCACTGACAAACGTCAAGTCTTCACTTTCCCAGCATATCTTTCTTTATCACTTCATTCAAATTCAAAGATACCCAAAAGTATTCACACTGTTCTTACAATAGTCTAGTCATGAATGTTTGATTTCAGCAAAATCAATATTCCGTAAGCTCCTCGTTGACATCATTTCTCGCCATGACGTCCTCGTCGGAGCCTAGCAAGGCTCTCATCACCAGACGAGCGGAGGATGCAGCTTTAATGCCTCCACCACCTCCCCGAAAACGAATAAAGCGCCCTGCCACCGTAATAGATGAAGACGACTACACTGATGCTCTATCTCATATCATTGCTCGGGACTTCTTTCCTGGCCTACTGGAGACGCAGTCGCAGCAGGAATATCTGGATGCCTTGGAATCGCGGGACCGGGAATGGATTACGGAAGCCGGAAGGAAGCTGACTCAAGTCATGACGCCCGGGCCAGATGGTCGGCGTGCACGAGGAAGAAGAGGAACAAGCTTGGCTACTCCGCGCATTGCACAAGGAACCGAGACGCCGCGGGGTTGGGGAGGAGATACACCAGTATCAATTGCATCGGATGCGACATCGGTGACAGAAATAGAGAAGAAACCTGAGGTCGATACGAACATGAGCTTGAGTTCATTTCAAGCGAAATATACGAGTGAGGATAATGAGAGCTTCAACAAGCTGCTTGACAAGCAAAACGAGAAGCGAGCTCAAAAATATGCTTGGTTGTGGCACGATAATAAGATCCCTGCTCCGCGGCAGATTGCGCACCGCCAGCGCGAGCAAAAACTGCTGGAAGAATGGAAGGCGCGCGAGTCTGAAGATGGAAAGTCACAGCTAGAAATCACTGCGCCCGATGACCGCCCCGCGAAGCCCGATGCGTGGAAATCCCGACCTGAAAATCAGCTCATGTTCAAGCCGGATTCAATTGAAGACACCCACAAAACGGTTCAACAAGCTGCTGAGGAAGCCTCCAAGGCTGGTCCTAAGGCAGTAATCTACGACAATACTCGTTTGCAGCTGCATCCAATATCAGCTGACGGCCCTCGACTAGGAAGTGTGCCGCCCTCGCCCTCCTTGTCAGCTGTTCAAGACGCCATTTGTGGTCGACCTCGTGCGACATCAACTGAGCCTGGGTTCTCCGGCACTGCTACTCCCCGTGTTAATGGTTATGCTTTCGTCGACCCGGAGCCAACCCCTGCACCATCAAATCTGAGTGATTCTTCTTGGAATGATTATTCGCCTCTGCGCCTGGGAGGGCCCATTGACACAACACCAAACCCATTTAAGATCAAGGATAAAAGCCGCCGCGAAGACCTTCACCATCGAATGGTTGAACGTGTTGCGAAGAACAAGAGGAAATCAACTCCGCAACTTGGGAGTTCGCCCAACACGCCTGTCCCTAAATTCACGAGCCAAACGCGCGTCAACCCCGGGAACCTTACGCCTGCGGCTCAAAGGCTCTTGTCAAAGGTGGGAACACCATCAGGGTCGCCGAAAGGTCTAGGTGGTTTATTTGATGGCAGAACTCCCAAGTTGAAGGAGAGCGGTCTACGACATCGGTGGACACCTACGCCGAAGTCAAATAGATGACAATGCGCAAGAGTAATTGCTTGCTTACAAAGATTAACGTAGCTGAATAGATTCCGAAATCGAGTCAACTGAGGCGAAGAATATGAAATTGACATCCAGAACGAACCGGGATAATAATCATATTCGATATCGAGTCGTGAATCCGAGCGGGTGCGAGTCGTGGTTGCGGTGCTGCTTGTAAAAGCTGGTAACCCTACCTACAATGCTGAAACTTTGAGGGGAAGGCAACTCCGGACCTCTTGTTTCAACGAATCACCCAGGCATCTAGCAAGATCTTTCCGGAGCGAATCCTCTTGAAGACCTGCGCTGCATATTTCTACGGCTAGCCTTCAAAATTAGAAAGCAATATTTGCGCGTCACGTATCGTGGGCTGTGATGTCCATTGTGGTAGCGCACCGTTGCCTACGATCTCGAAATCTTCTCCAAATGCAGCCGCTTCGCAACACCCAGCCAAGGAAACTATACCTGCTTAGGCCAGATGGACTCAGGCAGGAGAGGGATATGGTCTGGGCTATGTGGGATCCCGTAGGTACCTCAGTACCTCAAGAGCCTGCATTCACTCTTAGGCAGGGATATATATGAAGTCCTAGACTTCTAAAACATCCAGTGGGCGCCGTGGCGTGGCGGTGATGATGAGGGCTGTGTGAGAATCCAAACCACATCTCTCAAGTTACCCTCCGTCACGTAAGCCAACCCCAAAGCTTCCAAGAGTTTCGTTCCTCTTCGCAGCAAGTTGGTCACCTATGGCTGTAAATCGATTCTCGTACCACGAAGTTAGAATGGGACAGGACTTTGAAGAATCTTAGTCTACTACCTGACGCTGGATACCATAGGCAGAGATACAACACTTCAAAAGAAGTGTGAACTCTTTTGTCTCCCATGTCAATCAGCCTTTCTATTCTCAGGAATTTTTTTTTTTGAAACCCACCGCATTGTGAGCGTGGTGAACAAATGGAATAGTGTCGCTGCCATGCACAGAAAGGGCAAAGAGAAGGGCCAGTTTTACACGGTATATGCTGGGGACTTGGCAGTTTTCAATGTATTGCCAATCAAGTTGTTCGAGCCGCCTACGGCGCCCACATCCCCCCTTTTTTTCGGCCACTGGGCAGTTAGACGAGTCCATTCTCTAACTTTCTACCTTCCTTTCAAACCCTTATGAGTTGTGGTCGTGGAGATGTTGGTTTTTGTAATAGAATCCTGCCTCATACCCCTCGACGGTGGAGATATATTGTGTCTGCCGCGGTTGTTCCCTGTATTCAATGTTAGCCTGCCATATATTTGACACCCTAGAATCATGCAAGTCATTTTAGGTCATTTGAATTAAAAAATTAAAAGGCATTGATTAGCACCTGTATTGGAGATACGGGACCTTTGAGAAGAATCTATTACTATCTGTCAAGGAGTATAATCATGGACTGCTCTGATTGAATGCCATAGAGTAACCTCTGTCATTAAAACCACATTTGACGCCGCTCGCACCCAGTAATTCATCGGTAACACACAGGCAAATTTATTGGTGCTGCGAGGGAGAAATCATTAGCGTATGATTATAAGAATGATTGCTGACCATGTCCTTGTGAGTTGAGGTCACGGGGAAACCCCTCGATGCTAAGAAAAAGGAGGCGGAAATGGAAAATATAAGATGAAAAACGTACCTCTGGCACCTTCGGTTTCAGTTATGAATAGTGACCCGTCTGCGGCGCGTTGGAATGAAATCTTGATCTCCTCTGCTCGAGGTCCAAGCCGACGGTATATTCGTACCATATGCACACCGCAGCTCTCGCACGAACAGCATGAATTTTCAACAGGAGATTCTTCTTTCTCGCTGTGTGCATCCGTCTCCCAAAGTGTTTCCAGCTTGTTCGAGTCAAATGTCTCTCGGCGAGAGTGTCCCTCTAGCGGAGATCCAGTCCCAGAGCCTAACAACTTTCCGCAGTGCATGCACATGGGCTCTCTAGTCGAGATCCATGTCTTGCAGCCTGTAAGCATAGGGATAGGACCGGGACCATCAGTGATATTTGTTTTACGGTCATCAAGCACAATAACTCGAGGCATGTTTAGACAGCAGAACCTCGACGCTGCTCTTTCCTGGAGCATACCCTTAGTGGCCCCACTCGCGAAATGCGACTTGGATTCGAATCGATCTGCCGCATGTCTTGTTTTACAGAGCATGCACAGATACATTTTTGTTTGCGTTTTCTTCCCGGAATCGTCAATGGAGTCCAGCTCCAATGGCCCCGTGTCATGCTCGAACAGTCGTGCGACGGCGAACTTTGCGCAAAAGTCGAGCTGATTATAACCAACATCACCTATACCCGCTTGAAGAAGCCTACATGTGGACTTGAGAGCGATATTCTCTGCTGGTGGAAGAAGACCGCATATTCGACCCAGGACCTTTGCCGGGAGCGTTTCCAGGCCAGAAAACGAAGTTGGGCTCGCGAAAGCACTTTTGAATACTGGTGTCATGGGCGGTGATTGGGGATCTGCTGCTGGTTCCTTGTCGGTCTTTCGGAGGGCAGTGAGGACTTTTTTCGGCCATACAGACTTCAAACTCTCCCTTCTGTGAAGAAATCCTCCTGGATGTGCGCTCATTCGACCAGCGTACCAGGACATGGGCCTCGTTGAGCGTGCGCTTGGTACGCGATGCGGACGGAAGTCAAGAACGAGTCTATCATTGGAGCTAATCGTTGAAGTCTCCAATGCATCTGACGCGGCAATATCATGATCTTGCGTGAACTGTCCGTTCTTCTCCATCGCAGCTTCTTGGGCTTGGAAAAGTGCAAACAAAACGATTAATATTCAGAAATAATGGGGATCAGTCTCGAACTCGGCCAGTTTTTCTTTTCTTTTCCAATCAAATATGTTCATTCTCCTGTATCATTAGCCTTTGGGCGACGACAACTATATACAAGATTGGCGCAGGGGCTAAACAATCATCGAGGGGTGTTTCCGCATTCCTCAGCTCATTTCCCCGCTTTCACATTTGTTTTTCCCCCTGGGGATGTTCCAGAAGGGATGGTCCCCTTTTTTGCGATGACAATTACTTTGTACAACCCCATTTGAGTCTCCTTCTTGCGTCTTTGCAGAGGGGCCGTGCATTTCCGGTATACTGATCCTGTTTTTAGCAATATAAGGGACTTTGAAACGTTTGAGGTGTCCCTTTTGACGTTGTTGTTATCGTCCTCCCTCGCGTTGGTAATCCGGCTTATCGTTTGGTTGAATTAAAAGTGACGCTAACTAATCCCCGACTTTTGGTCGGATCCGGATGAACGCCGACGCCCGTTGGTTAACCCGCACTATTTCGACCTAAACCCAGTCGTTCCGGCCGCATCATCATCATCACCACCATCATCATCCGTCAGCCACAAGTCAAGCATTTCTCCTTTTACGCCCTTTGGGGTATCTAGGTTGACCGCCATGATGCGAGAATTGCAATTATCGATTTTACTTATCCTGGGTTTGCTGAATGCTGCCCAGGCTCATGAGCATCACACTGATGAGATCCCCGAGGGCCAGGCTGTATCGGCTGAACCGTTGGTAAGATTTATCAGCGACCCTTCAGCCACATTTCAATGGCACTTGCTGATTCTTCGATTAGGACACAATTTTATGGATTCATATCGCGATTCAGATGCTCGCTTTTGGCATTATTTTCCCGACCGGCATGGTCTTGGGGGTACGTTTCCCCTACTTGATTCTTGACTAGGCCAACTAACAATGTATTAGATTGTCCGCTCACGATGGCATGTGCCGCTCCAGACAGTCGGAGCTATTCTCTCGATTTTGGGATATTTCCTCGGACATGCTCATAAAGGTCGTCAATTTGCCAAAAATGTTCACAGCGCCTTTGCGTCAAGCCTCATGCTTTTGCTTTTGGTCCAGGTTGTCCTCGGTGTCTACCTCAAACTTCATCTTGAGAAGGGCATACATGGCCGCGTAAGAAAATACATTGTCCTTGGACACGGTGTTGCCGGAAAGCTGCTCCCGATTGTGAGCTGGGTTCAGATGCTCTTCGGAGGAATTACAGCGCTTGGGTTTTGCCGAGGCGATCATCTAGGTCAATGCCTTGCCCATTTCATCATGGGAAGTGCCTTCATTGCTTATGGTATCATCCTGACGATACTATTGCTTGTAGGCCAGGCGTGGCTGAAGCGGACCGGCCGGAGCCAAGAGTTCTTTGATTCAGCAATCATCACGGCTTGGGGATTCGTCAACACATTCACCGAGCATCGCTGGGGTGGACCATGGGTGAAGAATGATCTGCAACACACATCAATGGGCATCATCTGGTGGTCGGCCGGTATGGTCGGAATGTGGCTTAGCCGAAAGAGGGACGGCAGTGCGAAGCGCAATCTTATTCCAGGAATTGTCATCTTTTTGACTGGTTGGGCCATGTCTGGTCATCCGCAAGAGCTGCATCTTTCGACAATGATCCACGCAGTATTCGGCTACACTCTCATGGGCGCAGGTGCGGCAAGGTGTGTGGAAATCGCGTTTGTGCTGAAGGATAAGAATACCTTGTCCGAGGATGGAAGCGATGCCAATAGTTTCCAGTATTTGCCGCCATTCGTAAGTTTTCGCTCCGGTTTCCTTGAATGGGGATCCAAAAGGTCACTCTTGTCCTAACAAGCTCTCTCCAATAGCTCCTCTATGCATCAGGCCTGCTTTTCATGAGCGCGACTGAAGAACAAATGCAGCTGCTCACACAGGCTGATGTTTCTCATGTATCATACGTGCTCATCATCTACAGCATAGCTTTCTTGATGTTCTTATGTATGCTCCCCAGCTGCGTCTTCTACTCTGATTTCCAACTTCGTTGATATGCTAATACACTAATCTTTCCATTAGTCGTTCTGGTGCTTTTGCATATCTACACCATGTACGCTTGGTCCAAACCTCAAAAGAACATCAACGCCGCGCCAACGGCCAACGGTGCTCCGAACGGCCATGCGCGCGTCACGTCTGACATGACGCATGTGAGAGACGCTGAAGAGTTTGAGTTGGAAGGCCTCATGTCCGACGAGGACGAGCGCCCTGCTCCTACCAGCACCACAAGCGCAATACCATCTACAAATGAGACTGCCAGACGATAAAACACCACCTTTTTGTTGAAAAGTACCTTATTTAGCATTGCATTTCCGTTCGTGTAAACAGTCGCACATTTTTAATTGAGCGAGGCTCAACCATTGGGTTCTATCTTTGCACCTTACATATTTTATAAATTTGGATCATCAACGGCTTACCACCTGCTCGAGGTTCTCCTTTATGAATTTATAGATTCTATATACCATGTATAAATGATGAAAGCAGCCTTATTCTAAAAAGAAAATAAAATGCGGTATGCTCGATGGCTCACTGTCGTCGTTGATTCTTCAAATTAGAAACTAGGGTATCATGATGCCTCAATGTAAATGCGAGGAATTAAACTGAAAGCGTCGGCTTTTGTCAAGGAAGTTTCAACTCCGAATAAACTTTGCTTGAAATATCGTCGTCCGTATATCACTCACTAGCCCGCACACGCCTCACTCTCCCACAAGATCTCTTATTATTTGCAACACTTCACCGGCGCTCTCCTCGATCGTGTACAATTCTTTTTCGTTCATTTTCCGCAGAACGTACCGCGCGACATCCTTGCTTTCCCGACTTTCCGGACGGCCAATTCCAATACCAATGCGCGCAAATTCATGGTTTGGCATCGCCGCAATGCAAGACTTTATTCCATTGTGGCCTCTGGAGTACGAACATATCAATAAGGACTCCGATTAAAGCGATCGATGCCAATAACACTTACCTTGCGCTTCCTCCAATCTTCAACTTTACCCTTCCCAGTGGTCCCTCCAATTCATCATGTAAAATGACCAATTTCCCTTCCTCGCCAGGTTTTAATCGCCTTGTCCACGTCTTCCATGCTGCACTGACCACCTTTCCTGACGTATTCATCAAGCTCGGACTTTGCCAGAGCGTGAAATTGCTGTCGGAGTAGTTTTTTGGGTTGTGGTCTGCATATATGCTCCTGGTAACCAGACCACCACCCATTGAACTTTCCTTGTGGAATTCCGGATAGGCAAGAATCTCGCGCAGCCTATGCAACACCGTATGCCCGGCGCTGTGCAATGTATTTGTGTACGTCGGAGGCGGGTTACCCAGCGATGCGACAAGGAGGTGCAGGCGGCGGGGGGCCGCCATCGTGTCGGCAGAATGGAACTCTGCGTGGAATTCTGTAACGGGGAAAGGAGATGGGGATTGGTGTGACTTTTGGGTAAAGGATTATTGGTGATAGTATCCTGAGAAGAGTATAAAGCATGCTCTCTGAACATCAACATGGAGGGAATTGTTATCACAATAATCGTCGTTATCAGATAAGATGATCTTGTTATTGTCGTTTCTGGAAGATTCGGCTACGGCATCTCCTTGGTCGGCAGCCCCGACATGTCACGTCACTCGTCCCGGTCAATGAAAGGAGATGCTACTGGATTCGACCTGCATCTTCGACAACATCTCTGTTTTGTTTCCCCTTGTTTCTCTTTGACCTTCACTCTGACTATACTTACTGCAGCTTGACTCGAAATTTCTTCACACCCTGATCTCTCTGCTGGCAGTCATTCATTACAATCTCAGAGCAATTTGCTTCCGGTTCACACCCCGCGATACTATCGCGACATAGACACACGACACCGTTACCTTGTTCAATTGATTCGAAGGTCATTTGAATTCTGGTAATTTCCCACAGGATAGAACAGAAATACCCTTCTGAATATATCTTACGAGCTATTATTTCTTCTCAATTTCTTTTTGAACTCACTCTTATTCTTCTGCACCTTGCTGTTCGATATCCGCGACTTAATATCGTTACCGAGGTCCTGAAGTCCTCATTCCTCATCCCATTTTCACCATGGTAGCTGAAACGAAATTGTACGATTCATTGGGCGTAAGCCCCAGCGCAACACAGGAGGAACTGAAAAAAGCATACCGGTAAGTGTTGAAAAGAATTCTCAGAGCTCAATGTTTTTATTAATTCGATTAAAGGAAGTCGGCCCTCAAGCACCATCCTGACAAAAACAAAGACAATCCCGATGCTTCCGAAAAATTCAAGGGTAAGCAATTGAGTCAATCGCAATGAGTCTATTTTCTGTGACAGATTCTAATTCATCATACAGAGGTTTCCCAGGCGTATGAAATTCTCTCCGATCCCGAGAAGCGGAAAATCTACGATCAGTATGGCCTCGAGTTCCTCATGAAAGGTGGTTCTGCGGAACCTCCACCTGGCGCTGGTGGCATGCCCTTCGAGGCTGGAGGTTTCCCAGGCGGTTTTGGTGGGATGCCCGGTGGCGGCGGAGCACGGACCTTTCATTTCTCGACGGGTGGAGGAAAGCCCAGTGGATTCAGCTTCAGCAGTCCGGAGAGCATATTCGCAAATTTCTTCCGACAAGGTGGTGCTGGAATGGGTGACGATGACGACATCTTTGCTAGTCTTGGTGGTGGCATGGGCGGCGGTATGGGAGGTGGTATGGGAGGCATGGGTGGTGATTTTGCATCCCGCGGTCGGACGCCAAGTGGATTTGGAGGCATGGGTGGTGGCCGAGCGCGACAACCGACACCTGAAGTCACAACGGTAGAGCGTCCCCTGCCACTCACGCTCGAAGAGCTATTCAAAGGCACCCACAAAAAGATGAAGATTAAGCGGAAGACGTTCGACGAGCGGACCGGCAAGCGCACCATGTCCGACAAGATTCTAGAGATGGACATTCGACCAGGCTTGAAAGCCGGTAGTAAAATCAAGTTCAAGGGGGTTGGTGATCAGGAAGAAGGTGGCACCCAAGACCTCCACTTTATCGTCACAGAGGTTAGTTCAAACTTGCCTTCAAAATATTCTGAACCATTGCACGTTTGCTAATTATCTTTATAGAAAGAACACCCTCTCTTCAAGCGTGATAACGACGACATTCGGGCTACCGTTGAGATTGATCTCAAAGAGGCTCTGACGGGCTGGAAACGCACCGTGTCCACCATTGATGGAAAGCAACTGTCGGTATCTGGCTCTGGGCCGACCCAGCCAGGTTTCGAAGAAAAATTCCCCGGTCTCGGTATGCCCAAAAGCAAGAAGCCAAACGAACGAGGAGATTTTGTCGTCGCTGTTAAGGTCAAGTTCCCAAGCAGCTTGACACCGGCTCAGAAAACCCAGCTCAAGGAAATTTTATGAGCGAGGCTTTAGCCTTTTACAGGGCTTTGGGCCCGGTCAAAGGAATAATTGCCAAATCATTTCAACTTAATAATATGACATTGGTGTTTCGGGGTAAATTCGTATTGTATTTCATATCATGTTTTCCATTTTGTTTTTTGCCTCCTATTCAGTGTAATGATACAGCACGACAAGCATTGACGAGTGGACGGAAGCGGTAGCGTTGTTTGCAAAACTTGTTGAAGAGTTCTTTTTCTTGATTTGTTCTTTTCACACCATTGGAATAATGTGCGTTCCTGAACTGCAGCGAGCTTTTTCCTTTCTGTGCTCACGGGGTCAGAAACCAGCAGACCGCGGTGCCTGGATCAGCGAAGCGAGAAACTATTGTTCTTGCTGTGTCTGATAACGATTTCTTTCCCTTCTTTTTCCTTTCTAATATTCTCATCAATCTACTGTAGAGAGTTAGAGCCGGAATGAATATATATTTTGGCCAATAAGCATGCCTTCTACCAAACGACATTTATATGTACACAAGGAGAGATTGAACCATATGTAAATGTTGAAATTCATTTTTGCTCAACTTGATACTTCGATTAACTAACAATTTTGATTGAGAAAATCCCTTACTCAGAAACGCCCTGATGATGCAAATGACTTTCAAATAAAATAACCCTTGCGAGCCTCTTGACAAAAATTTTGACACGAGAAGCGGTGCTTCGCTCTCTCGTACTGAACCTTTCCTTCATGCATGCCATCCTGCCAAACTCTAGCCAGCAAATGTGGACGAATTCTATTTTGCCACAATGCTCACCACGTCCTCGTCCGACACGACGTGGCCCAATCCAACTCTCTGCGGCATGTGTCGAGCACTTGCGCCCCACACAAGCGCGTATTTGAAGGTCTCCTTTAGCGTGCGGTGTACTTGGTCGCAGACATCCTCGATGGTGGACTTGTTGCGCACAATGAGGGCTTCGCTGAAGTCGGGCACTTCGCCTCGTCTGTTTCTCCCAGGTTTGTTAGATGAAAGGCCGTTCAAAGAATAGGAAAATGGGGAGTCTTTAGCTTCCAAATGGTCATTTTGAACCAGCACAAAAGGAAGGGGCTGAAGAAAAAGAGCCATGAAAAAGAAGGCTGAGAGCGCACAAAGGGAGCAGATTGGAGTACGGACCGCTTAGTGTAGACTCGCATGAGCTGCAATTCCTTCCAGCAGCGGTCGACAACATCTTGAATACCAAGATCCAGCTCGCAGCTCATGACTGCAGTGTTGGGTTCGCGGGCAAGCTTATCAAGGAAGTCTAAGCTGACGCTGTCGATTTTGTTGTAGACGTATAGACTATTTCTCCGCCCATGGAAGGGGCATTGGTTTAGTATATCATTGGTTTAAAAAGGGCCGGTTGTGGAAGGGAAAGGGAGAAGGGAAAAAAATTGGAGACAAAGGGGTAGGAGAAAAGAGAAATACCATTTGATGTATTTTCTGTGATCTTTCATGATTACGTCGATGAAGTCATCCACCGTGACTGGAGATATATTAGCCTCATTTTGCGAAAGTCTCATTTAGGGATAGAGACTCGGGGCAAGGGCTTACCATTTTCGTCACGAACGAGCACTTCGCAATTCAGAATCTTGTAATCGCGCAAAATGTTGTAGAGCATTTTCTCGTCTACATATTTGGGAGGGGATTGGAAGGTGATTTTCATCCCACCGGCTTTTTTAGCTTTCAAATAAATGTTCCTAGTAAAAACAAATTGATTTAGTGAGAACCTGGGATGCAGGTAAATTTCATGTCAGGAGGCACCTACGGAGGCTCTCTGTTCAATCGGATACCCACGGCTTCAAGTTCTGCTTCTAGCAGAGCCCTCTGCTCTGCTCGCTTCGTAGCATCGAGAACCATGAGAATCATATCACTTGTCTAGGAAAATAGACGCAACTTGTCAGCATATTATGATTACTCGCATGGTTCTGAGTAATATTATCCGGCTCTTTATATCCTTCACCCCAAAACAAGGGAGACCTACCTTTGCTGCAGAAATGACCTGGCGTCCTCGACCTTTACCTTCGGCAGCACCCTCAATGATACCGGGCAAATCAAGGATCTGGATTTCAGCACCTCCATACTCAAGGACACCAGGAATGGCAGTGAGTGTAGTGAAAGAGTATGCCGCCACTTCACTCCTTGTCTTGGTGATTTTGGATAGAAAAGTGGACTTTCCTACTGAAGGGAAGCCAACGAGCGCTATACGAGCATCTCCACTCTTGCTGACGTCGAAACCTGATCCGCCGCCCCCAGAGGCGCCGGTAGGTTCAAGCAGTTGTGCACGGAGCCGTGCAAGTTTGCTATTCATCCCGTGAGCATACAAGTCAAAATAGGATTTTCCATATGATAGAAGCATATGAGTAAAAAAGTGGTATTACAGACCCTTTCAGAAGACCAAGGTGATATTCTACAAAATCATGTGTCAGTATTAACATGTCTGGTAACATGCTTTTAGTTGAGTGGAGTCTAACCTGTTGCCTTATTCTCTGTGTGCTCGTTAGCCAAACCACCAGATACATATATGATAATCTATTGAGTTGACCTACTCTGAGTCCTCCTCATCTCCTCCTCAATTCTGAATTCGAGACGTCAGCGCCAGAATATCAATCTCCTCGATGAGATTCAATTACTCTTTGATCTTTTCTGTAATGTTCACCATCTTGTCGGCTTTTTACGGCACGTTTCCGGGGCCAAATATCTCTTTCAAATAGCAGCCAAACTTGAAATCTTGGACAGCTTGCCCCAACTATGCTTTAATCCCGTGATTTGATTGATATCAATTCTTGATGGTGGGGCAGCCGTACCGCATCGAATCGATTTGATAAGTTTAGTCGAGAAACTGCGCTAAGGAAGCCTGGCGGCTACCGTAGGCGCACTGCGGGTTCCAACTCTTGGACCGAACTTGTAGCTTAAACTTAGATGAGCGTCTTAACATCCTCAAAATTGACAACTTGATCTATCGATAAGTAGCCGGTTCAGCCTCCTTTACGAAATCATCGTCAGCTTCCAGTACATTATCTTCTTTCAGCTCAAACAGCATGGCGGAGGTGGATACTCCTCCCGTCCCAGATAGTGCAACGGAAGCGCACTCCGCTTCTCGATTACCAGCCGCGGAAGGTGCAATAACAGGAACGCTCGCCACAGCCGGAGATGAAACTGCTTTGACAATAACAGGCGCAGCTGACGGCGACGACGCGCAAGGCCAGAAGAAAATGAAAAAGATGGTGCGACGCAAGCGGCGGCCTGCGCGTGTACAGATTGACCCATCGACAATCAAATCAGAACCGCCACCACAAACAGGTACTATCTTCAATATCTGGTACAACAAGTGGTCCGGTGGAGATCGGGAGGACAAATATCTTTCACAGCATGCCGCTCCATCTCGATGCAATGTTGCGCGGGACTCTGGATATACACGAGCGGACCGAGTTCCTGGATCATATTTTTGCTTGTTCTTCGCACGAGGAGTATGCCCAAAGGGACATGAATGCGAATATCTGCATCGACTGCCGGGCGTGCATGACCTTTTCAACCCGAACGTGGATTGTTTTGGGAGAGATAAGTTTAGTGATTATAGAGATGATATGGGTGGTGTGGGTACTTTCATGAGGCAAAACCGGACGCTGTACATTGGTCGGATACATGTCACGGATGATATAGAAGAGGTGGTCGCACGGCATTTTGCAGAGTGGGGTGAAGTTGAGAGAAGTAAGTGACTCTATTATTTTTACCTTTTTGCAATATCGACGCTTGAATCAATTTGTCTTGCGGGCATCTGGGTTTATAAGCATGCATGTGCCTAGATAAGCAAAACAGTATGTGTTAACACTCATGCGCAGTTCGTGTTCTCAATACCCGCGGTGTGGCATTCGTGACATATACAAATGAAGCCAACTCGCAATTTGCCAAGGAAGCTATGGCACACCAGTCGCTAGACCACTCGGAAATACTCAACGTGCGCTGGGCAACCGTGGATCCCAATCCGATGGCGCAAAAACGCGATGCGCGTCGTCTTGAAGAGCAGGCGGCTGAGGCTGTACGACGCGCCCTTCCAGCAGAGTTCGTCGCCGAGATTGAGGGTAAAGACCCGGAAGCCCGGAAAAGAAAGAAGATTGAAGGAAGTTTTGGACTACAGGGCTATGAAGCACCAGACGAGGTTTGGTATGCTCGACAGCAGGCCGCTGCTGCCGTCGAACCTCCTGCCTTAGAAGGCGGAGAGAAGAAATTGATGATTGAAAATGGCCCCGAAGCTAGCGAGCAGGACGGGTATAAAACTGCTGCCGGTTCAGAAAGTAATGAGATGGGTGGGGGTATCTTGTCGAGCTCGACGCTCAATGCGCTAAAGAATTACTCCAGCCAGGGCCAAAGATCGACTTTCATGTCTAAGCCTGCGGCAGCACCACCAGGTCCCTTAGTAGCCTATGGAAGTGATGACGACAGTGATTGAAGGGAAAAGTTTTCTGTATTCCGATACCAGGGCACGTTTGGGGGCTCTCATCTTTGTATTTCAAGGTATTCATATTGTGTAATATACTTTTGCGGACGTAATGGTCCTCACCAGAAAATGCTAATATATGCATGCATTAAAGCCCGTACAATCGTCATCGTGAAGAAGAAAGGAATCCGCTGTCTAACGACTGTTAGCGGTCGTCAAGATGACCGCCCTAGATCGTAATATATACAGGAGCCTGTCCTGAAATTGTAAATAAATGCATTTCGTGTTACTCCTTTCATCTCTTTGGCCATATCACCTATCACCTCGTGCATCTGCGCTAGGTACTTTCTTTCAGCGACAGGAGCGCTCTGTATGACTCGCCGCCAGCTTTCCGGATCCGAGAGCCGCGTGTCTCGAATCGCATCCAAGAATTCGTCACGGATTTCGATGGCGAGAATCGGCCCATCGAGAAAGCTATTTACGAGTTCATGAGTTCGAGATTGTGCTTACAAAGAGTTAGTAGGCACCTGGCAAAATTTTGTCTGCAGCGCTTACCGGCTTCAATAACGTTTCTTCGATTGCTCTTCTTGCTTTTGTGAGAGTACATCAAGACTCTGACATCCCCTTCCTTTTCGGAGCTATGAGGTTGGGCCTCTTGAGGATTGTGGTATTTGAGCAGTTTTGCTCGCTCATTAGTTCCCTCACGGTGATCTCTCTCGCGAATTTCGGTGCGAAGGTAGGACATTAGGTCCGATTTCCGGATATCAGTGTCTTCTTTACGAACCATACTCCGAACTTTGAGACTCCGCTCGCTGAAGCCTCCAGTGTCCTGTTTGATGATCACAATCCAACTGTGCTTGTCGTCGCGATAGTGAGAAAGCAGCTCATCCGGCTGGCGTGTATCAATAGCCAATTCAGCGCTTATTTCATGATGCCAAAGATATTGTACAAGCTTTATGCCATCAGTGCGCAGTATAGCAGGGTCAAAGCTTGCTATAAGCACATCGCACTATCATCATTGATCAGTTAACTGAGATCGGAAAAGTCGATAGTTATCCTTACCCGGCGGGTCGCCCATTCTCCTTGACCTGCAGGCTCCTCATGCTTTTTCAAAAAGTGCTTAGGTGTTTGTTTCTGAAAGCGCGCCATGGAAGTAAAGAGTTTCTCCCAGCCTAGATTAAAGCCAACGGCGTGGCAATCATGATGCACACCCTGGAGCTTTGGACGATGATCTTGGATCAGGCTGTCATATCGCCCTCCAGCAGCGAAGACGTCTTTTCTCTTTGTGTCATATAAACACTGAAAAAGTATACCTCCCTTATAAAAGCGATCGTTGAAGCTGCTCAAAGGACTGAGGTAGACCTTCCGTTGGACATTAAAATGCTTCAGATATGAAGTCACGGCGGTAATATGAGCGAAAATGGAGGAAGTTTTGTCCAATGTATCAGTGCCCTCAAAAATGGTACGAAGTCGAGCGAATGCCTTTTCTGGTGTATCTAATGAAAAAATTAGTCATGTAGAGAGCAGATGGCGGCCATTAATTACCCCGGAAATCAAAGCGTTCTAGATCATCTAGAGAAGTAGATGGGACACCCAAAGCCGGCGAGCGGAGTTCGTTCCGAATTTTCTGCCAAGTCCATTGTCCAATATTCAGCTTGCTTAGAACCTCCTTCACAGAAGGTCTCTGCGGCAGGGTAATTCGACAAAAACTCATTATAAGCTCTAGAAGATCTGCATGGTTTACGTGAAAACACATCTGAGTCGTTTTGAGGGACGGAAATGCATCTACCACCTCGTCTATGACCTTGATAACCTCCGCCTCTTTCAAAGCGAGATCAAGCGTATCTGGTGAGACAATGTCAAAGTCGACTTCTCGGTGACTCCGAGGTTGACCGCCCGTATAAAGATCTCTATAGACATTGCCGAAGGCAAAGCTTTTTTGAGCAGAGGGCATCTGACGCGCTACAGCTCTTGCGTTTGGAAGTGTAAGATCGTATGGCAGTTGAAGAAGAGTCCCAGAAGAATCTAGAAGTTGTGCGACGTTGGACGTGTAGTAGTCGGAACGAGGAAAAAGCACGGGACGCTGGACTTCTACCGCCCCATGGCGCCGGAAAATAGAGGTTAATTTATCCTTCACCATGCCCTGAAGTAGCAGTTCATTTGTACCATAGTTCGTGGTAGAACCCATATCCCAAGCATAATCCTTGATCTGCTTTGCAGGTTGTGAGAAAAGCGCGGACATCATCTTTTGAAAGTATGGAGAATTCGAATCCGCCAAACCCTGGATCGCTAGCCGCACAGTTTCGTCTTCGACCTGAAGAGGTAGCTTTCCGCCCTGAAGGAGCTCAATACTACTGGGACGCTCGCTTGGGCGATGGCTGATTAACGACTTGATGATACTTCCCTGGAGCGCCATATCCGGTGTATGGAATTCTGGTGGCAAAACATGCTCTTTTTCTCGCAGTTCTCTGATGACGCGATCACGTTCCATGGCCGTCTTCAGCGGGTAACACATCTCGAAGAATATGATCCCAAGGGAGTACATCTTCATTTACGGTGAGCAAATCTAGTGAAAAAAAAAATGGATGTAGGAACGGAGGCTTACGTCGACCTTCTCAGTGTAATACCCGCTAGCGCTCGATTTGAGCTCAGGTGCCACATATAGAGCAGTGCCTATACTACGCGTCATGTCGCCGTCGACATTCCCGGAAGATGTTCTATCCGCCAAAAAATACTGTCCGCTGGTTGCTAGACCAAAGTCTCCAATGCGAGGGTTGTTTGCCACATCAATAAAAATATTGTCTGGCTTTAGATCACGATGGATTATACCGTGGCCGTGAATATGACTGAGACCTTCAAGGATCTGACGAAACAAACGCCAGCAATCATCCACATTGTGATAGATGCCTTGCCTCAAAAGATCCCGCAATGTCTTACAATATTAGTTTGATGCCAGGCGCAGAGGTTACAGCACTACTCACCTGTCTCTCACAATACTCCATTTGAATATACAGAGTTGTCTTTGTCGATCTTGGGTATCTGCCGCCAGAAGCAGCTTGTTTGCGCATTGATAGATTCCCGTCTTCTGCCCCTTGCACATTGCGGGGACTGATCTCTTCTGTTCCTTCTTCATCAGGATAGGATCCGGAGCTCTCGTCCTCGCTTCCATACCCAAACTCAATCTTAGGATAACCGCTTGAGCTGATGAAGTCGAGTCCGCCGGTGCTTTGCCCAAACTCAAGACTTGGGCCTTCTGTTGGAGATAATATGGAGTCATCAGTAAATGAGATGGCATCTTCATCGTCATTGCCGAGTGCTGAGAAATCTTCCTCCATCCACGCTGTAAAATATCGTACCACGTAGGGATGATTGAGACGCGAGAGCAACATAATTTCAGACAAGACTCCAGTGAGTGACGAAGTTGATTGCTGGGTGATCTTTTTTATGGCATAAAACCGACCATCGAGCTTGTTGCGAGCCTTTACAACCTCACCAAATCCGCCCTTTCCCAGGCGCCCAGCTTCGACGAAATCATTCGCGTACCGAGATAATGCCGCGCCAAGCCCACTGGAATCGTGTCGATTTCGTGAAAGTCGTCGTGTTGGTAGCGACACTGTCGAGGACAATCTCGAACTAGGTTGCGACCCATGAGAAGCTAATATCGGTGCATCGTTCCGCAAAAACTCGCAGGGAAGCAGATCGAAAGCGCTCGATCTTTTCTTAGGATCGGCTTTAAAAAATTTCCGAATAAAATCAAGTAAGGTTTCTGATAGGTCTAGAGTGTCCATCAACGCGCTCGGAGAAGCGTACTTTTGTACTACGCTCAGACCAAACAGCATCTGAAGGAATATAATGCCAAGGTCCCAAATATCAGTCTTTCTAGTCCGCGGCGCGTTTGTTTCCTGCCCGAGTTCAGGAGACAACCAGTATGCCGACTTGGAGTTTCCGATGCTGAAAGTAACATCTTCGCAATCTCGAAGGTCGTGAAGGGCTTTCTGGTAACTGGCGTCTGCCAACTTTATTATCGTGGATCCAGATGAGGGCCGAATGAGCATGACGTTTCCAGCATGTAAATCCCTGTGCACGACGCCATTTCTGTGGTAGAAATCAAGTCCCTCAAGGAGTTGGATCGCGAAGGCTCTAACAATATCGGGTCCCAAAGAGCCGACGATCTCAAGCAGATCATTTAATGAGCCCTTGTTGGCATATTCAGTCAGTATGCTGATCTCCCAGGTGCCGGCAGGCTCGGACAATCCCGTGTCGAAACAGGACGAGATTTTGAAATCAAGAAGATCCAAGACATTCGAATGCCGAAGACTCTTAAGTCTCTCAAGCTCATCTTCCAAAGCCCGAACCTGCCTCTTAAGTCCGGCAGGGTCCGTAAAGCTAGGCTTAAGCCGTGCCTGCTTTAGAATAAGAATGGGGGCCTGCTCACTATCACCTGCTGTGTGTGGTCGCACAGTGACGACTTCTGTAACACATCCGCGATGCAAGGAAGCCATCTTCACCACCGTTCGGAAAGCAATGATATTACCGTCGTCGTCTTTAACACTACTTAAGCGGTCAAAGGACAACAATCTTGGGCGATCGGTCTGCATGTCTTCCGGTCTTGCAAGTTCTGCCCCTGCTGGTCTGCTTTTCCTCTTTGCATCCCGCGCCTTATCTTTTCTTCGCTTCATTTCCTCTTCGAGCATCTGGCCTAGAACGCGTTCTTCCTCAAGATTCTCTTCCCGCTTTTTCCTTCGCAAAGCCTCTTCGTGTTCCTGAGCCAGCTTGCTAGTTGCAGCTTCCTGGACTGCCCTTTCCTCTTCCAAGCTAGGCATATCAATCTCTCCTGCTTTCGATTGAGCTGCATCTTCAAGTGTCTCCTCTATTGAAACAGCAATCTCATATATCATTTCTGAGCCAAGTAAAGACTTTGGTAGATCTCTGATCGTATCTTCGATTAGTGCTAGAGGCTTTCGTCGAACGCCTTGAGCACGCTCAATAGAAAGTATTGGAAGAGATTTAGGGTAAGTTGCTGTCATCGTCACGGCAAGGTCAACCTGGATGGAGGGGTCGGCCTTGGATTTGAGGTGAAGCTTGAATGAACGGTCTGCCGATTTCTTGAGAATACGGAGTCAGCCTTACTTTTTCCTTGGTTTCAGTACAGTTATATCATGCTAAGAGACCTACACTCCATGCAGCCGCCTTGCTTTTCACGTCTTCATAGTCCTCCATATAGATAGAACGTAACGCTTCGATTTCGTCGTTCTGTGTTTCAGAATAATCCAGATGGACCGGGGCAAGAGGAGACATTGAAACGGCAGGCATAGTCTGCGCCTTGCCTGGCGATTTCCCAAGCTCGGGAAAACCATGATCGCGACCATGGTTCTGCGATGCAGTCTTTTTCCAGGGAGTTGTTGGAGGTGGCATAATGGGCTATCACTCAACAAGTAATGCATGAGCGGGATCGCTTCCAGGGACGGCCAATTTGGTTACCCCGATAGAAAGCATTGCAGCCGAAGCTGCAGCCCTTCAGAAGTTGGAGTAATACATAATGTCTATACAATCAATGAAACTTCTTGGTAAGTAAGTAATGACGGCGATAGCAAAGCAGATAGGGCGGTGACGGATGGGAGGCGAAGAGGGTCTCTAAAGCCCGACCTTCACCGCCTAAGTTTCGGCTGGAGAGGAGACGAGGGGTCTTAGTTAAGGTAGCAGGGTAGTCTCCGCCAGCGAAGTACTCGGTACCTTCGTCCCATGCTTGATGGATAAGATAACTGGTGAGTTATCTTGGCAAGCGCAGTAGCTTCTGATGAATCAGCCAATCACGATTGCCTTGAGGCGCCCCAGCCAGCAAGCTTACTGCCGGGTAAACAAACGTTCCAACGCGACAGCCAACACACTCAAGTTCGTTCATTCTCAAGGGAAATTCTTCACTTGACCGAGTCTTCCTACGTGCTGTCACCTGAGATGTTGATGCGTATTATTTGGAGGACAGTCATCTAGTCTCATCTATATTCGAAATTGAAGGAATGCTTGGGTGGTTAACGGGACCTTCGCGTCCGAACGAGGACATGGATGGCCCAGAAACAAGTATGTTGACCGTTTAGCATAATTTCTGACCCAGCTAATATCAAAGCAGCCTTGAACCAGTCGTCGCTACCTGAGCCTCCTGAGACACCAGCACCTGTTTTCGCACTGAGGGCTTTCAAAACGGCTCTCTTCGGAACACCACACCAGCCTACTCCTGAGGCGCGTCGAAGTGTCGATGTTGAAGACGTTAATATACATAAATCGCGACTTACCAAAGATAATCGCGTATCTCCACAAGAATCGACACCCGTTCGGCGTGAAGCGAAGCAATCAGAAAACCAAGATGTAGCTCCGAACCCGGCAAAAAAGGTTGTCCCTTTCACGTCGCCTGCAAGACCAGCTGGTATTTTATTAACTCCTGGTACTGGCACTACACGTCGAAAGACCGTCTCTTTCGGAGACGGAGTAGTTGATAATGAAGGCAAACGGAGAGGGCTTGCCGGCAGAAGCGGTCTTCCGAATGACTTCCCTGGAAAGTTTCCCAGCCCTTGGACGCCCAGGGATGCCAACACAGACACCAAGCGCAAGAGAAACTCTTTCACCGAGGCATTATATGAAGTCAGCTCCCTCAAGCCGATGCGATCTTGCGATGCTAAGGGAGCCATTGGCGATCAGTCTGAGCCAAGTAATATAAATGTCGGAAGTACCAAGCCGAGACGAACAGTTAAGACCAATCATGGCTCGCAGCAGGATACTCTCGAGGGAAATGAACCTACCATAGATCTCGTCGACCCGAAGTCACAGTCAGGACGCTATTGGAAGCTTGAATATGAGCAGTATGCTTCGCGGACGAAAAAAGAGATGAAGAGACTCATCAAATACAAGCAGCTCGCGAAATCCTACGCGAAGAAGAAGGACATGGAGGCGATAAATTTAGGTGAGAAGTTAAGGGATGAGAAGGAGAAAGTCTCAAAAATGGAGAAACAGATATCTAGTCTCGCGGCGGAATTAGCGCTGCTTCGACATAAGGATGGCGGGGCAGACGCAGAGCAGGCGGAAATGATGAAACACCTTACCCAGAAAACTGCATTGGCTCTAGAATACAAGCAAAGGGTAAATGAATTCGAAGCTGCTTTAGAGGAAGGAAATGGCCTGAATGTTGGCCACATGGGAAAAAGAAATGCGTCTCCTGGCACCACAGATACGATTACTCAAGCAAGTTTAGAGCTAAAGAAAGCTCGAGAGCAAGCAAACGAGATAAATTCTTTGCGGGAAGATCTTGCCCTCTTACAAAGGACTCTTCGAGGTGTTGAGGCAAAAGCAAACCGACTAGATGAAGAGAAGCAATCCCTTGAGAATCTTCTCGCAAAAGCCAAGGATAGTTACGAGAATTCTCGGCAAGGAGAGGCAGAAGACGATCGACAAACACCCCCGCAACAGCAACTTGAAGCGCAGATCGAGGAATACAAACATCTCCTAGCTCAGGCGAGAGTCGAACGTCACCAGACGAAGAAGGCCGTGAAAGAACGCTTTGCGGAGCGTGAGTCAGAATTGCGCCGTGAAATTTCTTCACTCAGGGCAGATCTGACTTTCGCCCGGGAAGCGCTTGGAGGGAAATGCAATTTTCAGACAGATTTAGGCCCTAAAGAGCGGGCATGGTACGAAAATGTGATCGGGGATCTACAAAAGCAAATACAGGCTTTGAGGTCCAGAAGCGATGTAGGTGATCAAGGATTTAATTTGAGTGAGTCGGAGCAAGCACATCGCGAGACGGCTCAAGGCACCCTTCATGCGACAAATGAGCGTTCATTGGTGCTGTCCAATACAGAACAAAAGAAATCTCATCCCACTGGGACAGCAGCGGTTGAGAAATCAGATGTTGACGTTTGGTTGCTGGATAACCCACGTCGCCAAATCGGGCGTGCAGCCCGCTCACGCTCTACATCTAATGCTCCTCCTCAAAGGATGAACAAGAATCCCGGTGCGGGCATGGGTAAGCCTGGCGGAGAGCGCCCTCTTGGGGAGTTGAGTTTAAACCCGAAGACCGAGTTTGATGAAGATGATGATCGCTTATCATCACCGAACAAACTTGAATCTGAGGACCACGCTCAATCGTTCAATCTTTCAATACCTGCGCTCCCATCGCCAGAAATGACATCTATAAGCTCAGTTGCGCCAGTGGAGAAACAGCAGCGGTCAAACGATGATGGTACAACTCCTGGAAAGACCTTTTCGCAACGAACTTCAAGCCCACAACACCATCGTGCATCACGATCTACGGCTGGGCTTGGTGTGACGCCAGTAAGCAAGCCATTGAAGCGCAGAGATATAAGCTTCACGGGCCATGAACACACAGAGCGGAAGCTCGATCTAATCAGTAAGAATAGCAATGAGCAGAGTCGAAGGAGGCTTTCCATGGACCCAGGCCGCGCAGCCGCTGCCCAAGCACGGATTGCAGAAAGGCAGAGACTCCGTGAGCAAAAGCGGACGAACAAAGAAAATGTGCATGCATAAAAGAGAAGTCATCAAAGCGGGCGTTGGGGGGGAGTATACATAAGATCGAGTCGATAATTTTTTTTTTTTTTTTTTTTTGCCCAGCGATAAATGCACCGGCTGCAAATGTTTTTTGATAGTAAAGGTGTTGTAATAATGACATTTTAAACCAATAATCGATCGTGGCTGGTCAAGATACCAACGACACCATTTGGAGATTAATGCCGCCATAATTCAAGCTCGTAGACTATTCTTTTTAAATCTCACTGAATTTTGCCTGTGAAAGTCATGTCCGCTCACCTGTTGCACTTCAAGTGAGACATAGGCTGGAATCAAACTGCTTAAACTCGAGCGAGGATACTTCTTGTGCAGATGGGCAACGCCTCCGCATTTGACTTACGCTTGTGTTGAAAGAAACAGGAGTTCCGTCTCATGTGATGAATGTGCTGTAAAACCATGCTTGGGTCTACTCTTTTCGAAGGTAACAGGGAAGGCTGAAGGTCACACTCTTTAATGCAAGACTACCTACCTGAGGTAGACGTCAGCGCCCTTCAAAGGTTCACATGGCCGCTTTGTCCCACCATTATTATTAGGAAAGGCCAATCTGCTCTCCCTTGCAAGACATGAAGTTGGTGCGCGTCAAAAAATTCCACGCGGGACGGATACGATAAGGCGAGTATATTATAGAGCGAAAACTCTCGCCAGCCCTGTGCGGTACAGTATCAGTTATCCCTGACACGGGATGTAGATCAAGTGGCCGGTGAAACCTTTTCCCCAAAGCTGCATGGTTTCTGGCTCGAACTCTATTCGCCACCGGATAAATGCGAGTTGCGAGTACTTTCATTGTGACTCTACAAAGTCTAGAATAATGTAGAGATGACTTCGATTCCAATCGGTTCGGACGGAGTGGCAATCGACCGAAAAAACCTCCGATGTCCCGTGCAAACGCCCTGTCCCTTTCTATTGTCTCTTTCTCGGAGAATGACCGTCATCAAAATAATTTGAATGAACTGGAACCGCCTGGCCGCCTACTGTCATTTTCTCGACACTGCATCATCACTTCTCGCATACTCCTTTACCTTTTACCTGTATCCTAACCCTTTATATTTGTCCCGCCTTTTCCTCTTTCATTTCTCACTAATACCGACTCTATTGCCCCACCAAAGCCCCCGACCCCATACAATAACAATCAGCCTTCCTGTAGACATACCAGCCGAACGTATCGCTTTCTTTTCGTGGTAGCCCAGGCAACTCATATACTCATTCTTCAAACATGTCGGAACGCATTCTGATGAATGAGTACAAAACATTGTCCAAGGAGCCTTGGGTTAATATCGAGGTGGGTTGTAGTACAGACATCACTGTGGCCGGCATGGGCATTTTTACTAACCGTCCGTGACAGTTCAATGAAGAAAACATTCTTGAATGGACAGTTGCTTTGATTGTTCTCAATCCAGATTCCCTTTACTATGGTGGTTATTTCAAGGCCAAGATGACCTTCCCCAAAAATTATCCTTACTCGCCCCCCGGTAAGATAGTTCCACCCTCGAGATCAATCCGTTCAATGCCGATTCTAACAGCCTGCATGTAGATTTCAAGTTTCTCCGTCCGCTCTATCATCCGAATATCTATCCTGATGGAAAGTTGTGTATTTCCATTCTTCATGCTCCCGGCGAGGATGAAATGTCTGGCGAGAGCGCTGCCGAACGCTGGTCTCCGGCGCAACGTGTCGAGTCGGTTCTGATATCTATTTTATCGCTACTTGATGACGCCGAAGTGTCCTCTCCCGCCAATGTCGACGCCGGCATCATGCTCCGCAAGAATCCGATCGAATACAAGGCTTTGGTCCGGAAGGATGTGGAAACTGCAAAGAAGGACATTCCAGAGGGCTTTATTATGCCTTCGGCGGAACAGCTGAACAAGCCCAAAGAGAAAGAAGACGACCGCGAGTTCTGGTACGATTCAGACGATGATCATGATCTTGGCGGAAGCGATTCGGACGCAGAAATGACGTTTGACGAAGACGATGAGGACGACGAAGATCAGGATCCCGACAGTGCCACCGAGGGCGAATAAGCAAGTGAAATATCTGGTCTTATTGCAGATGGATGCTTTGCAGATCAGTAGCTTGGAATTCTCGCATCGCGCGGCCTTGCTTCTTTGCCGGCAAAGAAGCCCCTTGGCTGCGGTGATGAAAGAGATCCAGGCCATCGACTACTCTAGGATCTTGTGGCATATGTTTCATGTTACATGCGTGGCGTTGTGGGAATCATCATGGAAGCATAGCGTTGGTTGAATTCTGTTTTTGCCTTTTGCTGCAATGTCGGCTCCACTTGTTGCATTTTCAGCCGGATATATTAGAGATCTTCCTTCTCATTTCAACGTAAATGTCATTTGGTATGTCTGAGCCTGTATGCTGGACTTGCATGGCCTTCAATCGGCAAACCTATGACGGCATCATCCTCTTTTCTTATTTTATCAGCGTCATCTACATAGAACAAATGATCATTCTCCGCAGATTTCTTCTATTTTCGACAATTAAACTATAGCATTTTAGATTGATTCTGCAGAATATCCAACCTGTAGATATTCTTCTGCAAATTACTACAATAAGAATTTGTTGACATGCTGCCATGTGCTACTTCCCTCGTGCTGACAGAGATAAAAAGGGTTCAATGATATGGTGTGTTAATATTTCCTTGTTAGGATTAGCGTTGCGTTATCCGGGGGAGACTTGGGTTACGCATGGATGTGGTCGAGGCACATGGGACCAAGCTCTGGTATTTACTCGAATGCTCTACGTCAATTGCTTAACCTTTCCCCCCAATCGTCGTCACCTTTGGTCCAAAATAGAGAAAACTTCTTTCCAACCAGCTCCTTTAGCCGAGGTTACAATTTTGATTATTGACTGCGGAACATTTGCCAGAGCTCTGTTTTCCTAAGCTTAGTTGTCGAACTTAGAACTTCGGCCACAATGAACCAGGAGCCAGCAGAAGATGCTGTCGATTTGGTCATGGCTGTCATAGGAGTGGGCCGGAGCGAAGCTATTCAGAAGTTGAAGGTATATTTCCCATGCTCATAAATGATATCAGGTTCCTTGTCGTTGAAGAAATTTAGGCAAACGGAAATGACACTGAAAGAGCGATCAACGCTCACTATGAAAATCCGAGCGCGGATGAAGCGCAAGTACGTCATCTCCATAGCTCATGTCCATTTCGTAACCCTAATGTAGTCTCCAGCAAATGGGTCCTCTCTGGGACGAGAATGCATTTCATTCGGACAAAACGAAGGTGGATTGCCAGAATCAAAACGTGCCGTGTGAGTAAGTTTCGGTCCGGTTGAGAGAGCCTTGGTGTCTCATTCATCTCGCATATCATGATAACTAATTTCACTCTTTATTTGAAGCTTTCAATCTCCGTCCGCCTTCCGAAACCCTAGGTTCAAACATATTTGGTGCTGCACCTTCTAGACCTCCTTCGCGAGTGAGCCATCGGGGTGATCGAGATATAATCGACCTAACAAGTGACAGCCCCAAAGGTGAGCCAACTAGAGTGCAATACGCTGAATAAAATACTGAATGAATTTAGTAAATCCTAATCATGCCTTGACTCACGCCGAGCGGGAAGAACAAGAATTACAGCAGGCTATGGCGCTTTCAATGGGAGGCTTGTCACAAGAGAGTGGAGTAGCACCTGCGCCGGGTCCGTATTTTGGGCCTGCAAGCAGAGATCATTACGACTCGAGCAAATGGGCGCTGACCCATACCGGATCTACTCATGAGATTATTTTGAATCCTGAGCCCGCCGACCGCAAGCGAGAGAGAGATGAGCCTCCCTTTATGAAACCTTCGACGGTTGCATTTTATTTGTCTTCTTTGATCACCATCCTCCATGCCATACCGTTAGCAAGGGAAGCCTTGTTGCTACGTGAGCATCTTTTGAATGATTATGGTTATAATAGCGAATGGTGGGATGGAGCACCAGTACAAGTGCCGAGGGTCGTCAATGTTGGCGATCAGCAACATGATTGGGAGGCAGATGAGGTTCTGTATGAAACACAGCGGCTCATGGCGTTTCTAGACTTGACGAAACGCTCTTACGGCAGTGTGGAGGTTTTGGCAAATCTCAAATCCATTCAGGATCAGAACATGGATGCCCAATTAGCGAATTATTTGAAGGCCTGGCAGGATGCAGCAAGCAGAAACATTCCTGGTCGAAATTTCCCAAGCCTTTTCCAGTCTGTTGGAGTTCGAAAATCAATGGGGGAAGATCAGCAGGTTCTGGATACGATGCCATTTTTTACCCTCGATATTGGTGTCGACGAAGAGATCGCCGATAAGGATTTAACACTCTACGCGGCGCTCGACGAACTTATATGGAGTGATACTGAAGAAGATTTGCAAACCGAGGAGACGTACCTCGAATCCATTGGAGATATCTTTATTATGAAAGTCTCTCGCCAGAGTCCTCAGGGCTCAGGGCTTGGAATTCGAATTCCGGCTGTTTGGTATCCTGACAGGTATCTGGAACGATGTAGAGAAGCTGCCACAGGCATGCGGATCAGCAAGGCGGAGATTGGGAAGCTCATACGTCAAACACAACAAATTGAGACAAGATTGACTGAGTTGGTCTGCCACCGCACTCCAACGAGGGAAAATAAGGTTCTGGACGCGAGAAAGCTGCTCGAAACGGTTATTGCATCTTTTGAACAGGAAACTCTATCAACAACAGACGAATCCGTGGAAGGATCAGATGGTGCATTACCTCCACCAACGCGCGCTTCAACAGGCTCAATGATGGTAAAAGAACTCAAGGCAGTCTATGAGAGCGTCAATTCGAAACTTAGATGTGGGTGGCTATATTGACTAATATTTTTGTCCGCCTTCCACTAACGGCACTTGGGCAGCTTTGGAGAAGCAGAGAGAAGAAGCGCATAACATGCTCAAGGATCTTTCGACCCTCCTTACACAGCCTAACGACAACGACCCTCAACAATCTCCTACTGAGAAATATACTCTTCGTGGCGTATCTACTGACCCCCAAATCACTTATGTCCTGTGTCCTTGTGATCCTGAAGCCACAGATAGCACACCTGATGCAGAAAATAGAGGTTGGCAATGGTGGAAGCTAAGCTATACTCCCACGGATTCTAAGCCCGTTTCCAAGGTGGTAAGTCATATTCGTTCTGCAAATTGGCGGTTCATCTTTTAATGCATCGGCGATACACAGAAGGTTCGCGAAACACAGGTGCTTAAGGCTGCCAGAGAGGAGAGTAGGTCAGCGCTCCTGGTTTACGCCAGCGAAACGGCAGCTAGCGGAGCGAGCATTGATGAACTACCAACTCCATTGAAGGTGCGCATTGCCCTTTTGAAAGTTCTTTTCTCGTTTCATCTCAGATAGGAGGCGAAATGCACTGACGCTCAAGTACAGAAGTTCGTCCATGCCGATAACCACACTTTTTCCTTAGAGGTGGACATCCCACCATCACCAGTCTCACCTCCCCGAACGTCTCCTAAACGCAAAGCTAGCGACAGCGAAGAGGATCTCATTGACCTTCATCCCTCGCCTTTTCCAGGCGCACAAAGTCACGAACCAAGATCAGCCTCGAAAACCCAAGCAGAACCAGAACTTCCACTCGAAAACCATCTCCGAGAATTCGATTCTCCCATCCCTGTCTCCATTACAAGACATATTCCAGACACTGTTAATCCTATCGATTACGCCGAGCCGCCGCGACACCTGGCTCCGCCTTTCCAAGCGTCAGCCCCGCTGTCTTCGCCTGGGGATACCGAAAAGCATTATCCACCACGACTGGCTTCTCCGCCGACTTCGGCACCATCGCAGAAAAGACAAACTGATCGGCAAGATCCAGATGAGCCGAATGTGGTAGCCAATCAAATAATGCAGACGCACGTACCTTAGACGAAAATCGAAAGTGGAATTAAGCCGAGAGAAAACGACAAGAAAGAAATGAGACTGAGAAGTAGAAAGAGAAGGAGCAGTCGCTCGTCCGTCATGGCGCTAATCACACTCGCCGTCGTTCCCTGTTGTTCTATATGCGGGGGTCATCTTATCACCATCCAATGCCAAGTTCAACCAGCAGGAGCACAAAATTATCTGGCTTTGTCTATTCGTCGTCGTTCTTTCCCACAATGGTTGCTTGGTCGATGGTGCCTGATCACCTGGCCTTCGTCGTCAACTTAAGTCCGGTAACGACAAAATTCTGTAACGGCAAGGTAGATGCGAAAACCCCGTACAGCTTTTTCCCCTTCAGTCTACTGCTTTGGAGCGATTTGTATATATCTATGTTCAGATAACAACTTTGGTATCGTTAGATAATCATTCTAAAATGAAGTGAAGAATCTCTCACCTCGTTGTGCTTCACAAGTGTACGCTGTAGACATTTAGCATTTGTGATAAGTACGAGTGCCACATCGTTTAATAGGGAAATTTTACTAAAGATCAGTATGGAATAAATGAGCTGTCTATATCCTTTTGCAGTATACGACCCAACAATAAGAGAAGAAAAAACATGAGTGGCAAATATGCGTGTACGGCCCAATTTTCTTCTCTTCCCGCCATGTTTTCTTCATTTTGGTTTCAGGTGTAAGAACTTTCTAGTTTTCCCTTCATTGAATTGAGACATTTTCTATGCAGTCGATCGTCGTGTGGAGCAATAATGTTTCTCTTATGTTCAAGTGGAACACGTTGAACGTGTGATTCCTGGGCGCTGGCCGCTGGGAGCTTCTAGTCTGGCGATCGGATGGTCCCTATTGAGAGGTTAGTCTGAAGGGTTAGTCTGGACTCTTAGTATTCTCCATGGCCTCGCTGGAGAAGCTTGTTTTCATAACATAGTAGTCATAGCACAGCAATTCATTTTATAGCATGGTGATGTTGAAAGAATTGAGATTCCAGGACCATCTTGACTCCTTATATGATTGAGCTGCATGCAAGGGCTTAATTACTTATGCAAGGGTCAATTAATCAATGCAAGGTCCTCTCTTTGTTTTGTGCTATGTTTTACTAGAAGGTGGACTTTGAACTATTTTGTATATTAAGGGTATAGGGTATAGAGTTACTGGTATGGTATGGTACATATAGTATGGTATGCATAGTATAGATAGTATAAGAATTAAAATTCAGTCTGTTAAAGCTTTGCTTTCTCCCTCCTTCACTCCCTAAATTTCATTAAAATAAACATGATTTTTATAATAAAGCTATACATTGTATATTAGAAATGTATCAACCCTGAAGCATATAGCATAAAAATTGAGCTAGATAAGTTAAATTTTAAATTCTTAACTACATTAGTTAAAGCTTTCACTGTAATCTAGTAAACATCATTCATGCTTCTGCTCTGGACCCTGTGTCAAACCTCAGCATGAGGAGGCCAGAGGGGGGCTGGGGGGAGGGGGGTAAGGGGGGCCACAGGAGACTGTTTCATGACATGATACATGCATCCAGACCTACTTACACCTTGCAGCAGAGCTGCAGAACCCTCGCATAGAAGTGGTGATGCCTTGCACAGAGGCATATATCATCGACCGATCAGGCAATGTCCACCTCTAGCGCGGTTCAAAGTATTTTTTATTATTGTTAATTTTACACTTGGGAAACTGGTTTTCCAGCACACGTGAATTCAAAGTAAATTTAAATTACAATTGACAAAGCAAAACTTTGAAAGTAAGTGGCAGCAAGCAGGTCTATTACGTGAAACATTATTTATATCGTCAATCGTAATTCCCATTTAGTTTTCGGAAACTTCAGCTAGAGGATGGTTCTCCGCAATCTTGAATTTTTTTCCCCTACCCCTTTACACGCTTGCCTGAGAATTTTAAGAAATATTTTGCCCTGTCCGTGCCCATTCATTGATTCATACCCTTAAATAATATGTAACACCTCAAGATGCAAAGTCAAGAGTGAGAAGAAGAAATGTACACTTCAGCAATAAAGAAACATTTGAAATATTGATTGGAAGCTGATGGGAAAAGGCTCTGAGAGACATATATGTGGGCCTGACGAGATAAAATAAGCCCTGTGGGTAATATGGACATGGAATGAGAATAAGAATGGCAAAGCAAAGCTGATAGAACGTAGTAGAAATAAACATTGGAAAATTTAAACTAGGTACAAGGGTCTAGCTCCAAAGAAGGCATGATTGCGTGAAAAAGAATAGAAAAGGCCATCAAAGCTCAATAGCATCATCCATGCTTATTCCAGACTTTTCTTCTTGTTGCTTTTGTAGTTCGGTTGCAGCCGTCGCAAAACCAGGTGGGTCGCGCAGAGGTTGTTTGCCTTTTCTTTGTCGTTGAGCAATGCTTTGTGGCTCTCTCTCTGCAAGGTCACTCCCACTCGCGGGTCTAGTGAACCGTGAGAATAGATCCCCAGCCTCACCGAGCGGGGTGCTAGAAATGAGTGGATCCGCCGATAATTTTGTGCCTTGAGTAGTCTGAAATGTCTTCGCGATTGGAGTCGTAGAAAATGTAGCTGAGACAGGAAATGTGTAATTTGTCTCCTGTCCAGTGACGCTTGCAGCGTCATGTTTATTTCGCGCAGATTCTTCTTGGAAAAAGCGAATAGTATCGTCCATTGCTTCCCGCACGCCGCGCATTTGCGCGAAAAGTTGCTCATCTTCGTCATCGAGTGCGGTGGTTTGCTGGCGTTCATGTCCTGGAAATGGTGGCAGCGAACCTGTACTTTTCGGAGCCGAGAAGTCCAGCTTGGCCATTTTCCGGGCGCCCAAATTTGTGCTACTCTTGGCAGGGGAGTGATCGTTATCTCGCCCCGAACTTGAAGTGGAGCAAGGATTGAATGTTTCATTGGCAGCAGCAATGGCTTCTTCCATCCCAACTGTCTCATAAACCTTGCCATTCTCGCACTCACGGTCCTCTCGAGAACGCTTCTTGCTTGGGCCATTGCTTGTGTTCTGCGACATTCTCAGGAAGGACGGCGATGATGGAGAGAAGGAAGTAGACAAAATTGCTGGCTTTGATATATGCGGGATGCTCTTCTCATGGTCTCTCGCTCCGGAACGGGTGTTTGAGGGTGATTGCTGTGAAAACGATAGCGGAGAAGATAATCGAGACGGAGACTGCGAAGTTGAAAGGGTAACATTTGGATCCAAGCCTAGCGCTTTCATTTTGAAGTATGGAGCTTGGGTTGTGTCTTGCTTTGCGGGTCTGTTCTCAGGAACAAGCTTTCGGGCTCTGGCAATAACGGAGCTACTCAGTAATGAATCGCCGGACAAAAAAGAGAGACTCTGTAATGATCTATTGAACGGTGCGGTATTTTCTTTGCGTATTCCAGCAAAAGATCTCAACAATGGAGCATTTGTGGAGCTGATGCTGCTAATGGTGGAGCGGCGGCCGCGGTGTCCCAGTACTGAGATCCGTTCTGGGGAAAATTCGACGCCTGAAGCTGAGGTTGTTGGTGATAGATGAGCGCGTGGGCGGGTCACGGGATGTTGGCTTGATTTCGACTCCAGTGAGCCCTTCTGCTTTGTCAGATCATACGTCAAAGGTCGCGTTGATTTTTGAGAAAGAAGGTCGACTGTGGATTTCTGCAGTGAACGGCTCGGAGTTTCGGCCACGAGAGGTTTTTGTAGAAGAGATATCACGTTGTCTGGCGTCTCGCTTCGACGTCTCTTTTCGCGCGCGACCAACTTTGCATCTTCTGCAAACCTTTGTCGTCTCTCTTTGCTTTTGCGTAAGAGTCGTAGTTTCCAGCAGATCTCCCTCCAACGCTTGACGTAACGGCGAGCGACAATATTTCGACGGAACGCGTCTTTCTAAAATTAGCTCCTGGATAAGCAAAAGAATCGAGTTGGCGAAATCTAACCTGCTTCGTTCATCACTGCTTCATTTTTCATATGCGCTTGAGCCTGGCGTATTATTGGTCCAATGGTATGCTCCACCAATTGTTCAAGCAATCCATATGATTCTAAAAACAGAGATGAGGCGATCTGGTCGAGCGTCTTATCCATTACTGCTTTTCTGCTGAGGTCATGACCACCCTGGTCGGGGTTTCGCTCTGTAGATCCAACTGCAAGTCCGACATCAGGTCTGCTAGGCTTCTGCGGACCATTCTCCGTCCTTCTTCTGACATATTGGGATTCCGTAGGGGCCACGTGCTTGTTTAGAGGATCCAATTCTTTGATCGAAGCAGGGCTCCCAGGCGAGGCATCGTCAATATCATTCGATTGGCAGTTAGATTGGAAGAGTGTTGAATGATAAGAACGCTCTGTGAGAGGCGGGCGTGAAGTGCTAAGGGGGGATGAATGCTGGCGCTTTTCGGATGCTACCACAAAACTTGGCGAAGTGGAAGTCTTAAAAGGCGAAGGAGGCTGGTCTTGGAACGCTGGTGTGTTTGAAACCTCTGCGGTTTGGGAAATTGCCAATGGCGTCGAACTGGACTTTACTTGGGGTCTGTGGGGGTCGAAGATTGATGATGGTGATGCAACCGGTGCCGTTGGCGCTGCTGTTGACAATCCAGAGGTAAAAGGAGTCGGATAAGAAGTCGTTTTGGAGCTAGAGGGCTCGCTTGGTACCTGCCTTCCATTTCCCTCGGACGTTGTATCAAGAGACGGCGGCTGTTGAGTGGCTGTTGTTATTTGTGAGGTATCTAGTTTCCCAAACAAGGCGCCCGCAAACGGCCTTGGCGCGGGTACGGAACTGAAGCCAGCAGCGAATGGATTGATCGAACCAGATGGAGACTTAGGTACTGAAGGTTGCCAAGTCTGCATCGGCTGGAAAGGATTACTTAAAGGAGACGGTGCTTTTGCTTTATTCAGTGGGTCCGAAACTGCAGGGGAAGAGAAATTCAATGGCGAAGTTGAAGATTTGGCGGTTGGCGTTGAACCAAAAGGGTTGCTAGAAATAGCACTGGAATGGGGAGCAGAGAGAGGATTCGACAAAGGTGAGGTAATCTCAGACGAGTGATCTCCTGCCGATGAACGAGCCAGGTTTGCAACCGGCTCCGTTGGCTTGAATGAAACTGCGAACGGATTGAGCGCAGAAGACATAACTGATGCTTCTGTCCCAGCATCCAGCTGATCGCTCGCGTCTGCATCCAATGGTTCTTCATCTTCAGAATCTTCGGTTACAAAGAGAGAGTCATTCTTGTTCGGAGACATCGTTTCATCGCCAACTACGGCAGCCTCATCAATCATGCCAGCCTGTTCGGCGGCAATCGCAGTCATTCCATTAATCACTGATGATAAGGTCCGTCCGTATCTCTTCTTCTCAACCAAACTACGAGAGAAGAATTGTTTCGGTGGGGGGTTTGGGTCTCAAAGCTGTCAGCAATATGTTCAAGAGGATTGTCAAATGTTTCTCCTTACCAAGGAGGTCCCGCCCAGAATTCGGACCAATCTCAAGATATTCTTCGTTATCAGCCCGTTCTGAGATCGTCAGGCCGTAGGCCTCGCAGAATATTCTAACTTCATCATCATCATCGAACCCAAGGACAGGCACTAGGTCGTTCAGTGTCCAGTCTTCGGTCTTTGCATGCCCCCCTTGCTTATAGGCCCTCATAATTGAGGAAAGAGCCGCTTTTCGAACGTGATTGAAGTAGATCTCGGCGACGCAAGCCATCAAATAAGAGATCTCTTGGGAACCCACGGTTGACCAAAATCGACCATAATTCCCTTGCGCAACTGAGTACCCTGTGTAAGGTTGGAGAGGGCCCTGCTCTTCGACGACACTAGTAGCAGCAGCATATATTTTCAGCGCTCTTTGAACACGCGGATCCCAAAATATCTCCTTCGGCCAGCGCTGAGCGCGTTCCTCGGTATCCGGGCAACGCTCACGGATCTGAAATATGATACAATACGCTCGAAATTCGGCCTCATTGGGGGATTCCAATATGCCTCGGCTATCGTCGTAATAGTACATTAATGAAAGAAGCGTTTTGTCTAGCTGCTCTTGTTCTTGGTGGTTTGTGTATTCTGCATAGGCATTTCCAGGGATAGATAGATGGTGAAGTGAGAGTATATGGAATCTGGCGATGCGCTCATAACACTCGATAGCAATCCTAACATCTGGAGCCTTGGTGAGCTGTTGGATTGAAAAGTCGTTTCGGACGGCCCTTGTTCTATCCCAGACAAAATGGTGAACGTCTCCTAATCGTTCGCAATTGCCGACCACATCATGAAAAAGGTAATCCAAGGTTTTCTTTGTACAGTCAGATAGAGCTCTGCAGAGTATCGGGACAATCTATCGGCACGAACCTTCAGTACGTGTGGAGGACGAATATCCGAGGGTAGCTGCTCGTCATGTCCAGCCGCGGATCGGCGAAATTTCTTAACCATCAGGTCTTCACAAGGCACTAAACGATTTGTAGCCCCAGCAGTAATCTGCCATAAACCGGGTTAGAAAGGATTCCGGCGAAAAAGGAATTTGAGAACTACCTTTTCTGGGCCTTTCACCTCATTCTGTACAATCCGCTCCACCCGCTCGAATTCAGCACACATATCCTGACAAGTGCCAACAGGGGTAATAGCATCGGCCAGCGACATAGCTTTAGTCGGATCTGCCAGCATGCCCTTTGCGATAGCATCTCGCCGTTCCCTTTCCCGTTCTTTTTTAAGCTACGTAATGACGTCGGCAAAGGTCACTATAGAACATCTCTCAGTGAACTAAACGATGAGGCAAAGCTTACCTGCTGATAAAACTCATTCATTCTCTGCTGATAGGTATTACTATCCTCTCTTGTCGCGTCCCTCCAGCTTTCACCTGTTTTGATGCTCATTCCACCATTGACATTTTGCGCGAAGCGCACTTGTTTGTTCTGCGAAGCGCCGACATTTTTCTTGTTGCCAGCTCTCGCTGGCCCAGGAGTAGCAGCTGAAAGAGAGGAGCGAGTTCCGCCTCTGGCCCCCCGAGCTTCCATGCCATTTGCTCCAGTATCAATGCGAGCTCTGCTACCTCGCCCACCCCTCCCACCACCGCGAACAGCAGCTCTTGAGCGTTGCGATGCAGCTGATGCATTGGTCTCCCCAAGGTTTATTTGAGGAGGCATCTCCGCGCTGTTTTATCTAAGTAGTGTGCCGAGAACCATGCGGAATGTTGTTCCTCGAGCGCTGTGCTAGACACTATCAAATCAGGTGGTTACTACTTGATCATGCCAGACAAAGAAATTCATTGCTGGTTTGATGAGACTAATGAGACTTGGTAGTAAAGATTAGACTCTACAATGTAAACCTAATGGTTCTGTCAGCATCTGTAGCCGAACAACAGAGCCGTTTCAAGTCGGCGCCAAATCAATTTCTTGAAGTAGAATAGAAACTGTTGTCCAATGATATAAATCTGTTTCTTGAGAGTCGTGCCGCGTCCAATAGGCTCAATGAATTCAACGTAGATGCCGTGCGATAGATGGTCGAGTGCCAGCGATGGTTGTTTTACAACTTGGATTTTCAACGCTGTCGCGAATGGCAAGAACCAGCGCAATGCCGGCCGGTCCAGTATCGCGATCGTAAGCTAGAGAAGTGTCGTACACAGGCACTCTTCTGGTTGACAAAAGTGGAATAATGTGCAAAAGGCGATTGCAAGGGCGCGATCTTTCGGGGTCTCCACTGATGAACGACGAAAACGGATATGAGAGCCACCGCGTCACTGGTGGATGACTGAATCTCTTCCAAATGTAGAAGGCCCGTAAATCAGAGTAAATTGGAGGGTGGATAATAGTTGATCTCTCCGTTATTTGTCTTGAAAGAATCGTGTTGTGCTTGTTTTGTGGCGTGTCCTTCCACAACAGAGGTAACTGAACCAACCACGTCGATACGATTGTGTCTGGTCAGCCTCACTGGAAGCGATAACGGCTATGTTTTTGCCATATACGTTTTTAGCACTCCGACAAGATGGTCAACCACCGCGAGTGTGGAATATCCAGTCGAAAAAAAAATAGAGTCGATAGTAGACCCTCGTCTTGTCACGAAATCGTCTGCAAGTTGAAACGCGACTCTGCAAGCTTCTCGTCAGACTGGGGTGGGGAGCTACTGAAGTACGAAAGTACAACTACGGGGAGTATTACTGTACCTCCGTGCAGTAGTATGGTGCGCAAGGCTGCGGCAAGCGGGAGCCGTGCCTCATGGACCCTCTACAACAGTGTTGGTCAACAAAGTCATCATATTACTCTTGATAACAAGAACACCTTTGCCTGTGAATCTATTGCACCTATTTGGTCCGTTTTATTTGCCTTTTGCACAAGTAGGCTTTAAATAATATGCAGAACAATCTCATATCTATGAAATGTCCGAAAAAATTCACGAACCATAATGAGAGGAAATGATGTTTCAATGCTCACAAGAGGAGTCGCCATTCATTGCTTTTCGCATATGTTGCTGTGTTGCCTTCCCAAAATGTCTCCTGAAATACAACATATCAGAGTACCGCATCCTCAAGCCTTCATCATGAAACGCTTTAGGGAGAGGCAGGCAACAGAAGAATCAGAAAAACCGAAAGAAAATAAGTAATACTGCTAGTTGAAAAAAGCCGATGAGGTGTTCCTCTTTGATTGCAAATATTCATCCTCCCAATCGAAAAGAAGAAGACCGCCCATCCCTTTCGCTATGCTTCTCTATAACTAATTGCAGAAACAAAAATGTAATTTTCCTTTTCCCTTCCACCACACTCAAAGCCAACACCCACCCTATTAGGAACGGATGCTATCAGGGGGAACAAAATCAAGGCATGCGCAGGGAGTGCAGAGAGAATACCACCATGCACGAATGAAAATAGCTTGATAAAAACAGAAGACGACAGGCAGCCAACCGAAATTTCAACAAGAATGAGCTCGCTGTACGCTTAGAGATCAAGAATATAAAAAAAAGAACCGAAAAGGTACCGAAAGTCCCAAAAGACCGCTGAGATATTTTGATCATTTATTTAGGATATAGGTGTAGAGTGCCAGAAAGGCAATGTCAAGTGGCGCGATTCATGAGAGGACAAAATATATTAAAGCCAGGTTTATGCGATGCAAAAAATTCGTCCAAGCAAGGTTGCATAAAACGATATCTTTGGAAGAAAAGGCGTTAAAAGGTCGTATCATATGTCATTTCGTCATCAATCCGTAGCTTAAAAATGGTGATTTTCTTATTTGCTGAGCGAATCATTCGCGTTAAGCTGAAGATAATTTCGTTGCATTTCGTCTTGGAGCAGATCGTAACCGTGTCCCGGAAGCCCGTGAGGATGGCTTAATGACCCAGTGCGAAATGACGCACCTTGCACATGGCCATCGTAAGGTGGTTGTACCCTTGCTCCGAGCAGATCGGGTAATGGTGCTTGTGGCGCCGGCTGCTGCACCATCGGTGGAAGTGCGCCCTGTGAGTGTGGTGGCGGATGAGGCAGCTGAAAGGTTGCGGAACAGAGTGGTTGATTCGATGTGGTGCCATGCACCGGGCTATACGTGTACGAAAGTTGCCCACTGATGGCACCATTAATTGAGGGAGACGGCCATTGTTGATAGAGGCTAGTTTGAGCATTTGTACTTTGAGGATAAGCTCGGTCTCGCAAAGCAGGACCACCAGGGTTTGGAGGTGCAAACGTAGTTCCTCGAGGCAGGTAGCTCATACCAGGTTGCAATTGAATTCCTGAGCTTTCCATATAAGCAATGGAATCCTCTATTGGCATCGAATTCGGATATTGTTGCTGATAATCACAAGGAGTCATAGAGGCACGGTGTGGCTCTGCTACTTGACGGGGAACGACTTGGTAAAACTCTGGGCCGTTAGACAGGGATGCTGGGGAGGTTGACGCCACTGAGTGCTGGTCTGAGCGACTGCGCGGCAACGCTAATTGATTAATCGGAGACACCATGTGCGCGGCAATATCCTGACGTGAGGCAGCGGCTTCCGGTCCCTCAAAACTACCGTTGCTTGGCAAAGCTATCTCTTCTGTATCGGTAGAGGGATTTCGCTCTCTGGGGCTTTTCACGGCTTTATCGGACGGCATCACAGAGATGAGGGTATCGGCATCTATAATGATAAGCCTTCTGATTTGGCAGTGGCTTTGGCCTCCTGAAAACTATACCTATTTCTCCACGGACGTATCGCTCTTCTTCCTTAGCAACTCGATATATCTCATCCAATATTGGCCGCTTCTCGGGAGGCTTGATGGTGTTGATGATTTCATTTGTGGATGCTTGTAGTTTGCTGACCGTGATATTCTTGGACGTATCGGTTTTCCATAGCCGCAGCATCGTCATAAGAAGCTTCAGTCGCTCTGCCGGCCATTAGCATTTCTGGTAAGACAATGACGCTTCAGTCATGACGAACCTGGTTTTTTCAAATGATCTGGCTCTCGATGACGACAGTCTTTGGGCCACCACGGCGGACCATTAGTCTCACTGTCTTTGTACGGCCAATTAGTCTGCTTTTTGGGCTCGATAACCTTGATCCAGGCTTTCGCGACAGCTTTGCAATTTAGCTGCTGAAATTGCTTGAAGCGGCTATCATAGTATTCGTCTAACGCCTTGGTATCTCCCACTTCAATCTGCTCGCACATGATCTCGTCTGATCGCCCGACCGAGTCGCTGTCTACAGGTGAATCACTGTCGTCCGCTGGTCCCCATCGGACCTCTCTGAAATGGGTCGCGCTTGATTTGCGACGTTTTGCCGGCCTAGATTGTCTCTCCACGATGACCCCTTTGCTCACCTCCGAGCGCTTGGACGAATGTCCGTGAAGTAACGGTGGACTTTCAGATCGATAGTTGTCGAGAAAACTTGGAAACTTATCATCTTGCACTGTCTTCTTGGGAACTTTAAAATTTGGGTTAGCAGCTCGTTACGGGTAATTCACAAGTAGCAATGAGCCATAATGGAAACCCACCTCTTGGTCCGCCATCGGCGAGCTGCTGATTGACGATCTGCTCAAAACGCTCTCGGGCCTCGCGAGGAAATATGATCTTACCATGCCGTTCGAGCATGGGTGAAACGTGTGTTCTCAGTTGGCCCCGCTCATCGATCAACATCATGGCAAATGCCTTGTGATGGACGTTGCACTCATCCTTGAGGGCTTTCGAGATGCTCTAAATATAAATTCCCGTCAGCTCTTCCAACAGGCAGCTCTTCCAACAGGGAACAGATTATTCAACGAGTGATATAGTAATGGAAGAGGCACTGCACACGAACCGGGGGGCGAATACGTACCAGTGGGAAACGATTTTGCAAAGGCCTGGCGTAGTGATTGTGTGCCACTGATGGCACAGGCAGGTCATGCTCCCCATTCAATTTAGAGGACGCGCCTGAAAGATGGCGAACCATGGCGGGAAAAAGTAGATTGCAAGAGGCAACAATTCTAAAATATTAAAGCAACGCTCATAAAAGGATAAGACGGCCGCGCGAAAGGACTGGAGAAAGAGTTAGAACATAAAAGGGTCCAGGAAACCCAGCGGGGGAATTTGGCAAATGAGCAGTCGGAGTGGTTAACAATCTTCAGGCAAGACGAGAATCACAGACAACTAGGAGAAGTTTGGCCATCCACGAAGGACCAAACCATGGAACATGGGAAGGCGACCTTTTGAGTTCGGGACTAGATTAACTGGCATGTCAGTCTAATGGAAGCAAAGACATGGGCCTTGGCCCTCGACATCCCTGAATACCCGCTGGGGAGGATTTAGCGAGACACCGGCGCTCTCGCCCCGATATTCCCCAGAAAGACGAGCCGCAGTCCGCAAGGTACGTACGGCTATGGCCCACGGGTGCGACGCTTTAGTAAATGAATGGCCCAAAGCTCCTTAGTCAGATCGACGTTCTCAGTCTCCACTTTGCAGGAGTCCGAAATGGATCCTCTCAGCGGACGGGATGAGACGTGAGAAGCAGCCGATCGGCCCTGGCCTTTTGAGTCCTCTCCCTCTCTTCCCTAGATCGGTAGATTCTCCGTCAAGACTAGGGCAACGCCAGATACCCGTACGTCACCCCTGTGGGGAAAGGGTCGGGCGGGGAAGAGATCGCATGGTGCGAATGTCACACCCACACGAGAAGAAGACAAGTGTTGTGGCAAACAAGACAGGTAAAAGATAGTGGGCAACGGAAATAAAAGACAGATTGAGGAGCAAATGAAGAACAGAGACTAGTGCTTACCGGAAGAGGCAGCGAACAAAGGCTGCTGAATTACTCACGATGCTGAGAAGCGCACGTGGTTCGTAGAGATGATGCTCTGTTCCTTGTTCCTGGAAGACAGCCGAAAGAGCCCTTGATCAACGAAAATTTCGCAAAAATATCGAGTATACGCCGTACAAAGTGAACGAGTAGTTGAATCGATCAAAATGGGTCCTTGTCAGTTGTCGTCGCTTGCAGAAGGTGGTGTTAGGATGTCCAAATTAAAGAATAAAAAGACAATTTGAATGTCCACAACGTCGAGAATGGGTCCGTTGCCTGCGATGACCGAGGTGGAATGGGGCTTGAACTAAGTCACTTTCTTCAAACCTCGCACGGATCGCGAACTCAGACGGCGAGGTTTGCGTCGCAGGGTAAGGAGAGTCGCCAAGCTGTAAGTGTGTTGGACTGAAGGTGCTCAGTTGGAAAAGTTAGGTCAGACTGAACGCTGAAAAGCGTCAGGTTGGTGAGGTGGAGGATAAGAAGCAGACTGGTAGTGGTTGGAGGACCGAGCGGCACTCCCTACTGTAGACGCGAAGAAACCGAGTACAAGGGCCAGATGGTGCCAGTCTGAGGACTGGTCGATTAAAGGCTACCAGAACTTGGGGCAGAGTTGAAAGAAAGCGACTCTCAGGCCGCTCGAAAGAGGCTATCAAGGGAATTATCAGAAGAGAAGGTTAAAGATGGACAGATCAACCCAGCAGGCTGTCGAGGCAGATATAAGGCCTTGGACACGCCGTCATCATACTGGGGTACCAATATGATAAATTATCGAGATTAAACAGTCCGCAGAGCGGGCGCACAACTACTACTGTCGAGAAAAAGATCGGTAGTAGCAGGGATCCGCATGTTCTACGCAAAAGGTGCCGAATAGACAAGGTATTTTCTCATCCAAGGATACGCAACGAGCATGGGACTAAACCGGGGGGGTGACAGGCAGATGGTGGGGGAGCGGAAGGTATGCGCGAGAATGAGAGGGGGAAACGGGAGAGACTACATAAACAGGGTGCAAGGAGATCAGTACCCCCAGAGCTCAGGGCTCGTCTCACTGACCATAGCTCCTGGGGTTACTTGGAGACGAAGGACGGGGACCCGCCGATGCAGCTGGTTCAGAAACGTCTGGAGGGAAGAAGAAAAGTACAGTCTGTCCTGTATGCTTGGTACAGAGATATTTTCCCGTAATTTCGTACATGCGACTTCGAGCGCAGGGGGCCGAGAATCAAGTCGGTTCGCCCATATGGAGAAGGAAGAGGAGATTATTTCTAGGGCCTGATCGGTCTAGGTCTCGTTTTGTTTCTGGGTCTGGGTATTTCGCCTCCTGGGATCTTTTGGGATGGCAAGACGGACACTAGCAAGATGGACTAAGTGGTAAGAACAACAGGGAGACGCGTGGAACTAAAGCTGGAGGACCCAGCTAGCTACTACGGGCGGAACACGGTACCGTAGCTCGAATAAGGTGCCATGGAGTGTCAGGACGGTGGGCGTCAAGACTGGACGAGCCGAGATCGCCTGATGCGCCCGGTAGACGCAGGAGGGTTCACGTCGAGCGAGGTCCTGAATTACAGTACAAATGTAGAACGGTTAAAGTTATGGAAGTTTGGAAGATGGACAGACAAGGGGTCCGAGCGTGAGAAAGAAGTGGAAAATATAGACGAGCAGATGAAGCGGGGGGATGAGGGAGGCCGCAGGAAGAAGATTCCCATGGTTGAGCGAAATGGTAGGTAAAACTCTTGAAGTGCTTCGTGATCATACTGAGGTAATCGTTGGGGTTCCAATTCAAGTAAAGCTCCACCTGCTGAGCATTCAGCCTTTCTTCTAGGAAAAAAGAGATTGAAGCACCGTCCAATGTGCTGAAAAGTCAAGGTTTGGCCACAGATCACCATACCTACAGATACGGATGTGTAGTCTACGGACTACTGGGGCATAACATGGCGGTAAATCCCTTCAGTCCAACGGCTTGAGGATTTTCTCTCTGCAAGGAAATGGGGCAATTGAAGGACAGGCACCAAGCATTTAAAAAAGTGGAGCGGGACGTTGAACGACTGAAACCGTTTAGAAGCGTTAAATAATGGAAACTGTAGCTAAACGGTGGTCCGTTGAGCTGGGGTTGGAGTATTTCCAAATTGAAGAAGATCGCTGGTTATAGGAAGCTTTGGCCCCAGAACAGGGACCCAGTCAATGATCCACAAGAAAGAAAAATATGTGTGTGCCCACATCTTCTTGGAAGACCCCGGCATGTCGGAGATATTTCTGTGCGGTCGGTGAAACAAATTGCGTTTGTTATCAGCTAACTTAAGGCATTTAATAGTATTAGAAACGAAGCGCGTAGGGTACCTACCGGGCCTACCAGTCTACCTACCTAGGTACCTAAGGTAGGTAGATACCTTACCTACTCCGTACGTTTCAGTAAATTGGCAAGCGCATGCACGTCATACCGTATCAAGACCAGAGTCCTCCTGAATCAAGTCGGTCTCGAAGTCTTTGATGGCCAGGATTACTTCAGGGATAGAAGTATCCAGAAAATGTTCCGGGGGCCAAGTAGCTCTGTGAAGCGATTGTTGTAATGAACAGTGACGATCACCCAATTCGAGGCATCAGAGAGGTGAGAAGGGCCAGGTCGGGGGCACAACTGGTGTGGGACATACAAGCCGGAAAGGAAGGAAGAGGAGACAAAAGATCGGGACATCGGATTCAACGCCCTCATCGACGCTAAAGGCACCAACAGATTGGCCTGCATTGATCCTTCCCTCGATCATTAGTCTGGATTATTATTCGCGACGAGATGCTTTGTGGATACGTCAATACCCAAGTCAATGCATGAGTGCGTTGGACCAACTAACGACCTTTGCTCATTTGACAATTCAGGGGCCAGGACCCTCACTCCGGTACGAGGACTGTCCTCCCAAGTCAGCTATCCAATTTTGGTCATCGATAACACTGCTACCGCGGATCGATCCAAACTCTATCGATCTAGTGCACTTTCCTTCCGGGCTGCATTTTACTCTCTAGGGCTCGGAAGGGTCAAAACAGCCGACCCCAGTGGACAAGTTCATTCCCCATCGATTTCCAATTCTCCACTTCCCGACTGACGTGCATGAGCCAAGGCCCTGTCAGGCTACGTCGTCATGGCCGATCCGACAAAGCGTGCTGGGAAGAAAGCCAGTCATCAATGGATGGGCGATGCCGGCACCATGCAACCTGATGCTAGTTGCAGCGCATCACGAATAGAGAGTCATGTGTCGAAGGCTTTTGACCGCTGAGTAAAACCATTGTTGTAGTGAATTGACCAATAGTGTCAATAAGTTTACAGGCTTGTCAGGGTCCCGCCGCACAATCGAGCTCCGTTTCCCCCCAGCCTTCGCCTGGTCCGGCGCAAGGATGAAACGCAATTCAAAAGCGCGCGGTTCTTTCATCCGAGAGCAGCCTCGGGGCGTATCATTATCCCAAGTGCAGTACAACCTGGCCACACTGGAAGAAAATTCGCCATATCTTTGCTGTCTACATCATCATCATTTTCATCTGCGACCATGACAGATCTGGCCCCGTGCGTTGGGTTTAGTTTGCCAAAGTGCACGCGCATATGAAGACTTCTGAAGGCCTTGAAATGTACATTCTTTTCTCCTACCAATTCATTCACAAAACACTCAAACGGGGAGGGAAGAATACCAATATAATTGGGCCTCGACATTTCTTACGAGCTTGTTGGTGGCTAATCCTAAGTCTTATCATAACTTCCTCTATGAACTATTCGTAGTTTTTCCTGGTAATAGCTTAGTCGTGGAGGATAATAGGAATATAAATATCGGTTTCGCGTGGCACATGCACTGGAGCAGACAAGAGCAGACCTTGATTTGCCATGGTTGTGATCTTGGATAACCAAAGTACCGCTTTAAAAGAGCGGCGTCCCTTCTGTTCTGGCCAACATAGAGGGGTTTTGAGGCGCATGGCAGATTCGTCCAGCCAACTATCAACTGGTCTAACTGGATGGTCATCGTCGCACAAGGCTAACAGTAAGGTAGAAATTCAACACCGGAGAAGGCCATCAAACTTTCTGGAATTTTGCTCGTAAAACTACCTAGCTGTCCCTTTTCTATTTTTTCTTCGAGTGGATTCGGTGATAGCTCATGACAACCAGAAACTTGAAGCGTTTCAGTGAAAGGCACATCAACGATCCTATCCTAGTACCGAAAATTCAATCCGAGGACAGCTTCAGTACTGCTGGCGACCGTTTGGTCCGCTTCAACGTCTTGCATGCGGCAGAATTAGATGCTCAACCTGCCTTTCACCGACTGAATCCTTGTTGACTGACGCTTGAACATGCGGCTTGTCGATCTCTTTATGCACATCGCCATGTTTCTCCTGTACAGGTATACGTTATAGGTGCGCCCTCCCTCTCGGTGTATCAAATCATGTCTCTTCGCGTAAGCAGGCTGGTCATTCGCTGAATCACTGTAGGCGAAAGAATGATCAATCAGTAAGTTCACAAAGTGGCCAGCACACCCGTGACTGGGGTATGCACTGTTGCGGAAGATAGCCCTTCGAGCACGAGTCATACCAATATATGGGACGGAAGCGGGATGGAGGGACTCAGCCGTCATGCACTACCTATGTATGTCCCATTTTTGCTTTTTATCATTGTTCCATACCTAGGTCATCTGCCCATAGCCCGCATTGCCTGCTCTACATCCAGCTGCACCAAGGGTAGATAGCCTTTAATGCATCTACGGCCCGCTGGCTTAACACTTAATGCGTGCCTTTACAAAACCCTCCCGCCTACAACATCCCCCAAACAGGCTCTCCAAGATCATACCTGTTAATTTTACAAATTGAAAATTTTGCATCACCAAAAAAAAAACCTTTTGAGAGTTTCGATAGAAATCTCCGTCGTGTCCAGGACTCACATTACTCGTATTCCTCGATTCTAGGCTTCCTTGCACTTCCATCAGTTTTATCATTAAACCGTCAAGATGACTGCTTGGGAGCCGGGATCAACAGATTGAGGTGATGGTTAAGCGGCAAAGACCGCGAAAGCATTTAGGAACTTCCAATTGCAAGCGATATAGGACTGTTTGCCAATGAGTGAAACACTGAGATTTCTGTTCAGCGAGTGGGGGTGAGGAGTCCATCTCGGGTTATAATAAAAAGATGTAAATATTTTCCAGCCTCTCCCGCCTCTGACCGCTTCTCATCTCTACTATTGCATATATATCTTGCATGTCCAACAATCCTGGGTGCCGCCATTTTATCGCTGCTCAATATGATTTCCCCTGCTGAAATTAACTTTATCACCACAACGAGGCGCACGGGGGGATGGTTCGGAAGGCGTTCAGCTGGTCCGCTAAGTAACAAAGGCGTCAAGCAAAAAGGAAAGAACCCAGCCGCTCGGTCAAGCAGTCTACCCGGATGCTTGAAGAGTGGCATTGCAAAGTTTTGAAACAGGTCGTGCAGTATCCTGTCTGGCATTTCATCACCTTGACAAACTGTTCGGAGCGCAACCTCAAAAGATAGTCGAACTGATGGGAAGCCGAGAACAATGCTCTACCAAGTCAATTTAAAAAGTTGCCCTAGCTCTGCCGCCTTCAGGCTGAGTTTCTTCCACTGCGCCGACCAGTGCAAGGTCTCCCGCTGGGGTCGCCGGTCGTCTACGCTCGGACCAGGATCGTTCGCTCGCTCCGGGGGAAGCAAATAGGAGTATCAAGATACTGTGTAGATGCAGATCCACTTTCGAACGACTAATTTCAATTGCAAAAAAAAAAAAAATCACTACAATAAAACAATAAAACAATAAAACAATAACAGCATACAGCAGATTAGGTAGTGAAGAAAATAAAGAGAGAGAGAGAGAGAGAGAGAGAGAAGGGGGGAACGGGGAGTAAAGTATTATGTCTGCGGGTTTGTCAGGTTGTAAAATAGCTTCGACGCATAGTGGCCAGTGATAAACTTATACAGTATGTCCTCCAGGAGTGGTAATGTTAAGATAAATTCCGTGCTTCAAAGGAGTAAATTCCACTTGGGTACGTGTCAATTTTCCTCGCGAATGCGTTGATAATGTCTCTCATTCGTCAGAATGTACACTTCTGCCTGGTTTCATGCTCTATCTATTCTATGGCACAGCCCCAGAATACAGCATAATTGCCGCTTAGTTCTCCCGTCCATTTGACCTGATTCCGCAGAATGTAATCCTCAGGTATGCTAGCTATACTAGAAAGCAAATTTTTGAAAAGCTGATGATGAAAATGATGTCGCAGCGCGTTTTCCTTTATTTTTGAAACAACTTTTCAGGTTATGAACGACGGATTGCGTAGCAAATATTTACAACGCGGCATATCGTTCGAATCTCCATAAACCGAACAATAATATGAAAATTGTAAAAGTAGACAGGCGCTTTCCCCGCTCCACACCTCACTCCGTAGATCACTAACATCGCTCTAATCAAAAGATTCCGTCCTTTGTGCAGAGCCTAGTATTATGAACCTTGCACGGCAGCACTGTCAAGAAGGTTCGACTCCTTGACAAGCTCGTAAAATATGCCCTTTTGCCGAATCAGTTCCGAGGGAGTATCAAATTCCGCTACTTTACCCCGCTCAAGCACAACAATGCGATCTGAATCTAGAATTGTATTGATACGGTGAGCAATGGTAATGATAGTCCTGTCGGAGAAAATATCGCTTCGCAACGTAGTTTGAAGCATTGCATCGGTTTCAACATCTACGGCAGCCTGCATTCAAAAATTAGCGATTGCGTAAAACCCACGTGATGGAGAGCACAGCTGAAGGCTATTCAAAATCAGGCAATCTATCAGCATACCGTGGCTTCGTCCAGAACAAGGATTTTGCTAGGAGCGAGGAGTGCCCGCGCCAATGAAATGAGTTGGCGCTGGCCTTGGCTAAGATTCGAGCCTGGTTAGAGAGATGAAATTAGCATTTCCTCCGTGCAGAACAAAATTCTAGGATCACTTACCTCCTTCATAGATTTCAGCATCAAGACCACCTTCCATACCCGAGACATGCTCCTTTAATTTGGCATGATCTGTATGATGTCAATGAAATGACGTGAGATGATCAAAGGGGATTTACCTACCTAACACACTCCAGAGCTCGGTGTCATCATGTACATGGCCAGGGTCAAGGTTGTCTCGGACTGTCCCTTCGAACAACGCTGCATCCTGCGGAATGATGGCAAGCCGTCGTCTCAAATCCAGTAAGCCAATAGTAGCGGTGTTCAAGTTATCAATCGAAATAGACCCCTCAACGCCCTCGATAATCCTAAAGAGGGCCAAGGTTAGTGAGCTTTTCCCAGCACCGGTGCGGCCCACCACTCCGATCTTCTCTCGCGGCCGAATGTGTAGATTGATATCTTTGAGAGCCAAGTCTAATTCAGGACGATATCTTGTGCTGTAACTGTGGAACGTGACAGCCCCTTGCGACGGCCAGCTTATAGGAGGACGATGTCTTGCGATGATTTCGGGTGCTTCACTGGGCAGCCTAGCGTATTCCAAGACGCGTTCTACGGATACTATATTAGTCTCAACTTCTACCGTCTGCCGGACAATCCAGTTCAATGATTGTGTAATCTGTAGGGCATATGACATAGCAAGTCCAACCAATCCGGCGGACAGCCCGCTGCCACTGGACACAGACAGAATGGCAAAACCGGCAGCAGCAAGAATGATGACTGAGCCAATGAATTCTAACCGCACAGCAAGCCATCTGTTAGCGCTTATTGAAGGAAAATATGCCCGGAGATTCTCATCAACTCTCCATTCATTTTCCAGCGCAAAGCGCTTCTGCTGATCATATGCTCGGATGGTACTGATGCCGCCGAGGGATTCCTGGAAATGGGCGTAAATGGGACTTTTGCTGACGCTATCAAGGCGCTTCAATTCCCGAGATGTCCTTAGATAATATCTCTGAATATAGAGATAGAGAGCTCCGAGCGGAATAATCAGAGCAATGAAAGCAGGCGTTGATGAGGAGACGACCACAAGTGTAAAGGCAGCTAAAAGGATTTATTAGATTATGAAAACTTGTTAAACTCGAAGGTTTATAGTCACCTCTTGCTGAATTGACGAATAACATGTTAAAACTCCTCCTGCTGCGAGTCAGTATGGGGGAGAAATGGAAGTTCCGCAAAAAATATCAAGATGGATACTCACGCAAGAATTTCATCGACCTTGTAAATGTCACTAGAGAGCTAGATGTTAGCTTATCGACCATGAGGAGTGGAAAATGCGAGACCAGGTTGATGAAATGAAAGGAGGAGCCAAAAAGAGCAATTGAAGGCAAGCACGAGTTTGGAAAACATCCTAGGATTCTAGCAGCGCCTCATCCCGCTTGGTCAAGCCGAGCTATGAATATAGAAATAGAAGTAGAGATGTAAAAGGGGAGCACTGAAGGCGGACAAACCTTGAGAATCGATTTAAGATGCGTCCTGCGGGTGTGGTCTCGAAAAAGCTCATTGGCGATCGGAAGATGGCGAAAGCCATTCGTTCATGGAGCTTTCGCGAAGCCTGTGGCCTATACTTAGCGTGCATCAACAAATGGTCTCTGAATCAGCGAATCATACCTCGATTGAACAAAAAATCCACAATATCAATGTCTGCACAACAACTAACGCGGCACTACCAAAGCCGAAGGAAAAGTATATGCCAATGTATTTGCCGACCTGTGGATTCCCCCCACATTCTTGATTCTTCTCCGCCCAGCGCTTCAGCCAAACACTGCCACCTAGGATTTATTAGTAAGTTGTATGTTTGGAGATGACGCAGAGTGATGGAGGCTTTATGAAGGATATGAGGAATAGGCAGGGAGGCATTGAACAAAAATTGAGTGCAAGCAAATGTTTCGTGACGATAGTGATCACAGATTCCTTGTTTGCTCGGGTCGACCAGCAGAACGACTGATAATGCAACAAAATATACTTACCAATCTGTGCTGTTTGCGCACCCAGAGTGGTAATAAGATAAATAGCCACAGCGACAACATTGCTCGTCTTTGCATATTCCCCGTAGACGCTCCACCTTACTTTCCCCTGCTCGGAAACCTCCTTGCTCTGTTTGCCTTTCGCGCTGCCAGCCTCTTCATCGGACAGCTTGCCACGAGAACCGCGGAAGCTAGCGGTACTGGCACGGCGCAAGGTGGACATGCTTGACTTCCGAGCCGCACCACCGCCTGGTCGAATAGGGGCAAGGTATGGAAGGCCATCCTGCGCTTCATCGGCTTCTTCTTGTTCATCATCGGCACCAGTACCAAAAATAGTAGAAGAATCATCGCTCTCAGAACTGACAAACTCTTTTGCGTCCTCCGTGGTTTGGTCATCGCGGTTGCTAGCAGTCTTAATGAGGTTCGCGATTTCGCCTCTCATGGCCATAAGCTGCTCAAAGGTGCCTTTCTCGACAATGGTATTGTCTCGCAATAGCGCAATGAAGTCAGCCTCCATCAACACCGGGATTGAATTAGTGGCGAGTATTCTGGTCTTTCCTTGAAGCAGGCCATTGGAACCGAGGACCTTGTTGATAATGTGCCGTCCGACGTGTTGATCAACCGCAGACAAGCAATCATCCAAGAGATATATATCAGCCCGGGCATACACAGCTCGAGCGAGAGTCAATCTTGCTTTCTGTCCTCCGCTAAGAGAAATTCCTCGCTCGCCCACTTGAGTCTTATCACCGTCCGGAAGCGCTTGAAAGTCGTCAGTGAGCGCGCATGCGTGCACGGTGCGCTCATAAAACTGAGGATCCCAACGATGACCGAAGACGATGTTCTCTCTGACGCTGGCGTTCATGACCCACGGCGACTGAGCCACGTACGCTCGGCTGCCATGGACAATTACCTCTCCTCTGACCTTCCACAGATCGCCCAAGATAGATTGCAGAAAAGACGACTTGCCCGACCCTACTCTTCCAACAATGCAGCTGAGCTCCCCCTTCCGCGCAGAAAAATTAATCCTCTCAAGTGCGTTCTTGGTTCCGTTTCTATTCCACGTGAAAGTAGCGTCACGAAGTTGAACTGATTCATCTCCAATCTCCGTGACAGGTTCTTTCAGGTGGAGCACTGCATCGGTCTGAATCTCGTCTGCGGTAAAGAAACTTGTCAAGCGCGACACCGCAACGCTGGCCTCAATAATCGAAGTAATTACCATTGGGAGGATCGCTAGGGGGAACGTTAAGAGGTTGAAGAGGGTAAGAGCAGGAAAGACAATCTCTGTAGTTAGAGGCCGGCTCTGTGTGAGCACGAACACGGCAAATGTGGAGCAAGAGACAAGAAATGGGGTAGTGGACCATGTAAAGTTTGCAAATGCCTGTGCTGCACCGATTTTTCGAAGTGTTTTCAGCTCCTGGTCATTCCGAATGAAAGTGAGCTTGTTGATGAAAGCAGTCGTCCAAGCATAGAGCTTGATCGATTTCATGTTGTTAAGAATCTACAAGGCAAAAAGAGGTGTTAGTAAAGGGCAACTCTATCAGAGCTTCGATCAAGAATTGTACCTCCGTCATCAATCTCGTGCGCGAATCTTTATTCTTCATCTGTACTATTTGCAAACGTTTCATGAATCTTGCGATCACACCATTGACTGGGATCATAATAATCATAGCACCAACACCAGCGAGCATACTCAGGCCGAGAAGCTGATACAGGGAGACCATGCATAAGACAATTTGAAATGGTGCAGACCATAACTGCTGGCCAAACTGAGTCAAATCCTGAAGACGTTGAGTATCCACGGCCATGTAATTGACAATATCACCAGTCGACTTTGCTGCGCGACCTTCGTTTGACAGCCTCATAGACTTGGAATAAATTGCCGCCGTCAGACCTGATTTGATCCGCATCCCAGTTTCAAAAGCGCGCTGGAAATATTGATGTAGACAAGCCGTCTGCGAAACAGAAACAGCAAACATAGCCAGTGCTATCGCCGCGCCTCTAATTACAGGCTGCGGATTTTCCGATCGATAAGAATCCACGAAAGATATGAGAAGCCGAAGTAATTGGGGCTGTATGAATGCTAAACAATCACTTCCAGTTTTGAAGATAGCGCCTCGTAGGTACGGTCCACCATAGCCCTTGAACATCACCAGCCACAGCGACGGATGCTTTCGCGTGAGCTCGTGTGCCCAAACCTCCTCAAAAGTCTTGCCATTTGTTTGAGTAGCATCCCGTTTCCGCAGATTCCACAGATCATCTTGAGTAACAAAATTCCGGTATCCAAATTTCATCATCGGCGTCATCCAGCTGAATGAAAGCACGGAAAAAATGGTAGCGTATTCGTGGGGGCATTCGTCTTCGTCTCCGAGTGCGTCATACGCGCTCTGTTTCTTCGGCACTAGCCACTCCAAAACCAATTCGACCACGGCCAGTCCAGTGCTTATACAAAAAGCTAAAAAGTAAGGAAGATGCTGGCGATAAATTTGTTGAGAAACGAGCGAACGAAGTTTGATGCCAAAGGCAATCAGGAGGAATAGCCAGTAGAACAGCGCTACGCCATTGGGTTGGCGGCTTCTTTGGTGCTCCAAAAACTGGATGACAAATATCACTCCAAGGGAAACGAGTGTCAATATAGTGGACCAAAATCGAAAATCCCCAGACCAGACATGTGGATAGTAAACGATTTGAAGCACGGCTTGAACAGTATTGCTGGCAAATAGTGCAGCGATGACAACCTATGCTAGCGTCAATTTGATACTTTCCCTTTAAAGTTCACTCAAGATATGCTCACCAATTTTGCAAAGAAATGCCAGTTCTTCGCCACTGGTTGGGGTGTGTTCTTCTTTAGAAGCCAGAAAATTGCGCCAGCTCCAAAGAGAACTCCATATGCTGATACAGCTGCTATCCATACATCCAAGAAGCAGGGAGTGAAATCATAACGAAAGGGGCTCAATGGGCCCCAGCCTTCAATATTCCCACATAAACGTTCCCGTCGATAAAGCGTCGATCCAAGATAAGTTTGATCGGCGAACTCGAACAACGAAGCTGGGGAATTGAGCACCGTCTGTGAGGTGCTGACAGCTTTCATGCTCATCGCTCTGCTCGCCTTCGTTGTCCAGGGTCTGTCTCATAAAAAGGAGAAGACCTGACCAAGACTTCGTCAGGGATGCTGGGGGAAGAAACCCAATGAGAATAATTTATTTTCGCCTTTCACAACCAGTACGAATCATAGACAAAAGTAACTTGGGGGTTACCATAAGGTAAATCCTAAGTTAGTGCAATACGCTTAATAATTGTTATTAACCGATCCTTTGGGTTAGACGCCTCGAGGCGGTGTAGATTCTCCCCTCGTTCCAGCTGATAACCGATAGGCTTCCCTATGCAACGCGAACGCTTTTTTCGGAGATAGACCATAGGAGGGACAAAAGTAATCAGTATGTTAGCGCCTGAGACGGAACAGGTATCCAGCTTATCTTGGGAAGCCAGCACAACCCCTCTCTATAGGTACCTACATTTTCATTAGAAAAATATACATGAATTTCAAACAATATACCATCAACCGTTCTCCGGAAAGTGCGGCCAACAAACCTGCCGGTTCCTGATTTAGTGCCAACCATATCATAATTGTTCAACTCTTCGGCTAAGTGGTGCCCTCGGTGTAAATTCCATATTCTCCCCGCTGCTGATTTGAACGACAACTGTATCCAACTTGAAGCACTCTCGAATCCAGAATGTTTAGCCACGGTGCTTGTCGCTTCTGCTTGTACCGTATGGTGAGCTCCCTGTACATGATTTTAAGTGATTTGAATATCATCCCTGTCCAAGTTTCAAGTCCATCGGCAATATCGATCCGGAGAACATTGTGAGCTTGACCAGGCTTTTTCACTACCATTGAGCGTTACAGGTCTCTGAGTCATCCTACAAACTCTGAATAACCCGGCAATCTGCCGAAACTTTCTCATCTCATTGGCTTTGCAGGATGACAATGGCATCTTTCATAGTGCTTTATAGACCCAACGTCATATCACATGAAGGCTCCGTCTTCGGAAGATCTGTGTTTTGAGGTTGACGATGGAAAACAATGCTTTTCCTATTGACTCCTTAAAACTGTTTCATTTCCAGCATCTGGTCTTCCAAAGCCCCGCTGAGACATCGACGGGCTATATCAATAGCCATATAGTCACAAAGTTAAAGAGATCATCACACACTCGCTTTTTCAGGATTGTATAGCTTCTCGTACTATGCAGGGCCTGAAAGCTCTCGAGTGCACTCATCTCGATTGTTACTTGAGCTGGCTGCAAGCCATAAGAAACTTTTCATCATTAGGGGAAGATCACAAACATTAATGTAGATAAGGTAACTACGTACTGAGTGAGGTAGGCAGTTAACATTAAGCTTAAGGAACCGTACATAAGGTACGGAGTACGAGTACGGAGTACGCAGTACTCCGTATTACGTCCTCGGTTCCCTGCAAACCCAGCAACAGCGGCCAAGCCTTCATGGCCTCGGAGGCAGCGAGCGGGCAGAGACGCGTATTACCTAAGCCGTCGCTAATCGTACTTTCTAGGGAAAGTGCCCACTTCCCCACGTTCCAGGTTCTCGCCTTCGCCTCTTTCGTTTTGTCAATACTAACAGACCACCCACCCGCCGTGGATTAGAACCTCATCATCTGACCACAGCTCCTTCGCCAAACTGAGTTCCCGTGACTCGGTGAACCGCCGTACTGCTTGCTATCATATTCCAGGCATACAGAGTTGCACGGCACATTAAATTGGCACTTTCTGCATCGAACAGCAGGCGATAAGTTCATTTCTGCTGCAAACGAGGCCTTGCTGTCGTTGTGCTTGTTATTGCAATTTCGACGTGGAGAATCGCCCTTAGGTCGACGCAGTCGTCCCGGCAGCGACTCCATCTCTCCGCTAGGGTCTATCTATCCCGTGATCGCTTCCAGAGTCGCGTTTTGTTTGGTTGTGCCCCAGGTAAGCACAAAAGTTGGTTTCTTATTCCTCAGAATGCAACACCATCTGTTTCGCGTGAAATCATTATGCACCGTCTCCTACATTGTCTGAGCAACGTATCAGTTGTTCTGCCTCACAACATCATGTGCTTTTTCATCATAGATGAAAGAGCACCTAGCTCGTGCAGAGATTCTTTGTAAATGCAGACATAAATTGAACCTCAAGAGCAAAAAGCCATAGTGTATCTTTCAAGTAAGCTAATTAGTTGAGACCTTCTAGAAAACGAGCCACAGCAGGTCATGTGTCATCTACCGTTGCAATAAGACATCGAGTACTCTGTCTGCCAGATTTCCACTAAAAGCTACCACCAACGCCTTTACTCATCGCTTTCTTCAGCTGATTTGAGGCTCCTGGGCATAAATCCCATTGCTTTCAAGTCATATTGTTCCCCATCGCGCAGAATTCGATATAATACACAATTCTTCTTCGTCGCATATACAAATCTGCTCTTTTCTCGTGTTTACTAAACACAAGTGCCATTTCAAACATTCACAGTTTTGTTTGCGTGGGACTGGAGGGCAATACACTCATAATGTCGGATCAGTCGCCCTTTCCCTCCTCGACCACGCATGATGACGAGGGAAAACAGAATTCTGGTTCATTGGGCGATGCTAGTGGTTCGATGAAGCGCAAGCGAGACTCATCAGACCAGGACGAGCACTCAAGGGAGGCTCATAGCACTGGAGATGCGCGACGACGCTCACAATTTAAACGCTTGTCACCCCATATACCTCATGATGGAACTGGTCAGACGCCTGATTTAGGCGATTCTTCGACAAATTCTTTCCTTGTTCATCACAATCCAAGTTCTACCGACGAGGATTTACAGCCTCAGAATACAGGGTTGGATTTCAGTGCTATATCCCATCAACAAGGAGAGCCTCCAAATCAACAAAACGGCAGCTCACATACTTCAGATGCCACCTCGACTGCGGCCGCAGCCCTAGCCGGCATTTATCCGTCCATAACGGTACCCCAATCAACTGAGCTGGCGTTCGCCAATGCAAATCCTGGAGGCGATAGCGATCGGCATATGGAACCGCCGTTTGCAATGGGAGAACACGACGTCAGTCACGGCCAGCATCCGGAACCGAATTTCAACTTGGATGCGTTAAGAGAACCCGGTCAGCATCATATCCGAGATTCCCCAACCAGTGGCATGCCTAACCAAAAGCCAGCCGTTGGGTCGGAGGAGTGGCACAAGGTTCGGCGTGACAATCACAAGGAGGGTACGGTAATCAAGACGCCCCGAACATCTGTCAGGGAAGCTAATCGACCTTTTAGTGGAGCGGAGACGCCGAGAGACTATCAACGAGGGCATCAATGAGTTGGCTAAGATCGTTCCTGGCTGCGAGAAGAACAAAGGATCAATTCTTCAACGTGCCGTCCAATTTATTACTCAGCTCAAGGAGAATGAAGCCCAAAATATTGAAAAGTGGACGCTAGAGAAACTCCTAACAGAGCAGGCTATTGCCGAGTTGAGTGCCACCGTTGAAAAATTAAAAAACGAATGTGAGCGTGCATGGAGAGAGGCGGAGACATGGAAGAAAACTTGTCAGAGTGCCGGCCTTACTCCTCGGCAGTCGGAAGAATCTACCAACGCGAATGGAGGGAACTAGACGTTCTATCGACAGACGGGGTTATCGTCATGGAATCAGTCGGAGACAGATTCTAACTATCTCCTTGACTACGAAATACAGTTAATTCGCAATGGGAGACGCTTCTCCAAAATCTTCCATTTTGAGCAGGCGTCATCAACTCCCTCGCGCTTTTCTTACACCAAAGTATACTCCTTCAATTTTTTTTCTTTGGGAGGCGTGTAGGTTCATTCCCACAGAACTAGGCGGGAGGCTTCTACTTTCCCCTTTCATCATTCTCCTAATGGGTATATGTGTTTTACATACTTTCTCGTAATATTTTTCCAGCTCGTTTTTTTTTTTTTTTTTTCGGTGGTGCAGCGACGGTATTTTCACTTTTATCTAAGGCCAAATAGAGGAACGCAGAGGTGGACAATAACATTAACACTTCGTATTATTTTACGCGCTTAAGGCAAGCCACATCTATGTCCCCTAATGGCGTAGTCTCCCCTAATGTTTTGAGCATCATCAAACCGTTGTCGCCCGTAGAAGCCACATTCGGCAGTACGAAGCATAAATTGGATGAAGGCTTATTCGCAGAAATATTAATTTCGTATCCTTTAGTCAGTGAGTCCCTTCTCCGTTTCTCATATTAGTGTACCTTGTTACATTCCATTTTCATACCTGGAGATCTATCGATACACTATTGGTTAGAGTAGCAAATCGATGGACGCACTAATGAGTGAGCTATATAATCTGGCTGTATTTCAAGAAACAATGACAGCAATCACTGCAAATGCTCTTCACATGCCAGTTGACACTAATCCAAATACGACTTGAGTTTTCGATTGCTACAAAGTACATTGGGCTTATGTTGGAATATGCCAAATTCATCATTCTTGAATTTTCTTCCGTGGGAAGCCGGAAGAGTCGTCACAAGATATGGCCGGAAGCGATAGTAAGCCGTCTACTATAAACCACGTCATTCTCGATTGATATCCAACGGACAGCTTTCGATTGGTCATTTTTGTGTTAACCTCCAGTAAATTACGGATTATAAAAATGCTACACACAGCTTGACAGAGCCTGTGGAATATATGAAAAGCCACTCAACTTTCCAACACTCCGTATTTGGCAGGCTAGAAAATGTGCAATCCTTGTGTCAGCAAATCGATATGTTACAACAAAAGATATCGCATTAAGCAGGGCCATTTGTTCGACGCACCTCTCTTGTATCAACAACCAAACACTCTTCCTGAGCCCTGCCCAGCAAATCAAATATGCGCATTTTTCCGTCTTTTACCCCGATTACCGCCGTTGTCCCGGCGAAGCATATCTCCTCATCCTGTCCACTGCGATTGCAGAAGACAATGATGACATCTCTAGCAATTCTTTGATGGCTCTCTTGCTCTGAGATGTTCAACGGTAGCGGACCAGAATCTTTGGCCTGCGGGTTTTCGGCCGAACTCAATAGACTGCCTTGCTGCTGAGCCACGCCGTGAGGCCTTCGCATCCCATTTTCCTGGTTTCTTCTCGCAAGAAGTGGGCGAAATCGCGCAAGCCAGTAGCTTAACGTCTCCATATCCGGCAACAACTTTTTTTCACTTAGTTGAAGTGATGTCAATTGCGTTGTCCACGCCATGGACAATACAACGAGCGGTGAGCTCGTTTTCATGGCATGAGTGGCAAACTCGTATGACGACCATGGAGCGATAAAACGGTAAGGATTGATGTCCATACCTTAAAAAGTCAACAAAAATTTTCAATCCTCAAAACCTATCGGGATGGTGTTGATAATTCCCAAGGAAATATGGAATAATGTAGATTCAGAAATTTTCGAAAAGGTGTAACTTACAAATTCCCATAGTCACCCTTCCAAGCTTCCCCAGCTCGCCGGCGAAGAAACCTTCCGGACCCTCCTGTGCCCAGTTTTCGTCTGTCTCATACAGAAAGTGTTTCCGATAATTGGCCAATATTGTACCTTCCGGGGATACGGTCACTGCGGAGTTAAAGCGCTGCGCTGGATTATTCAAAGTTATTTCTGGATAACCGACTGTAACGTGGCAGTTCAGCCTCTTCGCAGTTTCCTGGGCCCACCGAGTGCTAGGTCCAGCTGCAGTGGGTTCGAGATAATGTGAGATAGCTGCAAGTGAACGAAAATTGTAACCTGCATTGTGCTGCTCAGGAATAATTCTGCACATTTATGTATACTTCAAAGGCATGACAACGCATAGTGACGAAAACTTCATAAGCGGCAGTGTTGCGCTAACAGCTAAACGCAAATCATTCGCTGAGCATGCTGAAAGGGGTCTGAATAGAAAATCGGGTATTTGAGCTGCACGATTGACACTGGTGCGCCTCATAGGGGAAAATAATATATCGCGAATGCACGGATGATGTTTTTATTGAAAGCCGGATTACTACTTGCCTGTGAATATCATTTCCGGGAGAACCAGAAGATCGATATTGCATGGTGCTGCTTTTCTCAATATCATATCTGCCTTTTCGATATTCTGCGTCACTTTGCCAAGCGCAGGCGCAAACTGTAAACACGCTATACGCATAATGATCTGACTGCCGTGCTGTGCACTACCAACTTCCTAATTGAACCCGAAATTCGGGGTTCCTCTTGTCAATGTCAAAAAGGAAGGTGAAATGAACACGAGCTGGCCTCTTTCTGAGAAAGCTTTCTCTGCTATAGGATAGTAAGCACGAAAGAATGTATCCCCAGTTTGGATCTAACAGGCCGCATACCCTCTCTAAATTCCGGGGGTTATGGCATATGTTACTTAACAAAGAGGCCACAGGATATTTTGAAGTGTAGATACAGGAGATCTCTCGCTTGAGACTTATTAAAAGCGGCAGAATCTACTGTTAGAATGGCTGCTGCATATGAATTAGTCTTGCGCGGATATAAAGCTCTGATAATTTACTGCAGACTCTAGCAAATGTAATGACACGAGCTAACAATGTCAACGGAGATTGCCGGTACCAGGGGAGAGAGTCATCAATTATAGCCACAGATAGGAAAAATCCCATATGTTGAACAGATAGACCCTTTCTTGGCCGTCACGATACTATGAAAAATAATTTGTGCGACATATCATAGCTAATTTCAAATGGCGGGCCGTCGCCTGCTCGATGCTGCGGCTCTACTTTCGGCTTCTCGATCAATCGCGGCGAAGCATGTTACGCTCCGTTCTCGCCAACTCGAGCTTTTTAGCAAAACATCTAGTGTTGCAAAAGCTGCTAAGCATCAGAGTGATCGAGTTACTCTGACTTTTCAAGCTGCAAGTGCGCTTGCTAAGAATTTTAACGAACGTCCAGAGACCGACATCAGTACTTACAACACTACTGCTGGCTTGGGACAAGACCTGGCGCGGGTTTCATCAAACACGAATCAAACGTCACAGCCAGGAACGGAGATTCGGATTCCAGCTCGAGTTGCTGAATTGTCCAAAGAAGTTGGCCCGGAAAGCGACACAGCAGCGCTCTCTGAAGGGCACGATAGAGATGTTTACTACGAGACTCCGAAAGTTGCAGGGGCTGTTTCTTCGAATTCTTCAAGAGCAAAGATTCCCTCAATTGTCGAAAGCACGCAGACCGGCGATGATCATGTAAAAGATGGACAAATTAATGCCGATGTCTATTATTCTTCTCAAGGCCATAATGAGACCGATACAATACCCAGGCGGGAAGCGATTCCGGAGCAAGATCAAGTTCCCGATGGCATAAACACTGATGTATTTCGAACTGCGAGAGTAGCCCGGATGTTGGGCCCGGATAAGGACACAAAACCTCATCCGACGCTCAATATGCATGCCGCTTCCCGCGCACCGATCGATCATACAACGCTTGCTCAAGGAAAAGATCAGGAAACATATCATGTCAGGAGTTCTCAGGACTTGCAACCTGCTGCACCGGAAAGAGATATTACGGTTGGTTCTCACCTAAATAGAGGCAAGGATCATTCATTCGCGAAAAACAATGTCAATTCTAAATTTGATACCACGAGCTCCAAATCACAGGTAGACACTTCTCATTCTAATTAAAGTGGCAACCGGAATACTGATATACTGACAGCCCACATCCAGATCCCCCAGGAAATGAGCTCCTCATCGGATGGGTCAGTATACCGCCTGCGTGAATCCAGAGTTCCCTCGTCTCGGGTTGGCCGGCTTTGGCATTACGGTGGACTTGCGACAGGAATGGCATTTGGCGCGGTAAGCGAGAGCTTTCGGCGTGTCACTGGAGGGAGTGAGACGACTGGGTCCTTGATGTTTAACGCTGCCAACATGGAGAGACTCGTGGCAAAGCTGTCAAGGATGAGAGGAGCTGCACTGAAACTGGGTCAAATGATGAGCTTTCAGGGTAAACGTTATGGGCCAACATTTTGTTTCAGAAAAACTGACTTGTCCTCAATTAGATGCAAAAATGCTTCCTACCCCTATACAAGAAGTTTTGCAAAGGGTCCAAGATAGTGCCGATTATATGCCGGCTCGACAACGGGATCAGGTCCTCACTAGTAATCTTGGGCCGCAATGGCGAGAGTTATTTAGCACATTTGATGAGGTCCCTATGGCTGCTGCCTCCATTGGCCAGGTTCACAGCGCGATTCTCAGGTCCACTGGTGAACCAGTGGCTGTCAAAGTGCAATATCCTGGAGTTGCAGGTTCCATAGATTCAGATCTGAACAATCTTTCTATCCTGCTTACTGCATCGAAGCTGCTTCCTAAGGGATTATACCTTGAGAAGACAATCGCAAATGCGCGAACCGAGCTCGCATGGGAATGTGATTATGAGCGCGAAGCCAGCTGTTTGAAGCGCTTCAGAAGCCTCCTCGAAGACGATGGTGATGTTTTTGTAGTTCCAAGGGTCATCGATGAAGCATCTGGAAAACAAGTTCTCACAATGGAGCGCATGAATGGCGTCGCTGTAACCAAAATCAAGAATTTTACTCAGGAGCAGCGTGACTGGATTGGCACTCAGCTGCTTCGACTATGCCTGCGTGAGATCACGGAATTCAAATTCATGCAAACAGATCCCAATTGGACGAATTTTCTTTATAACGAGGCTTCCAATAAGGTCAGTTTCCAATTCAAATGATGTTGTGCGCTTCGGGGTAGTAGCTTCTCTTCCGGCTCTATCAAGAATGATATATTGAGGACGAATGCTGACAGCTCATGTAGCTTGAACTCCTCGATTTTGGCGCGTCACGAGACTATCCTAGCCAGTTTATTGATCCTTATATTCGTGTACTACATGCAGCCTCGATTAATGACCGCGTCGCCTGTCGTGATCTCTCAATCAAGCTGGGCTACCTAACGGGTTTAGAATCTGCTGCAATGGTAGATGCTCATGTAACATCAATCCTGACCATCGCTGAGCCATTCGCAACAACAGCGCCGGCCATTTATGACTTCCGCAGTCAGAGTATCACTGATCGGGTACGCAGCCTCATACCTGTTATGTTAAGGGAGCGCCTGTCTCCTCCTCCCGAGGAGACATATAGCCTTCATCGCAAGTTGAGCGGGGCTTTTCTGCTCTGTGCCAGGTTGGGGAGTCGTGTACCTTGTCGTGAGCTCTTTGGAAATGCTCTGCGCAAAGCTGATATAACTTGACATCGACATTGGATTGCCTAGATACACCTCGTTGCCAGTGGGTTGGGAGTTTGCTTTGTTTTCTGCGCTTCGTAAAAGCATCATGGATGATCAATTCTTGCCGTCGAGCAAATTAGAATATACAGATGATAATGGACCCTGGCTCAGAGCAAAAGTCAGTCGGTTTCAGTTACAAAAATGAAGGCGTAGATAGAAGTATTAGTTTGATGATCTATCAAGAGTGAAGTTTCTCCCTGTTTATTTAGGTGCTTTTTCATTCTACACCTGAAGTATACGGTTCTCTGTATCATGAAAATGCTTTGAGATAAGATATGAAAAGGCTGAGATCCCTTTTTTGTATTGAATTGCGTCCTTTTACTTGGTGTTGGACAGGTTTATCAATCGTATTCTTTAATTTCCCGACTCACGCAGTTTTGGAATCTGCTATTGAAGTGTGTTTTACTTCATCTTTCATGAATTTGTGCATGATATTAAATCAATGCAACCCCCGCTCAGTGCTCTCTACGCCTTAACTCTCTTGCAAAAGTCATGTTTAAATACTGAAGGTACCAACAATAGCCCATAATACCGTCGCGCTCCGCAAGTAAATAACTTGTGAAATGAATACCTACAAACAACCAAAGTGAAATACAGAACTTGACCGCTAGAGAACAGAAGCAATGAGGAAACAGAAGCAGAAAGGTTCATCGGGTAACAGCGAATGCTCTTTGTGACTGAGCTGGAGGCTTGTCGACTGTATCCGCTTATACCTGCACAAAACGCAAGCCGCCGTAGTGATGCCATTCGAATCCGTTGATCCGTTTCTTGTATCTTTGTTTCCGGAGCCTCATTTGCTGGTGTGGTCTCTTTTAGGTAGCTTTATCTGTTGTCTGAGGGTTTCTGTATGCATCGTCGAGACCGGCCGTGGACAACTTCTTCGCAAAAAGTGATTGCGGTTTAACCCTGTCATTTGGAAGGTGACACTGGTTAGCTGTGCTTGACCCTCTTCTTGGAAAATATAACGGAAGTTCCTACTTGGAGAAATGCTTGTTTTTATAGGCGCTGAGCTTCTGGGTGCATGGCGACATGATGTTATCGGAAGGGGAGACATAGCTCGGTTCATTCCTGCGTAAAAGTCAGCTCCTTACGCACGCGTGCCAATCGCTATTCCGGTACACGAAAAGCCTTCAGTCCTACGTACGGTTGGTCCTTCATCCGAGCCTCGAGCATCTGGCGATGATATGCGAGAGACTTCGGAGCTTCCTTCGTATCATTTTGTGACATATTTGAGCTGTTTGTCTCTGTGCTTGAGTTGGAGGTGTTGATGTCTTTATCAGCGAGCACGGGAGACATTTCGGCAGTAGGAGGCTTTCGGGGAGAAATTTTAGTCTTTATTGAGTTGGAAGGAATTTGCTTGATGACAGGCAAGGCTAGATGTCGTATATTAATTTCAAGGGTAGAATGTTTGCGTTTCAGAAAGAGATGCTGGTACGGAGGATGCGGAACGGGTCCTCGATGGTGGTATTATTTACAGTATCCCGTTGACATGACAACAGTGAAGTACACTTAAACAGTAGGTACGTACCTGGGGAGTTGGGTACCTACCTTGCCCTAGGTGAGACACTGTAGGTAAGGTACCTGAGGTACATTAGCTACTATTGAGTGAGACATGGGCGAAGCCGAAGGAAGTAGCGAAGGTGGCAATTTGGAAGGTGATACCAAATTGGTCCCAGATGGGAAAGAACTGTATAGCTATTAAAGAATAACCCTTGCTTTTTCTATCTTCCTATATCTAAAATTCGCTTTACAAAATGACACCCGTTATCGACTATATAATAATTCATTGGCTTTTTTAAAAAGATTTCTATTGTTCTTAGCATTTAATCTGTATTTACTACTCTTTTAAATTTATTTTATACTATATTGAAATGAATACCTATAAAATATATATTATACTTATTTTTTTAATTAAAATAATAAAACTAAAATTTATTTTAAAGTATAATATTTAAAAACAAAACAAAATAAAGTAAAAAATAAATCAATATTAAAATAAATTAAAAAGATATAAGCTTACCTTTTTAACACAATATTTTAAAAATTGAATTATAATACTCCAATAGAAAAATATATTAATTTAGTATTATAAGTATAATATAATAATATTTAATTAAAGGTAACAGGTCTGTATTTTCCTAAAATTCCAGTTGTATAATAGTGTAGTCACTGGTCCATGTAGCTATAGTATTGAAAACCCTGGTTTTTCTACTATAGTAGATAAGTTGTCAAAAAGTAACATACAATAAGCCTAAAAAGTATTTGCTTCCTAACTCTGTCGCTTATCAAGGTTATGTGGTTTGTGAACCAAGATACTTCCCGACATGGCAATGACTCAGCAAGCTAGTCATTTGCCCCGCTGATCGAGTACAGCAATTTAGGTCATTCGTACCTGAAAATCTCCCGAGGTTGGAATGTCCTGTCAACTAGTATACGCACATTTTGAGTCAGGCCCATTTATTTGACAGGCTCATAACACTAGGACAACAATTTCCTAAATCTAGGGCAGATCACAACAACGATAGCCGACATTACACCATGCTTGATATCATTGATTTCATAGCAGAAAGAGGGGGTGATCCTGTAAAGATTAGGGAAAGCCAGAGACGTCGTTCTGCACCGGAAAATGTCGTTGACGAAGTCATTGCGCTTTACGAAGATCATCGAAAGAGTGAGTTTCTCACCAGCCTTTTCCCTAGTGCATTTGAAGACCAGAAGTGTTGACTACCTTATCACACTAGCAAAATACGACGCCACACAGATAGGCACGAAGATAAACTCCACGCAGAAAGAGATTGGCCAGAAGAAGAAGGTAGCCTAGATCTGATCAGAGAAGACGCTGCGAGCAATCCGCTTACATGGAGATTAAACCGATACATATAGGCAAAGGAAGATGCAAGTGAGCTTCTCCAGAGGAAAGTCGAATTAGAGCAGGAGAAAAAAGCCTTGGAGCTATCCGCTATCGAGAAGGAGGCCGCACTCCGCAAGAAAATCAAAACCATCGGCAATTACGTGCATGACACGGTTCCCATCAGCAATACTGAGGTTAGTAGGAAGCTCGATATTCAAAAACCGTAAAGCTGAATTTACTCAGGACGACAACGCGCTCATCCGTTCCTGGGCCCCCGAAGGAGTGAAAGTGGAAAAGAGAGACTGCCTTTCACACCACGAAGTTCTCACTAGGCTTGATGGCTATGACCCTGAGCGTGGGGTTAAGATTGTCGGACACCGAGGGTACTGTCTGACCGGATATGGCTTGTTCCTCAACCTCGCTCTGATCAATTACGGTCTGGAATTCCTTTGGAACAAAGGCTACAAACCTAACCAGCCGCCCCATTTCATGCTTAGGGAGTATATGGCAAAGACTGCACAATTGGAGCAGTTCGACGAAGAACTATACAAGGTCACCGATGATGGCGAAAAGCAGACCGATAAATACCTCATAGCTACCTCTGAACAACCGCTTTCCGCACTGCATGATGGAGAATGGCTCCAGGATAAGGAGCTGCCGATTAAGTTTGTCACCTGTCACGGTTACTTCGTTCTCGCTGACTCTATCGCAGGTATGCAGGCTACAGTACCTGCTATCGAAAAGAGGCCGGCGCACACGGCAAGGACGCGTGGGGCATCTTCCGTGTCCACCAATTCGAGAAGGCGAGCTATATCCGGATCACCTTGAAAGCAAGCAAAATCTGACTGGTGCACAGATTGAACAATTTCTCTTAACCAAGCCTGAGGACTCGTGGAAGGCATTTGACGACATGATCGGCATCTCTGAGGACTTTTATCAATCGCTCGGCCTGCCTTACCAGATCGTTGCCATTGTTTCTGGTGCTCTCAACAATGCAGCCTCGAAGAAATTCGACCTTGAGGCATGGTTTCCTTTCCAGGGGGAATACAAAGAGCTGGTCTCGTGTTCCAACTGCACCGATTATCAATCCCGCGAACTTGAAATCCGTTATGGCACGAAAACCCAAACCGAGGTCAAGAAAAAGTATGTTCACGCTTTGAACTCGACATTGTGTGCCACTGAGCGCGCGTTGTGTTGTGTTTTGGAGAATTATCAGACAGACAGCGTAAGTGTTGCGTCGGACACCTCACTTGAGTCGATCGAGGCCCTGACAATTTATAGGGTGTCATTGTTCCCACTCCTCTAAGAAAATATATTCCGGGCGCACCAGAGTTCTTGCCCTTCGTGAAAGAATTATCGAAAGAGTCGACCTCGCGAAAGGCTCAAGTACCTATTCGGGGCCGTTAAATGTGAGGTTTACAGACATTCGAGGAGGCTCGTCGAAGAGATTTTTCGGGATACAATTTTTTTGTTTCTAGAAACATTAGAAGTAGTACTTGAAGCCAGTCTGATGAATTGCATGACAAGAAGATTTTTTTATTTCGCTTTAAACACAAAAAAAACCCTCCTAGAGCAAATAAAATTATGTCCAAGATACTAATACACTGTTTATCATGCTAAGGTTAGAAATTCGGTTTAATCGAGCAAAGAAATAAAATTGAGAGAAAAATAAACTGAATAGAATGAGTATAAGAATATATAAAATTTATAAAAAAATATAATTAATTATTTTCTTTTTTTAATTGAAAAACATATAATTGATTTTAATAAATTTTAAACAAATTAAATGTACAATTTCTAGATAGTTTTACTTAAGTAATTAAATAATTACTATTAAAAAAATTAGTTTAAAAGCTAGTTTAAGTATTTTCTATTCTAGAAATTTTTACTCAAAAACAAGTTAAATAAGTAATTCCTGGGCACTGGACACTGACTGCTGCAAGCTTTTAGTCTGGCAATCAAGTAGTTTCTATTGAAAGGTTAGTCTAAAAAGTTAGTCTAGACTCTTAGCATTCTCTATAGCCTTACCAAGGAAGCTTGTTTTCATAGTATAGTAGTCATAGTATAGTAATATTGAAAGAATTAAGATTTTGAGGCTATCTTAACTCTTTATATAATTGAGCTACATGCAAGAGCTTTATTACCTATACAACAGTCAATTAATTAATGCAAGACTGTTTTTTTGTTTTATATTATATTTTATTTAAAAATAGACTTTGAACTATTTTGTATATTAAGGGTATAAAGTTATTAGTATATATATTGATATATATATTGATATATATATTAGTATACATATATATAATATAAATAGTATAAAAATTTAAATTTAGTTTGTTAAAGCTTTACTTTTTTCCTCCTTCTTTCCTTAAATTTAACTAAAATAAAGATAATTTTTATAATAAATCTATATATTTTATGTTGGAAATATATTAATCTCAAAGTATATAGTATAAAAATTAAGCTAGATAGATTAAAATATAGATTTTTAACTACAATTTTTAACTACAATACTAAAAACTTTAACTATAATTTAGTAAGTTTTATTTTTCAATTCTGGAGGAATGACAGACTACTATTTATATTAAATGTAAGAGTCTTGTCTCATAACTATATAGTAATACTTGGAATACATAGAGTAGTTACAAGCTGGAATAAAGTAGAGTAGGAGTAATAACTAGGCTATATATAACAAAAGTAGAACACTTGCTCTTTGATAGAGTGTTTTATTCTATAATATATATGTAACATATAGCTATTAGATTATTCTATAGCTGTCATGCATGTAATATACTAGATGCTTATAAGAATCTAGAGTAATACTATTGTTGACCAAACTAGTCTAGATCTAGCTACTATAACAATTGCCTTCTTCTTTTGAAATAATTATCTTTAATTATATAAGCTAAACTATTCCTTAAACCTTGTATTTAGCATGCTTGTAATAAAGTATTAACCTACTCTATAGTAGGTAGTTAATAATATTTAACTAACTTTCCTAGTAATAATTTCTAAAGGGTATCTATCCAGGTCTAGTTTTGTCTTTGTTTAAAAGGTTTTTATTTTTAGTTCTATTAGTTTATAGAAAGTACTACCTCTTTAACAAGTAGTTGTCTATATTAATATTCTAATAGTTATATACATTTAACAAGATGCTAGTACATTAGTCTGTATATATCTTGAACTTTTTTTGTTACCTCTATAGTTTAATAAGATTGGACTAGATTTTAATTATATTTATAGTAGGGCTAATGGTAGATCTTCTTGATTAAATATTAGTACATGCTTTTTTTGTACTATAGTCTATGTAGTTATTATATTAATTGATAGTTTATAGCATTTGCTTAATTTTCTAGCATGATTTATTAGTTCTAGTAGATTGTCTTTTGTTATATATATTATCCTGGATTAATAAAGTATATTGAGCATGTATAAGGTAGTTTAGAAGATGTTTGTTAGCCTGTTATAGTACAATTTATTATGTCTAGGGTTTTTTATTTATATTGTTCTATTGATAACAATAGTAGTAGCTAGTATTAAACAATATCAATAGGTAAATAGAGGTATCTTAGTACTTCTTTTAAGTAATTATCTCTGTCTATAAAAAAGACTTGTCTTGCCTGCTTTTTTTATTACATTTTATAAATTTCTTATTTTATTATTGTCTTCTAGTAAGTTCTGTCTTACAATATATATATGACATACTTTTTACTAATTATATAATGCTTTTTTAGACAATATTTTTCTTTAATTTTTTCTTTTATTTCTTTTTTCTTACCTTTTTTTTACTCTCATAATAAATAGTTACTTTTATAATTTAGTAACTATTATGCTTGGTGAACAGAAATACAATATGAAGATAGATAAAAGCTTGATTTTTCTTAGACCTACAACAACAATTTTTATAAGGCTATATTGTCATGGTTGCTTAATTACATAGCTAATATATAGCATGGCAAGGGCCAAAACAAGTAGCAATGCCTAATAATTATAATAATAGCCATTAGCAAGAAAAAAGCTATCATTCTTAATATCTATTCATGATCTATTAATATGTTTTTGTGCTTAACATTGTTACTGTTACTTTTGTAGTTTGTAATAATATTGAAGTCATCCTCATTAACCACTATCTTAGCAACATCATTGTTAGGGTATTGTACATAAGTTAATCTCTTAGTTAAACATTTCTTGAATGTTTTGTTAACTGGTCTGGTATTGAAGTCTCCATGTTGGGCTCTTGTGTAGATCATGATAAATTTATCCATAACTACAATAGCAGAAGAACATAGTTGATGGTCAGAAATTTTTCCTTTTGCAAAAGCATGAAGGCTGTTCTGGACATCATTAACCATGTCAACAATGACATCAACAAAATTAACTATTTGTTAAATGATTATAGAATGTATTAAGCCCTGGGTGTTTGTATAGAGAGGGTTGTAGTATAGTTTTTTAGATCTAACTTTAGCTTCTGCAATTCTAAAGCTATAATTGTTATTGGTATTATAATAATGATTTGTGTTGGTCCAGAATATATCCTTTTTAGAAAGTGCAATGGTAAAGAGGTCCTCTTGAGAACTAATATAACAATTTGTATCAAATACTATATCATTGTAGCCAATAAGTTTGATCTCTATTAGCTTAATAAGATGACCAGACCAAGTAACTAGTAGTACTTGAATGTCTATATATTTATAGAAAGAGTTAATTTGTACAGTTACAATCTGTCAAGGCTTAGCTTTTGTAACACTTACAACCACTCTGTGATCTTCTACAATGTATTCTCCTTTATTTTTATCATTAGAAATATCTAGTGTCATGGATAGAACCTTTACTTTCATAGGAGTAACTTGCACCTATTGGTTTCCTGCTGGGTTTGACTTAGTAGTACTATACTTCTTGTAATTTTCTATAGTATTAAGATCTCTTTTTGCTAGCTCTTGCTTCTTCTTACAAGTATCTTGAATGTAGCAACAGATGTTTTGAATGTCTATTAAAGGAGGTATCCTAACAGTAGCTTGAGGATTGGTAGAAGGATTATAATGAGCTTGAGACTAGGTATGGAGGAGGAGTAATGGTTTAACAAAGATATATGGAAATAAATAAACAATGTAAGTAAAAAACAGTGAATCAATTGTAGTAGTGTTAGCAAACTTTAATGGTAGTAAATAGTAACAAAAAATAGCACAAATAAGCTATCCTAGAGTATAATTATATATTAAAAAATAAATAACAAATGTAGTAATTCCTGGAGTCTACTATAATTGTTAATTAGTTATACCATTACATTCCCTGAACTCATGAAGTAGGTCAGAGGCATTGGCCAAATAGTTTTCTAGAATTCACTAATTGTACTCTAGACCATAGCTTGCCCACTGTATAAAGTAATGATATTGTCTTCTTGTTAAGTAGGAGTATAATATTTAACTAACCTTATACTTAAGTTTGTCCTGAAAGCTGTCAGTTAGTTGGACAAGGCCTGGCTCAAGTATTTCTCTGTTAAACTTATTACTACCAGGAGCAGAGCATGGCCATAAGTAAATTGATACAATGACAGGGTATGTTTTGATTGTTAATGGTAGCTCAAGTTGGTAGGCTATGCCTTTGTCCACCTTTTCAAGTATTTAAAAGGGTCCTACTTGCTATAGTCCTAGTTTTGCCTTTTGTACAAATGATAGTTGATACTACTTTAGCCTTAGCATAGCCCATCTCAACAAGAAATCAGGTTCAGGGTCACAATGGTAATAGTTGTGCTACTATATCATTGTCTTTTTTTTCAACACTATTATGTCTATAGTAGTTTGATAACATATCTTTCTCAAGTTTTCCTAAGGAATTGAGACACCTTTAACACCTATCTGCTCTATCAAGAGATTATAAGCTTGTCTAACCTTCATCCTATAGAAAATCTCATTGGGTAACAGTCCATCTAAGGACATGTAGTTCAAATTGCTTATCTAACCCTCAACTATAGGTAACATATTTGGCTAGTTTGATTAGATAGTATTAACATGGTAGCAGATAGTAATTTTAATCTCTTAGTTTGATTACTTATCTTGACCATTTGTGCTACCATAAAAGGCTGTTGTAGTAATGAACCTAGTACCTGCTTACATAAACATTGACCTAAAAAACTCTTGAACAAACTACTTGTCTTGATCTGTAATCAAGACATAAAGAATTCCTTATTGTGTGATGATGTAATTCTAGAAGAGAACTATTTATGTTCTTGATAAGTAATTTTTCCAGCCTAGTATAAGTGTAATGACTTTTGAAAATTTATTCATTGTCATTAATATGGTGTTAACCTTATTTAGTACATGAAGACTCTTTGCCTTAGGGAGATTAGTTATGAAATCAATTGACAATATATAGAATGATTCTATAGCTAAATCAATTAAGTATAATGACATGTAGCTTTGGGTTCTGTAGGTTTAATTCCAGAAGTAGTCTAGACAATGGTTAATATAGTGTTTGATAGTCTTTTACATTTTTGGCCAGAAATATTTATTAGCTAGCTGGGCATAAGTCCTGGCATGGTCATGGTAAGACTATCAATTATATATTAGTTAAAGGTAGTATTGTTATAGGTTAGGTAGGATGACCAGCTAGAGATGGTAGTTAACCAGGTCTTTAAAGAATAACAAATAGTTTCAAACAACATACT